GCATTGTTGTTCATTCACTCGATTATTGTCTTGTAGACATTTCTGTACTCAATCCTAATTCATTTAACTGTGTACTCTGTTCTTCTTCCTAGCATATTTTAAAAAAAGCTCGCACCTTGATACTGTATAATTCTAGACTTTCAACTGTATGGATAGGAAGCGGTAAAGGAGGCGATTGTAGGAGAAATAAAAAGCTCTCAGGCGCTGTTCCACAATCAGTAGAGGAAGACAGAGCTAGAATGGCCGAGCTCAAAAGATAACTATACATTCGCGTCATGAGGAGTAGAGATCCAAAAGGATTTTCTATTTTGGTCTAACGTTCAACTGATTGAGCATATAATTATATACAATATTTTCAACCCTGACAACTTCTCCTTATGGAATTTATCAATCGAGCAACTGACACTTTCCAGTTCATCGAAAGTCTAAGAGTGAAATGTTCAATTTATATGTGGTTAATTGTAAGCATTTTTACCTATCGTCACTAGAGCTTGATAATTTCAAGCTTGTCTAAAGAAGAAGACATACTAAAGCCCTGTTATTTACCTCATCTACGCTCGTTCAAGCCAACCATTGCCTTCATGGTGAAGCAGGTACCTCCCTTTCCAGAGGTAACACAATCATCTGCTTTAATGTATATCAATAAACATGATCTTTCATTCCATTATTCTTTCCATTATAGCAGGAACTGACCCTTTTCTGTAAGCACTGTTATACTTGACTTAAATCTCCTGTCAGCACTGCCTTCAAAAAATGGTTAAAGACATCATATATTTAAGCTCCGTCGTGAGAAAATGCGATCGGCATTTCCCACGATACTTAAAGCGGACACTGTTATATTAAAAAAAACAATTTCTTTTTTTTTCCCTTCTTTTACCAATGCTTCTTCTACGTCGTTTACCGTAAGTTGACTTTTTATTCATAAAATATCAAGCTTACATTCTTTTAGTACTACCCTTCGCCCCTTAACAGTTAAGCCTGCGCTTTATCGATGTTTAACTACTGGTAATGCTCTTATTATCATTGTTATTCAATGCTTAACTTTGTTCTTTTTTTTTTTTTTTTAGCTGCTACCCAAGCTGCTTGTAATCCCGATGAACCTACTTTCTTACAATCCGTCGAAAATTACTATGATCACGCAGCTAATCTCAGTGACGTACAGTCACATACATTGGCTCATTTACGTGCTGTTGATAGTGTCCTACGTGTCACTTTTCCGATAGAAATTGAAGACGGAAAATATGAAGTTATTGAAGGTAAGCATATAAACTATTTAATCATATTCTGTTTAACTAAACATCTTTAGGTTATCGCGCCCAACACTCTCGACACCGTTTACCTGTCAAAGGTGGTATCCGTTTCTCTGAAGAAGTTGACTTGCAAGAAGTTGAAGGTATAAAATCAAATAGACATATCAAACTGTCATTATTAAATCAAGTTTACTATTAGCACTGGCTTCTCTCATGACGTACAAGTGTGCTGTTGTAGATGTACCATGTAAGTGTATAGCACTTTTTTCTTCTTCTTCTTCTCTAATCATTGTTATTCAACGCATTATTTTATAGTTGGTGGCGCTAAAGGTGGTATCAAGATTGATCCTTCAAAATACACAGTCGAGCAACTTGAGAGAATCACCCGTCGATACACGATGGAACTCTGTCAAAAGAAATTTATCGGCCCTGGCCTTGATGTTCCAGCTCCTGACGTTGGTACTGGACCTAGAGAAATGGCATGGATTATGGATACATATGCTCAATTCAATATAGGCGATGTCAATGCTGCTGGTTGTGTTACTGGCAAGCCTCTATCATTAGGTGGTGTACGTGGTCGTAATGAAGCCACCGGTTTAGGTGTTTATTATGGTATCCGTGAATTCCTTAGTTATCCCGAAGTGCAAAAGAAGACAGGCGTTAGTGGAAAGATAGAAGATGTATCTGTGGTTATCCAAGGATTCGGTAATGTAGGCTACCATGCTGCTAAATTCTTTGAAGAAAATGGGTAAGTGTCATCATAGTAACTGATAACGATTTTGTTGCTCACTTTTATTATGCTAGTGCCAAGGTTATAGGTATTGGTGAAAGAGACTGTGCTATATATGACCCTAATGGTTTGAATATTGAGAATCTCTATAAGCATCACCGTGCCAACAGAACCTTCCGTGGATATGATTCATCTGCTCAAATCATTGACGAGCCAACCAAGATCCTCGAAGCTGAATGTGATATCTTGATCCCTGCTGCCCTCGAACGTCAGATTGGTTTGCGTAACGTTTCCAATATTAAGGCCAAGATCATTGGTGAAGCTGCCAATGGTCCCGTTACACCTTCTGCACACTCCCTCTTGGAAGACAGTGGCAAGGTTATTATTCCCGATTTACTCTTGAACGCGGGTGGTGTCACTGTGTCCTATTTTGAATGGCTCAAGAATTTATCCCATGTGCGATTTGGCCGTATGAACAAGAAGTGGGATGAACGTGCACGATCCAAGGTAGTTGCCCTTGTAGAAGAAAATGCTGGTAGACCCTTAACAGAAGCCGAAAGAAAGGCCATTGTACATGGTGCTGAAGAAGCTGACCTGGTTTACTCTGGCCTTGAAGATACCATGATTCAAGCATGCCACGAAACAAGACAAACCGCTCAAATCAAAAAGGTAGACTATAGAACAGCTGCTTATATCAATGCTATCCAAAAGATTGCTACCGTCTATGAGGGCTCAGGTATGCTGTTTATGCATTAGACGAATAGCCTTATTTTTTTTCTCTCTTTATTATCTCATTGTCATTTTTTTTTTGTGTGTGTATGAGAAAGCTCACTGTATTCATAATAAACATATTTTACATTTGCCTTTTTCGAACTTGAAAGGGCAAAGCGGAGGTTGATTCCTAACGTCATCTCTTTTTTTCTTCCAAATAATTTCTGCAACCTCCCTTCTTCAATGCTATCACGTTTATTGAGCATCACAAGGTGTTATGCCAAAAGATATCCACAGACAGCAAGAGTAGCTCTTAGAAACTATAGTACTAAAAAACCAAGCAATGATCCTAAAGGCTCCCAAAGCTTTTTCGACAGAACTCCCTTTTCAAGCAACAGTAATAAAAAACCCAATTCAGCACCACCGGGGATGCCAAAGACCAGCGAACTCTTTGCTACAGCACTTTGCGCCTATATAATCTACCGAGTTGCTTCACCTAGCGAAGACGGGCGAGAATTAACCTGGCAGGCATTTCGCAGCCAACTGCTTGATCGAGGTCTTGTCGATCGTCTTGAAGTGCTCAATAGAGAAAGGGTTCGTGTCTATCTACGACCTGAAGCTCACTCCATGGGAATATCTCCCAGTAACGTATTCTATTTCTCCATCGGTTCTGTTGGAGCATTTGAAAGAAGTTTGGAGAATGCACAGCGAGAGCTGGGCATTTCACCAAATGAAGCAATTCCTGTTGCTTATCATGACCAAGCCAATGTAGCCGAAATGATACTTCAATTTGCGCCCACAATGTTATTAATTGGCATGTTATTCTACATTAGTAAGAAAGGCCCAGGGGGTTCGCAAGCTGGTGGTATATTTAATATCGGAAAAAGCAAGGCTAAAAGGTTCAATCAAGAAGACAAAGTGAAAATTTCCTTTAAAGACGTCGCAGGCGCGGACGAAGCCAAACTAGAGATTATGGAATTTGTCAATTTTTTAAAAAATCCTGCAGTGTATGAAAAATTGGGAGCCACGATTCCCAAGGGCGCCATCCTCTCCGGCCCTCCTGGTACGGGTAAAACGCTTTTGGCAAAGGCAACGGCAGGAGAGGCAGGTGTTCCTTTTTATAGCGTGTCTGGCTCTGAGTTTGTTGAGATGTTTGTCGGCGTGGGCTCTTCCCGAGTCCGTGATTTATTTGCAACAGCCAAGAAAAACGCTCCTTGTATCATCTTTGTGGACGAAATTGATGCGATCGGCAAGACTAGAGGCAAGGGCGCTGGTCAGTTTGGCGGTGGCAACGATGAGCGCGAAAGTACATTGAATCAGCTTTTAGTCGAAATGGATGGGTTTGATTCTGATCAACATGTGGTTGTTTTGGCTGGTACAAATAGGCCTGATGTGCTGGATCCTGCTTTGTTAAGGCCAGGGCGATTCGATCGACACATTACTATTGATCGACCCGATATTAATGGTCGCGTGCAAATATTTGAAGTACACCTTCGACCCATTAAAGCTGACTTGGACAAACAAGTACTTGCTCGTAAATTGGCAGCACTGACTCCTGGATTTGCTGGTGCTGATATTCACAATGTATGCAACGAAGCTGCTTTAATTGCTGCTCGCCGTGGAAAAGATATGGTAGAAGAGAAAGACTTTGAGGATGCTATTGAACGTGTTATTGCAGGTTTAGAAAAGAAATCTCGCGTACTGTCGCCTGAAGAGAAGAAGACGGTGGCGTATCATGAAGCTGGCCATGCCATTGCAGGTTGGTATCTCAAGTATGCAGACCCGCTGTTGAAAGTATCTGTAATCCCTCGAGGATCTGCTGCACTGGGGTATGCTCAGTATTTGCCACAAGATCAGTACCTCTATTCAAAGAAACAGTTATTAGATCGTATGTGTATGACCTTAGGCGGACGCGTATCAGAGAAGATCTTCTTCAATACTATCACAACCGGCGCACAGGATGATCTTCAGAAAGTGACTAAAATGGCATATGCTCAGGTTACAGCCTATGGTATGAATGCAAAGATAGGCCCAATCTCCTTCAGCGATCCTCAAAATGAAAATAGATTCCAGAAGCCATTTTCTGAAGAAACAGGAGAATTGATTGATAATGAAGTGCGATCACTTGTTTCAGAAGCTTATGACCGTACGCTTCGTCTCTTAACAGAAAAGAAAGATGAAATAGAGAAAGTAGCGCAGTTGCTTCTAAGTAAAGAAGTCATCACAAGAGAGGACATGGAAAACTTGGTGGGTAAAAGACCATTTGATGAGCATACTACATATGATGAATATGTTAGACGAAATCCTGCTAATGTAAGCAATAAAGTATTGAATATACACACATATACTCACTGTCTTTCTTCTAGCCTTAATATCATTCTACAAGGTGATTTCTTCTCACTTTCCTACTACTATGTGTGTGCCTTTTATTGTACTGCATTTGTAAAAATGTATGATATAAACTCTGTTGAAAAGACAGATTCATCCAGCAAGATACTTTTTTATTTGTATAAGCATAATGTTGGTTATGCTCCATTTATGCTTTTCGTCAAGGTGCTCTTGGGGGTTTTGTTTTTGTTGTGAGACACCGCTAAAACAGCACCTTCATTAGTTGTTCTAAGATAAGCGGTAGGCTTTTCAACAACATAGCAGAAGCCTTCAGTGTTCCCCAAGGATGATATGAAACAAAAAGCCCAGGCTCTTTATAGCAAGTGTTTCCGTACACTTTAATTATTCTAACGAATCGTATTTTTCGATTATAGCTTCATATATCAACTGTTTATCTTTGGTGAAGAGCGATATTAAGACACAACAAACCTTTCAATAAATTGCTATGAAACATTCATAAATAAAGCTACTGTTAAAAATATATTTTATAAAGTATTGCTCTGACAGCAAGTATAAATTGTATTATAAACTATAAAATTCATCTTACATTGGAAGTGCAATGTCCCCTAGCATTACTATCCTTAGAATTTCTTTGGAATACTCCTGCTTGTAACAAGCAGTCTGCTGATAATGTTTAAATCCTCTTTTACGATGTCTATTCTTTTAAAAATCCTATGTAAAACATGATTAGGTTGACCTTATTTCTCACTATCTGTTTATTTATTAAAGAATGTAAGAACAAACTAATGCTCATATTTCCCATTTCTTGGGTTTACTTACATTTAGTACAAGGGCAGTTGCGGATGATCAATTTGACACGATCTAAATGAGTTTGGTATATAATACATAATGATAAAAGAGTTTGCTTTAAACACTAGTTTTGGCAAAATAATTAGCTTTAAGCATATATTTCATTAATGTATTTTCAAATATACAAGGATGATCTTAAACAAGGTGTAAGAGTAAAACGAAGCATATGTAATCAATTCATTAACCGATCGTCAGGGTTTCACTAGTAGAAATAAATTTAGTTAAGTCAATGTTATCATCGTAATAAATATCGTCCTATCCTATTATTTCTCTTTTTCTACCTCCTTTCCTTTTTCCTTGTTGTTGTTGCACATTGATGAGTCTATTGACAGCCATTTTTGCACTTGTTGTGCTGTTTACACCCAATGTATACACTTTAAATGTTACACATATATCAATGTGTCCTGCTCTCTCACCTCGTCCAGCACCGACAAGCGTTCATGATCTTCGGCCAGATGACATAAAAGTGATGGGTGCCTTAGGTGACAGGTAACTGAGAAATTGTACGCGATCCCCTCATATTAAGACTGTTATCTTTAGTATTACTGCAGGATTTGGTATAATGGGAGTGAACTTGTCTCAGCCTCCGTTGTTAGCAGCATTTAATTCATTCAACGAATACCGTGGATTGAGTTACAGTATAGGAGGAGATGAGGGCGCTTTAACAGTTCCGAACTATATGAAGCATTATCAACCAAACTTAAAAGGATATTCGATTGATAGCCATATTGCCCTTTATTGCAGTGGTAAAGAAGATGAATATTTTGAGAGAAAGAGAGATTAACATAGCCTTATAGTCAATAGTTGTCCCGGAAGATGTAACGTCATTATTGAAAGGAAAATCGGTTTAACCGTATCATAAGATTGACTCTGGTTATTATTATAGATATACCTGAAAAAGATCGGCTTAACGCAGCCTTAAGTGGTTCACTCTCTATAAACTTGCAGCATCAGTTGGATTATTTAATACCTGGTAAATCCTTATAAATTTATATGTATAAAACTAACTCTGTCTAAATAGAGATGCATAATATTGCAGGAATAGATTTTCAGAACGACTGGAAAATGATCAACATTCAAATAGGAAGTAACGATATGTGTAGTTCATGTGATCGTAGATATACAAACATTACTACACCAGATCAATTCGCCAGCCATATGGACGCTGCTGTTGAAAGGATTATAACAAATGTCCCTCGCGTACTGGTTAATGTCATCGGCGCCTTTAATGTATCTCAGCTATTTCCTGTTACTGCTGGACAGGCTTACTGTCGTCCGAAAAATAATGATACAAGTACCATCGGGAATAGAAGAGAATGTAGCTGTGGCTCTACTCCAGGTGGCCTAGAATATATGGATTACCTTGCAGTTGGTAAACGGTTGTGCGTAATTTCTTTTTTTCATTATGTAACCTCTTTATCCAATAGAGTACAACAAGAGACTATTTAGTATTTATCAAAAATATCAACAAAACAAAAATGATAGCTTTGCTGTTGTCTATCAGCATAGCAATTTAAACATGACAAGCTTTCCTATAAACTTCTTTAGGTAAACTATAAAACAAGTATCACAGGCTCTAATCTACTCTTAGTAACATCGACTGCTTTCATCCCGGAATAGTTGGTCATCAATGGGTGTCAAAAATAGTATGGAATGAACTATTTCAACCGCAAGCTAAAAAACCATCCGTGTTTAACTTCCATGCAAATCAAACCATATATTGTCCTACTGACTCTGATAGAATAGCTACTAATTAATATTAATAATATTTATAATACTTGCAAATATATACTATCAATGTTCTACATATAAAGTTGCTATTCGTAAAACGAAGCTAATGTCAGAGAGCGGATGGGCATCCTAAAAAATTACATATTGTAATAATATCTTATATTCATCATCGTGAACCCTTTACAACAAAGTTACATTCTCTCATGAAAAATAGAATGAGTCAATAATGCAACGTATGTTTTTTATTATTATTTCAGCTATATACAATCTATTCTTCTTCTTCTTCTTCAAAGTTTTCTGGCAAGTCATATTCATAAGCAGCATCCCAGCGTGATCCAGGGGCTTTTGCACTAACATATTTGATAAATCGCATAACACCTTGGTCTCTAAGAACAATAGATAGCTCATTTTTTCCTGCTGCTAAGCTCAATAGTTCACCATCCTCATCGGCCGCTTTATAAGTAGCTGGATCCTCTTCACCGTCATGTGCAGCCATGTAACACTCATATCCACCAATATCGCCATCTTCCCAGAATTCAGGCTTGCTTACGTGGCAAAATGTAACGTCCAGCACTCCCTGACCTCTTGTGTTGGTTGTAGCCAATGTATAATCATGTCCTGGACGGAAACGACGGATTTGACCACGATAGCCGACTGGCATGATTTGTACAATGGCATTTAACCATTGACGGAATGCTTCAGATTCAAACTTGGTGGCCAAGTACTGAAAGAGTTCATCTTTGCCAGTGGAAACCATAAAACGAGATCGATGAGGAGGGCCTTGAACGACCCAGCCTTCGCGTACGCCTGTGCCATGAGATGCAATACCATCCTTACCCGTGGCTAGTTTGTCTTCTTCGTCATATTGTTGTGTGATACGTTCTAATTTTTCAAGCAATGTCTCATTCAAGAATTTCTTGCACTGGACAGCAGATTCATCTAAAAAGGTTTCTGATAGCTTATGAATCATCTTTAGGTCCAAATAGTGAGGGTTGATCCATTCTGCCAGTTCAGTCAGCACATCCTCTGTTAATCCTACTGTTTCTTCTTCCTCCTTTACTGGATACTTTGTGAAGTTGTCGCTGGAATCTTCTTGAAGTTGCTCAAGCGAAGACTTTGCCTCTCCTTCATTAGATGGTTCCTTGTATCCAATTTCGCCTTCTTGTGGTATATGAAACCAGCCAGAGATGCTAAGACGATTACCCGTGCCAATGACCTCTTCTACTGAGTGGAATGAGTGGCCGGGTTGAACAGTAAACATGACAAATTGATTCCATTGAGGAGGAATGGTCACTGTAGGCTCTGATGCGGGGATACCCTTTTTGATAACTGGATAGAGTTCGAGAGCTCCACCATCTTCAGGCTTCCAAGGGTTTTCGGGGTCTGTGAGATATAGAATGTACGATACTCTGCGAGTGCCTATCACATCATCGTGATTCAAAAGATGACAACCTGTTTGGTAAGAGTTGATACTCATATCCATCTTTGAGCCAGATAAAGGTCCACAGCCGGTAACATGAGAGATAAAGTTACGAAAATCCTGAGAATAAAGCGCGTTACGAAGTTCAAAAAGACTAGATAACTGTTTCAATTCTGCTTCGGGAAGACCGTCCAAATTGGCCAAGTCGCCTGTTTGGTTGACCTGATACATGTAAGCTCTTTTGTTGTCATATCATCCTTCTCTCTCACCTTGTAAATATCTGTTTCTTTAAGCGTAAAATGTAAACTGGAAAGAATTTCTTTTCGAACGCGCAATAAGAGATCATTATCACATAATTGATCAATTTTACAGTGAAGATAAGGCTTGGATTCTTTATAAGCTTTTTCTAACCTCGTCAAGGACTCAACAGTGAATAGATCTTTTTGTAATTTGCCTTCAATTTGGCTATCGTCAATTCTAGCTCGTTTATTTGACATTTTAAATAAAAAGAAAGGTAAAAAAAAAAAAATCTTCTAGTGGCTCAGACTTTTATTTTTTCTATCTATTGACCTAATAGTCTTGCTAAAAATCCTTTGTTGCTTTCCTTGTTTGCACCAAGGGCAGATATCAATTTTGAATAGTATTTTGGATTACTTGCAGGGTATAGAATCGCTTCTGAAAGCGGATACTATGACAATGGTTAATTTGGTTGGAAGCTAGCCGAGTTAAAAGCTAACCTTTTGTTTAAAATCATTGTTTAATAATTTTTCAAGTGCAAATAACTGTTTCTCTGCTTGAGCAATGTCAAGTGTGCTTTCATTCCGAAAACTTTCTTCAACTTTTGTTGTCAATACTTGTTTTAAATCCTTATTAGGTCTCACTTTATCTACAGGCCATCGTTGAACAACCCTCAAGAATGAGCGATACAAGGGTTGAATCTCTGCAGAAGACATTTATTTAAGAAAAAAAGAAAAAAGATGATGTCTGGCATTTAAAAATTTACGAGGCAAGAGGATCTTTATCGTATGGTATAATGTCTTCTTCTATACCCAATTCCTCTTTTAGTTCATCAGGTTTTCCGGGCATATGCTCAGTTACTGTCTTGAAGATGGTCTGAAACTGTATAATCATGAAGGTTGACTTTCTTTATGATGTATATAAACCTTACCATCGTACGTCTCTTCTTCCACTGATCTCTATTGCGAATAAACTCTTCGTCCGCTCTCTTTCTTTTCTCTGGCGGTATAAGTACTACGCCACTCTTGAGATGATTGAGCCTTTGCTCTAATTGCTCATTCTATAATACACGTTATAAGAGCCTATCAATATATAGACTTACTTCTTGTTTATATTTTTGAATAAGTTCTATAGCTTCTTTTGTAGTTACGTCACTTTTGAGCTTTGATAGCTCTATCATTCAAAATAAATATATGCTTACATCTAGATGAATAATTACCTCCTTCAAGTTTCTTATTTTCACTCTTGATCGTATTAAACTCATCACTGACCTTGTTGATTTCTCCCTCAAGACTATCTAATGTCTGTCCCGTTTCATCACTTTTAACAGCATCTTGTTTAATAGAATAAACGACTGACTTGCCATATGTCTTGGATATCACCTCTCCTTCTTCAACCAACTTGTCTAGCGCTTTTATAATATGTGCTTTGGAATACTTTGAGTGTAGGTTATTAAATACGTCGGCTTAGAGTCATACGTTGGTCATTTTGTTTGTGTGTCTATATAGCTTTTAATTTACTTGCACTATAGGGTCGGTTGACCTTTTTCATGTACTCAAGGACTGCGTGTTCTACTAAAAAAAAAGAAAAGAAAGAAATACAATGAAAAAGAGAGAAGTAAAGAATCGCTGCTATTCAGCTACCTTCTTCTTTAGCACTTCCACCTGTGATTTTTTTCTTGGCCATGGAACTTGAAAGAAATGCAAAATGCTGGCAGTCGCATGAAAGTAAATCAAAATGACGCGCTGTGACCTCATTTTTATTCTATTGTATTTCTGTGAATACAGCGCGACTCAATGGGTTCATCCTCTTTACTTTTTGCATTGCTTATTAAAGAAGCAATTATATAATTATTTTCCTCCCTTATATTGATCATCATTTAGCTCATACGCTACTTCTTGATCGTATACATTGTTCTTCAACTTGGCATACTGTTTTGTTAAAAATAAATTTCAGAAAGAGGATAAAATTATGACGTGTATGAAAAAAATAATTGGCGCATATTAAAAAAGGTATTTACGCAAAGGCTAAAAATAAAATACGTGCGAAGGAGACGATATACAAATGAGAGTAATAAGTACCAAGGAGAGAATATAAAAAATTATACAGTTAGTTATGTAAGAAAATTATTACATACAACTTACCCCGAAGGCATCTAGATGTGTCCTAGCGATAACTAGGACGGAGAATCATCGTCTAAACGTATTCTAGCTCTTGGTTGCTCCTGATCGTCCACTCTTCTTCGACGTCTTGTAGGAGCAACAGTAACCCGGCAAAACCTATGAGGAACCATACCATTACACCGAAGCCCACGAAGGATGTGCATGTAGTTGAGGCAAGCAGCAACATCCCTGTTCCATAAGCGATATCTGTCTGGTGCTGCCATGGCAGGTCTACAGTATAGATTGGTGCATCTACAAGCAATATTCAATCAGTATAAAGTCATACAAGTGGTTCATGTACTATTACCTTAAAAGACCATGGCAGACAACAGCAGGATGTCGCTCACGTTGATACGGTCGTAGATTTGGAACACGACGGAACGTACGGAGGCTTTCGTTGTGGCATGTTGGACAGCACCTACTGGTCTTGTACTCGTCTATAAGATAGACTTGGAACCCATGCTTCTTGAGGAGCCTTCGGAAATCAAGGCCAAGAATGGGTTCACGGTACCTAGCATGGGGAGCGGACCAGTTTCCCATCACAAACACGGCGTCTTCTCCAAACTTGGCGCGTAAGTCTTGAATAAACTTTTGATCGGCACGTTGTTTGTTGAAGTACGCTGAAAGATGGATTATGCGGAAGAGGGGATATCCATTATCATGGCTTGTGATGGTATGTCCATAGAATCGACTGAGAACGGCAGACTCTTCAGATCTGGCTTGAAGGAAGCGGCTAAAGCCCTCCATAGATACGGTGCTGCTTGGCTGGCGGCTGTGGTAATCTCAGGCTACACTTTATTAAATCTGAAGCAGAGATCGCATCTTAAATCGTTGTTGTTTGTGCTCGGGTTTTGGGCATTGTGACCACAGCAGGCAATCCTTTTTTTTGACCAGGCCATACTACGTTTTAAATTAATATGAAATGCAGACTCATCGAGAAAGACGCAATTAGTTCTAAAGTCCATGTCCGTACACTCCCACTTATGAACCTAGTCGAAACGCTCCTGAATTTTTTCTTCACTGTTCCTATCTACAGGCTGAAATTGGACTTTTTTGAATGACAAGTTACATTCAGTTCTTACAAAATTGTCGACAGTGCTTTTAGAGACCTTGAGATCCTGAAACTTTTGAAGTAGTCGCTCCATTACTTGCTCCAAGATGGCTGAAGGATACCCATCTATATACTCCAAGGTCATTTGCTTGTGTTATCCATGAAGTATACGCGAGCGGCCGGTTTTCTTATGCTTTATAAAAATACTATCATGATCCGTTTTGTACATTTGAGCCCATTTTTGAGCTGTGCGAACATGAGTACCTAATTGTTTTTCAGCAGCTGAAGCACTTATAGCTTTCTCAAACGTCAGTTTAAAGAATCCAACTTTGCCTTGATCCGTATAGAGTGTGTACGCTCGCTTACTCGACGCCTCCTTCATGCAAGCATTTGGATCATCTTTTGCATCTTCATCTGCCACAGAGCCTACATCGAAATTATTCTCCTGAGGCTGATTATGCAAATACTGAGTGTGTGAGCTAACTGTTTCTAAAGCATATCGCTCTTCATCAATGATATAATCCATAGGCTCAGGTCTACCGTATTTATCAACTGCATTACCGTGCCCATCTTCGTAGAAAATTTGAAAGCACACGTTGTAATACTCGGTTTTTAATGAGAAAGAGAGTAAAAAGAGATCTGACAGTGCTTTCATGCTTAATATACTCATTTTGTACGACAAAGCTCCTACATATACGAAATCAACTAATGGTTAACGTGACATTAGAATTTAACAAGCGCGAATTTTACATTATTTCCAGAAAGTAATGTCGTTCCAAGATGTCGTATTTTGTATAATTTGTATTATAAATTCTCGAATTATGCGACATTACTTGTAGAAAAAACTGTACACTTGGTATCAATGTCAATAATTTTTGGAAATACTGTATAACAACACGCTGAGAGTATAGGTTACTCATAATGATCAACAATCTCAAACCTTGCTCGTCTATAAACTCGAAACCACGATTATGAATTCTATGAGACTAGACTCAAGTTGAAACGATAATGTAAAGAAAGAGCAGAAAAGGAAGGACCCTTCAAAAAAAAAAAAAGAATAAAGAAAAAAATAGGCTCCGCTGAATACTTTTTCATTTTTTTTTCACTTTTCTCTAATCAGCATGAGTCTAGTCGAATTACTTTCAAAGAATCAGAAACCAGTAGTTACAGCCCTTACACTTTTAAGTGCTGCTATGGCCATTGCTTATCAGTATTATCGATCTAAAGGCATCACCTTATCAGAACGACTCTATTTTTTACTTTGTCAACGAAATATTGAAGAAGCTACTATTGAACATGAACTATCAACAAATCAAAGTACAGTGTTGCCTATATATGCTTATAATGTGTAAATATCTAAATTTGATAGATGAGTCCGATATCATTTCAGAACATACCCAGTTCATAGATATACGTGGACGTAAACTTCGTATTGTACATATTATTCATGAATTGGGAAGTAAAGTTCCTTTGATCGTATTTATTCATGGGTTAGGCGGACAAGTAAGGTCCCCATCAAAAAATGATAAGCTTCACACAAATTCATTTCATATCATAGGTATCACAGTGGCAACGTCAGATTGAATATTTTTCACAAACCGCACATATTTTGGCTGTAGATTTATTAGGCTGCGGTAAAAGTGAAGTGACAAAAGAGTAAAGTATCAGTTAGGAAAAAAAAAAAAAACATAACGTTAGACTCATTTATTACAAAGTTGGGAATCGTATACAACAGAGGCTTTAGTTGAAGATATTAAAGAATTGTTGACGGATAGGTATAAGTATCCTTCTACCGTTATCATTGCACATTCCTATGGATGTGCTATTGCTTCTTTTGTTGCTGTATGTCCCGAAATACGACCCTGTATGGCTGGACTCGTCCTTATTTCCCCAAAGGAACATGTCAGTAAGAGCCAATTGAAAGGTCAACAAAGACTAAAATGGATACCTGATTGGTTACTCGACATATTCCGAACAGCAGATCGAAAGGGTCTTTACTATTCGAAAAGCGTCAACAGATTTCTAGGGCCTGATGTGAACGAATCTATTCGGAAAAGGCAAGTGTATATGTATACATTTTTGATAGTCTTTTTCTTTACGCATTTATTTTTTAGCCAGCTGCTTTGGAATTTACAGAGTAAAACACCAGTGACCAAACGATTTTTAGCAGGCGCTCGACTTCCCACCAAAGATATCTATTCCCAGTTAGATATGGGCGTGCTTTTAATTGGGGGTGAGAAAGATCAGATCACGCCTCCTGATGAGATGCACATCATCCGGAAGCATCTTATCGGTCTGAACGCAGATACACCAGATCACCGTGTACCTGTGCCCCACATCATTCCAAGTGTCGGACATATGCCTATGGTCGTACGTCCCGAGTTGGTTAATCCAGTCATTTCCGATTTTCTGATCCATCACTGTGGCTTGAAAACGCTGAGTGGCGCGTGGCAGATATTACATAAAACCAAAGGCGAGAACAAGTGGGATTTGAAAAATTATGAAAAGGTAAAAATATGAATATGAATTGAAAAGAGTGACCAACATTGTGTAAAAAAAAAAAGTGGGTCAATGTAGCCAATATCACGGACGGACCTATCGGACCTTCTTTATTTAGAGCCATGAAAGTGATGCGTCAGACAGATCCAAGTCATTCTCCTTCGGCTTTATTAGCAAAGTACCCAGAAATTCGATTTATCATCGACATCTCAAATGACATACCGCCTTATCGTGCTAGTGACTTTGAACACTCTCGCATTGAATATATCAAGTTTAAGACTGTCAGTAAGATTCCACCTACGAGAGAGGAAGTGGCCAAGTTTATCGAAATCGCGGATGCTTGCTGGGCAAAAATCCCTGATGGCCAGATCGCTGTTCACTGTCACTATGGGTTCAATCGAACAGGGTTCTTTATTGTCTGCTACATGATTGAGAGATTAGGTCTCTCTGTGCCGGATGCACTCGAGCATTTTAAACAAGCTAGACCTCCTGGAATTAGGTAAGCTTTATATTTCACACATAAGGACAGGAACTGATCCTTTTTACATTATATAGACATGCTCATTTTGTAGATGAACTTTATCTTCGTCATGTATTGAATCAACGATAGAAAAAGTATTTTGTATAGACTAATTTATCCCAATGTAAATTCAGAAAGGGGAAGAGTTTATTTGTAAAAAGAGATAATGAAAAAGGAGAATAAAAAGTAGTCCCTTGAAAAAGCTGATCTTTGCTTCCCAGCTTTTTTTGATGTACACACACATGTTTGCTCCTGAAAAAAAGAAATGTTAACTGTACCCTTTTGCAAGGAGCAGAGTATATAAGCATTTATTTCTTTTCTTCTTCTTTTTTCTTTACTTTCTTTATAATGCCTTGTCTGGGATCAAGAAAGAAAACCAGCCAAAAAGATTCGATTCATGGTAGGACAAGAGAGAAGCAAATAAGAACACAATAATCAATTTGTAATAGCATCAACTATCAAGCGATCCGAGAGCATCGCAAGTCATCAATCTGTACTGCAAATAAAGCAGGAATACCAAGAATTGAAATCCAAGGTGAGTCATTGTTATCTTATTTTTTGTCTTTGCTTATCTTTTTATTCTTTAGACCATGGAACAACAAGATACAATTAATAAGCAAATGGCAGAAATTGAGCAGCTGAAAACACAACTATCAGCCACCTCTACAGAGGCTCCTCAATTAGTCGAGCTTGAACAAAAGCATGAAGAGATGGCATCCGAACTTGCTGCCAAAGAAGCAGAGTTGGAAGAAACTAAAAAGGAAGTCGAGTCTCTAAAGGAGATGCTCGATTCCTTACAACAGGAAGGCAAGACAGCTCAACTTTTGGCTGAAAAGGATAGGTTATTGAAAGAAAAGGAAACCGAAATGGAGGCTATGCAACTCCAATGGGAAAATGAAAGAGCAGAGTTGGTCAAACCTGCCTTGGCACAAGTCACTTCTCAGCTGGAAGAACTCAAAGAAACTGTAAGTTTACAAGTACACAGTACATAAGCTGACATACATATAGAATAAAGTAGTCATGGAACGACTGAATGAAAAGGAAGATGAGTTAGCTGAGCTTCGAGCACAGCTCAACAGGAAGGACAGAAAACCAAAATCAGGCATAACCAAAGACCAGGAGCATCAAAGGCGATTGAATCGGTTGACAGTTGACCTTGAAAATGATCGTTTACTCATGCAAAAGTTAGAAGAACTCAACCATCAATTGGAAGTAAATACAGCTATCAATTTTTGCCATGCTTTTATCTTATCTTTTTATCCTAGGCACAAAAGCAAAAGCATGAGGCTATTCTCGAATCTCATGCCAAGGCGATGGCTGAGAAGGACAAAAAATTGGAAAAGTTAAAAAAGAACCATGAATCTGCCATTCGCGAATTAGAAAGTGCACAGGCTCAAAACTTGAACAAACTTCAACTCAAGTACGATAAAGACATTGCTCTTTTGAATCAACGACTCAAACAGGCAGAAAACCAGGCCAAGAGCAATATGGATGACGAAGTAAGCAAGATATTGCATGAGTTTGAGCAGTACGAGCATTATCATTCGCTCCAAGTGGCACATTTACAACAAACATATCAAGAGCAAATATCCGCCATGAAACAAGGACAGCAATCCGAACTACAGCAGCTCAGCAGTGACAAGAGCATCGTTTCTCCCAAGTTACGCAAGACAGGCGGGCCAGGTACTAAATTTAGATGGCCTGCTCCTGAAGCTTCTCAGTCTGTTGAGTTGCATCCTCGTGACCCCAAGGAAATCCACGTATATACTTCAAGCATCTCAACTAATTCTAAACTAAAGCAAGAAGAAGAAGATATCATCAAGACATTAGAGACTAACAGCATAAAGTTTAAAGTGATTGATGTCGCCAAGAGTGAACTTGCTTTACAACATATGAGAAAGCAGAATACTAAGTCTCGTGCCTTACCACAAATCTTCATGGGCGGCACGTATAAATGCGTAAGTTTTTTAGTTTTATAAAAAGGAGAAAAAAGAAGCTAATGTACAAAATATAGACATATGAAGAGTTTGCACAAGCTAAAGATGATGGAACCTTATCCCAACTTCTTATACAATCAACCTCACCCATGCAAGAGGCTGTCAATAAGCTCAACATAAAGACAAACAATTCTTATCTTCCAACACCTATTTCTACTCCTCCTTCTTAATTTAATGATGTGAATACAAAAATAGTTTACTTTTTCAATAAAAGAAAGGATCCTAATAACAACTCCCCACTTTACACAAATAGGAGGGATGTCTGCATGAATTTAAGGTCACAGTGGCTTATTTCAAAAATCTACAATTTTCCCTGAACCTTTCATTTTTTTTTTTTTTTACTCTTATATATACCACAAACAAATGCGTCCCTTAACCTCAGAAGAAACGACAACTCTTTTCGAGAAGCTTGCAAAATAGTAAAGTGTGTCTGTAAAGATATAGGCAGATATGAATGTTCTAATTTTGCATTATAGTATTGGATCCAACATTAAGCATTTAATCGACAGACCTGATGAGACGTATTGCTTCCGTTTACAAAAGAACAAAGTCTATTATGTCAGGTAATATAGATTATATACTTTTAGATTCGAGTTTTCTGAAATAAAAGGGTTATAGTGAATCTATGGTGAGAATGGCAGTGAGTGTGGGACGTGATCAGCTTGCATCAGTGGGTACTTGCTTTGGCAAGTTCACAAAGACTGGAAAGTTCAAATTACACATTACGGCACTTGATTATTTAGCACAGTATGCAAAGGTAAGGGATTTTATACGGTATATAAATAAAAAAAGCTAATGTCATTATATATAGTACAAGATCTGGATCAAACCAAATGGTGAAATGCCTTTTCTTTATGGTAATCATATTGTCAAAGCTCATTTAGGTAGAATTACAGATGACACACCTGAACACACTGGTGTTGTCATCTTTTCCATGTCTGATTCACCACTGGTAAGTGAACTCTTTGAGACAAATGGACAATCATTTTTAATGTGTACCAAAAATAGGGATTTGGTGTGACAGCACGATCAACAGTAGATATGAAAAGACTTCAGCCTACAGACATTATCGTGTTCCATCAAGCTGATGTTGGGGAATACCTTCGTGATGAAGATACACTGTTTTAATTATGGATTTGTAAAATATAAAATCAATTTTAGAGTTGTATAAAAAAATTTTTGTTCATGATGCCATTGATGACACTTGTCGTGTAACCTATGCATTAGTATGACATTACCATAGTTTCAGCCCTGAGTTATACTTTGTTAATACTTGTCCAATTCGATACAATCTTTTTTCTTTGATTGTTTCTTTTTTTTTTTGTTACTTTGTGGTAAAAAAGACCCATTTTTAGAGTGCCGTCTTCCATAAAAGGTAATCATGATGTTTCTATGACATCAATTTTTTATGCCGTTCACTCGGGATCGTTTTTTTTTTCTTACAGTAGATCAATTTTTTTTTGTTTACTGTCCTTTCTTTTATTCTTTTTTATTCTTTTTATTTGTGAAAAAAAGATAAACTACTTTATGTAAATAGGAAATGTTATACGTTTACATTGCATATTAATATTATACGTTGTAGATGGCTGAATTTGTTAAACTTTCGATTTTTGGTACTGTGTTTGAAGTAACTACAAGGTAAAACGATGAATAAATACATATAAAATAAACGCTAATACCCCAAGTATAGATATGTAGACCTACAGCCTGTAGGTATGGGTGCATTTGGTTTAGTATGGTAAGTTACAAGGATGAGGTATAAACTAGATATTAAAGACAGTATGTAGTTCTGCCAGGGACCAGTTGACTGGGATGAATGTGGCTATCAAGAAAATCATGAAGCCATTCTCCGCTCCAGTGCTAGCAAAGAGAACCTATCGTGAACTCAAGTTATTAAAAGCATTAATGCACGAAAATGTAAAGATGAATATGCTGTGTTGATGTTTAATGCTAAGATAGTTTTACAGATTATCAGCTTAAGCGATATATTTATTTCTCCCTTAGAAGACATGTAAGTCTTTAAAGTGAAAGGAAAAGACTTATGCTAATATACTGTAGATATTTTGTTACCGAGTTACTTGGTACAGATTTACATAGATTGCTTCAATCCAGGCCCTTAGAAAAACAGTTTATTCAATACTTTTTATATCAAATATTGGTAAAGCAGACAAAAAGAATATCCATAATCGAAGCTCATTAAAACGTGTTTATTAGAGAGGTCTAAAATATGTTCACTCTGCTGGTGTTATTCATAGAGATCTGGTAAAATGAAACTTAAGCTATATGATACATGTCTAATATGGAATCTAGAAACCAAGCAATATCTTGATCAATGAAAACTGTGACCTCAAAATTTGTGATTTTGGTTTAGCACGTATTCAAGACCCTCAAATGACCGGTTATGTGTCGACAAGATATTATCGAGCACCTGAAATTATGCTCACCTGGCAAAAATATGACGTTGCTGTGGATATTTGGAGTGCTGGCTGTATTTTCTCAGAGATGTTGGAAGGAAAGCCTCTGTTCCCTGGAAAGGATCGTAAGTATACAAAAAAAAAATAGAGAGAAAGAAAGAGAGAACAAAGGTTGCTTACATCATTTAAATAGATGTACATCAATTTTCTATTATTACTGAGCTCTTGGGTACGCCACCTGACGATGTCATTGCCACCATCTGCAGTGAAAACGTAAGATAAATACATGTCTCTGCGTATATTTACCAACATGTCTATAGACTTTGAGATTTGTAAAGAATCTTCCCAAACGTGAACCCGTTCCCTTTAGTCAGCGATTTGCTGGACAAGATCCTGAAGCGATTGACTTGCTAGAAAAGATGCTCACCTTTGATCCTCGTAAGCGTATTACAGCAGAGGAGGCCTTGTCTCATCCTTATCTTGCACCCTATCATGATCCAACGGATGAGCCTGTTGCGCCAGAAAAGTTTGATTGGTCCTTTAACGAGGCTGATTTACCTGTAGACACTTGGAAGGTGATGATGTATTCTGAAATTTTAGATTTCCACAATGTAGACAATACAGACACTATGAACTATTTAGGCACACCGCTTACCGGGCCAATCTTGGAAGGACAAGAGGCTGCCTACATGCAACCTCAGCAATAAATAGCATACTTTTATTTTGAACCTCAGTTTATATTACATTTTTTTGGCTGTTCTTTTTTCCCCTCTTTCTTTTCTTTCTTTTAAATGACATTAGAGCAGGAACAACAATTACTAGGGAACGTACCTGACGAACTAAAGTTAATACAGTGTATAGATATTATTCAGACCACCAATGACTTGAATACATGTCTCCAGGCTTTAAACTACTTGCGCGGAAAGGCAACCAAGCACCAAGACACCGAAGCAAAAACGAAACTCAGTCTGTTGTATACTGAAGATCACAAGTACATTACCAAAGATCCGGCCGAAGTGATTATTTGGTCGAGAAGTGTCTTTGACAAGCAGTTATCCCAGGCACTTTACCAATCCTCTAGCGCTTTTACAACCAGTCGTCACACAAGTGGAGTTCAAGTCATCCACGAAGGCACCGAGAACGACCCTAATCTGTGTTATTTAGCAGGTCTACTGTATACGAAGGGTATCGGATTTGAGCAAAGCCTCGAACGCGGTATTGCCTTGTTGAAATATGCAGCTACAGAAGGAAAGCTAGGAGAAGCAGCATGTGAGCTGGGCAGGATCTATGGTGACCGATACAAGTACTCGTACCATCAGTTTGCCGACTCTGTTTACTGGTTTGAACGAGGATTTGAATGTGGCAGCAATCAGGCAATTGTAGATCTGGCTTACAGTTTTTTTGAAGGAAGTCAGGATGTGCCTAAAGACGATGCGCGTGCGTTTCGGTATGCAAAGGATGGTGCATTATCCAATGACAAGTACTGTCAGTATATTGTGGGGCATATGTATTTGAAAGGTAGAAGCGTAAAGGAAGATGCGGCAGAAGCGATGAAATGGTTGGATGCATCAGCCAAGCAAGGATTTACTGTTGCCCTGGAAGAACAAGTGGCGGTCTATATGCATGGAGCAGGCAATGTTCCTAAAGATTACAAGAAAGCATACCAATGCTGTACACAGAGTATAGCAGCTAATATACCCTATTGCCAAGTATGTCTAGGGGACATGTACCGAAATGGATGGGGAGTGGAACAGGATTTTCATAAAGCGTTTGAATACTATCAAAACGCAGCATCCACGCAGCAGTCAGATATACCTTATTCACATGCTCAGCATATGATTGGAGAAATGTTCTTGCATGGTGAAGGCGTGCCCAAGGATTTGGCAGTGGCCAAGGAATGGTTTCAGATCGCGTCTACTCATGGCTATGAGCCATCTCAAATCAAGCTTCAGCAAATATCAATTTTAGAGCAAAATTTACTACAGCAGCAACGAGAAGCATTAGCAAACGGAGAAGGAACGACAAATCAAGAAAAGAGATCCAGTCGATGGTCTTTGGGCTTTTTTAGAAAATAAAGCTTATTACCATTTTTATGTATAAATGCTGCATTGACTTGATAAAGGAGAAAAGGAGGAGAAGAGGCAGGGTAAACAGGTCAAGACTAATGAGTGCTTGCTATGATAGGAATAAGTTACCTGTAGCTGTCTTTAGTGCTAAAATGATTTAAAAAAGATGCTGTGTCAAGTTGAAGGGTATCTGAAAATACACATCGGAGAGAAAACAGGACATGATCTTTTAATTATTGGCGTAGCTGACATAAGCTTAGAATATGAATTGTAAGGTAACATCATAAATTACAGTTCATGTCAAGCTTGACATATGTATCTTTACCTTCATTTAAATACTGTAGTCTGTCTTGGACTTTCAAAAGCTACATGAAATATTATAAGGCAAGGAGACTTTTGCAAAGAACATTTTTTAAGTCTCCTTTTTTTAAGGTCAATGGCTTTTAGTTGATCCATGTCACCGTTTCTAAAACAATCATTGTTAGGCGTTTCGATGCTTTACATGTGGTAAAGGCGATCGTAATCCTTGATCAAATAAAGTAATTTTTTCATTTACAGCCAGTGTAACCATCTGTTCACTTTCCTTCCTTTCTCCTCCCTTTTTCTCTTCTTCTTTTTTCTCTCTCTCTCTTTTCCCTATATAACGGATGGGCCCCTTTTCAGTTTTATCAAAGGCAACACAGCATACAAAAAGCACCTATAGTTCAAAAAGGTATAATTAGCCAAGTCGAGGTCCAGCACTAATAAAATATATAATAGTGCCAAAGTAATAGTAGACATAGACGAACCACTGGTAGAACCTAAATTTCCAATAAAACAATATGAATATATCGAAGGCCGAAATTATCGGCAGACTAAAAAACCCAGTGAACAATTTTTACCATGCGATGATGAAGAAATTGAGAGACTACAGATAAACCATTTACTATTCAAGTAAGCTCAACAATAACAAAAAAATCGAATAAAAAGTGATTGATGTCATGATAGATCTTTATTTATCACACCTTATTTCTCACCTATACAAGATCAGCTAAGGAAGGGCATTAAAGTGCTTGATGTATCGTAAGTGGTATGTTGTAAAGTCAAAAGCATATATATATCTTTTATACATGCATTAGTGCTGGCCCTGGTTGGTGGATAATGGACATGGCTAAACAATATCCGAAATCTCATTTTACGGCTGTGGATGCTGTCATTTATCCTATAAGGTATATTAATCAGCATATAATTTAAAATTATTATTAACAATAAAAAGTTGCCCGCCAGCCAATTGTCATTTTCGACTCATGGACATGTCAACTGGACTTGCATTTCCTGATAATACCTTTGACTACGTTACTCAACACGATTGTCTGTTTAGATACAGTCAACAAGATTGGGAAACAATGATACCAGAAATCGTACGAGTCACAAAGCCAGGTGGTTTTATTGAATTTGTAGAACTTGGAGGTTCCATACAGGATGTTGGACCTAACCTATCTATTTGGATGATGCGTCTGACAGTTTCATTACAGACAAGAAATATTAACCTCAAAATTGCCTCACAGCTCGAGTCAATGATACAATCGTTTGATAATGTTAGACATATAGAATCTTCACATCGTTCAGCGCCCATAGGCTGGTATGGTCGAAATGGTGATATCATGTTGGAGTGCATACAACGACTATTTGATTCTATAAAACCAAAATTATGTGAAGATTGGTCAATGAATTTAGCAAAATACGATAAAATGGTAGAAGCAGCAGCTGCAGAATGTAGAGATTTTAAAAGTTGGTGTAATATTCATTATACAATCGCACAAAAAAAGAAAAAGTGACAAAAAGACACGTCTATTCTTTAAATATAATAATATGTAAATTAGCTCAGCAATACTGAATAGTTTGACCAGACCTTTGCCTAATTCTTTTTTGGGAAGAAGAGGAAGTTTTGAGATTTGAAATCGTATGTTGTCGGCATGAGGCTCAACAGGCTGGAAGCCATAAACCGCATGGCCGTCTAAATTAATACTTGCGTTGCAATGATCAATACAAACCCCATTGTTTCCAAAAAAATTTCAACGACAATCTCTTGGTCCAGATTATGGCCAAGAAGACCTAGACTATCGGCTTCTGCTATAGTTGATCCAGCTGCATGTTTGAACTGGCTGAGAGTGATGGAGGTAGGTGAGATACGGAAAAAAGCTGTGTTGGTTGCTGTTCCTCTTCTCCTCTGAAACATGCGGATGGCTTTAGAGTTAGCGTCTCTTCTTTTCCTTCTTCACCCTTACTTCTTCGACCACTGCTCTTGATAATTATGGTGACGATTCATGGTCATTGTGCGTCATTTTAGTATCTTTATCAATTATTTTTATAAAGATAGCTACTTTGATCGTCAGTTTTTAATAGAAGTGGGCCGCTGTAAGATGTGCAATGCGTCAAAAGCAGAGAGCTTTTCATTCTAGAATAGGTTTTATTATTAAGGAAAACATGGTTAAATAAAAAGTTGTCAATCACTAACTTAATATTACAAGGCTATCCGCAGCTACTTTTCCTTTTTTCTTTACTTTACTTCAATATGAAGCGAAAGAAAAATAACGACTCGTCGACCCCAAAGACAAAGCGAAACAGAGGGAAAAGTATGTAATCTATAAAGTTGACGTTACATATATTAAGGGTTTATTAGCCGTCGATTGCGGGTTCACTTCTTTGTTTTCACAAACGCAAACAAGTTTATTCAAGGATACAACTTTTGAAGCAGGTGTGATGACTTTCAAGAAACTCCATTACTTAGAAAAGGTAAAAATAACACCTATTAGCTCCATCTGTTTTATAACTGGACGTTGTAATAGACAAGAACACCTGTGCTACTTTGAAAGCTATTAAAGAAGACACATCTGCTCCTGGTCCCTCAAATGTTGTCATCAATGAAAAGACATCTATGCTTGCATTCAACAGCGATACGAGCGTTGAAGCTGTATTACCTGCTCCTCCTCCTTCTACTAGCCGTACTTCTACTCCCCCCAAGACTTCTAAGAAACATCAAGACAAGGCTGATAAGAATGAAGCACTTAAAAAGGAGAAAGAATGTGTCAAATAATGAGAAAAAACAAGTACGACATCCTTCTTGTGGTGGAACCGATCACTTTCGCTCCTCCAACAAGTTGTGTCCTATGAATAAATCAAAAACGAAGCTTCCAAAGCCCAAGGATACCGTCGAGAAAACCTCTGTAATCAAGACATCTTTGGCTAATACTTGCAAATATCCCAAGTTCGTTACCTTGATTCAAGAAGTAGCTGACCACATTACTCAACTGGTATATGACGGATCCATTATTGCTATTTACTATTTCTTGGAGCTCCTCGAGAATGGTGAAGAGCTACCTGTTGCCACTCAAAATCTGTTTTATAAAATATTTTCCACCTTTGTTGGCCAAGAAAAACATGTCTTTGACAGTATCAAGAAGGGCTTCAAGACCTTTTGTGAATCTACTTCTCTTATTGAACCTGACTTGGATAAGTATGCAAGTAAAGGATATATGACCATTGTATCTCCTATAGCTAATCAATACGAGGCATTGGTTCGCAACTATGTATGCTCTACTTACGAAGACAGAACCCTCAGACGTATTATTAATGTTTTATCAGAAAAGGCTTCTCTTTACTTCTGTGGTGATACCGTAACTGTCAAACAGCGCAAGTCTTTAGCAAAACATGTCTTTCAACAAAAGATAAACCCCAAGTCCTCCTGGCCATCCATTATAGACTGAATTGAACGACATGAAGCCATTGCCAATAGCTTTCTTACTTACTGGTTAACGTACGATGCTCCCAATGATGCTGACGAACAAAATGTAGCTAATCTGTATGCCAAGCCTCAGTGCTACATGAAGTGGTTACACTTTATATAGAAGAAAATGGGCAAAAGAAGTTCATCAAGAAATGAAACCTCAAGACAAAGTATCAAGATCATTAAAAGAAAACACATTGACCGCTATCAATTCCAACAAGTCCTTGGGAATAACAAGCAAGCTGAAGAATACTGATAAAAAGGACATCGATGCTGTTCAAATCTTTATCAAACAGAACAAGCAAGAATTCAAGACAAGGCCTTCATGTCTCTCAAGTACACTGGCCATCGAGGATCAAAACACTTCTCTTTACCTCTCCTGTACAAAATTGATGCTGAATCTTCTGGAAGCTTGCCAAACAATGTGACAACAAGATCAAATCAGGTCAAAAGAGTGATAATGACTTAACTTTAGGTATTTTAATGTCTTTGATTTTTCAAAAATAGATTACAAGACGCTTGAAAGCTTGACTTCACGTCCAATGAAGTTTGTGTACGTATGCTTACACGTCTTTTCTTTGGTCTAAACAAATGCTGTTACTGTGGAAATGTGATCACAGCCGATGGTCATGCTGTATCCTTTATGTTTAAGAAAACTGTCTCCATCCAAGACGAACCTAGAAGAGAACCAAAGACACTCAAGGTTTTTGCTGATATAGTTGACGATGCAGAGATTTGGGCTGTTGATCCTGGTATATCAACTATCTTTTCTGCAGTTAACTCTACAGAACATGAACGTATCCAAACAACAAGCTTGGAAGAATACTATCATTTATGTAGTTACAGACTTGCTACAAGAAGACGAACAGAACATCAAGAGTGCCATTTAGATGAATTTAAGTATATCAGTGAATTGCCTACTTTAAAAACTGCAGACTTGAGCTCATTTTTACTAGCTGCCTCTACACGTCTACAAAACTATCAAAGAATCCATAGCTACTGCTGTCAAGATAAATAGCATGTCGCTCTCTTACATGGTGCGGATTTTAACAAAGCTGTATATGAAATAGGCCTCAAAAGCTAAGTTCAAGACGTGTATCAACAAGCAAAAAGGAACTCAAGAAATTGCTAAAAGGCTCTTTGGCAACAGCAAGAAGTATGGTACATCAAGCAGAGTTGGCGCCAAAAATCAAACCTCAGTCAAAAGCAAACATATACCTCTACCTCCTGCTGATCTCCCTTCCACATCTCAACGGAAGCGGATCATTGCATTCGGAAATGGTTCTTTTGGTTCACGTATGAAAGGCAAACGAGCTGCATTCATAAAACGAATTACCGAAGCAATCAAACGAAAATGCAAACAATCTAATGGAGGGGGATAGAATTTGTTTATGTTGGCGAGTACTTAACGAGTCAGATCTGTAACAAGCGTAACACGAAAGAAATGAACAATTTCTCTGTTTCTGGATCAAAACGAAGAGTACATGCTGTCCTCAAGTGTGAATCTTGTGGTACGGTTTGGAATTGCGATGTGAACAGTACATTAAATATATATAATATCTTTGTTTACAAATCAAAACATGACAATGAAAGTCTTCCTCTCTTCACAAGTCTTACAAAAGACTAATGGTGCTCCCTGAATTTAATGCGCTGTCTATAACGGCGGTGCATTCCTTAACGCTTCGATAAGTATAAAATGAGCAATATATTATTCATTAGTCATTAATCCTCTAGTTAGTTCAGCAATAAAGACACTTTCTCTATTATCGCACAACATGATACTCATAATAAACCCTTCGTTTTCTTATATGATATATGATATGTATTTTTTATATAAAAAATTTATATATTGATTTTTATCCAGATCCTCTTTTCTTTTATGTATAAACACATATATGCAGATAAACATATACGTGTTATCTTATACACGCACACACACACACACACACACGCACACGCACACGCACACGCACGCACACATGTATACATTTATATACATATATAATTTATACTTATTTTTTTTACAGGGCAACTGCTGCAGTAGTCGCTGTCACAGGTAATTCATTATTTGCCTCGTTGTTTCTTTTGGATTTCTTGTTTGTGACTGTATTGCTGTTGTTCGTACTTGTACTTGGCTAAGTATTAAAAATAATTTATATAATCAAGTATTTAAACAAGGTATTAATACGCATTGCCTTGCTTATGTTTGTTTACCTTTAGTGTTCTCTTTCCTGCTGTATTCGATTTCGTCAGCAAGTCCCTTGGTAAATCAGATTGGTGTATTGCTTCAACATGAACAGCCATATGCCGGCTATTGTACTCTGGCCATAATCTAAGTGTATTCTTAAACTCTTCAATCGGCACACATATATCAATCGTTAACTGCGCTTTGCCTGTGTGTATAAATATATGAGTCATAGGGAACACGTCTAGTTTTTGATTTAAACCTGCACGACGAATGTATAGTCCAATGTAGAACGTTTTTGAATAAATCATTTTCCCAGATACTGTACCATTATTTTTGCTGTCTGGTTTCCTTCCTAGACTCATGGCACTGACATCACTTGCACTGTTACATATATGATTCTCGCTAAAGCCATCTACAAACGGATGTACCAGCAGAATAGGGGGCACTGCTTCCAGCTTTATCACGAACTGCCTTATTCTTGCTTCCACTAGACCAGCCCATTTGAGTTGAAGATTGTAATCGTCTGCAATCACTGTGATCTGGAGGTATTGATGATACATTTCAAAGAATCTATGAGGTTGAAACAGTTGTGACCATGTCGCAGATCCAGCTATAATCTTCTCAACCATCTCAGCTGCTTGCTTCAGTTCGCCTATGATGATACGCTGCGTTGACGGTGTCACATTGTGCGTCGCGCACATACTTGGATAAGAAGGTGTAATGATCGGCATGCGATGACAACGATCAACAGGATTTAACTATATCTTTTGTTAGTTTGTTTACCCTTGCCTGTCCTTGTCACATACCTTTGGATTCCATGGCTTAATTGTAGGCACAATAGGGCCATCTTCTACTGCTTTTAATAGTACAGGTGATGGCCATGGCCAAGTGATGAGTATATGAAAAAATTTGTCAATAACTGTGCTTGCAGAGGCATTAGGATAGAGCTGACATATTCGAGCTACTAGTATCGCCCAAGCAACACCTCCTAAAAAGCCTAAAACATTTGAATAAATAGCTTTTCTAGTTGCCCATAATTTTATACAACGTAATACGGTCCTAAATGTATCAACATTAGGCACTAGGTCCAAAATATCGTCTGCTACTCTTGTTCCATTTAAGCTTCGAACAGAGAGTGCATCCAGATTTCGTAGTAGATTAGAATCTTTCAAATCAATATCTTCTGGTATCTGATCCACATTCAGTCTTGCACAAATAAAATCAATCTATTATTCATAAGTCATGGGTTTATAGCCATCAATAGTTCAACTTACAGGGATATCGTTGAATTTAAACTTGATGAGTGGTACATAAGCGTTGGTTACAGCCTATAAAGAATAAGAATATTGTGTATCTTTGGTAATAAATAACCTTACTGTAATATCTGTTATATGTTCATGTGTTTTTAACAGTTCAAGCATGACTGTAAAAAAGTCAATTCGATCCACGTATTTTGGAAAGACACATAGTGTGTCAATATCTGCATCTATAATGTGTATTTTGGTATTAGTTTTTGAAAGAAGTCATCTTCATATGTCTATACCTGTTGCGTTTACTCCTAAACGATAGCTTCCATATGTAAACACCTTTCCTCCTGCCTTTTTAGCTAATTCGATATAGCCTTTCTTCTCATAAACCATTTTAACAAATCGCTTAGTCAAATCATCCAGTGACAGGAGCACTTGACATCTAAAGTAATAATAAAGAAAAGAGTCAACAAGATGACAATTTACACAATCAAAAAAGCTACCTTTGCTGGGCTCTTTCTTCAGAATCATATAAACCATATATATTTAACGTTTTTTCTAATTCTATTGTTAATTGAGTATCACGTGGGCCTGGCTTCTCTAAAGACAAAGGTTTTGTAATGCCAGGGTATACTCTATTCTCTTGCGTTTCCGACATTAATGTAAAGAAGAAAAAAAAAAAGAGTTGTCATAAAAATGAGAGAGATATTAAGATGAAGTAACAGTCACGTTTACATTTCAGTCAGAAATAGCTTTTCTTTCTTTCTCTCTCTTTTTTTGTTCTGGTTAAAAAGATGACCGACAAACTTCCGCCTAATTTACTCAAATTATTTGCACCTCGACCACCATTACCTTATTATCCTCCTCTTGATAAAGATCCTTCAAAGCGCGCTGGTTGTAGAGTGACTGGCATCGCGTCCTATGTGCCAATGTTAAAAGACCATGATCCTGATTACGTGCCATGGAAATCATTGGCAGAAAAGCGCAAAGAAAAGGTATTAAGTCTATGATTATCATGTTAAATCTTACACTTTTTCTTTCTCTCCTTAGGCAGAAGCTAAAAGGAAAAAAGCAGAAGAGGATTTGCAAAAGGCGTTGGCTGAATGTAAAGAACAACGAAAAAAAATACATAATGAGAGTCTAACTTGTGTATTGGTAGATGATCCCGAGAAGGATGAAAATATCACTGGAGACCCTTTTAATACACTCTTCGTCACGCATCTCAGCCCTGAATTAACAGAAAGTGATTTACAAAGAGAATTTGAAGTTTATGGTCATATAAAGAAGGTAACAAAAAATGTCATGCAAGTAAAGCCATGTACTTATTTTTGTAGATTCGTCTTGTCCGCGATAAACAAGGAAAGTCTCGTTGCTATGCTTTTATAGAATTTGAAAGAGAAAAAGATATGCGTGGTAAGTGCGAGTTGTATGATGAGATATTAGATAGCTAAGGCCACTTTACAAATAGCGGCATATAAAGATGCAGATGGACTCAAAATTCTTGGACGACGCATATTAGTAGATGTCGAACGTGCTCGCACTGTGAAAGGATGGCGGCCTCGACGATTAGGCGGAGGGCTTGGTGGAAGAGAGCAAAAAGCTACTAATACAAATAGTTCTTACAAAGATCGTCATCATGACCGTGGCTATAACCGACATGGTTACAATAGAAGGGACGATGACAGAAAGAGATCACGCATGCGCTCGAGAAGTCGAAGCCCAAGAGGCTACAGGGACCGTGGGGATAGATACCGTGGCAGAGATAGGTCAAGAGACCGTCCTAGAAGAGACAGATATTAATCCATTGTTGTACATTTGAACTCTGCAGCAAAAAAAATAAAGAGTTATTTCATATGAAGTTACACACACCACCATATTTCCCACTATTTTTTCTTTCTTTCCTTCTTTCTCTTTATGTCAACGAGCGCAAGTGAGCAACGAATTGAGGAGATCACAAGTGCCTTAAAGGAACAAGTGGACAAGATACCCGAGAGACAGTTTATTCCCCGTCAGTTGGATAAGCTGTCATCAGAGTCCAACGGGAAACAATATAATCTAGAGAGTTCAAGTGCTAATCTGATCATCTCAAAGGGAGAAACAGTCATCAACACACTCAGTCCAAGAGAACAAGAAAGAGAAGGTAATATAATAAGTGCCCCATTTTTATTTATTGATTTGTTCCTAGATGAATTGATATTGGAGGGATACAAGCACTTGTTTGACAATCAATTCATGCAGGCAAAGGCTATCTTTGAAGAGAAGGCAGACAGGTACACATACATACATATATATGTTATCTTTTGTGTGCCCCATTTCCTTATTATTTCTATAGAGATCCGCTTAGTGCCCTGGCATTATCTACCATGGCATTTTTAAAAGGTAAATAAAAACAGGACTGCAATATGATGATGACTTATATATATATATATATGATAGCTATCATGGTAAAAGAAAACAAATGGAAGCAACAATGATCGTTTTAATAGGATAGTGCTAACGATATATATAGACTTGTGGAGAACAAGATCATAATATGGCATTAAAGGCACTACATACAACCTATGATATAGCATATTCACAAATAGACGCCTTTAAGCGGCCCTCAAAGGTGATGAGCTACTTTGCCGGATACTATAATTACTTGAGAAACAAGGAAGACATATCTCAGACAGCTCCCAGTAGTCGTCCTTCCACTGAATATCCTCCTAATGGAGTACTAAGAGCACATGTTGTCAAGGCAGAGTGCTCACTTCAGATTGCTATTTTAAACTTACTTCATGAATCAGTTTTAGACTATCTCAAGTGTGTTGTGTATTTGAAAAGAGGTATATACATATGACATAAGAAGGGAGCCATACTATAACTCTTCATAGCATACAATTCTTATAGCTATGTCTGGCAAGAGTATCAAAAAATGGGTGCAGACCATTCAACCTTTATGGATGCCAATACTATATCATGCCTTCAGTTTGGGTAAGATACAATGCATTCAGTAAGAGCAAAATATAAACATATTCGTAGTGTTGGTTCCGTTCATTTGATCTTATCTGCATTACCAGCAAAGGTTTTGAATGCCATTTATGCTTTTGGCTGGAAACCTGATAAACAACTAGGCTTTCTTTTGTTAAATCAATGCGTCGAAAGTAAAGGAGTGAGGTCTTCAATGGCCACTGTGATGTAGGATTCTAAATGACAAACTGTGTAACCCTTCCTGTCTAATGCTTTGTATTCAGGATGCTGACATATTATTCACTTGCCATATCATCTGCCCCGCGTATTCTCTCAGACACATATAAAAAGACAGCCATGAAGGTATATTAAGAAAAAGAAAAAAAAAGAAAATGGACTCTCATCGTGTTCCGAGCAGATGCTATTAGACGCTCAACAGCATAATACAAATTCTGTTCTTTACCTGTACTTTGCTGGCACCATGGCTCGCCTTGGCTCAGACCTGCCATTGTCGACACAGTCTTTCTTACATACAACAGAACTAAGTCGTAAAGAATGGGCAGAAGTAGCCCTTTCGAATGCATGTCGACTTGAAATTGCCATTAATCACATGATTACAGGTAATTGGAGCCATGCTGCCAGTGCCTTCAATTATCTGTTTGAGCAAAGATACGGGTCTCCTGCGTTCTATCGATATATGCAAGGTGCTTGCTATGAAATGATAGGAGAGAGAGCACAGGCTATTATCTTGTTTGCAGAGGTTCCCAAGTTGGTAGTCAAGAAGTTAGGTGGTCGCTTATCAGATATAGATGCCTATGTGCTTCGTAAGGTAAACATGTTTCAGAAGAGTGGATTTCAAAATTTGGACTTTTTTGTGCCTGCACTGGAATATATGTCTATTTGGAATCTGCTTCCTTACATGACACATGAATTACTTGAGGTATCATTGGAACGACTCAATCGTGGGCTGACTGCTATTCAAAAATGCGAAGAATTAGAACAGGAAGAACGAATGCAAGAAATCGCTACAGAGAAACCACTGCCAGATTATTTTAATGAATTCGCTTCTCTTTTCGTAGTCAAGGCAACCGTTTTAAATATTCTTGGTCGCCCAGAGGAAACGGCTTTGGATCTAAACTGGGTTATTGATCATCAAGATTGTATCTTGGACGATACTTGGACTGTACCCTTTGCCTTATGGGAGGCAGGTATTTCATGCTGGATACTTGACACTAAAGAGAAAAGCCAGCAGGTCTGGAAAAAGGCAGTAGACTATAGTCGATTTGACTTTGAACATCGATTGGCTATCCGTTTAACATTGGCTCTTACTCACATCGAAGACTTCACAAAGGAACAAAGCTAAAATATATATTTCCTTTTTTTTTATTCAAATAAAGTCTAAAACTGCGCATCTGCAATTTGGCCCTCTCGTAAGGCTCTTTCTTCAAGATATATTCCTCTTTCGGTCCATTTCCTTTTATTCTGAAGGTTGTTTAATGCATTGTTCATCTTTTCCTTTGCTTTTCTTTCTTCTTCTTCTTGTTGTGCTCTAATTTCATAAAATTCTGCAGTAGCTTTGGCATAAGCTTGTCTTTCTGTCATGTTTTCATGTGTCATCAAATGAAGTTGATACTTGATCACACTACACAACGGTTATTAATACTTTTCCTTTTTTTTTTTTTCTTTCTATCATGTAAAAACATACGCTTCACCATCGATTTGAGAAGGATGCATACCATCCAACATGAGTTTACGGTAGTCAGTTCGATTAACGCCTAATTCGTTTTCAACCAAAACCTTGGGCCTTGCGAGTTCAAAAGGATGATCTTTATAAAACTGCTTTCTTAATCTATCTTCGGGATACACAATAGCGCGTGGTCTAGGTGGAGGTGTACGTAAATGCTTTTGAGAGTAACGTTGTCTGTTGGTTGTCTTGTGTGTAGAGAATAAGTTCTTTTCAATGTCTGTTTGTCCAGAGACATTGATTTCTTCATTTTGAGATCGAATGACACTTGGTCCAGGAGGAATGGACTGTACTACGGGAAGCCATACAGGAGGCTCCTTCAATAGACGTCCTTTTAACAAGCTGGATACATGCTTGGCAATTTTGATAGGTGCTGCACGATATGCCATTTTATATGTTTGTGAAAAAAGGACCCCTACTGTTGAAAAAGGGGATACTTTTGTACCACGGTCTATTGATACTCCGTGGTGGCTTGCGTCCAGATCTGCAACTGTGAGCCAAAGCCTCTACTTGCTTCATTATTTACAGCTATAGGTACACAAGTATACACATACATATATAAGCACCTTTTAATACATTCAACTGTGTGATTGCTATTTTCATTGCATATTTGTTTACCTGAAAGGCTTGATGATCCCTTCTTCGTCTCTCACTTTCTGACGACAGCGCGGGGTTTCCCTCACGTGATACATCTTATTCATATTCCTGTTCTATCACTGGTGGATGATTGCATATCACTTTCTTCTCAATGACAGACTTTCAAAGTTTATCGTTAGATTCAAGGAAAAGTCCATCAAAGACTAAACAGTCATCTCACTTTTCATCACCCAATCCTACTTGCAACTCTTCTAACGAACATTCTAATTTGATGGAAAATGACAATATGGTATATATATTTGACTTGTTTTCTAAAGTAAAAACTAATCCTATTAGATAACTATGGGAAAGTGCATGTGCTGTAATAGGTAGATATTGACCATTATTATTTTATTATTTTCTGACAACCTCCCCCCCCCCCTCAACAGTGACCTCAAATACCCTACTGTCGTATCACGATTTCGATGCCCTGCTTGCGATACCATCAATGACCTTAAACCTCATATCCGAGATCAAATAGGAAATCAACCACTTACACTTAGATCTTTAAAAAAGGCAGTCAACGAGTGTAAGCAAAGGGAAAAGACGAAAAAGATGAAAAAAATTAATTTGGGTGATAAAGAGCGAGAAGAGATCTATGAGCCAATTGAAAAACTGCTTGAGACAGTATTTAGTAGCTGGGTCAGCTTGAATCATAGCTTCTTGACTGTAAAATTATCTTTCCTTTTTCATATTTTGTGTTATTTATATCAATTTTGAATAGGAAGAAGAAACAACGCTAGAGACAAGCGGGATTGATATGAATGAAGTGCGAGATGCATATAGAATCATCTTGAGTCTGGTAAAGAGAATGCATAAATGCATATAAATGTATTGAACTTGTCACCTAGCCTGTTAATGTTATACGAGGCATGATGTCTGCAACCGATCGCTTATTGAAACGACCAGCTGTTCCACTAAGAAGAATGAATGATATCCGATTTTTATTAATCATACTCGAGGTAAATAACAAAAAAAGTAGAGTAAAGAACAGTGTAATAATACATATTTAGAATCCATTGTTAGCGCAACACAATTTCCCTGCAGAGACAAAATATCATCATAACCTATTAAAGCGCATATTTGGTATTCTCAGCTGCCTTAATCATGAATGTCACCATGCATTAATAAAATGGTTTACAAGGTAAAAAAAATACAAGTGAAGCATATATATCCAAAATAGCTCATGCTGAAATAGATACCCCGTCAAAGAGTTTAATGCCAAGATCGAGTTGATACATGCATTCTTAAGTCATCGGATATCTCGAGCAAGAAAGAGCCATATGGCATTACCTACATCATATGAGTCTGATTGGAAAATGGCTAGCGCGGCTCGAGTCATGGCACTCTTGTGTAATTATGCCCCTTTCATTGATCTAACTATAACCTTTTTAACACATACTTTAGTTACAGCAAACAATCAAACAAATAAGGTGCCCATATGCAGTTTCTATAATACTATGGTAGACTATATCAATCTTATGGGGGACTTTGAACTATGGCAATCCGTTACTAGAAAATTTGCGTTTTGTCAATACCCGTTTCTGATTAGCATGGGATCGAAGATGAAAATTGTAGAGTTTGACGCAAAACAGCAAATGGAGACGAAATGGAGAGAAGCATTCTTTAACATGTTGTTCTATCAAAAGTTATCTATGCCGTATCTAATCCTGAGAGTTTCCAGAGACAATCTAATTGAGGATTCTCTAAGACAAGTAAGCAGAATCATTCTTTTTTGTTTGTTTTACTCATTTCTCTAGTTGGCACAAAACGAACTCGATTTAAAAAAATCACTTCGCATTGAGTTTATCGGTGAAGAAGGAGTGGACGCTGGAGGTCTAAGAAAAGAATGGTTCCTATTACTTGTTCGATCCCTATTTGATCCACAATATGGTATGTTTACTTATGATGAAGATTCAAACCTCTGCTGGTTCAACCCGACAAGTTTTGAAAACGAAGACCAATTTTTTCTAGTTGGCGTTGTCTTGGGATTAGCCATTTATAATTCGACTATTCTAGACGTACATCTGCCTACTGCTTGCTACAAAAAGTTACTAAGCATGCCTGTCGGATTGGCCGATCTGGGTGAGTTTCGTCCTGCGCTCAAGAAAGGATTTGATCAGCTACTAGAGTTTGAAGGAGATGTTGAAAATGTGTTTTGTTGCTCTTTTGTGGCAGAAATTGACAAGTACGGTCAGAGAATATGTATACCCCTGATATCAAATGGCGAAAATATCATGGTCACAAAAGAGAACAGACAGCAGTTTGTATCATTATATACTGAATTTGTGCTAAACACAAGCGTCGAACGACAGTTTGGAGCGTTCAAACGTGGATTTTATCATGTTTGTGGCGGAAATGCTCTTTCGGTAAGTGAAGATGATAGAAAGTACTAAACTAATATGAAAAAAAAAAAAAAGCTTTTTCGACCTGAAGAGATAGAGCTACTTATCAGAGGAAGCGATGAACCATTAGAAATTGACGATTTAAAAGGACAAACAGAGTATATTGGATTCGATGAAAATGAAGAAACAATAGTGTAAGATAGAATGACACAAAATAATGATTTGCTCACACTTGTTAGTAACTTTTGGAGCATCATGAAGGCAATGGAGCCAAAGATGCAACGTAAATTACTCATGTTTGTAACTGGAAGTGATCGTATACCAGCAACAGGTGCAACTCAGATGCACCTCAAGATCACCTGTGGTAACAATGGAGATAGCGACAGGTAAAAAAAAAAGGTGATCAAAAGAGAATTGAAATGGAGATTAAAGATGATGATAGATTACCTTCTGCGCATACATGTTTTAATCAACTGGTATTATATAAATATCATACAAAAGAGAAGCTAAAGAGAATGTTATATACGGCCATACTAGAAAGTCAAGGGTTTTATGTAAAATAAGTAAAGAAGAAAAGAAAGAGAATTATCTTGGGATTATCTGGCTATCGATGTTATCGATCTCTGTGTTTCTTTTTTAGTGTAAATAAATGAATTTGTGTATTTAATGAATACGTATGTAATATATATTCTTTCTCCCCATTTAATGACTATATATAAAAGTGGGCGATATTCACATCTATGACATCAAGCTATATGAGTTTAAATGAGCTTATCGCAGTAAAAAAGATCATATACATTCGTCACACCTCTATTTGACATGTAAACCCTTCTTTAAAAATTAGATAACCGCTACCTTATAAATATTAGTCCTTTTTTTAGCTTTTTTTTCGGTTTTTTTTTTCTGCGTCTTGTAAAAAAAATGCTGTCTCAAGGCTTATCTTTCATCATCTTTAACGCGTCAAATCAACAAGAAGTACAAGAAACTATCAGCTTTTACGAAGCTATAGGTTTTCATGTCGTGTCTGATAAGGCATATAAAGAAAGAACTGTCTGGCTAAGATCAAAATCAAATACAACCATTCAACTTGTATTAAACAGTAAAGCAAAGAAGCAAGCTAAGCCAAGCACAGACAGTGACTGGTCGTTGGAAGAAATTGCTCTTGCCTTCTATACAGAAAATCTTCAAGTAAGCCCATGGTTAAAATTTTTATTTATGCTTCTTTTATCTAAACCTATTTTTAATTGTAGGAAATCAAATCAAAGCTTACTAATACTCCTGTACAGGATCATAGTAAGGATGGTGACTTGAAGCTATACGCAATAGATCCTCTCAACAATGTAATCGTGTTTACCAACAAGGCAATCGAAATTACCAACAACGCGGTTGAAGCCATCAACACGGCCATTACCGCTAATTCTCAAAAGAAACGTCAAAAGATTGCCGTACTCACTTCAGGTGGTGATGCTCCTGGTATGAATGCTGTCGTTCGCGCTGTCGTTCGCTATGGTATCACTAAAGGATGTGATATCTTTGCTGTCTATGAAGGTTATCAAGGTATGCATATATTCCCGCTTCTTCCCATTTTTTTTATCAGTAGTCCCTAACTGAGTTTCAAAGGTCTTGTGGACGGTGGTGACTTGTTGAAAAAGATGGACTGGAAGAGCGTACGTGGATGGCTCGCTGTGGTAAGTTTACAAACATGGGGAAAATAGCTTGACATTGAGACAAATGAATCCAATATAGGGTGGTACTACAATTGGTACAGCTCGATGCATGTCATTCAAAACGCGGGAGGGTAGACTTCAAGCTGCAGAAAACCTGATCAAGAATGGTATTGATTCACTTATTGTATGTGGTGGTGATGGTTCACTTACAGGTGCTGACCTCTTTCGATCCGAATGGAGTGGTCTGGTCAAGGAGTTAAAGGAAACCGGCCGTATCAATGTAGAGCAAGCTGAGACATATAAGCATTTGACGATTGTTGGCCTTGTCGGATCCATTGATAACGATATGTCATCCACTGATATTACCATCGGTGCTGTCACATCGCTACATCGTATTTGTGAAGCTGTTGACTCAGTCTCTACCACCGCTTTATCTCACTCTCGTGCATTTGTTATTGAAGTCATGGGACGTCATTGTGGTTGGTTAGCCCTGATGGCCGGTATCGCTACAGGAGCCGATTTTGTTTTTATTCCTGAAAAGCCACCACAAGAAGACGATTGGGAATCAACCATGTGCTCTGTGATTGAACGCCATCGAAAACTTGGCAAGCGAAAGACTGTTGTTATTGTGGCTGAAGGTGCCATCGACAAGAATCTGAATGCGATCAAGGCCGACCATCTCAAGGATATCTTGACGAATCGTCTAGGCCTAGACACACGTGTCACCATCCTTGGTCATACGCAACGTGGCGGCTCTCCTGCTTTCTTTGACCGTCTCTTGGCTACTGTGCAATCTATCGAAGCTGTAAACGCCGTGCTGGAGGCAACGCCTGATGCACCCTCACCCATGATCGGTATGAGCAACAATAAGGTCACTCGTTACCCTCTGATGGAAGCTGTCAAGTTGACGCACGAGGTAGCTGAAGCCATCTCTCGAAAGGACTTTGCTCACGCCATGGCCCTTCGTGATCCTCAATTTGCTGAAGAGTATGAAGCATACAACGCCACCACCATCTTGGACGATAACTCAATGGGCTTACCCAAACACAGACAGATGCGTATTGCTGTTGTTCACGTGGGTGCACCAGCAGGTGGTATGAATGCTGCTACTCGTACAGCCGTCCGATACTGTCTCAACCGTGGTCACACACCCATTGCCGTCTCTAACGGTTTCGCAGGTCTCGCTCGTGGTAGCATGAAAGAAATGAGCTGGATGTCTGTCGACGGCTGGACGGACCTAGGTGGATCCGAATTAGGCACAAACCGAGCTGTTCCAGGCAAGGACATTGACATGGGCATGATCACTTACCAGCTTCAGCAACATCAGATTCAAGGCCTTTTGGTCATTGGTGGATTTGAAGCCTATGCCGCTCTTGATCAACTGCAAAAGGCACGTCAACAGTATCCTAGTCTTCGTATTCCAATCACTCTCATCCCTGCCACTATTTCCAACAATGTTCCAGGTACAGACTACTCTCTCGGTTCTGATACTTCCTTGAACTCTATTGTTGATTCTTGTGATGCTATTGTTCAGTCAGCACAATCGTCACGTCGTCGTGTGTTTGTTGTGGAGGTTATGGGTGGTCGTTCCGGTTACTTGGCAGTCGAGGCTGGTCTTGCCGTTGGTGCCAATACGGTCTATATCCCCGAAGAAGGCATCAGTCTCTCTCGTCTTCAATCTGACGTGAACCACTTGAAGGCCATGTACGCAGATGATGATCCAGATCGCTCTGAGGGCAGAATCATTCTCCGTACAGAAGATGTTTCCAAGACGTACACAACTGAAGTCATCTCAAATATACTCAAGGACGAAGGCGAGGACATGTTTGATTCTCGTACAGCTATCCTTGGTCATATTCAACAAGGCACGTCACCTTCTCCCTTGGATCGTATCCGCGCTACCCGTATCACTGTACGAGCTATCCAGTTTATTGAAACCCATGCATCCGAAGCACTTGATCAGGCACAACAAGCAGGCAATGCCGCCCCTGTTGAACTGACCAATACCAATCAATCAGTGACAGTAGCTGGCATTCACGGAAACTCAATTGTATTTAGACCTGTGGCTGATTTGATGAAAGAAACTGACATGAAAAATCGTAAGCCTTATAATGCATGGTGGGCAGAACACCGTCCTATTATTGATCTCTTGGCTGGCCGCGGTCTTTTTAGTACCTCTCAATAATTTATTATATAGAAATAGAGTATTTATCTATTAAATCAATATAGAATATGTATTAAATAATCCTTCTGTTATGTAATCTATGGTTCTTCTAATCCATGTACTCCAAAGTCTAATACAACCAATTGTGTCGCTCCATCACTAAGTAACAAACAGGTTAGATTACTATAGACCTATTTTCTTTCTTTACTTTACTTTTTGACAGCAGCAATACATCTTCTTTCGTTAAATGAGATGCGCCAAACACTTTGCACGTCTTGTATTAAATCATGCATGAGTTCGCCTGTCTGTGTATTCCACATCTTGACGGCACCTTCTGACCCTGATATGATTTTGTACTGGTCATGTTGAAATGCGGTGATCGGCCCTCGGTGACCGGCAAAGATACGGCGACGATCACCTGTGGCAGGGTCCCACGTCCTGAGGGTGTGATCAGCGGCAGCACTGACTAAGCAATCGTCCACTAAACCGATCAGTCCGACCAAGACAGCGTGGCCTATAAATTTATCCATGTGATTAAAACGGTCATATGATAAAAAGAAAATATACCTTGTAGCACAAATTTACACTCTCCATCGTCTAATCCCCATATTCTTACTGTAAAGTCCATACTTCCGCTAATACAGTGCTTTCGTTTAGGATCGATAGCCACACAATAAACTTTCATTGTGTGTCCTTTGAGTATATGCTTTGATCGACCTGTGACTAGATCCCAGACAATGACCATATAATCGTAGCCGCCACTGACTAATGTATTACCGTGAACAGCGATATCTCGTACAGCGTTTTCATGTTCTTTTAGAGTATATTTTAAATACCTCCTCGAGATAAAGTCATCTTCGACTGCATCAAAAAGAGGAAGAGGTAGATCGTTCAAGTTGGGTAATTTCCAAACACGGATGGTCATATCTCTGGAGCCGCTGATGATGAGTGGCTCACTTGGTTGTAGCCGATTGTCTATCATGGTAGGCATAACAATCTTTAGACAGCGAACGGTACTGGTATGTCCGCGAAGGACAAAGCGACAGAGGCCCCGCTTGATGTCCCACACACGTACAGTGCGGTCAATGGATCCTGTAACAAGTGTGTTGCCGACGTACTCTAATGCCCAAACATCGCCTTCATGCCCCTCCATAACATTTTTTAGTTGGCCCGTGTTGATGTCGTACAAATGAATTCTGTGGCTGTCGGCAAATCCAGTAATGATCTTTTCATCGTCGAATTGCAAGCAAGTAATCAGACGACCTTCATGGCCCTGTAGTAGCAGCTTGCGGTGTTTATTCTGTGTCCAGTTACGTCGCATGATCGTATGTCGACGGACGATGGCCTTGTAAGGGTTGGTGACAGAGTGAAGGATACAATATTCCTCTTTTAGAGACGGAGTAAAGTTGTTCTCGATCATTTTCAATCGCCAGGTCTCTGTTGAATTATCAATGAGCTCTCTCCATCCATGGCTCACGCCAGAGGCCCGACAGAGTGAAGGTATATCGAGAAAGGAAAGTATGAGATGTGCAATCTTGATAGGCACCGACAAGAGAATATCTTTCCGAGTACAATCGAGAATACTGTCCCTTACCACTTTGAGTGTATTTCGATGAGATCTTTTCAATAGTTGAAAAAGGGCATAAGTCTGTATTTGCTCGGGTAAAGCATCAAATGTGTCTTCCATTGTTTCTACAGGCCAATCTTGCTCTATATCCGAGATGGGTGAAGGTAGTGCAGAGTTGGGACTTTCGGGTATGATGTCGTCAGCATAGATATCTTGGTCCTCATCCTCGTCATTATCGACTTGATTAATTAGCTCAGTACGTTTACAACTTTTTTCATTGTCTTCTTCTTCCCAAACAGAAGCTGTTCTTTTTCTTGTTGACAATGTCTTTATTTATATAAGTATAAATATAAATAAAAGAGGCTGTATATAATAATACTTACATTGATTTCTTCAAATGTACATGGTTTGCCATTCATTTCAAAATTAAATCTTTTTAAATGTAAAGGTATCTCCGTTGAAGCTAAAGGGTATAATGGACTTGATTGTAATGAAGGAAGTGTGATTGTACTTGTAACTGAATGAGATGCTGATATATTGTTATTACTACTACTATTTAAAGTACAAGGACTGGTATTCGTATGCTCAGACGGTATAAATTCATTATTTCTGGCTGTATTATTTGTATTTTGTTGACTTGGGGAAGGTAATGGAGAAGATAGTTGCAATTCAGTTATTGAAGTTGGAATATCTCTCATTTAATAAGTAAACAAAATAGAAAAAAGTGCATCGACAGAGTTTGAAATGTTGACTAATGAATAGAAAATGATTGGCTGATTTTTTTTATTCCCCCAGGTTATCAGATTCTTTTTTTCTTCTTCTTCTTCTAACGAGGGGGATGTCAAATAACAGCAATAATAATAATACAACTATAGAAAAATTGATATCAGCTTGTGCTGGTGCTTTGATTACTTCTCTTATGGTGACACCTATGGACGTCATCAAAATGAGATTACAGACACAACAACGTACAGTTCCTAAATATTGCTGTACTGCCCTGAGTCAATGTAATCTGACTCAACCCATGACTTTATTAAAGAAAATACCCTTTAAAAAAACCAAGTTGCAAATGGCCAATATTCATGAATGTGCCATTGCACAACAACAACCTTTGATATTTAGAGGAACATTTGATGGCATATACAAGATAATAAAGTATGAAGGTGTCAAGGCCCTTTGGAAAGGATTATCGCCTGCACTTGTCATGTCAATACCTGCTAACGTGATATACTTTGTTGGATACGAACAATTAAAAGATTCTATACCTTCCCAAGACTACGCACCATTGATAGCTGGAGCGGTTGCACGTACAGTTGCTGTCACCATGATATCACCCATCGAATTGTTTCGCACTAGACTTCAAGCGACTGTAGGTGCTCATGATTTCAAAAGTAAGCTTATATACTTTGTATGTAATACACTTATTAACTGTTCTCTCCATAGATATTTTGGGAGGAATAAAAGATATGGTCGGTCAGGATGGATTGAGAGCATTATGGAGAGGATTACCGCCTACATTATGGAGAGATGTACCATTCTCAGCTATTTATTGGATGGGTTATGAAACATGTAAAAAGCAATTTGAATCAAGTGTAAATGAACTTGAAGCATCATTTCTGGCAGGCGCTGTTTCTGGCATGGTAAGGTTTATTGTTGATTATTAATAGTATGTACTTATCATTCACTAGTTTGCTGCGGCAGTAACAACACCTTTTGATGTAGCCAAGACAAAGAGACAAGTGAATGCGACAGGACATGTCAAGGTACCTGAGATACTTGAACATGTTTATAAACAAGAAGGCATTCGAGGCTTATTCAGAGGCTTGACTCCCAGAATAGCTAAAGTGGCTCCATCTTGTGCGATTATGATCAGTACTTATGAAATGGGTAAAGTTTTATTTTTATCCCAACATGAGTCCTTGTAAATATATCTGCTTTTTTTTTGTAAATTATTTGAAGTTTATTTAATATATTTATATATAATGTTTATATATACACACACACTTTCTTCCTTTACAATGGCCGTCTTAATTGCTGCAGTAAGAGTTCTAATTCATGTATTCTTTGCTTATGTTGATATACATCATGTTGCAATTTCCTTATTTGTTCTACACTTTTGCGTAGTATTGTGCCTTTGTTCATCTTGTTTTCTTCTGCTGAGTCAGGTAAAAGTGTTCCAAGTTCTTGTATTCTTTCATTAATATTATCCCTTCGTCTTCTTTCAACTACTAAGTGTTTATTATTTGTTATATTGTCTATTAAATCATTTTACCTGCATTATGCGATTCTCTTCGTCTGCGTCTTTTTTCCATAATGGCTTGCATACTAAATAAAACATATAAATAACAAAAGAAAAAAAGAAAAAAGAAAATATATATTTTTACTTGGCTTGGTTTATGTATTCTTCATCAAAACTATGACTATCATCCTTTTGTTGTTGTTGTTGTTGGAATAAGTCATTATTTTGAAACGAAGAATAAGATGATGATGCTCTTAATCTGCCATTGAAATACATGGGTTGCCCCTGAGGAGGAGAGGAAGAAGGGGATTTTCTTGGATATAAATCGTCAAAGACATAGTTATCTTGGTAGAGTGAATCATTATTAGAATAATTCAAATGATTGCTTGAATGTTGAGCTAGCAAGTTAACAACAGAATCATTTGGAATGTCTTTAAATGTAGAATATGTCATGGGATTCATTAGCCGTGATTTATCGCTTATAACCGAGTAATTCATTATATAAAGAAAAAAGAGAAGATTTACGGAATGAAAACGCGCGCGGGCCAAGTCCTTTTTATATAAAAAGGTAGTGTCACTTGCCTAAAATGGCGGGTCATTCACACTTTGTTGTACAACAGCAAGAAAAGAATGTTTAGATAAAACTAGTTTCATCTATATTTGAAGCAAACCAAAACAAAAAGGGGGAAATAATATGTCATTCATCTTTTTTCCTATTCGTTACCATAGCAACAGATGGTCAAAGCGAAAAAGAAAAAGATTGGGGGATGAATAAGCACGGGACTCTACTTTTTCCATAAAGAAAATCGGAAAAAGTAAAAAGGTTCTTTGTTTTCAATAGGGGAAAGTCAAGATTGGAGAAAATGAGTCATGGGTCTTTTGTAACTTTTTGCTTTTTCTGTTACAAATTAACCTTTTAAGCAAAACTAAAACGGGAATTCCTGAAACTGTTTTTATTTATTTACACAATCTGTAACCGTCTGTGTAAGTTGTAATTTGCATAATTATTTACACTTTTTTAATCTCCTTCATCAAGAGAGATTGCCTCTGTATCAGAATCTCCTTCATGATAGAGTGTAACTACGAAACAATTATAGTCTGATTATATAAGAAATATATCTAACTTACCAGAATTGAATTTGGCAAATGGATCCTGCAGTGACAAAGGTATACATCTCTCTTCTTCTGTTATACTTGATTCTCTACATTCACTTTTTTTTTGACAATAGAGAGGCACATCAAAATTACTTCCAGGTATAATAGGAGGTGTCATATGTCGTAAAAGAGCAAATTTGATCGGTTTAAAAAATGAATGAGCCTTGACTTCGGATGCTCCTGCTTTAGATCCTAACCTCCTATTTTCTTGCTTTGCAAGTAATTGCTTTATAAGTGATTTACAATGATAAGATACCGCCTGCGTCTCTTTATTTCTTTTAGTCGTTGGGAAGCTGATATCCATTTTTATAATGTTGGAGAATGTCTCATTTCGATTGTATCCCTTGAACGGTGTTGTACCATACTAAGCAAGGGTAACGTTAGATCGATACAGATACATGCTCTATAGTCTTACTAGCATCTCATAGATCAGAATGCCTAATGTCCACCAATCGACACTGCTGGTATGTCCCCACCCTCGAATAACTTCAGGTGCAATGTATTCTAATTAATTTTAATTAAAATAAAGGAGTGCAAGTGGGATCTTTGTATTACCCTCTGTGCCCACAAAACTATTTGTCCTTAATTGTGCTATGCATGATCTTGTATCCACTAAGGGTGGCTAACAACAAAAAAAAAACATTTAATATATAAATGCGCGCCTATTCATACGACTTACAGCATTAGGAGTACTGTAGATCCCAGGTGGGCTTACAGGCAATGATTGTTTACTGAGGTCAAAATCGGCCAGCATCAAATGCCCACTTTCATGGAGCAGGATGTCTATATAAAGAAATTATTACTCTCTCTCTATCTCTCTCCTCTTTTATTTTAACATCAAGTTTTTGGCTTTACTTACTCTCTGGTTTTAAATCTCGATAAATGAAGCCTTGAAGATGCAAATATTCTAATGCTGATATTACTTCAGCAGCATAAAACCTTGCCTCATCTTCACAAAGACATTTTCCAGGCCATGATTGTAATGCTCGAAAAAACTCACCTCCTGAGCAATACTCCATGACGAAATAGACATGATCTTGACTTTGAAATGAATGGTAGAGTGATACAATGAAGGGGTGGTTCGCACTTGACAATATCTCTTGTTCTGCCAAGACTCGCTTGACTTTATTTCGACGTACCATTTCCTTTTTTGATAAAACTAGATTATGCCACATTAGCTAGTGAATTACACATGATAAACCATACCTTTCATTGCCATAAGCCTATCTGTCCCCTTTTGCTTTACGAGATAGACCTTGCCTACATCTCCTTTGCCTAGTAGCCGTATCTTTGTGAAACTATAGTCATATATCAGATTGATGAATATGACTACACTCATTTTTTTTTTAACCTGCTCGGACCCACTTCCACTTGTCTGATCTTGACACTATTGGCAGCATACGACCTTCGGTTCATTCTCTTTGATAGATTTATTTTTTTATCTTCGACCGAAACGATTGTGGTAGCTAATGACGCCGTTGTAGATGAATAGCTCTTTTTTCTGTCATATGTAAACCAGCTATTGCTCTTTATCCCCATTTGATGATGTAGATTGTCGAAATCTTTTGGAACACCAAATGACAGAACCGCGCCCTCAGGCTGGGCAGGTAATTTGTGACCATGCATCGACCGGATACGTGAACAATAAGGTGTGCCATAACTAGAAGGAGGCTGGATAGAGGCCATACTCTGAAAAAGAAAAGCGAAAGAAAGAAAGAAAGAAAGAAAGAGAGAAAGGGGGGAAGATATTAAAACATATTTTTTGTATAAATGTATATAAAATACGCTTTTTCTGCGTGTATATAAAAGAGGTGTTGTTTCTCCTTTTTTTTCCTTCTGCTGGCATTGTAACTCAATAAGGAGAAAATACCAAAGAAGAAATATAAATGATTCTTATTACAAGAGACAAAGAAAAAAAAAGGTTATTACTACATTCATAAATTAACTATATTATATGTATATACGATAGTGTACGCATGATGATTGGTTGTAAAGACTATGATACATAATATGGGAAAAAGAAATTGTAAGGATCATGAACCAAACCAAGTTTCCCAGTTATTTTGATTGGTTTCCGAAGGATCATCATTGTTTAGCAGATCAGCTACTTTTGTAACAGCTGATGGAACGGTATCTGGTGTTCGTTGTTGTAATGACTGTTGTTGGGCTGCAAGAGAAGAAGGAGGAGATGTTTGGGGCGTATCTCGGTAACTGGCATTAGACATTCTATTGTCTGACGGAAAATAACTTGAACTCATACCATAATTGTGTTGTGTATTAGACGGCGAAGGTTGTACCAGAGGCGGAACTGGTGTATGTATTGTGGATGGGAAAGGAAACGACTGTAATGGCTGATAACGTTGAACGTTGTTTTTATCAAAGGATGGGGTCATACTACTTGTGATGACATGTTGACGTGCATAGAATCGATCTGCAATCTCTTTGAGCTGCATCTTGTCTTCATTATTTGCATAAAAGTTGCGCACTTGAATGACAGTTTTTGTCTTCATTGCATTTGCCAACTTTTCCCAGTCTCGGCCATACATTTCAAGGTACTTTAAAAAATCATTACGCTCAGATACTGACCAATAAGAGGAATAAGACGATCGTTTGTCTGACAAAGATGACGTGCGTCCTATTTTGCGGTTCCCAGTCTTGGAGACATAATCGCTATCTGTCCAGTCATCGTCCAGCATGCTTTCTGTTCTGCCTGAGGCTGTGCGTACCCGTCGACGTCTTTGGGCACCTGTAATTCCGCCTCCAGATGGTAACTGTGGTGGTGGTGTCGTTGCTCCTAATGATATATCCTCATACGAACTAGGCGTTCTTGAACGTGGTAAATCATCTCGATTGGCACCCATTTGGAACATACCAACGAGAGCTGCCGCCGCATCCTCTTCTTCAGCTTTCAAATCGGTTCGACCGCTTAATACGCTGACCGTTGAGCTCTCACGGGTATTGTCTTCTTCATTAAATACATTGGGTCCATTCTTTCGCTTAAAGTTGTGATAAAAGTTACGAACTTGTTCTTCGGTTTTAGAAGGTAGTAATGAAGACACTTGTGCAAAGTTTCTGCCGTATTGCTTGAATGCTTCTATAGCGGTTTCTTTTTCACGGTCTGTCCATTTAGTTGCACCACCAGAATACACCTTTTCATCCTCTTCTTCTCCAGATCCTTCCATTGTGCGCTTATCGTTTGGATATATTAAATCTGCTAAATACATAGATTCACGGGGCGAGCGGCCCTTACGGCGTTGCTGTTGCTGTTGTTGTGGCTGCGATCGTCGTTTGCCTTCCTGCAGCATCATTTCGGGATCGTCAGAGGCGCTGCTTGTGACGGTAGATGGTCGCTTAGACTTCTTGCGTTCAGCTACACCATCCCAGTACGAGTTTGCCTGTTCTAAATCACGAAGTTCTTTGCTTTTGCGCTCAGCGTCTTTTTCTTTAGCTTTTCTAGAATTCTGTGCTTCGCCAATATCGGCCATCAGAGCAGATCCCTTGCTCTTGGCCTTTCTTGCCGTTGTACCCGATTCTCCGGTGACAGCACGGATGGCAGCAGCTATCCTATCTCGGTGTTTATTGGCCTTCCCACGTCGACCCTTTTTCATCAACGCTTTGAAGTCAATCTTCTTTTTCTTACGATAATAAAACAAGACACATTGTGTTGCTGTCTTTGTACCAATGGCTCGTGAGATGCGTTCAAATTGTTTGGGATACATCATGTAACTTTCCATAAAAGTTGTTACTTCCTGTTGATTCCATATATCGCCTGTATCTGGACCAGTATGATAATACGTCAACGGGTCTTCAACAAGTCCACTGCGGTCATCAAATGTTCGCATGCGCTCACGAACATCCAAGATCATGGGTGGAATGGTGGCTGTCGTCTTTTTAGCACGGGATTCAGGATTTCTCATCTCAGCCGATTCCAAAGACTGGATGATTTCCAATAACTCAGCCTCTGAGCGAGCAGCATCCGATGTGTATAGGCCATTGTTAGTATAAGGCGTCGAGGTGCCATCATTCTTGAAACGAAGTGCGTCTGGTGCTCCAGTGATAAAAATGACATTGTCGGTGTATTCTTCAGCTTGATCATCCCGTTTTCTGTTTGAGCCACGGTGGTATTTCTCTGATCCCTTGCGTTCATGATTTCTAATACGGTCGAGTACCAAGTTTTTATCTCTCCACTGGTCGTAAAGCATTTTGAATTCATGCTTTAGCATCTGCTCCTTCTTCTTTGATGCAGTGTTTTGAATAGAAAGGGCGTGTGCTATCTTTAAACGCAGCTTTTCAAATGATTTCACATTCTCTTGATAGCAAGCATAATCTTCTATACTTTTGTATAGAGGCTTTGACCATGCTTCTTCATCCGACCAATCATCCTCATCTTTGTTCTGCCAGCTTCCGATTATCTTTGAATTTTCCTTTGCAATCCTGCGATTGTCCTGAAGAATTTGTTCGCACAAGAGCTCGTCTGATTCATCCGTTTCTCGAAGTTGGTTGATTAACAGTTGTGGCCGCTTTCTCATAACAGGAGAATCTGCCAGTTCCATTGGATGAGTTGCTACATCATCATCCATGGCCTGAAGCGCTTGTTTTTTAGCTTCTTCGTGTTGTGCTTTTCTAGTTGCTTCATCTTCTTCGTCTTCGTCATCTGCCATCTCTATATCTTCGTTATTCAATTTATTTTCTTCTTCTTCCCGTCTAGTGGCAGCTTCTAGCATTTCTTCATATCTGCTGATTTCGTTTTCTATATGATCAATACGTTCGACAATCTGTTCTTGTGTCATTTCCAAATAAGCCGGTGAAGGAAGTCGGATAGTCATCTCTTCTTTTGTAGTCAAAAGTGTCTCTGATGATGTCTCTTGTTTGACTGGTTCAGAAGCAGGTTGGGGATGTTCTTCTGTAGCAGATGGTTCCTTTTCCGGTATTGGTGCATGTTCTAAAGGTGGTTCTGGTTTGACGTCTACTACAGTTTCGGCTTTTTCAGATATTGTTAAATCTTCTTTAGGTGCTTCATTAATAGAGAAAAAAAAAAAAAGTTGGTTATTTCTCCTTTATTGCCACTGATCAAAACTTACCTTGTGTCTTGACATATTCCTGTATTACTGGTGTCTGTAATTTGGACTCTTCCATTTCTACTGTCTCTTGTTGTTGTAATGGTGGCGGTGGTTGCAGCTGTTGTTCTGCATGTTGGGTTTGCGGCGCAGGCTGCGCTTGTTGTTCTAGCTGCTGCGATGGTTGTGGTTGTGATTGTAACTCTACACTAGATGGTGCTTGTGGATGCGGCATAGCTGGTTGTGGTCTGTTGGGGTCGTTCATTCGGTTATTAAAAGCACCATAAGGTTTTTCTCTTTCGCGTTCCCTATCTAAAGGCCTTCTGTCGTCAGGCTGAGGCCTCCAGCTGGGCCTTCCAGTACCACCTCTGCCATTCATATTACTACTACTTGGACGATAGCGATCATAATCTGAAGGCGGGGGTCTTCTGTAATAATCCCTATCATCTAACCTATCACGCTCATAGTAAGGAATACCAGGTGAAGGCAGCAAGTCTCTATCACCTCTGTATGAGTCGCTACCAAATGGAGGCATTCCATAACCGGAAGATTCATACCGCATATATCTGTGAAATTTATAAGTTATCGCATTAGGAAATATATGTATTTCTCGATATTACCTCCTATCATAGCCACGACGTCGTTCGTCATCTCTGTATCTTCGTTCACGCCAATCCATGTATCTGTTGTAAGGTTCTGAAGACGTGGAAGGTATTGGTTTGTCGTCTTTAGTATCTTTTAAAGCGCTGTTGCTGCCAGAGGGTAGCTTGTCTTTAGGTTCTACAAAATGTTGTTTAGATAAGCTGCATAAAGATTCATTAACATACCATCTCTTCTAAGTGAGCCTGGGGATGGTTTTGGATAAGAATGTGGAGGAGGTGGATAGTGCATGTCTTCACGGTAATAAGGTGCATATCTGTAATCCCTGCAGTATTCATGTGAGTAAAGAGGTGAATTAAAGAAAGCGACTAGAGAAAATACCTGTCCCTTCGAGGTGGTAAGTATCGATCATCTCTCAACATTCTTTCACGATCACGTTCTCTATCTCTCAAATCTCTATAATCGTCCAAAGCTGCTGACATGCTTCGATTTGATCTGTAATTATAATCATAACGATACCTCGAAGAATATCTTCCTTCGTTATAAGGTGGCGGTGAGCGTGAACGAGAAGGTGAGCGAGAGTGTGTTCCATGGGATGATGTTGAGCCTGCAACGCTCATTTTTATTTTTATTTATTTGGAAAAAGAGAAAAAAAGGCCAAAAAAAAAGTTAAAAAAGAAACAATCTCAGCTGACGTAGAAAATTACCAAATGCGGTGATTTAATTTTGATGGTTTCACACATCGTTTTGGGCTGTAGCAACAAATCGCACAGCAGTGCACGAAAATCAACTTTTTTTTGATCCTAATACAGGTCATATATGATGATGACGCAGTGCGTCTCATTTTGGTTTACTAAATGCTCAGTCCATAAACATCATCAGTTGACCTTTACCAGCTAAACATATCTATTTGTATACGCGCGTCCACCTTGACCTTTTGTGATAACGCTCACCCTACGTCGATTTCCATATAACAACTTCATGATAGTAACATGAAATACTTTATTATTTCTTTTACAAGTCATCCATTTGGCGAGCCAATTCGTCCAACTCGTTCTTGGCATTATTATACTTTTCTGTTAATTCTTCATAGCCTTGCTCTTTATCTAACAATTCTTGTTCGAGTTTTTGAACCTTACGTTCAGCCTCTTCAGCCCTCAAGTCAGCTTTATTGTAACTGGATACGGTTTTAATAAGCGACTTTATCTCGTATTCATATACTTACTCTGTGGATGTAGTTTGTAAACTGTTTTCAGTCTTATCCAGTTGCTCTTCCAAATTCTTTATACGGATTTGAAGAGAAAGAAGTTCATGGTCCTTTGAGGTATGTTCTTGTTCAAGTTGCTTAATCTTGGCTTCATATTCTTCACAAAGAGCATTAGCAGATTCAGCTTGAGAACGAAGATCAGCGAGTTTCTAAATTGTATGAGTATACATCACCATAGAAACCTCTTTTTTTCTATCTATCTATCTATCTCCCTCTCTTTAATTATTACTTACCTCCTTTAACTTGTCCATTTTATATAACTTTATAAAAGAAAAAAAAGAAAAGGAAAAAAAAAAAAAAGGAAACTTAAAATTGGGCTTTTAAAATTGGAAAACTAGCATGTGTGCACAAAAGCACAAAGTCATTTAGTGTTTCCAAAAGTAGTAACCGCTATTTAAACCACAACAGGATCTTCGTCTCCCTTCTTTATACCAAGACGCGTTTTTATAAAAAGTAACAAATTAAACATTAAATATTTTATTATGAAATCTGTCCAATGGTATTAATGTACACTCGTTTAACTTCCAAAAGGATGAATTTAAACGACGAGGTAAGATTAGATGTTTGTCCAAAGGCTGATAAAATACAGGATGTTGATACGTTTCAAACGCTGAACAGGAATCATCCGGATACATACTGAGGTTATTTGTCATGACATATTCTGTGCGTGTATAACTCACTTTGACATGAATCACATCCAACATTTGCTGAGGTTTATGACAAGGCTGTTGTATCGCGACTGTTGTTATCTCGGATGTGGCGTCATTACCTTGCTCTTGACCTTCATATCGGCCAGAAAAATACCAAGACTTGATCAACGACAGCTTCCATATATCATCTATCCAAGAAGAAGAGTGACTAAAAGATGCAGTTGGGTCGTAGATCGAAGATATGTGCTTGGTTCTGTCATGAAACAGAGCATGCAGCCTTATTTTGGCCCAAGCGGTAAAGATAATCAAAGGCAGTACGGCCGTAGCAGCGGTCAGGACGCCCTTGAGATATAGAATGCCCACGACGGTCATTTGAAAGATCAAGAGGCCGTCTGAGGTATACCTTGCCATCCTTCGGTAGTGTCGTGATCCGTCTGATTCATATTTGCGAAGATAGCAGTATAAATACTGGTGGCGGTAGACGACTAATGCAAACGCAAAGTAAAGTACGGCAAAAGTCAGGATAAGTGGTTGAATAACAGAATACGTCAGTGTGATCACAAGGACAAGGATATGAGCAGGATAATAATAATAATATGGAAATGACCATGGCGTGGTATAGCGTAGTTTAAGGCGTGGTGTTTTTGATATAAAAGGTAAAACAAAAAAGAGGTGTCCAAAAAGCTGTGAACCTAAAAGAACAAGCTCCATTGCATGTGTTGATGAATTAAACAAGATGTAGTTTAAGAAAAAGTTTGCGCCTTGAGGAAGTGCGTTTGCTAGGAGTTGAATAAGCATAGTGGGTTCATATACAACATCAAGTATGGTGCTTAGAAAGGTTGTGCCAAGTAAAAAGACAATCAAGACATTGAAAATAGCAAAGTGATAATGTCGGCCAAGAACAGTGTCTTCAAGCTCGGAATATGATATAAAGTCCTGTTGTTTTGATAGTTCTATGATGTATAACAAATGTTAAAAAAAGTGCTTATTAGATATAAGATGCCATATAATTACTTAACCTAGCAAGATAGACGGTAATATACTCATACAAAGAGTAACTAGCATTGTAGGCAAGATATTCTGAATAAATGCTCTTACTACAAATGAGGAAACAATGAATTGCTCGAGGAATGGGAAATGCTGTGTTAAAGAACTGATGGAAGTAAGACTAAGTATGAATGTAATGGGGAATAGCCAAAAGATGGTAAGTGACCTATAAGGGGAAAAGTAAGTAATTAAAACACACAAGGCTTAAAAACCCTACCAGACTGCAACAGACACTAGCCATTTTTTGCCACCACCCAAAAGTCGGCTCTTTCTTCCTTTTCTTAACAAGTGTTTCCATAGGATATCTCTTGGCTCTGGTGCCATTCTGACATGAAGTATTCCCGGTTTTGAGCTTGTGACTATCTGTGAAGTGACTTGAGCAGATTGATTACGTCTATTTAAAAGTATGCAAATAAGGATTAGCTTTTTGCATAAACAAAAAAAAAATTACTTGAAAGTAACAAATGCTGAAGCAGTAACATCATTAGAAATGTGTGCCCTTTGTTCAATAATATCCTTATCCATAGCTTCCACTTCGGACAAGGTATCTGTAATCGTTGTATATTCTGGATATTCCTGTAACTGGAGGATCCATTGATCCCAGTCATCTGACCTGTCCGAATGGATGCGCTTGCGAGCCATTTGTATTAACGTTAGCTCAAGCTCATCTATCAGCTTTTGCCTCTTTTTTAACAAAGTATCTAATGATCGTATTGTCTTGTGTGGAATCAACTCAACAGACTCAACCTGTCCTTGCTTCATAAAGTAATCTTCGAGTGCCTCTTTTGTTCGTAGATGAGGAGGTATTCGTGTGACCAGAACGGTCCTCTTGTGAAGCAATTGACGAGGCAGTTGGTGTAACAAGTGAATGTGGTGTACATGATTTGCAAACAAGAGCCATAGCCAAGTCAAGGAAATAAAGTACGCAAAGAATACGTGTGTCCAGACGACAGGATCATGACTCTTGATGTTGGCAATAGATAGATAATATAATGTTGAATTGGATCTGAAATGGTCAGAATAAGCTTGCTGCTGAGATGCTGATCCAGTCCAATGAAGCCCCAAAAGGATAGGACAGACAATGAGCGATTGGAATACCAGAAAATGAACTGCCATACGTAGAAACCGTATGTGCATGATTGCATCCAATCCAACCCTTTGAAGTAGGTCTTGTTCTGATATTGAGAAAGTACAAGTTGCCCAAGAAAACAAGTAGTTGGGAAGCGCTGGAATAGAGTTCCTATTGCATCCTTTATTAGTCTAATATGGTATTAAATTATATTATGTATTTACTTGAATAAATGGGATTTAGGAGCGAATAGACATTGCATAGATTCAAATCTCTTATAGACTTCAAATGCTATGATGCATGATGCTGAAATAGCGCAGGATATTCCAAATGTGGTTGATAAACCCAAGAATGTTGGTACATAATAGGCTGTTTCGATAGTTGCCATAATGCCAAGTATATATAAAAAGAGAAAAGAAGAGAGAAAAAAGGGGGGCAAGTCGATGGATTTTTGGTTACTTTAGGGGGGAAGGATGTTCAAGACGACGATGCGTTGAAAAAGTAACCAAATAACCAAAATGAGCCTTTTCTCTTTTATATACAAAAATATAAATGATACTTATTATTTTATTTTAAAAAGAGAAAATATAATACAAGGAAACTATTTTTTTGAAGAGCGTTTTTGCTTCTCTGCGAGTAATCCAGGAGGTTCAGGAGTAATCGCGACAAGGTTACCTCGCTGATAAACATGATTGACAACGGAAACATGATGAACATGGCAAGCACCAGGCTGGTCAGTAGTACAGATATCGATTTGCTTCACCCATTTGTCATTCAGAATAGTGTCTAATGAGTATCGACGGGATGGATCTACTTCCAATATACTTGTCATAACAGAACGAGATTCTTTTGGTAACAAGTTGAGAAGTCTAAATTTCTGTTGGTTATGGTTGGTTGCGAATGATTTGAATGCAGGATCTGATAGACGAGGCAGGCGCCAAGGAAAGCGACGTATTGTCATGCAAACAAAAATGATTCCGCATGACCAAATATCAGACAGTCTGGGATCGTAAGCGGTGTGTGTATATTGTTCAGGAGCAATGTAAGGGTCGGAGCCAAATACACCTAGATATATACATAAAAATTAGAGAGACAATAGCCAAATATTCGTCTTTACCTTTAGTCAAAGTCATCGTTTTCTCAAAAGGATATTTAAATACAGTAGAGCATCCAAAGTCAATGATTTTGAGTATTCCCATATGATCTAATACAAGGTTATCGAGCTTAATATCCCTATGAGCTATTCCCATCGAGTGTAAATAGAAAAGACCATTCAGCAACTGTTTCCAGCAACAGGCGATTTCCAAAGTAGACATCATTCCGCTCATAACGATATTGAACAAATCATTAGGGGCATACTCCATTATCTCATAGAAATGATCGTTTTGCTGAATCATATCCAAGGTCTGGATGATATTTGGATGATGTAAGGTCGACCCAATACAAAACTCTGCTGTTAACTTCTTGATGTACTCTTTCTCAGTTTCATGTGCATATTTCTTACGAAATTGCTTTACTGCATAAAATGTCTTATTTCTTTGGATCAGTCTTACAGTGCCACCAGCTCCTTTCCCGATAAATCGATCTATGAATGAGAGATATTTAGTATAAATAGCTCATAGTTCAAATGCAACAATAGAAACTCCTTAAACGCAAAAATGCCTCAAGTTATATATGCACACACACAGAAAAAAGCACGTCAAAATAAGACTTACCCCATTTGCCATATCTGCCTTGAATATTTTGTTTAAATTGATTCGCAAACAGGTTGTCCTTGTATTGTTCCTCTTCAGCAATAAACATTTTAATGACATCTATCCATGCCAGATCTTTAGTGTTACATATTGAGTGATGAAAATGGGTTTGATGGTAATATTGATTATAGTATGGTTTCTTGAATATAAACTGTGAGGGTAATTGTTTACTATTGTCATCATTCTCTTGCCGTAAAGAAGTGGATGATGATCTACTTGAAGGCGGAGAAGGTAAAAAAGGAAAAGATTCACGACGGTTCTTCTTGACCTGATTTAATAATTTTGTTAATTCGATAATATCAACTGCCATTGGATTATTATCATTAGAGTGTAAGTGATGGGTTGTTGCATTTGCAGGTGTTACGATCGCTGGTGATAGAGATGGACTAGGAGGGAGTGATCTCTCGGGAGTGAAAGGCAGCATTAGATATAAAGAAAGAAAGAGAGAGAAAATATGAAAAAATAAAAAAAAATCATGAGGGTTTTTATAGCCTCATAGACATTTTACTTGTCTGGTGATGTTGCATATAAATAAAAAATGTTTCTCTTACACATACACAAATGAGAGGATAAAGATGGACATATTAAAACTTTCTTTTCCCCTCTTCTCAAACTGTCTTTCCAGAAGCTCCTTTTTAATGTTTGAATTATTATTAGCCTCGGTTATTGCTTTATTTGGGATTCCTCTACCTTTTTTTTTTTTTGCTTCTTTGTTTATTCATGTTGACTCGTTTATTACAAAAAAGTTATTCAACTTTGAACAATAACCGAGTGGCCTTGGCCATGTCTGGTGGTGTAGACTCAAGTGTAGCTGCAGCATTACTTAAACAGCAGGGCTACGATGTTCAAGGGATCTATATGCGTAATTGGGATACTTCAGACGAAAGAGGGGTCTGTACAAGTAGAGAAGACTGGGAAGACGTGCAAAGAGTATGCGAGATATTAAAAATAGACTGTCAGCATGTCGATTTTGTAAAAGAATATTGGAATGACGTCTTTGAGAAAACATTAGATGACTATGCGCACGGACTGACACCCAATCCTGACATTGCCTGTAACAGTTTCATCAAGTTTGGGGCTTTATTAGACAAGATACCAAAGGATGTATGGTTTGCAACAGGTCACTACTGTCGATCTACCCGAGATGGTAAATTGCTGCGAGGATTAGAGCGTAACAAGGATCAGTCGTATTACCTGTCAACAGTGCAGGAAGAAGCTCTACGTCGTACATTGTTTCCACTAGGTGACATCAAGTCAAAACAACACGTCAAACAGCTGGCTTCCTCGCTCGGACTTGACTTTATTGCCAAAAAGAAGGAAAGCATGGGTATTTGTTTCGTCGGTCAACGTAAGCGGTTTGCGCAATTCCTGGAACAGTACATCGAACAGCCCCCTGGACCCGTAGTTGATCTGAACGATCGAGTGATCGGTGAACATCAAGGGTTATATGCTTATACGATAGGACAGGCATCTCGTATCTGTCATGGTTCTCATAAGTGGTTTGTGGCAAAGAAAATAATGAGTGAAAACAAATTGGTGGTTGTGCCAGGCACCGACCACCCAGCTCTGTTTCACAAGGGTTGTAGTGCTCGCCAGTGGGTATGGATTCATCATCAACCACCAATTCCTTTTCAAGATAAAGGTCAAATAGAAATCGATGCACAGATAAGATATAGACAGCTTCCCCAAAAGGCCACTTTGTTCTTTCGAGACGGTCAGTATCATGTGCAGTTTAAGGAACCTATTCGTGCTATCGCTGCAGGACAGCAGGTCGTTATCTGGGATAAGGATTGGTGTCTGGGAGGAGGAGTGATTGAACAAGTGTATTAACAAGGACAAAGAAAAATGTGGTTATGTAAATATCAATAATACCAATAATAGAAAAGACATCATGGCAGCAAAAAGTAATTATAATTATAATAATAAAATGAGAATCAACTATGTGTATACTTTTTACATGCAAATATTTACTATATAAAAAACGTCTATCAAGACTTGAATGGATATTTCTTCTAATTGGTGAGCTTTACTTTAACCAAGTTAAAGATTATATATCATGTTGGAACTGCTGAAAGGCTGCTTTTGTTATGCTATGCGTTTATATTTATTATTACCCACATGATTTATACTTTCAAAATGTCCCTCTATTCTCTTTTTCTTCAGAAGCTGATATGAAGTAAAATTGTGTTAAAGACAATCCAGTGAGAAAACAGATCATGGTTAAAAATAGCCAGTGAGGCATGGGGAATGCTTCAAGCAAATGAGCCTAGTAAAAAACGCATACTGAACTGATATATAATACTGCATTGTACCATAATGGGCGATATTGACAAACAGCCTTTACTATGTCTGATTCCTTGATATTAATGATGTGAATGCCTTACAAGTTATACAAACAAGTACACATCTTGTTCTAGAATCCACCAAGAAGAAGCACCGTTCAGATATATAGAATACGGTTATAAATCGGTGGAGTCTTTTTTTCAAAAGAATATGTCTTTAATTTCTTTGGAAACTCAAATGAAACCGAAGCAGACACTGTGATTGAATTCATTGTCGTTTCCATGTGATATTTCTTATTTATCTGCGGGCCCCCTCTTTGTATCACTCTATTCATTAGGCTTTATCATACGATCGGCTCCCACACGAAAACAAATACACGTATTTCTTTCGTTTTTTATACAAAAAATGTCTGCCATCGCCCTTCAGCCTACGCCTGTGGTTTCAGTCACCAAAATTCCTGAGAAGAAGCCTCTCTCTTACAAGAACCTTTTGCTGGGTGCAGGTAACTAGTTTATATTAAACACTTTCCCTAAAAATAACCTGTTCAATAAAGCTCTGAACATGTTTGAAACTTCTACTTTGGGACAACCTTTTGAAGTAATGAAGACACAAATGGCTGCCAATCGTGGACAGCCCATGCTAAAAGGCTTGCAAGCTATCTATAGTCGTGGTGGTATCCTTGGCTTTTACCAAGGGCTCATACCTTGGGCTTGGATCGAGGCCAGTACAAAAGGTGCTGTTCTCTTGTTTACTGCATCTGAATTGGAATATCGATCTCTTGTAGCTGGTGCTTCTCCATTTCTGGTAAGCTTCATTTTTAATCCAGGCGCAATGTGTATGTGTGTGGAATATAAAGGGACGTGGTTTCACAATTGCCTTCGATAGGCTGGTATCATCGGTGGCATGGGCGGAGGTATTGCTCAAGCATACAGCACCATGGGCTTTTGTACCTTTATGAAGACAGTCGAAGTGACAAGACAAAAATCTGGTAGGTTTCAAATGAAAGCAAAAGCATTTCTTTTTTTTCTCACATGACCATGGCTTGCAGCTGGCACAGAGTCTACTTTTGCAATTGCTGGTAAAATATTCAAGAAGGAAGGTATCAGAGGAATGAATAAGGGCGTGAATGCGGTAGCCCTTAGACAATGTACCAACTGGGCATCCAGATTTGGTATTGCGCGTTTCGCTGAAGAAGCCATCGTTAAATTAAGACATGGCGAAGAGGGTGTAGCAGAAGGAACTGACAAAGCACTGGCATCTGTAGTAGCAGGTGCATTGTCTTGTTGGAATCAACCTCTAGAGGTTATTCGAGTAGAGATGCAAAGTCAATTGAAAGGCGAAGGACGCCCCGAAAAACCAAACCTTGTCAATATTTCAAAGTACATTTATGAAAAGAATGGATTGAGTGGATTTTACAGAGGCGTTGTTCCCCGTATCGGACTCGGTATTTGGCAAACATTAGTCATGGTTGCACTCGGTAAAATCAAACCTTGTTAACACATAATTTTGATCATAAACTCTTTGTATAGGTGACTACTGTCGTGCTCGTTTAAATACATAAACAAATACATATTTGAATAAACATATGTCTTATTTGTCTGGGGGTGTTGTATTCTTTCTGAATACCTTTCACAAATGCTTTAAAATTGAACATAGTGCTCCTAGTTTGCCCCTATTCTAAATAAACTGTAAATTCTAGCGCGGTGGCTGCTGTTGAGGAATAATTGACAACTATTGTTTTATGTATAGTTTATTGCAAAGTATGACCACAACAACCATCCCATTCGTTATCACCAATTGGTATATGAGCCACATGGAGCATTCAATAAAGGTTTTAACAACGCTTGTATGTTTTAGTTGTTGATGAGCTACTTTATGTATCAACGTAGAAAGTGGTATCGCTTGAGTGAATAACTGCATTCTGTCGTCATCAATCAATGCACCGAGTTCTTATTAATTATTAGTCATTCGAATTTACCCTTTGAGCTTGTCAATAGCTTGAATAGTACGGCCTGTAGGACGGTTACTAATGAATAATCAAAAATATTTTGCTCTACACCAAAAGAACCGCTGTTTACCATGGTTTTTTAGACGTGTCTTTGTCACCTGTGACATCACGATCACTAGCAAGGGAAAGTCGCGTACGCTATTGTTCTTTGGATTCCTTGTTCCATCTTTAGATTGCTCCCAATTCAAATTTTCTTCAGTACAAAATCCGCTGAATGGCTGGCTTCAACACATGATTCATAGATACCAGGAAACACAAAGAAAAGCAAAAAAGGACGTGTTATTTCAAAACATGAGGGTATCATGATTATAAAGGCCACACAAATTGAGATTGGAAATACGGCCCCCACAAACAAGATAGGATATGCTTTATAGAAAACAGTCCAATTTATTGGGGACAAACTGTATGGCTATTTTTACCCAACTTGTCATTCTGCAAGATGAAAAAAAGGGGAAAGCCGAAACTTGTGGCACATGTTATTGCCTTTTATGAAAGAATTTATGCACGTCAAATGATATAAATAAATTTTTTTTATATATATACGAGATATGAAACTGTAGTGATCTTTACTACCGGTACTCTTGTTACCATTACACGGTTACTATTACAGCTAGGATGACGGTAATGGCTGTTGGTATGACTACTGTTGCAGTAAATCACTGATCTCCTAAGTTTTTTTTCTTTTCTTCCTTTGTGTAGTTTTGACAGTTCTCCTTAAAGTGTTCTTTTTTTTATTGTTCTTTATATGGATAATCGACATCTTCATGAACCAATCAGTATACAGGTTACACATTAAGCGAAAATAAATAAATATCCCATTCTTTATTTCCATTCTCCATTTCATCTACTCTTCTTCTTTTCTCTCCTTTTCCTTTCCCTTTCTTCTTCATAACATTATCTTTCTATTATACCATGCAACAGCTGGATAGTGTAAACTTGGATTTGATAGATATTCATGCACCTGCACAGACGTATTATACCACAGGAAATAACGCTGGCAATGCTATCAACAGGCTCCGTACATTTTCGGTAACAAAAAAATTTTTATCTTGTTTTAACAAAGTGTCACAACATGTATAAAAAATAGGGACATCAGTCAGTGTCAAAATTTAGTGAAACTAGTGCACAAAGAAAGAGAAGAGCTTCGCATGGTAATAAAGAAAAAAAAAGGATGTAAAATCATCAGATATTAACCTCGTGTGTCAGATGCTAAAAATAAAGCTCGAAAATTTTTATTGGATGTTAAAGAGACACAGCGTATCTTGGTTGAGCAGGAAGATACAGATGGCGATTTTCAAATTACTGTCAATGATTTAGGCCCAAAGTCGCTTGCTGTAGGTAGCGCAGATTCTGGTGGATATCGTAAAATTGAGATTAGAGGCACCTATATGCTATCCAATCTATTGCAAGAATTAGCTCTGGCAGAGGATTGTGGTCGTAAATATATTGTATTGGATGAAGCAAGACTAAGCGAAAATCCAGTAGACAGACTATCACGTATGATTCGTTACAACTTTTGGGATGGCCTTACGCGTCATATGGATGCTGAGGGTCTAGAAAAAATATGTATGGACCCAAAGAACAGATCGGCTAATCACAACCCTCGAATTTATGTTCCCTATGACGAGGACCAAGTATTTGATTATTATCAGCATGTGGCACAGACCAAGCCTCATCTAGGCCTTGAAGTTGAAAGATTACCAAAAGACATTACTCCAGAATATGTTCAAAGCATCAACGATAGACCTGGCATTCTTGCACTAGCACTTAAAACATCAACAGACGAAGAAGGAAACACTGTTTTCCGAGGAGTCCCGTTTGTGGTACCCGGTGGCCGTTTCAATGAAATGTATGGATGGGATTCATACTTTGAGGCACTCGGTCTCTTGGTTGACGAGCGTATTGATCTGGCACAAGGCATGGTTGATAACTTTACTTACGAAATTAAGCATTATGGAAAAATTCTCAACGCTAACAGATCATACTATCTATCTCGTTCCCAGCCTCCCTTTTTGACAGATATGGCAAAGCAAGTCTACATGAAGTTGCCAAAGACTGAGGAAAACAAGAAATGGTTGCGCTCTGTGCTTCAAGCAGCCATCAAGGAATATGATACAGTGTGGATGGCTGAGCCACGCTTGGACCCCAAAACTCAGTTATCTCGTTTTAGACCAGATGGTAAAGGCATACCTCCTGAAACCGAGGCATCTCATTTCGACCATGTCATTTTGCCTTATGCCAAAAAAACTGGATTAAGCATAGTCGAATACATGAGACAGTATAACGAGGGCGTCATACAGGAACCTGAACTAGATGAATACTTTTTACATGACCGTGCTGTCCGTGAAAGCGGCCATGATACAACTTACCGCTATGAGGGTAGATGTGCAAATCTTGCTACAATTGATTTAAATGCTCTGCTTTACAAGTACGAAACTGATATAGCCGATATGATTGAACAAGATCTCGATGGTTATCTTGTTGACTATCAGGGTTCTTCACAAGACCCTCAGGTATGGAGACAGCGGGCTGAACAAAGAAAGACGCGAATCAACAAGTATCTATGGAACGAAGAGGCTGGCATGTATTTCGATTATGATACAGTCGCAGAAGAGCAGAGTAACTATGAAAGTGTTACCACTTTTTGGGCCATGTGGGCAAAATGCGCAAGTCAAGAACAAGCGGAAAAGATGGTGCGTATGGCATTACCTAAGTTTGAGGTTACAGGCGGACTTGTGTCAGGTACGGCAGAATCTAGAGGCGAAATCAGCTTAGATAGACCAAATCGACAGTGGGATTTCCCCTTTGGTTGGGCCCCACATCAAATCCTTGCATGGCGTGCTTTTGAAAATTATGACATGCAGCCTATTGCTCTTAGATTGGCTTATCGCTGGCTATACATGTAAGGAATATAGATTTTTTTTAATCACCTTACACTCATCGTTATTTAGAATTACAAAATCTTTTGTTGACTTTAATGGAGTTGTACCCGAAAAGTACGATGTTGTAAGCTTAACACACAAGGTTCAAGTAGAATACGGTAACGTTGGCGTGGATTTCAAGTATGTGCCACGAGAAGGATTTGGCTGGATGAACGCTTCTTATCAAATCGGCTTGAACATGCTCACAAAACAGATGCGCCGTGCTTTAGGGACATGCACACCTCCCGCTGTTCTATTTGAGAAATATCATGGACGATCTATGGAAGATACAGCCAAGGCCATTACACAAAACGGTCAAACAACTACTGCTATCACAGTCATTGATCCTGATACGATCATTACCACAAACAAAATGAAGCCCTTAGAGACAATCGATACCACACTATTTTTATCACCTGAGGAAAGTAATAATGATGAAGATACATTTTACGATGCTCTAAGCACCTCACACAATGAAGAACAAGATTAAAGTACACACACAGAAAGAGAGAGATCTTTATTTGTAGATTTGCTTTATAAGGAAAGCCGCAACATCCAAGTCCTGCCAATACTGCATATGTGCACTGAATGCGCTTAAATATGGATTCTCTAATAAACCTTCTTGTAAACAATAATCTACTCTACCAGTTACGTTTAGCATTTTCAATTTCTTTGCTCCAGCTGAATAATTCACTGTTGGTAAAGGTACTGGTGGTGATTTACGTGGGCTTCCTTTCATAGTGCTTGATTTTTGGAAATTGCTGGATGATGTCCTAAATGCATGGGCTGGGTCACTATTGGACCGTGTTCTATTTACATTGAGTTTATAAACGTCGTCTGTACTCTCTTCCTCTTTCTGAATGTCTGGTTTAGGATGTGTATCTTCATATATTTGTTGCCTCGTTAATCCCAGGCCACGCATAAATAAGTTGGTAGTTAGACCGATCTTGATTGACTCATACATTGCTCCTGCACGGTTAGCTATTCCACTACCCACATTAAAACTAGCTTCAATCACGCTTTTCAGTCCTCCTTTCATGTACGGTATAGGCTCTGGTTTTAGTTTGGCTGTATAGTGACGAGCAATAAGTGGTTCCAAGCGATAAGCTACAGGATCAGACTAACATAACAATGAATACTTTTTTCAAGAGCAATAGTATGCTATTATACCTTGTGGAATATGTTGTATAGATTTTCTACAGCTGGATAACAAAAGTTAATGGACGAAGCTGAAGGCGCTTTTATGTCAGACAAGGCCTGATGTATGCTTGCTGGATCCAGTGATTTTCTTGACGCAATTTTGAATCCCCTTAATAAAAGAATGACACCTAAAGGTGAACCAGCTGCAAAAAAATTGTCAACTGGGAACAAAAGTGGCGGCAATTTGCTTTTCTCGCTCGTCGAAGGTCGAGGTTCCTCTACATTTTCGGTGGGTACTGTAGGTGGCTGTAAACTCAGCATATCAAATGCTAGTAGAGACTAGTATGTGTATATATTAGCAAACAGATGATCCTTTATTAAAAGATACTTACACCCAAGGAATGACCGAAAATAGAGACCTTTCCTTTATCTTGAAATTCAGGGTTACGTTGAATGAATAAACGATATACTCTATTAATTTCTCTAGTAATGATCTGTGTCATTTGTTCTCTATATCTAGGCGTCATATACAGTGGCACATCCATAAGCACGTCAGAGACTACCGTTCGTATATTTGGTACTCCCTCGAGCGTTAGTTCATCTAGTGTAGGGCAGCCATCTTCCACACCCACAGTGCCCAAATCAGCTTCACATCCCTCTTCGTCGTCTGCAGCCATTCCAAACTTGACGTCTTGCCTCCACATGATTGGTAGTACCTGAATGCCATTAGGTCGCTGAGGTGTATCTGTAGTTGCTATCACAGCAGGATAAGCCAACTTTAAGGTCTTTCTCATCATATTGACATCATGTACAAACGTTTGCCCTGTCCTTTCTGACATCTTTTGTCCTACTCCATGAATGACAAACATCAAATGGTCAATATTTCGTACTTCTCCTTCGCTATCTTCATTTGCATAGTCTTCGGCTTCCTGTAATTCCTGCTGCTCTTCTTCATTATCCGACTCTTTATTATCCTCAGTCACCTGTTTAGCCGTACTTTTCGATTTTTTCGCTATTTCTTCTACTTCAGGATATCCTCGAATCAAACGCGTACCACCCAAATTTTGCTTGTTGGTAAGCCGTGTGATGATACTCTTGGCAAATTTACTACTCGTACTGTTCCTATTTGATGTATAAGTTCATTTTTGTATTAACATGATCTTTTTATGTACAAGTCGCTTACGAGAATAGCCAGGCTTGATTTTTCCCTGTGTAGACAATATGTTGTCCAAGATAAGGGCCTAATAAATTCCATTTTTTGTCCACAATTTCATCTAATTTTTTTTCTTCTGTTGATTCATCCTCTGTTCCTGAAGCAGTCTTTGTGTTGTATGGTTTGTGTTTGCTAGCATATACATATAAAATGATTAGTGAGGTAATATTCCAAAAAAAAAAGACTATCCTACTAATAGCCTAGTTCAATTTGTTCTGCCAGATTTTCTTCACAGGGAACCCAACCGTCTGCTTGCATAAACCATGTTGCTCTTCTTACTTCGTAGGTTGGGCCTTCCCAGTAGACTGGACTGATAGTGCGTTGAGAGACATCCACTTCAAATAGGTGATCTTCATTGACAGGAACTTTAGCTCTAACATCATTATTCTTTTTTTTTTATTCAAACGATTAATTCTTTGTCATGTTGTAAAGATTGCATTTACCTGATATGCTTTTTCCAAAGCAGCAGAGTCACGTTGCGAAAAAGGTACCCATTTCGTAGAAACCTTGGGCGTTGACGGGCTTTTGGGTATAGTTGACTTATTCAAGTTGGAAGAGCTCTTTGCCTTTCTGATAGATATTGGGTCGATAAGAGGGTTATCAATAGCGTGAAACCTGTTAACATTGTCTTATTTACAACTGTTTTTTATATCGAATATATATCTTTACCAGCGTGGTATTAAAGGTGGTACATCAAGATCAGGAATTAAACTTAAAGGTCGAGGGTTACGTCTGATGGGTGAAGCACTTCTTTGTAATGGTGCGTTAGGTTCCAACATGAGCAAAAACAAAAAAGGACCCTTTTTTTCCAAATAGTTCGTTGACTTGGAAATTTCTACTCAGATTTTGACACTTGTTTTACGACCTCAAACAAATTGGGGGAGATAGTGTAGTTACACTTTATTACACTTCAGTTGATTATCAATCCTTTCTTTATTATTAAAAAGGTAATGAATTTTGTCTTTTTGAGAGAAGATAAATGCGGTCAACGCTTCATAATAAAATGAAACGTTGTTAGAGACTTTGTTTAAATAGTCTGATCTTGGCGTCTTTTTCTTTTCTTTTCTTCTTTGGACCAAAAAGTAAGATCAGACTATTCCTCAGCTAGCCCTAAGGTATGTTATATTCTTTACTCTTGTAAGATATGTAGTATTACAGATTGCCCATCGAAACTAACTCGGTGCTAGCTGGGGGTAGTTTGGTTCTTGCCAAAATTTGGTCTATCCACCCTCTCTTGCTTGCTTCTTTTTCTTCTTCCTTTCTTTATGTTTTCGGGCTGGTGATAACCAGCCCAATCTAGGATACACTTCAGGCAAGATATTGGTTATTTCTTTATAAGTTTACTCACTTTTTTTGTTTCTCTTTTTCTAGTATAAATCCTCTTCTTTATAATGTAAATATTTAATATCAACTTAATAACTGATTTACTAGTCTTTTCTTTTTATATCTCATTCTTTCACTTTTGATAGGTTCTCTTTTATCATTATTTTGTTGTCTCTTGTTGTCTGAAATTATCATTTTTCTATCAGAGCAGTGATAATAGCTTTAAAGTCCGGCACAACTGCATTTTTTTTTTCTTTTTTCTTTTCTTAAACAAGATGGGTAAATGGACAGATAAATTATACATCACACACTCAGAATGGAGTGGAGAGGTTGGTCAACATTCAGCTTCTACGGGTATTACTGGACACAAATCCTCTGGAGGATTCAAGCGCTTGCCTTTTTATTGCTGTTCACTTTCCCTTCAGCCATTTGAACATCCTGTGTGTACACCTGAAGGAATCGTATTTGATCTAGTTAATATTATTCCTTATATCAAAAAGTACGGCACAAACCCAGTAACTGGAGAAAAGTTAGAAGCAAAGAATCTGATCAAGCTCAACTTTTTCAAGAATGACAAGGATGAATATTATTGTCCTGTTACATATAAAGTATTTTCAGACCACACGGCGATCGCAGCTATCAAGACAAGTGGCAATGTTTTTGCATATGATACCATTGAAAAACTCAACGTCAAAGCAAAGCATTGGAAGGATTTATTAACTGATGAACCATTTACGAGAAAGGATATCATCATGATTCAGGTAATGCAAATACTTTTTATTCTATCTACACACTAACCTATAAATGAAGGATCCTCACAACCTAGAAAACAAGGACATGTCAAAATTTGATTATCTCAACAAGAACAAGCGTGTGGTCAATGCAGGTACTATTGATTTATAAATTCGTCTTTAGTTTATTAACATTTATTTTAGCTGAAGAACTTGAGAAACGAAAGCCTATCAACAATATAAACGTTGCTGGGATGGGAAATACAAAAAAAGTATTTGAAGAGTTACAAAAAAAGAATAATACCGAAACGAGTGAAACAGCGGTTGAAAAGAAGACGGCACCAACTTCATTCCATCAAAAGAAAGCTACCTTACCTTACAATGCTGCACATTATACAACAGGTGAAGCTGCCGAGTCATTTACTTCTACTGCTTTGAGTACATACACTGCTAGTACAAGAGCACTCATTGACGAAGAAGAGTTTATGTACAAAAAGATCAAAAAGAAGTCTTATGCACGCATCATTACCAATTATGGTAACATCAATGTCGAACTACACAGTGATAAGGTAAAAAGTAGAAAAAAAAGGCGTTCTATTGCCATGGAAACTGATTATGCAGAATTTAGGTTCCACGGACCTGTCATAATTTCGTGCAACTTGCAAAAACTGGATACTATAACAATGTCATTTTCCATAGAAACATAAAAAACTTCATGGTAATTGCTGTATATCTTGTATGATGGCGATGACTAATTCTATGTTAGATCCAAGGAGGCGATCCTACAGGAACAGGTAAAGGGGGAGAAAGTATTTGGAAAAGATCTTTTCCTGACGAGATCAAGACTACACTCACTCATAATACCCGTGGCGTGTTGAGTATGGCCAATAAGGGCAAGGATACCAATGGATCACAATTGTAAGTTATTTAAAGATATTAAAGCTGTGACTAAAACAGTATGACCAGCTTTATTACCTATGCTGCTGCTCCTCATTTGGATGGACAGCATACAGTATTTGGTAAAGTGGTAGGAGGACTAGATGTACTTGCTAAACTAGAAGCAGTACCTGTGGATGAAAAAGACAGGCCTGAAAGAGAGATCAAGATAAAGGAAATTCAAGTGTTTGTGGATCCATTTGAAGAATATCAGCGAAGACTGAAAAACAAACTGGCTCATGAAGCTAATGCAGAAGCAGAGAATGAGGAAATGCAAAAAAGGCGCGAGAAAGAAGAAAAGATGGGCTGGTTTGGACCGAGCGTGTCAAAGAAAGCAGAAGGTGGAGTTGGTAAATACTTGCAGCAGAGCTTGGCGAAAAGAAATAGCAGCGAAATGAGCAAAGAAGAACAAGAAACGGCACAAAAGAAGTTAAAGACAAGTAGCACATATGGAAATTTTGATAATTTTTAATAATAAAGAATAAAGAAAAAATAGATTAAGAATGAAGAGGGTATTTTAAGTAACGGTCATCATAAGATGCAGATAATGATATTTTACTGGCAGATTCACTGTCTTTTGATGGCACTTGTATAGCCTTTTTATGACAGCTATTACTGCTTGTTTCAGAACAATCTGAAGGATGATCTAGCTCATTCTTATGTCTAGTTGGCAAAGATGCTGACGATTGCAGAGGCTTCTTCAATTCACTGTAGTTTTGACGTAAATGTTGCTTTTGCTTCTGTCTTCGTTTCTTTTGTTTAGATGTAGACGAATTACCAGAAGAGGATGATGACATCCCCTGTTCGTCCTGTTGCTCTTCCTCTTTATGCTGTTGTTGCTGCTGCTGTTGATAAATAAATGGAATGGCTGATTTGATCACGGGCTGCTGCATTTCGTTTACTGTTTTCTCTAAATTTTGCAGTTTTATTTTTTCATATCGTATACTTAGATTCACATAATCTTTTATAGCCTTTTTTAAATCTTTGATCTTTTGATTCTCAAATAGTTTGATCTCCTGTTTAACCTTTGCTTGTACTTTGTCAAACTTCTTTTTCTTTTCTTCCAACAACTGAGAAGCCTTTACGTAATTTTAGATAAGCTCTTTGTGATTCTATCCTTTACCTCTATTTCTTCAGCAATCACTTGCTTCACCTCTGGGTGATTCAGGCCTAGCCGTAGCTTTGATTTATCTGCACGATCTCTCTTCTTATTTCTGATCTTTAAATGTTCAACATAATCCATCAAACTTGCGGTTCTCGTATTAAAAACGACCTACGCTATTACTAAAAAGAAGTACTAGAGCTTACACTTTACCTTTAACGGATCCAATGAATTTTTATATTCAATCATCACATCACCAAACTTCATGTTTTCTTCTTTTCCTTGTCTTGTGAATATGAATCCTAGCTCATCCATCAATAAACCAAATATCTGCATTCTTTTATCAAGGTTTCTTTGCAAATCTCTCGCTTCAGGCTTGGCACCAGGCCCTAGTCTGTATTTACTCTGTGTTGTCTCAATTATTAAATCACCCATCTGGATTAATGCGTCGCCTAAACATTCCCTCACTTGAATAAGCTGATTTAAGGACTCTGCTATTGATCCAAAATAGGTTTCTTGTAGTAAAATATATATTTGATGCTTATGAAACGTATCTTGATCATTCTATTGATCAGTCAGCTTATGTTGTTTGTTCTATCGTTACTTACTCCCTCGATAAGCTCGGATGCCTTGTACGATTTAAATCCTTTGTCTGCGTTTGGTTTTTTGTTAAACCTTAGGAAAGAAAGTACGCCAGTCGTGAGTGGTCCAACTTCTGTTGGTGTCTACTAAAGGTCAGCTTTGATATATAATTATATAATTCTATACACACCATATCGCTTGATAGGAAATGAACAAAGTCCTGTTGATTCACAAGTTCCGCTCGAGATGTAAGTTTCTTAAAGAATCTTTCGACCTGTAATCTTTTTCGCTCAACATAATCTTGGTCATCAATTTGTGATGTAAGCGGTTTCTCAGGCAATGGTGGAAGTACGATGGTTAGAAATGCCTTTGACAATCTATTATAGATCCAGCTTATTTGGGGGAAAGTACGAAACACGACAGTTTCTCCCTTTATGTTGCTTTTTGTTTAGCATAAAATGTAAGTGATAATTGTTACTATTTTACTTCACTATCTGTATAGACCAGCTTAAACTGTATTGTGTCTGGTGTAGCGGCTGCTTCAGGCACAGTTAGATTCATTCGAATGAAACAAAGCTTTTTTGTGTGAAAAACACAAAAAATCGGTCTTTCAAAACCTGTCCCTTTTGCAAAAAGGACAGCATAAACTAGAATAAGGCTGCGGTCATATGTGTGATTAGATAAACAGTAAAAGCTTGATTTATTATAGCTTTTTCCATATCTTCCATTTCTTTTTGTTTTCTGATTTTTCTTCAGTCTTTGTCCCTGAACTGGTCTTTTTTGGTTCCTAAAGGGTTTGTTAGCAAAATGTAAAAACAAGAGAAATGTATACCTTTTTAGACTCTTTTCTAAACACACGAGTGAATACGCTCTTCTTTTTCTTTTCTACAGAATTTGAGCCACGTAGTGAGGTTATCGTATAACTTTGTGATCCACTAGGAGTAGCTTGATTTTGAGGCTTTGGCGTTGCTAATAAAAGTGTTGGCGTAGAGGATGCTTTACCTTGGGCTGTTTTCGCCTCAGCCCTAGCTTCCTTCTCCTGATTTCCTCTCAATTCAATTGTTTTCTCTCCTAAAGTATTACAAGCCCTGTACATGTGTTCTTGATTATAGTCACCCAGTGGCAAAAACGTGCATTGATTGTCGGAACTACCACTAATGGTATCCACAAGAACATCGTCATTGGCTGATATAAGGCTGCTTTTTGATTTCCAGGCTTCTGGCTCGGCAGTTAATTCAAGTGGGTTGACAATCTGACATCTAAATGCATTGCCATCGATTGCCACTTCATTCTGATCATGAATCGACGTATTTTTGTTGAATGAAATGTCCAAGCTATCCATGATACCATCGTCGTTACTCTGTTTGTTTATACCGTTTAAATCCTGTGTTTCAGCTATGGTGATACACTCCAGAAGGACTGTACTCTTGTCGAGACGGTCGTGCTGATCTTGAAAATCTCTCACGGCATGTCTATCTTCTATAAAGGAATCAGTGAGTTCAAGAAGTGACATTGCCTTCAAGCCTGTAAGCTCTGTGCTTTCAGCCACAACGATGCCACCGTTTTCTTTGTCGATCAAGGGGTATCCAGTGCCCGCTGACGCTAATTCCATACCAGACAGTTTATCTGCAAGAGGGTAGTCCTTCAAGTCTTCATCACTACTTTCTTCAGGACTGACCAATGCAGTCTCAAATTCATTGCTGCTTAAAGAAGAACCAACACTGTCTTGATCGGTATCGTGGTAGGAAGGAGCAAGATGTATATATTCTATAGTAAATGTATCTGTAGATTGAATATTTTCGCGTTTTTTGTATGCTAATTGAATAGGATGAGATGCTTTTGGATACTTTTTGGAGTTGAACCGGTTTGAATTCAATCCGTTCAATGCTTGCTTCTTTTCCTCCTTTTTCAACTTTTTTAATTCGGCTCTTTGAATCGCTCTGCGTTCGCTTCTGTTGGACAACATTTTAGTGTAAAAAGGGACGGCGTGAACAAAAAAAGAAAAAAAGAAAGAAAAGACGGGGTTAGGACGGATTAAGTATTTATACATTTGACATTTAAAACAAAATTAAGTAACAAGGAATTTCCTAATTAAGCAGTGTGCTCGGGTCAGGGGGAGTGTTCATTTTCTTCCTAACGATCGCATTCTACATTTAACTTTATTCACAAGCAAGTTTAGCGTCAAACGATGTTAGGGCAATAGCAAAGGCCTGAAGTAAGCACATGGGATATTTGTAATCCATAGTAAAAGAGTCCCTTTCGACTCGGCCAAACTGCATAACAATGTAATCCACTATTATATATATATATCGTTTTAGTATTGTCTATTGAACAAATAAAGTATCTTACAGTCGTTGTCATGGACAATTTGAAAGTTTTTAACTGATGCTTGTGTTACTCTTCCGTTGAAGTTGAGTACAAACGACTGAGTCTCTAAATTGAAACGTCGGCGCACTGACAGTGAAAGCACTATGTATCATTTTTACCTTCGTTCCACTGTGGGCTTTTATTGTGCAATATCAACAAGTCTCGCGCACCACCTTCCTTATACTTGCTTAGTAACATCTCAGATTCCTTCGTAGGTCTAAATTCAGGTCGCTTTCCATCTCTTGTCAACGTATGCATTAGTATAGTCATCTTTCTGGGCCCTTTAAAGCCAAGAATGTTGGGATCCTACAAATAAATTAATCAACTAATAAAAAGGACCTTCAAAGAATTTACATAAAGAACTGCCCCTAATTCTTCTCGTATAGGTAGATCTTTCTTCTTTCCGGCCATCTCTCGTTTTAATGGATTTTTACCATGAGAGTAGATAACAAAGGTTGTACCCAGAAAGTTTGATCTAATTACTACTTTAGAGCATGTCTCTGTATTCATATACACACACGCCCCTACCTGACTTTGCCCAGTTCTACATTTTCTTCGGCTACCTGACTATTTTCTTGATAGACACCCGTGATCGTGTAGTAGCTCGTGTTGCTCTTTCTCTTTTTTCTGGCTGTCATTACGTGTTGCATTTCTCCAGTTAAAAGATGCTCGATGAATAAGTGATATTGAGGGTATAGCTTATCCAGCCCATCCCTACAACGTTGAATTCGACATGTTACACGGGTATTTAATGCAGCAGGTCTAATAAACAGAATGGGCATTTTGATATCAAAATAACAGACTCTTTTATTACCTGAACGCTAAATCCAACAGTTCTCTTTCAGAAGATAAGGCCCTTGGCAATATAAAATCTATAGGAGGAAGTGGCCTTGTTACTCTCACAGTTGTTTCTGTTGTTGCTGGTACAACAGGAGTCTCATTAAGCTCATCAGTGTCATCTACTGCTTCAACCGTAGTTGAGGTCTCAAATGTATTCGCGGAAAGCTGTGGGTATAAGATTTGCTGAAGGTCTTGGTGAGTCATTTGTGTAGAAAAGAAAAAAGGAAAAAAAAGAGGATGCCGGCTGAGATAGAAATGAAATCCTGAAATAACAAAGAAAAGTCGCCTTTTTGATTTTGCAATTATCAAGGTAGGCAGCGAAATAATTAATATACAATAAGAACAGATTATCAATATACAGATTTGTAATCATTGCAAGTAAAAACAAATATATTCAAAAAGCCCACAAATGGAAAGTACTTAATACTATCTGTCATAATACCGCGGGATAGGGATGTCAATGTTTTTAATAGCATTGACATTTCTCCTTCTATTCAGAGAGGAGAAGGAAGGGCGTTCAGTGTTTAACAAAGAAATCCTACGGAGAAGACGATTTTTCAGTGAGGAGATTTGGGGGGCATGTCGTTGTAAAGTATTTGATTATTATATACGTAGATCTGGCTTTTTTTGGTATTTAACAATGATGCGAGAATGAATATTGTGAATAGATGTAGGATATATAACATCTTTCTTTTCTTTGATGATGGATTCACGCATTTATAAAAGTTCCAAGATCTCATTATATATTCTACTTTTATCCACGAAGAAAAAAAAAGGAATTGTGTATCCAATGTTGATCTTTAGGCGTCTTTATTGGTAAAAATTTGTATGCGGTGTTTTAAAATAAGGTTTGCCTTTTGCCATGGCAACAGATGTGCTTTATGCATGCTTCCATAGTTTCTTTTAAAGAACTACAATTGTTCATTTTCTATTCTTTATATATTTCATATATATATATTCTTAAATCGCCAAATCAAAGAGAAAATAAGAATAGAAAGACTGAAAGCAGAAGCAAATGTGGAAGCGAGAAGATTGAAATAAAGTGATTTAGAAGACTTTAGAATGTGATTAAGAGTATCGTTTGAATTGTCTAATATTATCTGTGCTGCCTGAAGTGATTTGAAATGTAACATTAGATTACCAAGACAAGTAAATTAAAATCAATTTGGCTGCTTTACCAAGAAGCCATGTGCAACATTATAAATTCTGCTTTTCTTAAATAACTTTCAATTGATATAATGTTGTGTATATTTCTCATTTCTTCTTCTTCTTTATTTAAATCGTATTTGTATACTTACATTCCTTTTTTTATTTGACATCTGATAACTGTATCATAAGCATATCTCCCCCTGAATTTTATTCTCTGATACAGACACGCACTTTAGTAATCTCCTTTATATATTTAACATATAAAAAAAACTCCTCTCAAAAAGAATAACGGCTCACGATAACATCATCCTTTCTTCTTTTTTTTTTATATCTCACTCCTATTTTTTTTTTATATCAATATTCTTTTTCTATAAAAGAAAAAGCCTTTATGATTCATGACACCAACAGTCAACAACAACAATAATAACACAACGGCTGTCCAAGTTGGTGAGTCTATTTTTAACTTACACACACATATACTTAACCTTATTCCATAGCATTACGAATACGACCCTTAACACAACAAGACAGAGCGCAACCACGTTTTTCTAACTCTACTGATTCCGATGTGTTAAAAGCATATGAAAATTCAGTAGTCATTGTTCCTCACCAGAAATCTTTCCAGTTTGATCATGTTTTTGATGCTTCAAGTACTCAGGAACAAGTATTTAATACAGTTGCATCCAATTTTGTAGATAGATTTATTGATGGTAAATCACATTCCCTTTAATCTTTTATCCATCTAAAACTTTCCTTTTTGTTAGGTTACAACGTTACCATTTTGGCCTATGTGAGTTTAATAAGAATAAACAAATAAACATGAGCATTAAATAAACATTGATAGGGCCAAACATCATCCGGTAAAACTTATACCATGGGCACAGCCATTGATAACCAGTCACCTGCGAATCCAGAACAAGAAGGTACTTTAAACATAAAGATTTAAAACACCTTATTCAATACTATATATAGGCATCATTCCCCGCGCTATGTCAGCCTTGTTCCAGAGATTGCATGATATCCAAAAAGACATACCATCCAATACCATCACCACAAAACGCTCTTTCCCATCCACTACTATATCTACTCTTCAGCATCATTCAGGTTTAAGAGCACCAAAAAGATCATTTTCGACCAATGTAAAATTAAGGCCAGTATCCATGATGACGCCTCCTTCTCGACGTGGCTCGAATGCAAGTTTACCCTCTAACGATAAATCAACTCGATACACAGTTCTTGTCTCATTTATTGAAATATACAATGAAGAACTCATTGATCTTCTTAATCCATCTGCGCCACATGAGCGTTCACCCGTTACCATAAGAGAGGACACTAAAGGACACATCATTTGGACAGGCTTGAGAGAAGTCCCTGTTTCAAATACAGAAGACGTGCTAAAGTAAAGTAACAGCCATTTCTCTAAAGTATGGTAAAGCTAATCAAAATGGATAGATATTTACAAATGGGCACTGAAAATCGAGCAACTGGCTCGACAGACATGAATGCCAAATCATCAAGATCCCACGCTATTTTTTCAGTTACACTAAAGCAAGAAAAATGGGTCCCCAATATCAAAAAGGAGTCCTCATTATCTACCGTACGATCTACTCCAGGACTTACTCATCGACACAGCACTTTGAATGTTAAGGCGCTCGTAGGTCAAATGGAGAAACAGTCCAAGCAAGAGGAGCCCGAGGAACAGGGTGAATGGATGGTAGTTAATTCCAAGTTCCACTTTGTTGACCTCGCTGGCTCTGAGCGACTCAAACGAACAGCTGCTGAAGGAGATCGTCGTAAGGAAGGCATCAATATCAATGCTGGCCTGCTGGCGCTTGGTAATGTCATCTCCGCTTTATCTGATCCTTCCAAAAAGCCAACCTATATTCCATACCGTGACTCAAAGCTTACTCGTCTCTTGCAAGACTCCCTTGGTGGAAACTCGACAACATTAATGATTGCATGTGTCAGTCCAGCCGAGATCAACTTGACCGAGACAATTAATACAATCAAGTACGCTTATCGTGCCCGTAGCATCAAGAATAAGGTTGAACGTAACGAGACAGAAGAGTGGATGACCAATGATAATGTAGACCATCTTCGACATATTATCTCTAAACTAAAAGCTGAAATCAAATCTCTTAAAGCACATAACAGAAGCACACCTTCACCCTTTTCTTCCTCAACCTCAGGATCTCCCACACGCATCACCAGCTTCACAAGTCACGCTCCTCGTGCCCTGGTCTCACCATCATCATCTATTACCGACACAGATCATCGCCCGTCGACTTGTCCATCATCGTCGGCAACGACTCATATAACCATTCCTGAGACAACGACATCCTGCGACTATTTTGATAGTGCTCATCATGGAGACGCGGCTCTCATCGTTGCAGACCTTCGCCGTCAGATAGAAGAACTTCAGAACGAGGTCACCGTGACTAGAGAACGAAATTTGCTAGTTGAACAAGAGCTCAAGAAACAACAGCAAAAGCCTAAAGATCCAGATCCTGCAGAGTTTGAACACCTAGTAGAACCAGTGATTCAGGAGTATGAAACATCCATTTCGAAACTAGAGTCACAGCTCGCCATGACACGAGCTGCTTTGGCCCATTCAGACCAAGCGCTTACCGAACAGCAGGCCAAGATCGCAGAATACGAGGCTCTCCAGGCAAAAGAGATCCAAACATTGAACGAGCTCAAAGCAAAATTAGCATCCGCACTCGAACGTGAACAGACATCAGAGAACTACTGCTTGGAACTCGAGGCGCAATTACAAAAATCTATCGGTAACGAACAGAGAGACCAGCAAATATTGGCCGAGTTGCGTGAGAAGATTATCAAGTTTAAGCAAATGGACGAGCATACAGAACAGTACATTAATGAACTTGAGGCCCGCTTATCAGCTGCAGAAACCGAGGCACTGCAACTGAAGGGCAAGCTGATGTCTCTTCAGTTAGACTCCGCTGCACCTCTGAATGAACGTCAAGATGCTGAAAAAGAATGCATTGCAAGAAAGTTAGCTGAAACAGAGTCAAGATGCCGTGAGCTTGAACAAGAGCTGCAATCTGTCAAGTCAAGTCTTGCTGAAGCATCTAGTGCACAACAGTATGTTGCTGAAAAAACAGGCTGTGGTGTTCAATCAGATCTTTGCAAGAACTCGCTCAGTGCCAACAACGTGTCCGAACTTATGGCCTCTGTTGATGAAAAGCAAGCCAATATTGGCCTTTTGGAATCTCGTCTCAAAGTCATTGAGCAGCTTAAGCAAGAGCTTTCAGAGTTACGTCAAGTTCATGTACAGGAAATTGAGAAACTCGAAGCTACTCTATCTCGCTTAAAGGAACAGAATTTGTTATACCAATCTCAGATCGTAGAAGAACAGCAACGAAGCAAAGCTTTAGAACAAAAGATCGAGGAACTTTCTAGTTCAGCAGAGACGCACTCTGTTGAGATGCAGGAATTACAAAATGAATATCAAAGGCTTCAAGAACAGCTCCGTGAACAAGAGCATAGCTCCCAGATCACTCTTCGCCAGCGTCTAGAGGAGCTGGAAAAGGTCAAGCTTGATATTAATGCGCTCCAGCTAGTTGAAGAAAAACAAGATGCGATCATCCAAGGTTTAGAGACAAAGCTGGAGGAGATGGACCATCTGGTTGGTTCGCTTCGTGAGCAATTGGATAAAAGTAACTTGTCTCTTGAGCGTCTTGAAGCAGAGAATGCCGAGAAGACTAGAATTGCTGCCGATATGCAAAAGCAATTAGAAAGCATGCTCAAAGATGTCTGTGGCATGGGCATGGAGAAGAAGCAACTGGAAAGAGTCATGTACTTTATGGAAGGCACCCTAAGGTTACAAGAAGCAAAATCTGACAAGACCATGGAAACACTAGAGGACATCAAGCAACAGTACAGGATACGTGAAGAAGAAATCGAAGAGAAGAGACGTACACTTACCTTACTGTCAGCAGAAAAGGAAGTTCTATCACAAACGCTTGAACAAGTGACACACCGCGCTTCACAAGGAGATCAAATGGTAAAGAATCTATTAAACGAACTGGAAGAAACCAAAATCAAGTTGGATAAGCAAATCGAAAAAGTTCAATTGCTTGAACAAGAAAATTCACAAGCAAATGTCGAAATGCAGCATTTACAGGCTCTTAAGGACCGTATTGAGGAACTTGAGCAGCAGATTGAAGCGCACAAGAAGGCTGAATTTGAAAAGCAAGCCGAGCTGGATCAGCTAGAATTCACTCTTCAGAATCAATTAATCCAGAATGAGGTACTTGTGAAAAAGATTGCTGAATTAGAAAACTCCTTGAAGACCGAAAGAGCATTTGCTTCTGCTCAAGATACGACCGGCATGATATCCGAGCTTGAAAGCAAAATCACAAAGCTTGAGCAAACCAAAAAGAAAGAGGATGACTTGTGGAAGGCACAGATGGAAAAACTGAGAGAAGAATTGTATTTGGCACGCAAGGAAGGTCAAGAAAAGCAGCACACTGTAGAAGCCCTCGAAACATCCCTCCGTGAAGCTCGTCAACAACTTTCTGAATTTGTAGAAAGGTCAAAGCTCAAAGAAGAAGCGACAAAGGGCTCTAGTGGCCTTGATAAGCTGAAGGTTCACCATAAAGCAGCAACCTGTTCAACTGAATCTATACCCAGCAATGCTACTCCTGAAGAGCTTATTGAAAAGATCATACAATTACAAGAGGATAACTCCCAGCTGGTGAGATTAAATGAAAGCCTTGAGTCCCAACTTGTCTTGCAGCGTAGTCAACTTACACTTGAGACCAAGAACTTGGAGCTAGAGCTGATGAAGTTGTCAGCAGCCAATGATCGTCTTGAAAAGGAAATGGAGCAGGTGATTCCTAGAAACAGTGCTGTGATCGGAAGCGTAGCTTCGCACAACAGGGAATCAGCCCAATTTACTTCTCCTCCTCAAACTCCTCGCGTGGGATCTCCTCCACCTTCTGGTAGCAATAACAATACAATTCAACAAAAATTGCAAAGAGACCTGTCTGGATCGAGTATTACCAAACTTTCTAAATCTGGATCTTTCCGCTCAGTAACTAATGTGTTGACTGATAACGTCGCTGAAGAAGAAGCAAGAAGAATGTCGAGTCTTTCAGCAAGATCTGACATGGGCTCCCCACGTCTCTCGTCATCACTAAGAGGCAGCCGAACAGTTATCAACTCAAGTAGTCTTCCTCCTCTGACTGCTCCTCCATCAAACCCCCTTCCTCCTATTCCCACACCTTTACCACCTCTTCCTATGTCATCATCTTCATCTCCAGCATTCGGAAGCAGCATTACCAATGAGCCATTGTCACCGTCTATACATTCCTACAATCTAGCAGCCAGTCCAACGTCACTTTATAGACAAGATTCAGTAAATTCTACAAGCTTTAGTGATATCATGAGCGCCACCAACACAGCCAACTTTACGCCTGAACAATACGACAAGTTAATTCGATCTTTACAGCGTAAGGCCCGACTTGCTGAAGACGACGTCAAGGCACACCAAGACGTGATTAGTAAGCTTGAATCACAGTTGAGCCGTTCTGAATTATCCATAAAAGAAGTAAAGAAACAACTTGATCAACTAAATCGCGAGAAACAAGCTTGTAACCTTGAAATTCAAAACTTGCGTTCCCAAGTGACACAGTATCAAACACAGCAAAAGACTCTTTCTGAAGAATTACTTACAGAGCGTAAGCAACTAGAAGAAGAGCTGGAACAACAGAAGCAACTGAAGGAAAAGGCAGAAAAAGCTAGAAGAATCCTTGAGAACCGAATGGATGAATTGATGAATAGGAAGAGTAAATTTATATGCTTCTAATTTACCTCTTCACTCCTTTATATAATTGTACAGTAAAAAAAAGCCTTATTATTTAATCTATATTTCATAATAAATATTATGTATAAGCCTCCCTTGTTAAAAGATAAACTTGTCATTGCCACATGTATCTTTTGCCATATCTGTGCATAGATTTAAACATAACAAGCTTGATTATACATTATTGACGAGTATCACAAAGTAACGCCTGGCCCTGTTGCTACTGGTGCAAGCCTAAGATAGAGATTGGCGTTCATTTGAATCTTGTGCAACAGCTCTTGCGGGGAATTAAAAAGTTAGGAGACATCAACTTTAAAAATGCACTATTTTAGGAAATAAAAACTGCAGGTCGCCAAGACACGGTTTCTACTTTGATACTCTTGTAGCACAATGTGTTGCCTTTAAATACAACGCTAAACATAAGCTAACCGAATTTATTCTTATTTTCCTTTGACAACATGCTGATTTCTTCGTCCCTCCTTCTTTTTTCAGTTGCCTTAAAAGCCAATGCCGCCACTATAACCACTAGCAGTTACTTGGCTCAAGTATCGCCCGTCTTCCCTTCAAAAATACCTACACCCTCTGGTGTTGTCACTTCTTATCAGGATGGTCCTTATGATACTGTATCTAGTCTAGATACCACCCCATTGGAAGGGTTTCCTACAACTTGGGCAATTCCCCCAACCGACAGCGATGAAGTTCAAACTATCTACAACTCCATCAATTGGAATAAAGTTCCTAGTGCTCCTGTAAGAAAGATAAAGTCTGATGGCTCCTTTAGCCCTAACTCTGACGGCTCAAGTGATCCTTACTGCTACTGGTCAGATACAAACTGTGTGAAGCCTAAAGCCTCTTACCTTCCTCCTGATCTTTATGAATGCCCCAAAAAAGGTGATTGGGGATTAACGTATGACGACGGTCCATTCAACAAAGTATCGACGAGTGAAAGCTATGCTTCTCTAGAAAATCCTTATGCTGAGCCTGCACTTTATAATTTTCTCGGCAGAAAGAACCTTCATGCTTCTCTATTTGTAAGTATCATCTTCGTCAGGGTAATTTCTTTGAACTGAGCTTCTTCTAGTATATTGGCTCAAGTGTTGTAAACTATCCTGCTGCTGCAAGACTTGCTTTGAACAATGGTCATTCTCTTTGCGTTCACACATGGTCCCACAACCCAATGACCACATTAACTAATGCTGAAATTGTTGCTGAACTTTACTGGGGCATTAAAGCCATCAAGACTGCCACTGGTGTAACTCCCAAGTGTTGGCGTCCTCCTCAAGGCGATGTCGATGATCGTGTTCGTTCTATTGCTTGGCAAATGGGTATGCGTACTGTTCTTTGGAATGAAGATACTAATGACTGGGATATGCCTGATCCCATGAATGGCGGCAATCTTCCTCCCAAGACCGTTGACGGATACTTTCAAAGCTGGATTAACGCCCAGAAAGCTGGTACTTTAAAAACTGGTATTCTTGTCCTTGAGCATGAACTTAACCATATGACTGTGAATATGTCTATGTATTGGTTACCTAAGCTTCAAAGCACGTTCAATGTTGTATCTGCACTGGAATGTAATGGAATCAGTCAGCCTTATTGGGAAACCAACTTTGTTTATCCTGTATCAGATGGTACAACAACAACCACTACTACTACTACTACCAAAGCAACAACCTCTACTACAACATCTGCTACTCCTACCTCTAGCCCTACCTGTACTTCTGGATCCTTTGGCTTAGAAAATGGTGATGGATACAATGGTTACTGCTGTGAAACTCAAGCTGATTGTATTGATGACTGTATCAGTGGCAAATGCAACGGCCCTTCAAACACTAAAACTACTAGTACTACAAAGACTGTCACCAAGACAGCTACTACAACTACCACCAAGACGACTACCAAGACAACCTCAACAGGTGCCTCTTCTAGCTGTGTTGCTGGATACAGAGGAAAGAGAAAGGGTAATGGGCCAACTGGTGCATGCTGTTCTTCCAGTGATGACTGTATCGAAACTTGTAGAAAAGGTATCTGTGGTCTCTAAATTAAATCAATCTCTTTCGCGACACTCTCAGATGATCATTAGCTGTGTATTTTTATAATAAATACTTTAGAGTCTATATTATTTACAATGCATCTTTAACAGAGCGATGACAAAAAGCTTCTACAGTCTTAAGGTACACTCTCTTAGACTTTTTCTATTATATTGTTCTTGATTTATAAGATTTCCATAAAATAAGAGGCATTTTCCAATCTCTTTTCTGCAACAAAGGATCAAATGGATTAAAATTGACTTTTTCAAGGCTTTCCAGATATTTAACATAAGGAACCTATTTAATATATCAGCTTAACTGTCTCTTGAGTATCTATTATTAATACTACCGCTGACAGCAGCACTGGGAATGCAGCATCAGGAACTGATTTGAGTAAAGATCTTGCAGTTAATAGCTGATCGTAAGCAGCAGTAGCCACATCATATACAGCATCTTCTAAGCCCTCAATCTCTCCACGGAATACATTTTCTTGAGATACGTTATGCTACAGAATCATAAGCTTTCGACAATCCATGTAAAGAAAGGATTACCTTGGCAGTCACTTCAGCAGGTAAAACAAGTCGTCTCTGACTAAGATGAAATGGTAATGCTCGCAAGAATGTAGCTATACCGATCATCTTTCCTATATGACTTATAGCATGATCTGCATTAACATCTTTTACTCCCACAGATTCAAGCTGCAAATACAATAAGCTAGAGTGAGTATTCTCTGCATAAGTTTCCATGTCCTTAATGGTCATAAACTGATCATCCAAATTACTCGTCTATTCATATTGTTACCTAACTATCAATTTTTGTAAATCATTTAACTTACTCTTTCAGTGATAATGCGCTTCATCCATATAGATGACAGTTTGCAGGTCTTTAGCGCTTCTGCCAAAGCAATTGCAATAGGTTGCTGTGGTGGGTTATTCTATAGACAATTGGTCCAAACTGTTTATAACTAAATATTAAGTACTCACAGCATAGACTTTATCCAACATGTCCTTCCAGAACTGCATTCGCATTTTCCCAATTTCTGGCTTGGAGACATTTTCACGAATCGAAGCCAACTCGACATTAAACGCACGAAGTGCGTACTGGGTGTTTCTTTGGTGAGCTGGGAAGAATGGTACACATAGGTAAGCATCGTAATCTCTCTGTCTGTAAATATTGGGCTTGATTAATAGAGTGCAAATGTCAAATTTACGCTTTTCTTGCTACCTGGTTAGATCTTTGCAGTATTTTAAAGCAGGCTCTATGCGAAAAGAATCTGGTGCTGTAGAGTATTTTAGCCTATGAATCAATCGAACATTTGTTGCAGATCTTGCTTGGTGTAGGATCATTTGTTAATGTAAGAAGTGAAGAGCAACTCTGACAGGGTTCTAGCTTCGGAACCCTAAACTTTTCAGCTGTCTATTTATGGGCGTAGATCAAAGAAAGGAAAAGTTAAGCTGACGACAGTAAAGCGTCAGCCATGTGCATGTAATGTTTAGTCTTTTATCATAAAGGATATTTTGTCTTTTGAAAAAATACATCACAAAAGATGAATGCTTAAATGAAATTTCTATATTGTCGAGCTTAAAAAGGAGATAATACATTAGTAAATGCTTTAGTAGAAAGAACGCTTGGATCAAGTAGAAGAGAGAATATTCTATTCATTCCTAATAGGATGCACTTATCGTTTGCTTAAGCTGTTATTAACAATGGTTAAGGGAATCTTGATGTCTAGAATTGCTTCTCTTTACAAAAGAAGTCCACGAACATTTTACTGTGATGAATAAATAAAGTGTGATTTTAAAGTATTGCTTTATGCCTAAGCTTGAACTATGATTTATCAATGTGTATCACATGTCTATAAATTGCATTAGACTTGTCATAATCCCATCAAATATTCTTGCCAAATCCATTAGATTTTGCTAGAAAAATAACTTAAACAGGGAGGGAACATTCAAGAAGATTATTTAATCTTACTGAGTGCTGCATAATTTTTTTAATCAAAAAGGAAACTCAGCAAACCTCCTTTCTCGATGTTTCTATCAAAAAACATATAAAAGAGCAACACCTTCTGTTCAAAGTATCTCAAGTCTACTGTAGTAATCAATAATATCAAATGGCTCTTACAAACAGGTTCTTCGCCGACGCTTTCAAGGATATGCACCGCGCTTTCTCCCTTCTGGATGATCCAAGCTTCTTTAACGACGCCCGACGTTCGCTTGGGCACGTTAATAATAACTTGGGTTCTTTGACACGACACCCTGCAACTGATATCAGCGAAACTGTTGACGCTTATGAAATGCATGTTGAACTGCCTGGCTATGACAAGAAGAATATTCACATTGAAGTTACTGATGACCATACCTTGCACTTGAGCGGCTCCGTTCAGCATTACCGTAAAGTATCTTCTGAAGGACAAAAGCAAGACGAGAAGTCTACCGAAGTTTCAAAAGATACCAAGTCTCCTAAATGGTGGGTCAATGAAAGAGCCTCTGGAAGTTTCCAGAGATCTTTCAAATTCCCTGCTCCTATTAATGCTTCAGACATTAAAGCTTCTTATGAAAACGGCGTCTTGAAGATTCGCGTACCAAAGGTTCCTAATGAAGGAAGAAAGCGTATTGACATCAACTAAACAGTTTTATACCTCAAATACCTGCTTTGCATTCATATCTCATTTGCATTTTTTTTTTAAAAATAAAAGCTCTTAACTTTTATAATGTTGGCCATTGTATTTTTATGTGTGATATTGACTCATTGAGATAATATATTGTATTTTCTTGGAATAATCAAAGAAATATCATCACATGGATTTGTTTCTCACTTTATGACATGAACTTGATTAATAAAACTTTTTAAATAACATTATTTTTTTATTAAATGGGCTGATGACTATATATTAGTATTAAATGCGCTTAAAGACCACAGCGACCCTTTCTGCAAGTTTCGAGACAGTCATCGCTGGTAGAGCAACAGTATCCGTCCTTTCCATCACCCTTCTTCTTTCCTCTAGAACCAGGAATGCAGGAAGCAGTGCTTGCAGAAGTACTCTTGGTTGTGGTCTTCTTGGTAGAAGTCTTGGTCTTGGTAGTGGTGGGTTTGCTAGGATTAGCTGGGCCATTACATTTTCCGCTGATACAGTCATCAATACAATCAGCTTGGGTCTTGCAGCAATAACCATTGTATCCATCGCCATTTTCTAAGCCAAAGGATCCAGAGGTACATGCAGGGTTAGGGGTAGGGGTAGCAGATGTTGTAGTAGTGGTGGTGGATTGGCTAGGGCTGGTTGGACCGTTACATTTGCCACTGATACAGTCATCAATACAATCAGCTTGAGTTTCACAGCAGTAACCATTGTAGCCGTCGCCATTTTCTAAACCATAGGAGCCAGAGGTACATTGAGATCCTGGAGTGGGGGTAGCGCCGGAAGTAGTGGTTGAAGTCTTGGTAGGAGATGTGTTATCTGAAGGATAAACAAAACCAGATTCCCAATAGGGCTCAGTAATGCCAGCACAAGTCAGTGCAGGGACAACATTGAATGTCTTTTGAAGAGTGGGCAACCAATGCATGGTCATGTTCACGGTAGCACGGTTAAGTTCGTGCTCGAGGACAAGAATACCAGTCTTAAGCTTTCCTGCCTTTTGGGCATTGATCCAACCTTGGAAGTATCCGTCAACTTTCTTGGGAGAGAGGTTACCACCATTCATAGGCTCAACCATATTCCAGTCATCAGTATCTTCATTCCAAAGGATGGTACGCATACCCATTTGCCAAGCAATAGAACGAACACGATCATCGACATCGCCTTGAGGAGGACGCCAACACTTGGGAGTTACACCAGTTGCTTCCTTGATGGCTTTCAAAGTCCAGTAGAATTCAGCAACAATCTTGATGTTACTTTGAGTAGTCATCACGGGATGGGACCAAGTGTGGACACAGAGTTGATGTCCATTGTTCAAAGCACGCTTAGCTGCGGCAGGATAAGTGGCAACATTAGAGCCGATGTACTAAAAAAATTAGATGATGTGATCAAGGTGTGCATAATTATTTACTTACAAAGAGCGAGGCATGAAGGTCGTTCTTGGCCAAGAAATTGTAAAGGGCAGGCTCAGCATAAGGATTCTCTCTGGACGCGTTTTCGTCGTCAGCATCAACCTTATTAAATGGTCCATCATCATAATTGAGACCCCAATCACCCTTCTTGGGGCATTCGTAGACATCAGGAGGCAAGTAAGACACCTTTGGGTTAACACAGTTGGTGGAAGACCACCAGCAGTATGGGTCATTAGGACCGTCGCTGTCTTTGACCCATTCACCATTTGATTTCTGTTTTCTAATAGGAGCTTTAGGAACCTTGGACCAATCAATTTTTTTGTAAGCAGATTGTACTTCTGGATGATTGGTATCGGGAGAAGACCAAGGCTCGGGATAACCCTTTAATGTTTCAGTGGATAAAGAAGAGCTTGTGTCGTAAGGTCCAGGATTGTAGGAAGTTACAGCGCCAGTTGGAGGCTTCATGTTAGGAAACGAAGGAGAGACTTGGGGAAGATAGCTATTCTTTGTAGATGTAGCAGCATACACCTGCGCGGCGCCTGCAGCAAGCAGGAGTAATGAATTGCTAATATACATGAATTGGAGGGAAAATGAGGGTAAAGTAAATAAAGAGTAAGTTGAAATTGCTCAGTAGTTAAGGTATAAATATACTTTCTGCTTAGTTACACTAAAGCTTACAGCGGGTCATTATTTAGAACCGACTAACGGCATAAAAGGTCAATCGCAGGGTCTAAAGAAGCTTTTTATGTTTCTATAGGGAACGGAAATAATATAACAAAGGCTCCGTACACTTTACTGATACACTGCTTTGTTTCAATGAAATGCAAAAGGATATTTTAGCGCAAAGTTCAGGACGTTGTCGTATCATTTTCTGAAGGGAGCATTACCATTTTCTACTTTGAACGTGACAAACACGATTGATCTTACTGTTTCTGTCTTTTGTATACATTTCTGTGTAGCTATAAGCCCTATTTTTAATTATTTTGGGAATTTTTGCAGCATCAAGTTTTTGTGAAACAGTGGCGTAAGTTAAACACCAAGCGGCGTGCGGGTTTTACAGTTTGTCTGGCAAATTCACATGGGTATGTGCTTGTTGAGTTTGTTACTGCCCATTGCAAAAGTATAGCTATGTTAGAAACTAGCAGATTGAAAGCCGAATAATCCGCGTGTTTACTTTGTTAAAGGGATTTTTAGCATGATTCCGTATCCTTAAATAAGCAAATTGAAAACAGCATGCACTGTCTTTGTGACTCTGCTGTTTCTCTAAAACAAATAACTCTCTTGGTTATTATTTTGGAATTCAGTTCAGAGAGAATAGCAGCAAAGAAAGACGATATTTAAATCTGAGAATAATATGCCTCTTTTGCCCAAGGAATGGTTTCGTTGCAGATATGCATGGGTAAGGATTTATCGTAGTATTAAAGATAGATTTGTTGATTGATCTTGAGTAAGTGAAGTAAGATAGAATATACTCTCTGGGTCAACTCTTTAATAGAAAAGGTTTTCCATATTAGCAAAACTTACTGTAATATTGAAGCCTTGAAATTATATGCTTTTACATGAATATTGAAGGCGGTTCTTTTTACTGGCAACCAATAAAACACAATCAAGGTTGCATAAATACCAGTGCAACCCGAATCCTCTTTTCACAAAACAATAAGGTTTCTAGTACAACAACAGTGAGTATTCTCAGAATAAGTTGAGTCAACTCGACGCTCCTTTATATACTTGATAGAACAGGCCTAAATGCTTCTAGTTAAATATAAATATAGTCGACTTATTTTACTTGAAAAAAACTGGTTTATAGTTATGCTAATTGATCTATGCAGCAACACCTATAATTCATAGTCAGGTTTTATCAACCGCTGTCCTTTATTTACTAATCCTTCTTACTCATTCCTTGATAAAAAAAAACAGTAGTTGCTAGTCATTGACTTTTATTTACATATATTACAAGCACAAGAAATACAACAAATGCAATCCCAACTGCAAAAGAAAACAGGTAACTCAAGAACAATTTGAAAGATAGGAAATCGGTCGAAACCAGATGACAATTCACACTGTTTCCCCTGATAATACCAGATTCAAATTTGGTGCTTGTGAAGCCAAATTGTCCTACGAGGAATCGTCTGGAATAAGGTATGCCCACAAGGTCTGGTTGAATCTGCCAAGAATCCTTAAAGGCATGGTGTACAACCTGTGGTTAATGCTAATTTGGGAAGTAGAAAAAACAATACAAGTTGAGAGGGTAGGCTTCGTCTAAAGTGATAAGTATCTCAACGTAAATTTTTATACTAGTGTCTGAGTGTAGCTTGGATTAAGGGGCTTCTCGTCAAGAATTATAGTAGGTGCCATATGCAAGGGAAACTTTGTCCTGAAAAATATGTCCTAAAAATTTTATTATGACGTCCTAAGGAACTTAACTTCAGACCTCTCAGCCAAAATCAAGCTCCTTTGACACCATAACAAAACAAACTTCTGATACTCTATATTTCAATTCATTATAGATCAACAGGTTACAATATATTCAGAGTTTATTTATTCTTTAAAGTATCACCCATCAAAAAAATATAATGACTTTTTATCAGAAAATTTTTAAAAAAAGGGTACTGTATCCATATATCTATATTTTGGTATTTCATAGAATATGGACTTTTATTAAGCATACAATTCGTCTTTTGCAAATAGATGTAGAATACATGGCCTCTCTTTCTTTGTTGATGGGAACACGTCTACGGAGAAAAAGATCGATTTAGTCTTATCCATGTGCAAGCATCTGTAGAATGTACCTCAATGTCTTTACATCCATGCACAAGAGGGAAATATAGGTATAATGTTCAATCTCAGAACATCTCAAAAAAAAAGTATTGCAACTGCCTTATTTCCTTTTGACAATAAAACATAAATCATTGCTAATGTGTGACTTACAGTTGTAATAATGATTTGTATATATAAATTTTTGCCATCGTTACTTCAATTACAAGTAAAAGACCGGTAAGCCAAACGTGTAGCATTGTAACCAGAATAACTCAGACAATAAGGCATGCGTGCATGTGTGTATACGAATCGATAGACGAGCTTGAATCCCCTTTACCATATGGCACGTGCCACAAACGTTTTTACAGAATCAATCGAGCATTGTTCACTTTGATAACCACATGCCACTTTGTCGCTTTCTCCGTACCTTAAAAAAAAAAGAAACATGAGAAGTGTGTCTTTTATTATTGGAAAGCAATAAGGGTAAATCTAATAAAAAAAAGATATTAAAAAGTAGTTTGCGATGCGAGACATTACCAAAAGTGAGCATAAGGTTAACAGAAAAAAAAAAAAGGTGATCTATTTTACATGCATGTTTCAAAAATAGATAGGGCAAAATTAAAAAGGGGAAACGATTTGCCTGACTATGAACTGGAAAGACGGCTTTCTAATAATAAACAAGCAACAGATAAATCTGAAATAATGATCTTGAACAAGATCCATTTTAATTTCCTTTTTCGAAGGTAACCGCAAACAATGCTTTCAATGTAAAAAAAAATCAAGTTACTTTAGGCTTGTCACGGTAGTCTAGCCTGCATACAATTCATCTACCGACAGTCAACTTTCTTCAACAATAACACACGAGCTGGCATCTTGTGCTTTAAAAAAGCATCCAAACATGCTTAAATCCAGACTTGGTATCTCTATTTGGTAAAGATTTTCAGAAAACGTGGCTATAATAGATTTTAATTAAATCGCTTATGCCAAAGAGATCAGCACCTGCCAGTAGTATTACTACTGTGTCTTATCAAGTCCTATAGATAAACAAAGCGGAGTATACGACAAAGATAATCCTTTCATATCTCTATTTCTTCTCCTTTGCGCGCACTTTGTCTGTATGCGTGAGAGGATCAGATAGTCGGAGAGAGAATGGGCATGCATTTTATTATTTTTAGCTGTGCGTTATTTATATCTGTGCAACACCAAGAGATCTTCAATCAGTTCATTGGGTCATGATGTTCCCATAGGATTTTAAGCTTTCAAGTTGAATGTAGAATATTTAATGCCATTGTAGTTGACAAATAATGTCTTACTGCTCGGTTTACGCGTTTTCAAAAGTTGTACTTGAAAAATGTTCGTGAGCTCCGTTCCATTCTTATGTCATGTGCTTTTGTAGAAGAAAAACTGTTGGTTGCTATGTCTTCATTAGTGGCTTACCTAATTAAGCTCAGCGCCTTTTTTCAAGCTTTTCCCATATTTGATCTTGACCATTTAAATCTCAGGGTTTCGTTTCGCTTTTAGGCAATGCTGTGTTACGATTCTTAATTAGTTGTGAATTTTGTGAGAAATATTATAAAATTGCTGTCCTGGAATCACTATGGAGATGCCGTAATGCTGATAAGGGGAAGAGAGGTATTGTCATATTAGGAAACCTGAGTTTTTATTCATAGACCAGTAAAAAAGAGTGGTAATCCATATGAAATTGCCATCAAGATGGTTATGGTGAAAGGCACAAGGAGAAAAAAATTAAGATGAGAAAGGGAATGAGGAAAAAGAATGATTCTTGTGTGGATTAAATCTAGCTGCCCTTGAAGCATTGTCTTGGAAGCAGTTACCTTGGTAATATAGTGAGAAAATCACATCATTTTCATTACTGATAATAGATCGTTAAGAACATCGTTCAAGAATCCAAACATTCGGATTGGGATATCCTTCACTAGATTAAGAAAAAATAATCTAAAGTGGATATAGTGTAACTGTTGGCACCATGAACACTCTTTTATTTTGTTTAATGGATTGCCCTTTACATGGATAATTGCGCATCTCTGTTTTACAGGAGCGAAGCACGAGGTGTACAACGCTGCATGTGCCTCGAAAATTTTAAAGCGGCATTAGACCAAATTGAAGATCTACACAGGTATATGAACGTGAATGAGCTCTACCTTTAAGAATAGTGTTTATGGGACCAAGACGGAAAGATGTTTTGTATCCAAGGGCTTCCTTAAGCACAGAATCAGTTCTGGATGGTCTGTGATCTCTCTTTTAATCGGAGAGCACTGACAAATGAAAGTAGGACGAAATTTACCAGTGGCACGTTTCTTCTTATTCGGCTTTGGCTTTCATTGCATTATTTTGGTCTTTTTAGTGTAATTAAGGTTTGAGTTACTATAAAAAATTTTAGTTCACGATTTTTATGCCTCTCCTCCCTTTCCCTTATCCCCTATTTTAGGTTATCGACCAATCATTTTTATTGTGCCACTTGCTCCTTTATTCTAACTACTTGTATATAAATTATTTCCCTCTCTCTCTCTTTTCTTCATCACCCTTTCTTGTTTATATTTTATATATTTATACATATACATACTAGCATCTATATATCTCTCCATTCTTTATTATGAGCTTCTCTAGAATGATCAAACCTTATCCTCAACAAGAATCATCTTATTCTGTTTATCGACCAGCTTATCATCGAATTCCTTCTACGGGCAGTGTTCACAAAGAATCGTCCCCTGAAATGACATCTCCTATTGTTGTACCTTCCATGTCTAATACACTTGTCTATAATCAACCCACTTATGCTTATTACACTTTTTACAGACAGCAACAACAACAACAACAAGTAGCTGTAAGTATTATAAAAAACGTATGACTTTTTTTATATTTACCAATACTATTTAGTATCAGCCTATTATGCATGTACCTATTCACCACACACTCGAAAATGCTACCATTACTTATGATACCACTATTGAACAACAAAAGGATCTTGTCAAGGACGTCTTTTTTTCACCTGCTATGAATGATCGAGAAATGTCACCTGGCTGTTCAACGTCATCCACTAGTTCTCAAAGTGGTGATGACGATGATGACGAAGAAAGTACTAAATGCAGTCCAAGTGAACTCTTTTCTCTCGACGAACAAGAAAATCTCTTTGATTTTGGTCTCGAACTTGATAAGAAGCCTGGGTTCAGTCTGGACTTGAATCAGTCAAGGAAGTTTGATGGTAACCCTGACCTACTGCCTACACCACCTGCTATCGATTATGCCTTTTCAAACAAGCGACGATGGTCGGATTCGGTGCTTGAACAAAATAACAAAAAGCAAAGGCTACAAGACTTATCAACACCACCAGTTTCTCCTACTTTGAAGCTATTTGATAACAGTAGCTACTTTGATGAATCTGATCATGAAGAATCATCACATAACACCGAATTTCAATCATTTGAACAACAAGAGGATGATACGAGCTCAATCGGTTCTTGGGAAGAGGATTCGGAAGATGATGAATATGAGCTATATGAACGCAAGAAACAAGACAAGAAGAACACTGTACAAGAACAACAAATGCATGATCATCACGACTTACCCTTGGCTGATGCTAGACCCACATCCTACCCTACCATCTATCAGAAACTGACAAAAGCAAATATTGATTGGTGCAGATACTGCGGGACAACAGAAGGTGTCAATTGGAGACCAGGACCATGGGGAAAGAGAACACTATGTAATAAACATGGATGTGACTATAAAGGATACGGATTCGCATGCAAACTACCCAGACTAAACCTGACGGAATTCACAAGAGAGTCAATAGAAGAGCGAGATAGACCTGTGCTGCAACTTTACTGTACAGTCTGTCAGCGAAAAGAATCTTGGGAAGGTAATGTCCTGGTAAGATGTGAAGGCTGTCCAAAGGCATACCACCAAAAATGTTTCAAACAAGAGATATCATCCGAGTTTGTTCAATCGAATGAACCATGGTTTTGTGATGAATCATGTTCAGAAAATAGCAAACGTAAGAGAATCGTTGTCGAGTTACCAAGGAAAAGATTACCCCTGATGTGTGCACCAAGTAAAATTACCAAGCCAACATTTTAATATGTATATATAATCCTATGCCCCCTCTCTTCTCCTATTTCCCCTATATATAAATTGTATAATATGCATTGTTCAAATAAAAGTAAATTTTATTTAGTGTTAAAATCTTCCAGTAGTTACACTTTGAGGTCTATGAACATTCTCTATATCCCAACCTTTCTTCAGTTCTTCGACGCTACTACTACTGTGCCTATTATTCATTTTGGCTTTGGATGATCGTGTAGGTGTTTGTGCTAGTCGATCGAATACTGACTTATTTTTGATGATAGGACTTGGACGTCTTATACTGTCCTCATCATCATTAGACCCTCGTCTTAAATGAATGCTGCGAATAGATGATGTACTGGATTCATGATCAAATATATATTGTTCAATTGCGTCATCGTCTTCTTCTTCTCTAGATAATCTCTTTTGGATCATGTTGTAAAATCTATCTGGTGAAGGCGTAATGGAATCTCTCTTTTTAAGTAGAATGTTATGAGGTGATGCAATGGGTGAATTCGGTAAACTGAGTATTTGGCGTTTTCTCATCAAGTTGAGTAAGTCTTCATCTGTATTAATATTATCGGCATTATTATGACTGTGATTATTATTATGGTTATTATTATGATTATTATTAGTAGTAGTATTCGTAGTAGTAGTGTTGGTGGTATCTTTTAAGGTATTAATAGTGCGCTTTAGCTCTATGATGGTTTCTTCCATGCTCTTTAAAGTATTATGATTTTCATATTCATTCATTTTCAATTCCATAACATCATCTACTAAGCCTTCAATAATGCTTTGATATTCATCTTGCTCAAATGATTTGATCAGCTTGCATGTCATTTCATAGGCAATCTCTGGTGCTGTATTCATCGGTAAACTGTATTGCTCTTCAAACATATCAATATCGACCCACTCTTCTTCTACTTGCTTTATTTCTGGTACAATCTCATCGACAAATGTGACATGCTTTCCTGTCTTTCGATGATCCATTAGCGCAGCAGGCATTTGCTGCTGCAAGCTATCTTCAACAGCTGCTTCTTTTTGTAAGCAGCGAACTCTAGAGGTGAGATAGCTTATTTCAGCAGAGATGTCCTCAATACGTTCATCCATTAATTCAATAGCAATCATGTCCATAGGCTGCCCTGTGTTTTCCTCATGGTCTCGTTCTACTTCGTATACATGTTCTCTTTCTTCCTCTAGCTCTAGCTTTTCTTTGACTAGTTGTTCTCTTCGTAACAGTAATTGTTCCATTTCAAAAATGGCCTGCTTTCCTTGAATATACTGCGCAAGTGCTCTGTCTAACAACTGTTTCTTACGACTGATACGGATGGTCAAAGGAATAGGGTTTTTCTTCTTCTTCTTGGGGAACCCATGTCCTCCACCACGGGCAATGACTGCAAAGTGACCACCGAGGATAGGTGCTAGCTTCGCCAACATCTTCTCGTCAAGGATGCCTCCCTCGCGAACAGCTTTCTTCATAACAGCAATTGTCTGTTTCAATTGGCTAGTACTCATCATGATTTCCTCATTGCGTTTTCTGAGAACATTCTTTTGTTCTTCATGTTCTCGTTCCAGCCGCTTCTTTGCTTGGCTGTACTGTGCTTGCTGACGTTGAAGTTGCTGGATTTTGCGCTCTTGTCTAGAAAATTGTTCTCGAACACGCTCAGCCTCTGCCCTCATGCGCTGGGCCAGTCGTTTCTTCTCTGCTTCTAGACGTTGAATGTTCAGTTTGAGTGTCTTTAAAGCGGATTCATTCTGATTACGAGCGGATTGCACGCTAGTTGTCGCACTCGTATATTTGCGTGTCAAATCTTGAATCTTGGCCTGCAACTGCTTTATTTTGGATTCATATTCTTGGCGAATTTCAGGTTCAACTTGCTGCTTGATATCTGCTTTGATGGCCATGTTGGATTTTGTACGCATCAAGGCCATATCCTTTTCCTTTTGCATTTCGACCAATTGTGTCTGAAGGACATTGATTTTTTCGTCAAATTTTTTGCGCATAAATGCAAATTCGGTCTCTGATTTTTCAAGATGAGAGACAAGTTCTTCTTTGACCTTGATATCTGATTGAATTTGATGGAGCATTTTTGAGAGCTTTTCAGTGTATTTTGAAGGAGCAACGTATGGCTGTTGAGAGATACGGCTCTGAACAGTGTTTTCATCACTTGATTGAGATTGCCTTGAATCCCTGAATTCTTCATTTTTCCAAACGGGTACCTCCTAAAAAATATTTAATGCTTGTGTAAAAAGAGAGATAGAGAGAAAGGGGATACTCACAAGGGTCTCAATATTACGAATGTAATCATCAAGGCTAGAAAGAAATAACTCATTCTCTTGACGCTGCTGCTGCAAGTCTCTTTCTTCTGCCTCAAAGACCTGAAATAGAATATTAATGTGGTTCTATTGAACCATAAAAAATAGCTTTCTTACTTTTAGTTCTTCTTCATAAGAAGATTCTTCTAGGGGCTATATTGTGTTTAAAGGAATGCTTTTGTGGTAAATGTAAAACTAACCTTAACCAACTCCAAGACTTCAAGGCTTTTTCGAATGTCTGCTCGAACTTTGGCAATGCTCTCCTTAACTTCTTCTTGTCGGACATCTTGTTCCTGAAAATCATTGACGATCCCCTCATCTTCGTCGTCCTCCTTTCGCTTCTTGGTTTTTTTATGTTTTTTTCGTAAAGTTGCACTAGTACTAATGACAGTTCTTCTCATTTTAATTCGGGCTGCATGACGTTTACTAGAGCTACTGCTGACGCTTGGCTTTTTGCTTGGCTGTGAAAACTTTTGAATGACAGCACGTTCTTGCTCCATGGCTTTCACTTTGGCTTGTGAATCCAGGAGTTGATTTCGAAGGTCCTGAATGGTCTGTTGATACTTTTCAATAAGGGGATGTGTCTTTACGGCCCGGGTGGTGCCGATGTTTTCCAAGAGAGAGCCTTCATCTTGGTCATTTTGCATGAATTCGCCCATTTCGCGCTCTATTAAGAGCGTATCTCGTTCGCTTGTAAGCTGGATAATCTGTGCAGACATCTGCTGGATTCTTTCCTGAAGCTCTTGTGTGTCACATGACGACTGTTGTTGCGGCTGTGTCGTACGCAATTCGGCAATCTCGAGCCGAAGCTTGGACACGAGCGCTTTGAGTTGGTTGACTTCAACGGAAGATCCGGTGAACTCTTGATTGATGCTTACCCGGTTCTTGATGTTGCGAGCACGGTTCGCATATTTGAGCGTGCTGAGAGTCTCTTGAAAATTGGTATCTGCTGGTGATACACAGGCCAACATGAGCGTTTGACTGTTACCGCCCAAAGAATCTTGTAGGAGACGAGTGAGTTTGCTGTCTCGATAGGGTATATGAGTCGCTTTGCGAGCCTCATCACCAAGAGCAGAAATGACATTGCCTAGTGCCAATAATCCAGAGTTGATAGCAATACCTTCTCTGGCTCGGTCACCTTGAGCATGTGTTCTTTTTAACTAAAGACAAGCATGAGTACAAGTTTCCTAAAAAAAAAGTGATACTACTACTTTACACGTTCGGAACCGGCCAAGTCAACGAAATGAAATTTACTTGATAATGACTTGATCATTTTTTTTCCATCCTCTTCCAATGGTTTTTGCTGTTTTAACAAGACTGAGAATATGGCGTGAGATCGAGACGAGACTGAATTCATTTCGGTAGAACCGGTTGTACGATTAAGTGAACCTTGAGCGAGATGGTTCAATACGTCTTGTGGGCTGTAACAAATTTCTTCCTTGACACCTGTCCAATATATATGACCTGTTATGTCTTCTCTAATGGACACTTCTGTCACTTGTGGTAATTGTTGCTGTGATCTGCGCTTTGTTTGCTGTGTATTGTTTAATAAATCAATAAAGTCCTCATTATAAAGTTCAAGAAAGGACACATATATTTCATATTTATATTCCGGATCCTGTGCTTCACGGTTCTTTAAAATATCAAATAATTCAACGATGCAACGAGGCACAATGCCTTTGAGTTTCACCAATTTCATTTTTTAGTAAAGTGTTTTCTTTCTTTCTTGTAATAATACCTTCATTTCCGTGACTTGATGTGTTTTCTAAACTTGTACCCATGCTGTATGTTTTACCGGATCCTGTTTGTCTGTTATAGTCAAATTAATATGTATCACATATATCAAATCATTCTATTACCCATAGGCTAATATGGTAGCATTAAATCTATAAAGAAATAAGAAAGAAAGAAAATATACATTTTAAAAGATTACCCGTCAATGAATTTATGTAATAATGGAGATGCAGCTTGTTGATATACTTGTGATTGATCTGTCTTTGTATTAAATACATAATCATATGTAAACGACTTGTCTGCTCCTATCAATATCTGTGGTGTATCTGGTATACATGTTATGCATTCTGTGCAATTATTCACTATTTCTTTTTCAGTCAAAGGTCGAACTCTCAATCCAACCCTATATTGATTATGGGTTATTACTAGATTATATATAGCAATGTCTTGTTATACCTCACAGCTGTTGAAGTCATAGTTATTAGTATTAGTATATATGTACAGTCTAATAGAAAGAAAAAAAAAGAAAAAGAGAAAGAAAGAAAGAAAAAGAGGGGCACAAAAAATTTGAATAAAAATGATGCAGCCCTTTTTTTTAACAAAAAGACAGAGAGAATCGGTGATAGTTCCGAATGGAGTCAGTCATGTTATTAGATGCAAACAAACCATTTTGTTTATATTTCATATGCTTTCCTTTATTCTCTTTCTTATTCTTCACATCATTCCATTTCTCTCTCTCTCTTTCTCTCTTTCTCTTTTTATTTTTTACTCCTTTTTCTGAGAAGCAGTCAGTACTTGGCGGACATCAAAAGCGAGTTTAATCTGTAGCCATCTATCCTCTTGTAGATATAGCTTTATTCAATAAAGCTAACGTTACGTTCACTCAGACTTTTCATTTTACTATCAAGTCCCCCCCCCTCAAGTATATTTCATCTGAGGAGACAAGGCATCGCTAAACTTCAAACTTGGTATGACCTGCCCTTCTCCCTCCCTCCCTTCACTTTGACACAGCATTTGGTTATTGCTTATTATTTCCTTATATCATCAAAGAAGTCAAACGAATATACTCACTATCCTTTTGGGTGTAAAAGTTGACAAAATGTGCTGTAGAGTACATTATTTATGTTACACGATTCTGTGCACAGTCTGCGTCATACGTGGCTCTTCCATCAACTGTCTCGGGCAATATTCTGATTGGACTACATGTTGATGGCTGATCTATATCCAGCCCATAGTTTCCTTTTTTTGGGGGGTTATTTTATGACCCATTCTTGTCGTTTTTTTTAAAAAAAACACAGATAGGAATAAAAACAAGGGATTCTCGCTGCAGGTTGCAGGTACCTGGTAAAAGCGTAGATCAGGGGGAAGATGGGGGCTACATTTGACAAGTCCAATCTTTTACAACTTAAATTCCTGTTATGCAAACAGGATACCATAAAATATTTATAAAAATATAGTTGACTATCCCATGTACCTGGTTTTGTCTGTGCTGTATAATTGGCTCATCCCCCTGATACTCTGTTTAGATTGCTAATAGCACAAAAGTGTCATAAGATCTAAGCTTATGCTTTTATATATCGTATAGGGTACACAACATCTCATTGGGCTGCATTAATTGTTTAGGGGCTACGACATCCCCTCCAAACAGTTTCAAAGAAAAGAAAAAAGTTACAAGAGCCTGGTGCTATTTATTCTATGTACAGTCGTTAAAAAGGCAGTCCAGATGATCTATTATGGTTCATCGTCGCTATCCTCTTCATCTCTTTTTCTTTTTCCAGTCAAACTTCTTTCAATATCTTTTTTCATCATCTCTTTTCTGACAAATATAAATGTCTTTGGAGCTGAAGATAAAATCTCTAGGTTTCCACCTTTACTGACACCTTCTTTATATCCTAATGTACGTCTATGCTCGTATCCAGGAAAGTCATCAGGATGAAATGGTCTAGTCCCTTTAGTAGCCAACACTCCTAGTGACCTAGCCAAACCTTTGACAGACCACAAGTCATAGGGCTTGCATGTCTTTAACGTAATATGGATCTCTCCTTCTTTTTCTAACAGTGGTTCGGCAGCTTGAAAGAAGGCAGTCAACAGCTTTTGGTTCGCAATGACATTTCTATCCTGGTCCTTAATACCAGCACCTATGAAAAGATCAATAACCTATTGGAACAAAAAGATGTCTTATTTTACCTGCATGAGGAAAATTAAATATAATCTTTGTATATTTGTTCTTTCTTATCTCTTTAGAAAAATGAGTCGCATCAATGTTAAACATAACTGTGGCTCCAAGTTCACGTATGAGTTCAATGTTTTCTTTTGCTTCTTGATATTTCTCATACAAGACTTCCTCACTATCATAACAGGTAGCAATCATGTTCTCAGCACCTTCCATCAGGTAATTCTCTGCTAATGATTTAGCAAACGAAAAATTTCCTTCACCCACAAGTAGTAGTTTATCTTTTGAACAGTATTCTGGTCGTGGCCGCGTGATTGTATTCTTTGTTTGCTTCTTTCTAGTCTTTTCGGCATTTAATTGTGCCTGTGCTTTCTTTTCTGCTATCATCCGTTTCTCTGCTTTAGAAAGAACTCGATGGAGTGCATGTGCAAGCTTCTTCTTTTTTGGTTTGGCCATGATTAAAAAGAAAGAGGTGTACACAAGCCACTTTATTAAATATTTTTTTGCATAAAATCAAAAAGGAGAGATGACAACAAATAAACTGTTTATTGCTATGCTTGTTTATTTTTTAACCAGAACAGGCTTTGGGATATCCAATAAGGTATAGAGTTTGTCTCTTTCCGTCTTGATGATATCTAATGGTTGTGCCCTATTTGTTCAAAAGTCAACCCGTGTTTCAATAATGAAAAATGATGATAACTTACCAATCTGTGCCAGTAATGATATCCATAGCTTCAGTATAATCTTCTTCTGCTACTGAAAGAAGAGTGTATAGTTGATCAGATGCTTCAATACGAACCTAAAAGAGAGCTAAATGTCTGTTTATAATAATTTTTATTTATATTTACCCTAGGAAACGAGTGAACCAAATAAGCAAGTAGCTGCTGCAAAGCTTTCACTCTGATACCAACTATATCCAATGATGCCAAACCGGTATAACTATGTTTATAATTAGCCATTCAATGCACACAGGCACTGTTGTTCTTTTGTCTTACACTTTAATCGAGGATAGAATCTTTCTAATGTTTTTACTTTTAAAAGTCTCCTTCTTGGTTTGTAAAAATAACTTCAGGTGTCTAAAAAGAGCGGGTTAGATTGCATACATATAAGCTGTTTAGATATTTACAGTTTTTCATCTGCAACATTCAATAATGTTCCAGATTCATACAACAGACCAAGGACATCTAGCAGAGGCAAAGTAACACGCTCTTGTCGCAAGTATTTTATAAATATATCAACAAGTGTTTCGAATAATGATGTTAATGAACAATCCACTGATCCTTCAATAGGCAAACTGTCCATGTATTCTATCAAGCAAGTGCTGGAGTGTCGTACCTATACCCACAGTATAAAAAATCAATGTCGAAGTGAGCCCCCTTGTTCTTTATTCTTACCAAAGACTCAGTTAAGCCACCTGCGCTTGTTATGAGACCAGTAAGCAATTCAAACCTATATTCCGAGATACTTAACAATTGGACCATTGTTGGGTATATATCTGACGGTGCTGACCAATTAAGGCCACTATATGTTTAAATATTGAGCATAAATCACTACCATGTTTCCATTATTTCTTTCATTACCTGTAAATGTATTTTTTTAGGCTTTCTTTAGAAGATATGTTCATATCTTCATCAGAGATTAGGTCATACAAGGCTTGTCCGGCACATGCCCTTACTTTATCAATACGCTCTACACTTTGTTTCAATAGAGCAGCCACAAAACGGGTTGTTGTTTGCATGTCCAAATATGATGATTCACCTTTGGTATCTAATTTAGAAATGCATGGCATCAAAAACCTAAGCAGATTCATCGTCGCAACGCGAACCCAAGAGCCTACATCACCTCGCTGATCCGTGCTATAGTCTGTTAAGCATGTTTCAAGGCTCAATAATATATATTGAAAGTCCTTATATGAAATGGCTATACAATGAGGTTTATATACACCCTTTGACCACATTTGTTTTGGTTTGTTTTTTCATTTAAACTTGCCTTGCTTCAAATGATCATTAAGCGAACGTAAGATTTGCGTCAGTCCCAGGATAGCATTTCGTTTAGCTTCTGCATCATTTGCCTGATGGTCTTGCTGATGTTTAAAGTATATTCAGTATTTAGAAAACTATAAACCACTGGCTACTGTTACCTGTACTTGTGATGCTTTGCATAGCTGCATCAAAACATCATGAAGCCATTCATGATATTGCTCATAGTCTAAAGTACCAAGAGCAAGTGTGAACCCTCGTCTTGCATAATACATTGGGTTTGTCATTTCAATCTTTATCAGCGCCTCTTCAATTTCTTGTCCTTGAATACCAAAAGCCTTTGCAACAGCTCCAAATGCAACAACTGCAAATTCTTGAACGTTTTCCTCTTTTCGCTCTAGCGAGCTCCATATGATCTTCTTGACGTCTGGAAGATAGTTATCAAATGCTATACCAGTAGCAGAAAGACAGCTAATCAAATGACATGCGGCTTCTCGTATATGTTCAGAGCCAAATGTTGTAAGTGAGCGAAAAGGCAGGTTAGATAGAATAGGAACGAGCAAAGGAGCTTGTTGATGAAATAGTTTTTGAACTTTAGGGTCATTCGTCTGCCATAGTGATAATGAAATCTCGGCAATCGCTAATAAGGCGCCATGTGATATTTGCATATCTGTACTTGTGCAGGAGGGTATCTACAAAGAAAGTATGGGTGAACCTTTTTTTCTTTTTCTTTTTTAAGTTGGCATCATACTAAAGATTGGAGACATGAGTTCATAAAGTAGATTGGATCTAGTGGGGCAAGGTTATACAAGGCTTTCGAAGCGAGAACTCTCATCGCTTTATCCCAATGCTTAGATGTAATGTTGATAAGATGGTCGATCAAGTGATATCTATATTCCTCAAATCTAGGTCATCTTAGTGTATAGTTATTTAAGGAAGGTATTATTCATTACTTGGCAATCTCTGCAGCAATATTCAAGAATGCATTATTTCTGTTTCCTACTGAGAAATAGTCTGCTACTTGTATAATATCGATACCATGTGGAAATATGCCCTGTCTTCCGACATTCTCTTGGAAGGCAGCACTGCTTGCACGACGTACGTTGATTTCTCGATCAAAGACTGAGACAACAACCAGGTTTTGGGCAATTTCCTGAACAAAGGGTTTGATAATTTCAGGAGCGTATGCTCTGGCAAATGCCCAAAAGACATAACAGCATGCATCTCGCACATGTGCACCTATTGAATGAGACCCCTTTTTGATATCGAATTTTAGGCCCTACATGTATAGTTAGAAATATACATATATCAGACTTTATATTGACACTTGCCTTGTTGACCCATGGGATCACTTCCTTTAATCGTTTTGGTAAAAGTAATCCACGTCTTGCAAGTTCTGCAACCGCAAGAGACACACCGTGCCATGTGCTGTCAGAAACTGCAGATAAGTCTAAAGTGTTTGTGCTTTTTTTTATAAATGTGTTTTCTTTAAATAGCTCTAGCAGAGAGCTTATCACATCCTCCGCTAATTCCCGAGGAAGTCTTTGTGTAATTCGTCCAATGCCCTTGGCTGCAGACCATCTTACAATGGTGTCCTTGTCTCTTAATCCGTTCAGTAGAATCTCTATGATTATCTCGAGGTTCTCTGAGACTTCTTCTTCGCCATCATCATCCTCTTTGTGTTTTATTTGCTGATTTGCAACAACTGTTGAGGTTAAACCTTCCAAATTATGCTTTAGTGAGCGATTTCCTCTTTGATATCTCCATGCTGCCACTTTTGGCCTTAGATAAGCAAGACCAACACGCTGAGTTAGCTTGGTTCTCAGTTTTCTGATAAGTGAATTATTGGCATATGTGTCAAATATTGGCATTGTTAATAATGGCATAACATGTTCGTCAAGAGTAGGTAAAAGGGTTTGACGAGGTGAGAGTTGATAGACAATGCACAGGCTTTGAAGTATACCTGCCACCTCAAACACGTCGGTTGTGTTGGTCAGTTTATCCTTTGCCCATTCAATGAAAGGAATAAGATGGTCATCACACAAATCTTGCCGTGATAATAAACGAGCAATAAGAAAGCTAGCGCCGTCTCTTTCCTTTCCTGTAGATTTAATATATCTTTTGCATAAATCTAGCATTTTGATGACCAGCGAGTCCTGCGATAAAAAAGAAAAAGTAAGAGACAACCTCTTTGTTCGTGTTTCTTTATCTTCTTACTTGTGATTGGCTGGCACTGTCTATTCTCTTCAAATCGAAAGGTATCATACAAATAAGTGATAACCATATAAAGCAGATGTATCTCAACTCCCAAGAGCTACCAGTGATGTCTTGTTTGCATAAAAATTCAAAAACTGGCTCCAAATCAGTTACTTCATGTGGCATAAATTTGACTTGTATAAAAGTTAGAATATATGACATATAACAGTTATTATTCTTATTACCAATAGTTTTATATCCTCTTGTTTTTGTGAGGAGATACAAAAAGCGAAATAAGCGAATGGTATCTTCAGGCACACCTTTATTGGCTCCATTTTCCTGCAGCCAGCTGTCAATATTTTCTCGTAATGTCTGCATGACAGGTTGAATAAAAGATTCCAAAAAAGGATCTAATAAATGAGGTTGTTCTTGGTATAAATCTAACTATAGTAAAAAAACAAAAATATTAATTCTCTATAAGTAAAAAAGAGTAGAATAACTTTACGACATCACCGAGACGAACAAGTGCTTTTGAACAATCCTGAGTGCTTGCTTTATTTTGAATGATAATCTCGAGATTTGCCATGAAATCCTCTTTATCTTCAAAATGGGACTTTTGATATATACATTTCTCTTCTTCATTAAACACCTCTTCGTTCATTTCACTCTCTTTTTATTTTGACAGGAGAAGAAGAATAGGGGGGTAGAAAAACGTGTTTGGGTGAAATAAGCACTATTTAACTCCGGCATATGCCTTTTTACCTATTTTGCTTTAATAAATATGAATGTTCAAGACAGAGTAGGCTCACTTCATTCATTCTTTGATCTTCAGAGGGCTGCAGTTATTAGAGACACAGCAGCTGTTAGACTAAGGAAGGCAGCACAAGGTTTGGATTGTTGGTATTGTATATAGATTGCTTATATATATTATAGAGGGTAATCTTGCAGCCGTGAAACGACTTGTCAAGAAAGTGGTAAACATACAAAATCCTGACCCGGAGAACGGATAGTACATAGAGAGAATTTGTTAACTAATAAAACTCTTACTCATCTATCCTGTCTCTAGCACAACCTTGATGTATGCTGCAAAATGTGGACATGTAAATGTAGTAGAGTATTTATTAGAAATTGGACATGAAGAAGAAGTCATTTCAGTTGTAAATAGCAGTAAACAAGAATAAATATCAAAAGATAACATAAAATTAGGATAATGAAGGAATCACAGTGCTGATGATTGCGGCCATGTATAATCACAATGAGGTACATTTCATTGTTTTTGATATTTATTTACTCTAATTCATTCGACTGTAGATCTTCTTTTTATATGTCAACAAATATAAAGAATGTATTCATGCTATAAGTAAAAACGGATGGACAGCGCTTTTATATGCAGCTCAAAATGGAAATACAACCATTGTCGGCGTATGCATCTGCATAAAAAAAATTAATTTGAATATAACTTATTCCCTTTTAGTTTCTATTATCCGTTCCTGTTGATCTTGATCATACTGATAATGAAGGAAACTCTGCTCTACATTATGCTGCAGCATGGGGTCATGTCAATGTGATGGATCTCTTGGTGGTAAGGAAGATAACGGAAACATGAACTTTATTAAGCGTTTAGAAAAAAAAGTCGGAAGGATGTAACATTGATTTAAGAAACAACGACGGTGCGACTGCCTATGACTATGCTTACAGTAAAGCTATACAAGATCATCTTAGAGGTTGTGGTATAAACATGTGTAAAACACCAAGGCTAAATATATTGTTATTGTTGTAGAAATATCCCAGGCTCATTTCAATGATGATTCTTCATTATCCATAGCATCATCGCAGAGACAGCAAAGCTTTACGAACGCTCCATATTCTTCATCTTATTCTAGTGGGACTCACTTTGGCGTAAGCTCAACGTCAATCTCACGCGGACCATCTTGTCCTGGTCATGAATCCCCTGTTCCTCGCGCTTCTACATCTTCCTCTTCGCTCATGAATCAACCAATGACAGGAGCTCAGTTAATGTCTTCCAGCCCACGAGGTCCACACTACTTTCAACAACAACAAAACAGTGGAAGCCCGACTTCTTTTTCAGAAATCGAGCGACGAAGAGCAAGCAGTTTTGGGGATGTGAGGCAATCAAAAGCATACCGATAAGTGTATACCAATTGTAGTATTAATTATTTCAATGAATAAAGGATATTCCTCCTTTTATGTGTAAATACTTTAAACATGAACAACTATTCTTTCTTTCTTTGAAGAAACTGTCTCCTTCTTCTATTAATATCTTTCATCGTTATATCATCGCTAATACTTGGAGATGAAAAGATGACCTAAATGTATGTATTATTAGCATTATATGGCTGACTCCTTTCAGTGTACCTCTATAAAATGTCGACCATCAATTAACTCCTTCGGTGCATTTTGAAGTATTTGAAAAGCATCTACTGAATCCTCTGCTTCCCATATACTCTCCTCGTTCATCTTGATGATTGTTAATGCAGCTTGATAGAGAACCTTAAAGCCACCGCCCCTAAGTATTTACTAGTAAATAATCATACATATGATCCATGTCATCTACTTACACAAAAAAGCAATCCCATACGCAAAGAACTGTCTCAATAGGCAAAATGTTGATAAACAATGTCATAAACCAGTGATTTGTAACAAGCGTAATTGGAGGCAAATTATTTTCTTGTTCACATTCCCAAAAACATTTTCTACTGGCTATCTTTGCCCACACGCCTGGTAACTTTTCATACACTAGCATCATAAGCACCGTTTGCTCTATATTTGCACCAATCATTTTGGTATCAAACATGCCTTCTGGAAAGTAATCATGGACAATTGTATGCATCATCCAGAATGCGTCTTCTTCACTGTCCAAAAGTAATACCAACAAGCCTGCCAAAAAGTTGAATGACTGGCAGTAACCTATCTCAGGCGAATTCATGCTGAATGCTAACAAAACTCTACGCAGCATATGTATCTTTGTGGGCTGCGTTGTCGATGAATCGTCTGCAAAATAAATATTGTCTGGAAACGTTCGGCAAAGATCTCTTTCTATAACAGCCGCGTATTCATTGGATTTGCCTGCGTCTTCTGCCTGCTTAACAAGTAAGTCATATAGTCCTTGATTTTCCAGCTTTTTTCTACTGGCTCCACTATAATGCATCCAAATCTATTCAAAATTTCCTTTAATTGAAAAGTTCCCTTGTTTTATATTTGTAAAAGGCTACCTTGGGTCGTAACTCTCGAGGTATTCCGTCTTTAACAAAACGAAAAACTAAAGCATAAAACTTTATTAGATTCTCCTTTCTCTCTGGGAATATCTACTTACGCTGAGGCCCTATCGATGGCCAACCATCATTAGCATTCAGGGTGAATTTTTGCCATTTTTCAAGCTGTCTTTTCATAACAACTTCATTGCACTGTTCAATTTCCCTTAGACTATTATCATGTATCCATTTTGTATGCTTTCTGAAGCCATACACATCCCTGATGAGCGTTAATAAGAGTTATCGTTTAAAATGTATGCTCACTGCTTGCCTTTCATCTTTTGATATCTCTACTTTAGTGTTTTCTATGCTCTTGCTTTCGTCATGGTCATCGTAAATAGTTGTATGGGCGCTTGAAGCGGAGAAACAAGGTATACTCCTTGATCGATAACTGCATGAGGAAGCGGACCACTGCCTGCTCCTCAGTGATGATGACGGACGCCTTTTTGTTATATGCAGTCCTTGACTGCTGTCATAATAAGGCGAATAGTTTCCATTTTTATCTCCAAGGGCTGCATAGCTGCTACTAAAAGTTAACCAGCTGTCGTGCTCTATATCGCTGTAATTCATGACAGGCTTTTGCGCTCCTTGGCTCTCTTGTTTTATTTTTATTGATAATTCTTTTAAAGCTTTCATTATCTGATCCTGCTGTTGCTTTAATTGAAGCTCGCGTGCAGCTCCAGAAACGTAATCTATTTCGAAGAGGCTCATATAAATTAATGTTATGTTTTTTTTTTTTTTTTTTAAAAAAAAAAGGTTGATAAAGGTCAAACGGAAAAAGAAAGGGAGGGAGCTATTTAAACGTTTTATTTTTACTGCATTTTCGTTAAGGAGACGAACAAAAGCGCCTATCCCTTCAGCACGAATTTTTGCGTTTCACAAATGCCTCAGCTATGTGATATGCCCTCCTTATGGTTTGCTCCTTAGACGGAACGATTTGCGAAACGTATTGACGACAGGTTACATATACATTATACTTGTGTTAAAAAGAGTCAATAAAAATGCTCAACTTTGATAATAGACTAAAAGCACGACATCAAGCATGTTGTTAGTACAAGGCAGTTGAATTAAAAATGACTATTCAGAAGTGTGGATTACATATATTATGGTTTATAGTAAAATATAAATAAGAAATAGTATGTATAGTATATATGTATATAGAATATTTATAATCACTTCCAGCGTGAAATTAGCATGTTATTGAATTTGAGAACTTAACTCTCTTATTGTTGCAGCGTCGAGTATTTCAAGGCTCCTACACATTTCCTTCAAAATAGGATCTTCATCAAACGAATAACGCGTAGCTAATCCTTGAAAGATAAGCACTCTCTTGATGACAGTAGCAATGACTCTGTATTTTCTAAAGTTAACCAAAGGCTGATCAAGACAAGCTGGAAGATTCCTTGTCGTGTTTGCATTATATATCCTGCGGTTCTCTAAATTTGGTTTCAAATACTTTGGCTTTTCAGAGTTGAAAACTAGATCAGAAAGGTAAATGCCAAGGAAAGGTATACATCCACCAAAGGGGATTTTGATTCTTGTCTTTTTGAATTTTTGCTTATCAGCGCTCGTTCCTGGCATTTCTACCTGTACTTCTGCTGGTGAGTTTCCGTATTCCTCAGCCACTTCCGTCATACTGTCACGGATATGTTTCCAGTTTTTCATGGGAGATGTGAATTCTGTCAACTTGTTGAGTTGTCTATGGTACTTGACGCTTACTTTTGACCATGTCTTTTCGAGGCGAGCAATGGCAGGGCTTTGAAGACCCAGCAAAATTTGGACAAGAGTAGCATAGTTGGAATATAGTTTACATTTCTATAGAGCAATTAGTTTGACGATAGGACCACTCTTTAAAAAGTAATTACCATAGCGAGTCGAATGAATTTCTCTATAAGCTTGACTCGGTCATTTATATTCTTTGTTCGTACAATTTCAGAAGACACCCACTGACAGACTGTGTTGAATCTCTGGATGACATGTTCAATACCTTGGCCCTGAGCACGCCTTTTTTCGGACTGTCTTGTGTAACTAATAGCGGTGGTATTCATGCCATCATCAAACAAAACATCCTCTCGCGGCTCAGCATAGTTTGGATTTATCTTTCCATCAGCATCCATCTTTGTCCATTTACAATGAATTAGTTCTTCCCATCCTACTTTAATTAAAACATCACGTTCGATAAAGCAGAATTGGCTGGCAAGCTTGCTCGTACGGTAAGACATGATGAAGCTTTTACCGGATGAGCCTCTGCTGGTGATGTGCTGTGGAATATTGATTCCTCCAATAACCGATCTTCCACCATCATTATATGCCTCATCACCAGGAGATATTGGTGGGATATCAAGTTCCATAATCTTGGATCGTCGTGGATTGCTATTGGACACCATGGACGCTCTTCCTGCTCTACTGGAGCCTGCCTGTCCTTCTGTCTGAATCGATTTTTCGGAAGGAGTAAAACTGACTGTACTATGGTCATCATCGGAATCATCAACGATACGTGGAACCGTCGTGCTGGTTCCCTTATTGTCAGCGCACGACTCAATAATGGATTTTGTGTCGAGCTGACCGAGATAGACAGGGCCATTATTAAAGGTCTTGCTGCTTCGTTGGTTGCTAAAGGGGTCATCAAGCGGATGGGCAGGCATACGATTGCCCATGTCAACGCTTGCACCACGTCGTCTTCTAAGCTCAAAACTACGTCTACGCTCTTCATCAGGGATAAGCATCACACTGAAACGTTTACAAATTTCTGTAGAATCCTTGTCTCCAGTACATTTGCGACATTGACAATCAATATCAAAATCATCACGACTGATGTTGCTACGGAGTTGCTCAGCAATTAAGCTTACAAAGCGGCCACCCACCTCTTGCTTTTCATTTTCTTTGGAACTTTCTTCTGAGGCTGGTTGGATGTTGCTTTTATCCGGGAGGCTTTGTGGAGCATTGACAGGTTCATCTTTGGTTGTATCCTCAGGCTGACTCTGTTTGAACACTTTTGAAATGGCTTTTGTCAGTTTTCGTTTTGAAAGTGATTTGTTCGACTGACTACTGCTTATATCCTGATGTTTTGTTTGTTCTTGAGACAGATCCTCTGTTTGTTCGTACGGTATAGCAGCAAACGTATCTGCAGACTCCTCTACACCGTTCTTTGAAGATTGAAATGACGATTTCTTCTTTAGCCCACTTTTCTTCTTTTTAAGTGTCTTCTTTTTAGAGTTGGATACAGTGACCGAGATACCGTCACCAAACATCTCTGGCGACAATGGAGGCATCTCAGGCACGTCACGATTTGAACCAGTCCCTATGAGATGCGGGGAGGTAGCTGTCGAAGAAACCGCTGAAGACCGACCTGAAGCAATATCCTGAAAGTTTTTCTCGCTCTTTCGTCGCTCGATGCTCTTCTTGGACAGTTTTCTTGACAAGCCTAACGGACTTGTGCTTCTCGTCACTGCGTCTTCTTCGGGTTCCAATTCCTTCAATAACTCTTCAGGTAAAGCTTTAGATACGTCCGATTCTTGTTTGGATCGGCGGTTGTCCTCCGTGGTCGAATCTCTGCACCATTTTTCTGAAGGTACACGGCGCACAGAATGCTCATTCGCTGTTGAAATATCATTTGGTGTTATAGGGCTGGGTGGAGCCGAGTTTTCGCTTGTGATATCTGATTTTACGAGGTTCACAAGCTCCGAAGGCTTGGTTTTGGTGTCATCTTTAGATGACTCTGCACCGTTATCATCAGATAGATGTTGTTCCCTTTCTTCTTCCTGTTGTCTTGCCAATGCTTTAAAATATTCAATAGTCTCTTGTTGCTCACGGAGCCAATGGAGGTCATGTTCATCGTATTCTGTAAAGGAATCTTGTAGGTGAGACTGACAGTCCTCATCGTCTGTTTCGTCAGGTATCGTTTTTCCTGCGCTAATGTCACTTTCTAACGAGTCTTCAGAAGCAACGCTTGCAATTGAGCTTGCTCTACGTGATTTCGTCTCGGCTTCAGGCATTTCAACTGCACTTTTGTCGTATCTGTGATAAGACAGGGACTCCTCTGGATGTTGAGCTGTTACCACGGACGGTGCAGATACTTGTGAAGGATATCGACGCAATTGAGATGATTTTGACGCACACTCTACACCAGACTCAATCATGCTTGTCTTCATGTTAACACTGCCAACGACGACAACAGGTGCATAGCGTGCGTCCTGCACAGCCATGTTCCCATGATGATCTCCACTCATATCCACGCGAATGGCTGTTTTTCGACGAATGACATTTTGAGAAAGCTTAGCACGTACAAGCTCTCCCATCTGCTCCTGTTCAAATGTCGGAGGTGGTGGTGCGATAATCTTGACACGCGATGCTGCAGAAGAGCGTGTGTAGTACAACTTTTTTAATCGACGTACGACTCGTTTGAGTGTCTTGACAATTCGTTGATCTCGTGGTGAAGCCTTGACGAGCGGATGGCGCGCGAGTTTGTTTAAGAAATCAGTCAGCAGTTTCCTCAGGTTGTAGTTGCCGATAAAGTCGTGAACAAAGTAATTACTGAGCCAGTGTCGAAGGACAACGAATGTTCTGGAATACTTGTTTAGGAAATTCCCAAGGTTGCACTATATTTCATGATTTTACCTTATTCTTACAATACGCCTGTTTTCTTCATCGTTCTGTAAGGCCCAAGTGAACCTTGATATTAAAAGCTGGCAAAGCTCTTCTGAGCGAAGAAAGTCTCGATAAGTCAAAAAGAAATCAGTCATAAAAGTGTAATCTAATATAGAGTGAGCCTTTTACAAATCGGTATTTTGCCTCTTTTGTTCATTACCAAGCGTATTCGTTAACTTTTCAACAAGTTTGTGTATTGTTGCAGCTTCAATCACTTTAGGTATGTCTGCCAAGGAAGTTGGGATACTGGCTGCTGTTGTGTCAGCGGTAGATATACTCGCTGAGTCATTCGAATAGGTTTTGCTAGATCTTTTAATACCAAATGCTTTCCTCAATAAGAATGAGCCTCCACTATGACCACTGTTGTTATTATCCCCGTCTTTGTGAGTGATGGACGATAAAGAATGTTTGAGAGGCTTTCGTAAATCACTGAGACGTACAGACCCAAAACGGCCATTCTTTTCATTTTGAACTGACTTACTCCGAATTAAAGTTGATGTCGTGTTGGACGAGAACCCCTTGAGTTCAGGACGACTGTGTTGATTGTTGTAAAGGGTCGCATACGAAGAAGGTCTCTCTGGCGTTAAACTGGTTGCTGTTGCCATGGAGGACGAGAGTATGATTGGATCGGGTCCCCATATAATGAACCTTTCATCTTCGTCAGAAGTAATAAAGTCAAATATCTCTGGAGTGCCAAGCATGAAGGGATCCTCTTTAGAATCAACTTCGCCAGCGGGTTGATTTATTTTTTCTTTCTGGAGCGAGGAATAAGCACTGTTGATTGATGAATAGGATTCTGATCGAACCATGGATGGAATAATGATAGAAGAAGGGTTGGCAGGAAACATGAATTCTGAGCCCTGTTCGTCTTCAGGTAATACATCGTTAAATTTGCTCACGCTAGGAATTTTTGGTAATGCGAAGCTTTTTGTAGGTGTTGGAGTAGGACCCAGTGAAGGATTGAACGTGGCAACTTGTCCAAGTACAGAGTCAACGTAGGACGAGATGGCATGGCTTTGTGCCATGTCTTCCGTATTGGTCAATAGCGGTGAATTGGACAACGGTCGACTCATGACAGAGACATTATTGACAGCGACATAACCATACTTGTTATTTTCAGATGTTCTCTCTAACTGTCGCTCCCAAAATATTTTCGAATCAACATATTCGGGTACACCAAAGACAGTTGCTAGAGCAGCACATTCTCTTCCTGCTTCACCTGTTGTGTTCATCATGAGTTCCACTGGTATAAGTGAGTTATTTCTCTTTCTTGGTGTCGATGATGACTCATTATCTTGTAGTGGCATTAATTTAGCTGTTGTTCTATGTTCACTAATGGATCGATATTAGTTGTCATGGAAAATCATCCATCTGATGTTACCTGTTAATACGCTCATGATCTTGTGTCGGGATTTGAAATTTGTTTACAGCTGGAGACCAAGAATTAGCAGTAGATATTGAACGATCTATCATTGAACGATAAAAAATAAAAGAAAAAAGGGGGAGAAAATAGATAAAGAAATGCAGTTTAAAATTTTTTCTTTTGTGAATACACACTTAAAGGTGCTACAATCATGTCTAAATTACATCACATGCTTAATTAACTTTGATGGAAGCACCACATTGCCAGGCGTGAGTTGATGTCGCATTTCTTGAATGCGTTGTCGCACAAGCCTTGGTGTCTTGAGGAATATATAAATGTATCAGAATTTATCCACCTCATATTTTCTTTTTCTTTTTTTGATGATTACACCGGGATCTTTATCATAAAGCGCACTCCATTTTTGTGTACGATGAAAATTGGACTTTTTACTGATGAGTATGACAGGGCCGATTCTATGGATTATACTGTTGATGAGAATCAACATTGTCTTATAGACGATTTACGTCTAACTGTGTTAAGAGGGAGCCAACGAGGCAAGTAGAATGTTGAAATTGACGTCACAATGTGAGAGAAATATCGGCCTCTGCTGTTGCAAAACATTAGGGATCCCACGTCTGTATAGCGCAAAAATAGACAAAACAGGATAAATGTGGCCCTAATAATGTCTTTAATAAATACTGTAAAACTGATCTCACGTAACATTACCCGTTCGAAAAAAAAGGCTCATCAACAGTGGTCAAAGCGCCTAAAACACAAGCACAGATAACCACCATCTTGGGTGCAGGTTTAATTAAACACAGCCTGGAACTCCACCAATAAAAGGAAAGGAGAGCAAAGAAATGATGCTGTGCTTTTGAGCTAAGGGATAGCAACGGGATATTTTTTTCTAAAGGCTATAATGGATGAAATGTACCTGCACAAAAAGGGGTTCTACATTGTTATAGGTAATGACCTTGTCATACTTTTGAAGATACAATAAAATATACCGTATCTGAGCTTGCCTTTGTGTCTGTTTGCCTGTGCTCCACCCAATCGAACAATTCGGATCATTGTTAAGAGTAAAATAAAACATGATAAGGTCTTTGGAAAAAGAAGAGATTGATGATGCGAACCAACATGGTTTCTAATAGCTAAAAGCAAAGCGAGTTTGAAGGCTTTTATTAGGTATTCTCACTTTACACGAGTAAGTGATCTTGGTTGTTACCGCCCACCTCGTCCCTCACAAGGATCCTCACCGCTGACGAAGTATGGCCAATGCTCGCTTTCTTTGTTTCTTTGGTGCGGATTGTAGTTAATCTATGGGAGTACCACTGGCGTTGCATCATCAATGGCACTCAGTGGTATACCACTGTAGTCGTCAACATCTTTGAATTAGACCATAGCGGCTTCATATCGCCTTTGCCTCTTGCCCGAATACTATCTTCCACTACATCTACATAGTTCTTTTTTTTTTTTTTAAAAAAAAAAGGAGATTTTAATAGTCAGGCGGATCAAAGCTGGGGTTTAATGCGGGTTTATTAACGTGATGGTAACAGACTAAGTAATGGCCTTCAGGATCGGCGCAGTTCAATATCTGTATGACTTCTTCTAACGGTATTTCTATGTATCTATCAAAAGCATTGTATAGTATGATCGCTTCTCGTAGATTGTGACAGATGTGACCATATTATCTAGAGTTAGCCATAAACTTTGTAATTTCATATTTTTTAAATCTGTTATTTGTGTGTCATCGCTAGGTACATTATTATAAGTAGTAATATCGCGTAAGCGCAATTCCTTTAGATTCAGACAGCTAGTAGAAAGGTTGCGAAAGAAGTTGGCATGGATTTTGGATTGACAAATATGTAGGCTTTTTAGTGAGCTATAGGTGCAACCGTGAAATGATTGCAAAAGTCCAACGGAAAATTATAGTTCTCGTAGTCGATAACACTTTTGAATAAATGAGCATACAGAAGATACCATGCCAACATTTTCCGTAACCAAGTTTATATCTAACTTGTCAATATCCAATGTGGGCTGATATGCTTTAAAAGATGGGCTGAGAACACAAGTGTCGAGTTCAAGTGTATGCTTGATTGTTTTTCTTGATGATCGCTCCAAGAATGCTTTGACTGTGCTAAATTTTAAGTGATCTGTATCGATAATAAGGTATAATTAGTTATATGTGTTTAGATTCACTAGAAATAGCTGATAAGTGTTATTGAAGTATTCACAAATGTCGGCGAATATTTCCTCAGGGGTTCTCCAGAACTGTTCCAATCCTATTTTCAATTTGAGCGACCTTTTAGGACTTATCATCAAAAAACGTAGTAATTGACAGCACGTCTCGAGTAAATCCAAAGTCGAATATTCCGAACAAATAGTGAGAGACATGTCAGAGAGATTTACAAATTTTTTGATGATATAGCCAATCGTTTTCTTGGGTATAAGCGATTTCGTGGTCTGAACCGTTAGTCGAGTTAGGGAAAGGTAAAAGCCTTGGGTAGGTAAAAGAATTATGTCCTTTTCTAGCTCAAACTATGCGGAAATATCAGATATAATGGTATGCGTCAAAGATAAACATAAAGTCTTACGTTGTAGTAAGAGCTAATAAAGATTATAATTACAGGCCTTCAAGCATTGGAAATGGTTTTAGAAATTGCAAGTCTTTGATGTGAGATGGTACGGTGCTTTTTTTTTTGATAGAGTGCTTGTATTTGTAGTAAAATTCCATTTTGATCCCAATCATATATTCATTTTTCATAGAGTGAAGATTCCACTTTATGCTGTCATTGATTGCAAGTAGATATTTTGACATGCGACCTTTAAAAATAGTTGGACATAATATCAATCGTTCAATATTTGGACAACAGCCGACAAACCGCGTAAAATCGCCAAATGTCATGTTTTTTGTTCCGTACAGATGCATAGTTTCAACAAATCGACCAATGGGTCTTACTCTACTCTGTCTTGATATTTTGTTAAGCTGCATAAAATTTTCAATCCACGTTTATCCAAGATACATTTCTTCAAACATGCGTTTACTGATTGAAGCATGCCATTTTGAGCAGACAAGTCGACAGTTTTTTAAATCTCGCCCTGTTATTATATGCTCAAACACGATTTCAAGTAGATGGGTTGGTAATTGTAGAATATGAATCATTAATCGCTGTATTGAGAGAAGAAGGAAAAGAATAGATGATAAAGACTTTGCTTGTCAAAGCTGACTAGAGCGATGGCACAGTTAACAATCCCTCGTTTTGCCCTTGAGGCTGAGCAACGTTGTACTATCCTTCAATTTTATTACCCTGCAATAAAGAAAAAAAAGGAACGTGCTAACCCATAGATGATATGAATTGATGTGGATAATAGTATACACTATACTGTTTTTGGTTGCTTCATTCTCTAATTGTAATAACCACTGGGCTTGAACATACTTTTGCAATAAATTGTGTCGTTTTAATATCAAGTGGAATATAGGCATAGACATAATTTCTATGTATCTCCTACTACAGGATTACTCCGACAATTCACTCCATTGATCAACTCATTGTTTTCTTTTCAGCAGTTTAGCATCAAGCAAATTTCTATCGATTCAAATTAGACCCCAGACGCGGCAGTATCTGTAATTTTACCTGTTGTTAACGCGTTATTTATGAACTATGCTCCAAAATTGTTTTCAAAGTAGTTTGAAATTAAAGGAGATTATGAAGCAGACACAAGGAAAGGCAGTTCAAAAGCAGAGACCACTTGTAGGAAGGCCAGTTCGAAAGTAGAGGCCATTTGTATTTTGATGGCGTTATCTTCCACAAAGACCTTTTGGGGTCTCTACTATTTGATGAATTTGGCAGTGCAAGATCAAAGAAAACATACAAATACCGCTTTTGTGTCCTGCGATTTGAATGATAAATAAACACGCCGCTTTTTTAATAGTACGGTAAAAGCACCGAATGTTTTGGCGCTTCTCCCAAAAACCAACTGTACTAGTGATCTAAAGGCAGATCATCGCCATAGACAGACTAAAATGTATCTGGCAGGATGAAGAAATATGAAAGAGAGAGAGAGATGAGGAGATAATACAGTTATTTGATTATCGATAGCACTAACAAAGTAATCAACCACGAAAGAGGCGTGAGAAAGCTGATTTTTCTCAGTACCTCTTCCCACATTTAAGCAATATAATGTTATGCGTTCAGACAGCCGCGGTTTTGGCCACTGTGCTACTTTTACAAATGTTCTCTAAAGATAAACATTACACGCCACAAACACTAATAAAGTTACACATACTGCACTTTCATATGGTACACAAGCGGTAATTCTGCATCAACTTTTCTTTATCTTTCATTATCAGCTTATCGCTAGACCACATTTTCATAGTAAAGACAGGAGACAAAAGCTAAAAGCAGAGTTTGATAGAAGTAATCCTTCACAATTCTTTTCTTATATATTTAAGATAAAATGATCTGCATGTTTCTTTCTCAATGCAATGGGAGCTAACATTGTCGCGACATATGTAATAGTTATAAAGAGCATACTTGTTATTATTAGATAGTTGTAATATTTACAGGATGAATAGTTTATTGAATAATCTACAATTAATATTATATACATCTAGTGTGTATATATAAATGTAACATTAAGAAAAAATCACTTTCTCAAGTAGTGATTAATACGCTGTTGTAGAGTCTTGTTCGTTCCAGACTGACTAATTGACTGAAAGTCGTCCGTACTACTGTCTTGCGAAGAATACTGAGAAGAATTTTGTCGAAGATTAAATGTACCCAACGTATGATTCGATTGTGTTTGAGATCCAGAAGCGTACATGAATGTATTATTACTACTTCCTCTTCTTAGATCCGGACGGTGGTCTGTGCAAGATGACGAGCGTGAGGGACAGTCATCTGCCAAGACGTCACTACTTCTGTCAATTGCACCAAATGTATTATCTGAGCCATTACTTAAGGGTCGTTTACCCGCAAAAGGTAAATTAGGTGGAAGGAGCGTGGTGTCATGGATAGAAAAAGAGGACTCAGACGAGTAATACGTTGGTTGCACAATGCTTCTTGTTTTGGCGGTACCAGTATGAGTCGAATTGAATGCGGGAGGTGGACGGAGTGAGATTTTCTCTTTATTTTCAATGTTCCAGATTGTATCATCCGCAAGTAGAGAGGGTGGTATGATGTGATTATCTTTTCTCAGCGCCTTTTCCGCGTCTAATGGCTGTTGTTTTTCATCAATGGGCTGTTCTTGGTTGCTGTAATAGGAAACACGGTTGGCTTCCGACAGGCTATAATCCCTTGTTTGTTTCAGCTGGCATGCGCACATGAGGGAGCAAATGGCGGCAAGGACGAACAAGCCTATGGATATACCCAGTAGTGCGGTCTCTGCTTGGTATGATACGCTTGAGCATGTAAAATTTTCAATTAAAGAACAGGCATGACGAACATTGACAGAGTAAGATTGTACGGTGATTCCGTAAGGTGCCGATACGACAAGGGCTGTGACGAGGCTGGTAATGCTGACGATTCGGAATAAAGCGCGTTGTTGAACGAGGTTTTTAGGATTATTGGGTATGAGATAAAGCGAGATGCTGATAGCTACTACTGCGAGAAAGGAAGCTAAAAGAAGTGGTATAAATCGAACATAGGTGATTGATGAGGATTTGTATAAAATGGGTATAGAAGTGGAATAGCTGAGTGCCTGAATGACGGAATAAACATCTAAACAATGTTATGAATTATAATAACATCACAATGATTGATTTACCTATGTCATAATTCATTTGAATGGGAGAACAAGCAATGAATTGAGTATTCCAAGCGCAATAATTCCATAATCCAAATGAGATGCTTACAGAATTAAGCTGTTTATTATGCAAGCTTAAATTAAAAACATTAAAATATTTGAATAATACGCCATTTGTCTCAAACCAGGCACCAAAGAGAAGCGTTAGACAAGCAAAGAACAATAATAAAAAAGTAATTATTTTTTTCATTTAAAAAATTGAGGACGAAAAGAAAAAACGTTGAAAATAAATTGAGGCTAAAATAGTTTTTAATGTTATACAAATTATGATGGAGGCATCAACTGTTTAAATTCTTCAAAGTCAATGTGTCCATCTTTATTCGTGTCTGCGTCATTCATCATATCCTTTATCTCTTTTTCGGTCAAATGTTCTCCAAGCCCTTTCATGACTTCTCTCAATTCCTCTTCTGATATTTGTCCATCTCCATTTTTATCAAATTTATCAAAACACATCTTTAATTCGTCTAATTCGTGTCTGCTCATCCTTTTCGAGTAATGTTCATTCTTTCTTGTTTCATGTGGTGAAGGCAGAGGTGATTGACTGACGAGTTGATTCATTATATTCACAAATTCTTCAAAGTCAATTTTTCCGTCACGATTACTGTCGTTTTCCTTTATTAACTCTCGAATCCTTTGATCGTCAATTCCTACCATGCCTAGACTTTTTACTATATTTTCAAACTTGTTTACATCAATGGCGCCTTCATGGTCTGTGTCGTACAAATTAAATGCTAATCAAACCCCATTTTTAGCTCTTCTTTTTTTATTCATAGTAGTAACCCTTTTATTCTTACCTTCTCGAAGACTCTTTAATTCTTGTTGATTAATCCTATTTGACATTTATATATTTTGCAAAAAAGAAAAAGAAAAAGAAGAAAAGAAAAAAAGTCGAGAAAAGAAAAACAAAATGTAATAATTGAATGTTTGTCGGGACGTCAATATGTTTGTCTAGTTTCAGCTCTTTTTAATATGATCTACGATAAAGCGCTTTAGTTCAAAAGTAGCACTAATGTCCTATTGTTCTTTCATAGCTATGTCATACTTCATTTTTTGATGTCACTGCAAAAGAGTTAAATACAGATGACTGTTTTCTTTTGTTTATGCATTTTGACATCTATATATTGACATAAAGCATTACATCACACCATTAAAATATTGTGCTGACAATAAATACCTTGTAAATAAATCATAAACTATATCTCCTGCCCGAAACTTCGTTGTTACTCTTCAATAGACTCAAAAATCTATCTGAGGGTAATTGGTTGATCATTTATTCAATCCTAAAAAAGCCAGCTAGCTGCAGCGCTGGGTGGTCTCTCCTCTGGGGATACCAACATCCCCCTACATAGGGACCTTTTCTATTGGTTGAATAATATTAAACAACCTTGGCTTCTCTCCTTTACGCCAGAAAAAAAAAGAAAACAAACAAATTTACGGGGGATCCAGGCAAGGTCGGAGATCAATCACGTCAATAAAGACTGTAGAAAATGAATTTCTGTAAACAAAAAGCTTTTACTACTGTATTCTTACAATTATGAGCATTGAATAATTACCCATAGCTTATAGAGAATAAAAGGATGATTCTAAAGAATCTTTGAAAATATTACAAAAGAAAAAAGAGAACCAGCCCCATATATATTTATAATCATCAACTGATATTTAATGCAATAGCTAACCGTGAGAAAAAAAAGGAACGCATCCTACAAGGTCCAAAGGAGGGAAAGTTCTCACTGGGAGCCAACTATTCTATACCAAAGAAGTCATTATTGCATGTGTGTTATGGGCCAAAAGGACACAGAATATGAATGTATTTTATATCTACACTTTTTTAAAAACAAAACTTTTTATTTAATGCATCAAACAGATTGACAGGAATGAAAGGGGAGAAAAGGAGAGAATAAAGAAATTTAAGCTTTACAATTGAATTGGTTAATACCAAATGTACTGAAATGAGCGTGTTCTGTGTTGCTTTCATTTTTAGATGTATGAATAATGCCTTCCATGAATTGATAAGTAGTTGTTCCTTTTGATGATGATGATGATTGTGATTCGGGATGCTTGTTGCCACTTTTCTTTTTTTCTTTAGATTTGTTATCTTGGCTCGATGAGTGTTCGCTTCGTTGACGTTTCTTTATATTGTCTGTCTTCATCGACAGAGGCCGTTTTTCATGATGGAGTTTTAAGCTTTAAATAAGAATAAGTTATAGTCTAAAATAATAATAAAGGAATCAACTTACTAAAGACCACATGCATTACATAAAGGTGAACCATCCACATCACGTCTCCATAACGGTGTGGTCGATGTCCCACAATTCGAGCATACTGGTTGAACGATATGGTCATCATCTCTTGCATCCTTTCTCGAGGATTGCGGCTTTAGATGCTTTGGCCTTGGCGCATTATGCAGCTTTAGACTGTTTTAGGTGTACACAAAATAAGTTTAAAAAAAAAATTATTGACTATTTTTGTATTTTTAATTCTTACTAGAGTCCACAAGCGTTACATAGTAGCTCGTCATCAGCGGATCTTCTCCATAAGGGCGTCGTTGTTGTACTGCAGTTGCTGCAAATAGGTATTTTTCCATCAGCAGGTGAACTATGGATAAGTCCTCGCTTCTGATACGAATTCTTCTTTACGGACAAGGGCGATGAAGGCGAGGGTGAATGGGAGGTAGGTGAGGGGGCTCTAGAGGGTGGCAATGATTTTGATTGATAAGGTATACTGTCTGCTGTCTCGGTATTCACAGTTAATGAAGACTGAGTGTAGGAGTGGTATGAGGGTTGATTAAGAAGTACTGGCGGCTGTGGTAGTTGCTGCGGTAATCGTTGTGGCAACTGTTGCTGTGGTGATAGATGTTGTTGTTGCTGTGACAACTGCGATAGCTGTGGTTGATGCACAAAAGACGAGGATGAGGATGAAGAAAATGAAAGGAAGGGTGTGTTTGGGGTTGATTGGATGAAGCATGGTTGTTGCGATGACTGCATGAGCATTTCATTGTCTGTGGAGGATAGTAGTAGTCTTTCCGCAGATTCTAATGTTTCTCTAGGTAAAGTTGCTAATAGTCTATTATGAAGTGTACCAATGGGTATAGGAGGCATTGTTTCCGCCGAGACATAAAGGGCAGAGCTTTGATTACAGTATGCTTGTTGTTGAGAATAATTTTGCATACATGATAGTGAGTAGTCTTCTATCGGCCAGCTTTGATGCATTAAACTTTCTGAGTTCAACTGTTGTTGTGTCGATGGGTGCTGTCGTTGATGTGATTGCTGTTGAGGATGAGGCGGTGTTGTCGAAGGTATCAGATAGTTTTTAAAAATGTCATCCAACTCGATGACTTGGTCACCTGCTTGATCTGAAGTGAACTTTTGCAATGTAAATTGCTCCTGTAAGATATGTTGTGCTTGTTTTTGTTGTTGTAATTTTAAGTTTCGTCTGTATTCAATCTCTTTTTCTTGAATGGTTTTCTTCTTCTTTTTTCTGTTAAAATCAAAGTCATCAGGGATCTTGAAAGAGACAGTAGGGGAAGCGAATTTCTTCTTTTTTTGATTCACATTATGCGCAAACCATAGCCTCCATGATAAATTTTCAAGCCTTGAGCCATTTTCAAGCGAGTCTTTTACTTTAGTACACACTCTCCAAGTCTTTGAAAGATCATCTGGCGAATCAAGATTACCAAATGGCAAAGACTCTGTATTACCTTTGACCTTTAACAATATCGGTGCCATATTTATATCGATTTTTTATTTGTCTTTTTATATTTTTGGTATCTAAAAGGAAAGAAAAAAAAAAAAAAGAGAAAAGAAAAAAGAAATTTATTCTTGTGTGTGGAATGAAAAATTTCTATTATAATAGCTTATTGCGGAGAAGGAAATAAAAAAAAGAAACAAGGGGGTATACACAATGTTCAGCCAGATATTTGTCCATCAACTGCCAATCCATTCATCCATGTGATTCAGTGTGCTTTAACTGAGAGCAATCTTAAATTATAAGATCATCTGAAATTAAAAATGAGATGATTTCTTTTTGGACTACAATTAAAAGAGCAGCAGTACTTTTAGCGATAAAGACGCATTGAGTTATTTTATATTGTATTGTTATTTAATTTTATGCAGAGATACATCGACTTTTTTCTACTTATATATCAGTCGTTGAAGCAGAATATGAAACAGGAACGAGATTAAAGCATATAAAGCTAAAGACAATTAATATTTTATACTTTTGAAGTACAAGAATAATCAGCATAAAGTTATACGTTGATTTTTATATCAACACAAGGATGAACACACAGACACACAGGTATACACTTCTATTCAGCCACTATATATTCCACTGGTTCTGGTTGGCAAATAAACTCCGGATATGCCAAAATTAAGGGGTAAATGGCATCATTGAACAAGTAAAATGTAGCAAATAAAGTCTGTCTGGGAAAAAAGTTTTTGCCCGCTACCGAAATGGAAATTGCGCTTTTTTTATGGGATTTTTACACACTCGCTCAGTCAATATTAAAATCGCAGGCTGACAAAAATAGAAGTCGTATGTGCATATTCTCAAGGATCGTTTTGGCTACCATTTTTATCCAAGAAGCGCAGAGAAGAGCGTTTGAATTGGGTTTTGACACATAGAGTCGAAAGTAAACGTTTGGGGCTCGGATGGCATTAAATATTACTGGAGTCTACCAACAAGTGAGCTACAGCCGCGCAAGATGAACGCTAAAGACTACGCCCGAATTTTTGATGAAACTTAACAGACACCTTAAATTACTATACGAATAAAGAGCTAGAGGTATTCACGGGCCTAGTTGGTATTGGCCTTCGAACCATTGTTGCGCTTGCTCATTCTCATCGTTCTCTTTCTGCCTGTGGTAGTGCTACAGTTCTCAACACACTCATCCTCTCACGGTTATGGCACGTCCTCCGAGTGACCGCCGTTCCTACCCGGTTCTTTACGCAAATCAAGTCCGTCATGTCATCGTTATTATGCCATCGAATGTTTCCCAAGATCAGCCTAGCGAATATATGTCTTCCTCGCTCACAAGGTGGCCTTGGGTACTTGGCCTCGAAATACAGCAAGACGCGCTCCAGATGCGTTGGCTAATACCGCTCTTGAAATCCATCCCCAATGACCCCTCTCTCGGTGTTTTGGTTCGCCCTATATATGCGTTCCCCTATCGTCCTTCCAAGGCTCGCTGGCTATCAGCAGGCAATCCTTTTCAAGGCCCTACGGCATTCATTGGATTCGGCATTTACGCTTTTATTTCGCGTGGTTAATCTTTTCCCACCTTCTTACGAACCTGCTTGGAGCTTCCCGTTCCGCTGTGCTTCGAGTCACGCCACGATTCACTATATATCGCTCACTAACACGTCTACATTTGCCCTTAATCTATGTAGAGAATACAACAACAGGATGTCTCCGGGCCAAAACTAATTCTGAACTGGATATCTCTCCAAGCGTTTCCCGAAAATTTCTACGACTGGTCAAACACGACGACATCCTCCTGTCGAATTTCCTAATTCGTCCGTTTATCTCATCTCGTTACGCTAACATTGTCACAGGCTCTTTTGTGCCAAGCCTATGCCATGGTGTTGGTGCTGATCCTTTTCTGGAGTCACTATCCCTAGTTCATAAAGGCTCCTCTCTCCTACTCAATTCCAAACGATATCATGTTTTCTGTGCCCGTGGCTCTCAGCTGTCTTCTGGATCAGTCCGTTTACGGCCTCGCAGTTGGACATGCTTTTGGGACATTCCTCTACCTCACCCAGGTCGTAACGCGCGGCTTCATCTACTACATGACAAATTGCCTTACCGTTCTCTTCTACACCGTATAATCCCGTCCGCTTGGCCTGATTCATGTATGCTTTGCCATCATTCCAGCGAATCTATGGATCACTTCCTGTCTCCGTGTCCTGAGAAACTAACCGTGTGGATTTTTATATAGCATACTTTGGCGAGCATGCCTTTTCCGCAGACCGTGTCCACTCTGCACTGCATCAACTACAGTTTCCTCGTTTTGATTCCCTTTCACCTATATTGAATCCTGAGGAGATTTTCGGCCTAGCGTTACTGGGGATATGGCGCTCACACTGGCTGTTTATTTTCAATGACACTCCTTTTATGGCCGTTTAAATCACACAGAGTGCTCGCAGATCGATTTCTGTCTCTATTCAAGAAAGCTACGTCAATCAAGAACAAGCCCATCAAGCTCCTCCGTTCTTCTCACTTGACTAATCCTTTTATGTATATGTAAAATATATATCCATATCTTTTCTTTCTTCCTTTATCTACTACTAAAACCACCCCAAAAACATCCCAAAATTTAAAAACCCAAAAACATTTTGTGAGTGATCATATCATCACTTTAATAAGCCTGAGCTACGGTTCCATATTAAAAAAAAAGATCTAGTTGGTAATTTAAAGTACTGATTTCATCAAAGCATAAAGAAAAGGCTAATGAATCATACTGTATTTTTACTAATTATTGACGTTAATTTTATAAAAGGTTGTCGTAAAATAAAAAATTATTTACGTAAAAAGACAACAAAGAAGAATATGTTTGAATAAAACGACATCATGTCAAGAGAGAAAGAGAGATAATGAGTATATGTAGAAAAAGAGAGAAAAAGTATGTTAGTATTAGAATATATATCCTGATATTAGTTTTACTTACCACCAAGGTGCATTCTGGGGAGGGTAGCGATAACTACCCAGGATAGTTTAAACAAAAGAAAAGGAACGGAGGACTGAGAGAACCCAGGGCGTCAGAAGAGACTATTAGGGGAACGTTTCAGATACATGCCAGAGAGCAAGAGGGCGGGACAAGCGAGTCAGAGCAAGGATCATGAGGCATTATTATTTGGAAATACAGTATCTCCATGGATGTCAAGGCTTATACTACGAAAATACCCTTGGCGACGACGAATTTACATTTCGTACAGCATGAATTTTGTTCTCACCACTGAATGCATTTATTTTCGATCACAGGCGAATTTACTTTCCAAAAAGAGCATATAACGCGAAAGGACACGTAAGCTATTTTTATTTACAGTGATACATTCTCAATAACATTTTCACTGTGTCTCAAAATAACTAAACTATACAAGAACAATATACCTTGATAACATTCTAACTGAATCCACTTCTTTTATCAATATTGACAAAGAGAGAGAAAGAGAAAAAGAAGAACTAGGTAGTGTTGCATTTATATGATTCAAATAACAAGGTGAAACTAGAGGAAGTAATCAATAGTCTTTAATAGCTTATCATTAAAGGAGGTTCAATCCTCAGCTGTTGTTGGTTTTCTTCAGTCCTGTGTGAAATCGCGGGTTGGAAGCAAATATGCAATTAAAGCCATTTATGTCAGTGATAAGAACCAATATACCATGTGGTCATTTTATTGTACCAAAAAAACAGCTTCCCTTTAGTTTTTTAATAATTATCAGTATTAGAAACTAAAAGCTATTTGCAAACGAATTGGGGTGTTTGATGCACTGTGTCATATTTGCAGAACAGTTTTTTATATTTATTTAGGAATGTTTTTATATGAGCTATTTATATGCTGTGCCAAAATCTCTGCCGCACCAGGGTTTACTGTGGCTTCCTTTTTGTCCTCATGACGTGAATCAAGATATTCTTCAACACGATTTGTCATAACCTGTAAGGCGATCGTATTCTCTGCGCCTCTTGGTATGACAATATCTGCAAACTTCTTTGTAGGCAAAATATACTCTTCGTACATTGGTTTAACTCGATCCACATAATCCATCAAGATCTCCTTGAGTGATAGCTCTTTTCCATTTCTAATCTTCTTCTTTCGTACTCTTCTCGCTAATCTTTCATCGCTGTCTTCGTCAATAAACACTTTCATAAACATTAAATCCGTAATTTCCTTTTGATAAAGTAAAAGGGTTCCTTCTATCAGGATGACATCGACTGGTTCAATAATGTAGGTTCCCATTCTATTTTGTACGGTAAATACCTTTTTTCAATTAAAAATGCTCTGTTTACCTTGTATGGTTAGACGAGTCCCATTCAGGAACAGAAGTAGGTTTGCCAGACAATAATGATTTTAATGTGTTCTCGAGTAACTTAAAGTCAAAAGCGTCTAATATATATAAGCATACACTGAACACTAGAGAATAGCTTGTTCCTCAACTTACTGGGATGGTCTGTATAATAGTTGCCTGTCTCGTACTTTCGTCTTTCTTCTGGTGTAAGTTCGCGATAGAATTGAGTTAAGCTGATGAGTGCTACTCTAGCATGATATTTTTTATTGATTCTGGCTGTCAGTGCATCACAAAATGCTTTCTAAATAAACTGATAAATACAATAATTAATGAAAACACTATATCTCATTTTACTTTTCCTGAATCAGCACCACCAGCAATGGCAATAGCCATTGGTGTCTTTAATGAAACTTTAAAGTAACTAAATAACTTTGTAAGTCTGTTTGATTCTTTCCCTAGTCTCATCCTTATCGTACTTTGGGTCAGAGTATTTGGTAGGATCAATTGACATGACTGTGTCGTAAAAAAATACAAAACTTTTTTTTTTACTACTGTAAGTTCGGAAAAGTTTAAATGTGCAGGAATTACTGTAAGTCACAAAATAACTGTTACTACTCATGTGAAGTTGTTGACAAACTTTGCAAAAAGAGAAGCAGCTAGTAGCTTGCCTTAACAGCTTCTAATTCAATTATAGAAGGAGTAAGCAACTGAATGAAAAGTATAAACTACACAATTAGAAAGCAGTGAATATGACAAAAATATATTCTTTTTTAAGGTGTTGGGGCATAAATAATACGAAGGGTATTCGTGTTACCAAGGCCGCCTTTCCATCCTTGGACAGCAACGACGGGCTCACCAGGAGTTAGTAAACCATACTTCATAGCCTGCTCCATGCCTACATACAAAATGTAAGTCATTTGCTTAATATCCAACTCTATAACACATACCCCATCTAATTCTATGGTCAACATCTTCTTGCCAAGGAGCATTTTCAGCGGGACTCAAAAGTGTTTGTGAGGTGGTCAAACGAGGAGTGATGGCTGATGAAGCTTTGGGATAATGGAAAGGGAAGCAGCCTCTGTAGAGATGGATTTGCCGAGCAGTTTGAGGGTTACGTGTAACGACAACAATGGGTGCATGAGGCTTGTATTTGGATATCAAACGCGCCGATTTGCCAGAAGTTGTCAATACAATAATACAGCCTGCATTTTGTTCATGGGCAGCAGCAACAGCTGCACAGGCAACTGTCTCTGTCGTCTCTGTTGGTAAAGCCGTAAGGCTGCGAAGTTCATTGAAAAGTGCAGGATAGCAAATCACGGATTCTGCCAGCTTACAAATATCGTGCATTGTCTTGACGGCCTCTATCGGATAATTACCTTTAGCGGTTTCGCCAGAAAGCATGACACAGTCAGCACCATCAAGAACTGCATTAGCCACGTCAGACACTTCAGCACGAGTTGGCCTTGGATTATACTGATAAATGTTTAAGTAAGCTTGAGTGTTATGTTTAGTCTATACACTTACTGTCATGGATTCCAACATCTGAGTGGCACTATAGGCAAGACAGGATTTACTCTTGGCCCTTTTAGGATAATGTTTACTTTTAACTTACCAGATAACAGGCTTGCCAGCCAGATTGCACTTGGTGATCATCATCTTTTGAGCAATAAAGACACGTTCAAGAGGGATTTCGATACCCATATCCTATATAAAACGTCACTAATTGATTCATTAAAATACATGTATATATATTTTATACATACCCCACGAGCAACCATGACACCATCTGTTTCAGCGACAATATCATCAAAGTTTTCAACACCTTGATGGTTTTCAATTTTGGCTATAATCTTGATATTCTTGCCATCCTCACCCAAGACATGGCGGATATCACGGATATCTTGACCACGACGAATAAAGGAAGCAAAAATGAAGTCGACCTTTTGTTCAACGCCAAACCTCAAGTCAGCAACATCCTTCTCAGACAAGGCAGGAAGGTCAACAGGCGTGTTGGGCAGGTTAACACCTTTACGAGAACAGAGCTTACCGTTGTTCTTTGCAACAACGCGGATGTTGTCCTCGTTTACCTCTAATACTTCAAAGGACAAGACACCATCATCAATAAAGACCTTCTTGCCTACTTCAATCACCTTGGGTAGGTTCTTGTAATCAATATAGATCACTTCGTCCGTTCCTTCATTCATGTATTGGTCATCAACGCTAAATGTCATTTCGTGTCCAATCGTAACTGGGATCTTGAGGATATATTAGAACACGTCGGCTTCTCTGCTCTTTGTCTTACCTCAGCATTATCCTTCATGTTACCCGTACGGATTTCGGGACCCTTTGTGTCAAGGGCAATAGCTACTGGACGGCCAGGATAGACTATGTATAATGCAAAAGTGAGTATTGATCTTACTATTTATAGGTTAAACTTACGCTCGACACTTTTACGAGTGTTTTCGATGACAGACTGATGATACTATGATTGTGAAACGAGTGAGTACCCGTAACGAACTGGACCCTAATATACGCTTACTTCATAAGAACCATGGGAAAAGTTCATACGGACGACATTTAAACCAGCGTTTCGAAGTTCGGTAATGGAGTCAACGCTATTTGTTTTAGGGCCTACAAAAACATAATATGAGAGACGCGTTGGGAGTTTTTGTATTTATGACTACTAACCAATAGTACAGATGATGGAAGTCTTACGTCCATGAGTAGGCTCAACGTCAACGTTCATTTGAGCGATCCATTGGACGTTAGAAGTGATGTCAGGTGTAAGAAGAGGAGCCATTTTTTTTAAGAATAGAAAAAAAGAAAGAGAGAGATAAAGGAAGACAATTTTATACTTTACAGAATCTTGAAGCTGTTGTGTAAAATGTCCTAAAGAGGAAATGCCATGGTGCATGAACTTTTTACTGCGAGAAAAGCTGTATTACAGACCATAGAAAAACAATATCGAAGCTGTTGCTCAAGATTGAAAAAAATATCTATTCAAAATTTATATGTTTATATAACTAGAAGACTAATGAATAAAAAATAAAGTATTGTTCATTTTATACTTACCGAGGTGTTAAGGAATGCACTGCCGTTATAGACAGCGCATTAAATCCAGGGAGCACCATTATTCTTTTGAAGGGGGAGGGCTTTCATTATGATGTTTTGAATTGTAAACAAAGATACCATATATATTTGATGCACTGTTCACATCACGATTCCACACCGTACCACAAGGTTCACACTTGAGGGCAGCGTGTAATCTTCGTTTTGTTAAATAACTCGTCAGCATAAACAAATTCGGTTTCCCCTATTCCAGACACAGCTTTGTTAGAATACGCACCATGTAAGAGAGCGTCATACAAGTTATCTTGACAGTAAAGCATCAGTCTGTATACTCTTGGAATCAATCTTGTACACGTTTAATCACTTTTCTTGCTTCTCTTTTAATGTATTGAACATTCATGTAATAGCTGATTTACAAGTCATTTCTTTTACTTCTTATGAGCCTTCCTTTTGTTGTCTGAAATTGTCATTTTATTTTATTTCCCATCATTTTGCGAATAATAAAATGTAATGCAAGTATTTACAAATATGCTAAATATAATGTACACAGCCGTGTATATATATAATTATGTGTGTGTGTGCGCGTATGTAAGTATTATATATATGTATATAAAAAGGGGATATATATATATGCACTAATGGTTCATCGTTGCTGATTCTATTCTTTCATGGAATGTTTGCGTGCCGGTTACTTGTTTAACAAGAATACTGTCCATGATTTTTTTATTTGCTTGTAATTCCTATAATAAAGTGTTAGAGTATGCAGCTTGTCTTTGTTTATATCTTTTACATCATATTCAGAAAGAGACAAGGCCAACATTGTACTCTTTTTACTCAATTTCTCTTCAAGTTCTCTGATTATTTCAAGTTGCTGATTGTACAAATCCTGAAGTTCTGTTGTTCGCACCTTTTCTCTTTCGTATTCTCTGGTTTTATCATCAAGTTCTTTTCTTAACTCATCATTTAGTTTTTTCAACACTTGCTCCAATGTGTTGATATTTGTCTACGTGTATTGTATTAGATGCACTCTATTACTCTCATTGCCCTTTTTTACCTTATTTCTATAAGGCTGCTCCAGCGTATTTTTTATCATCGTATTGTTATCTTGAGCTTTCTTCAGTCTATACACCACACCTCTAAAGTTCTTCAGTTGTTCTTCCAGACTGTAAACTCGTTCTTTCCATTTCTGCTCAGAGGGTGATGTTAAAGAATATATAATTATGATCATCTTTTTTCGACTTACTTCAACATGCTCAGCTTCCTTTTCTTTTTCTTTTAATTGCTTAAGGGCTAAACGGAGCTTATGCTTTAACTCTTTGACGTCATCCTCAATCAACTTTTTCTCTCTCTCTGTTGTATATAACTGCGACTTGTAATCTTCTTCTAATGCGGCCATTCTCTCATCCTTTTCTTTGATACCAATTTCAAGTTCATTAATCTGGTTTACTTGATTTTCATAGTCTGTTCGAATCTGTTCCGATTTTTCTATAGCTTCTTGTAATTCAATCAAGAGCTCTTTATTTGCTTCGTTTTTCTCTTCCAACTCTTGTTGAGTCTTTGTGATATGATCTTTTAATACTTCAATATCTTCATCTCTTTCTTGGATCGTTGCTTCAAGTGTCATTATTTTCTCTTCAAGATCATTGTCTCCGTCTTCTTTATTCTTTTCATCCAAGACAGTGACAAGCTACGTTGAAGAGTATAATGAGCCCCGGATATACATATATATATTATCAGTTGTAAAGTGTACCTTTTGTATCTCCTCTTCCAAATCTGCTACATCTTGTTCTCTTTCTTGTATTTCATTAATCAACAAGTCATTTTCTTTTCTTAGTTGACGAATGGTATCCATCAGTTTGTTATCATCTTCGTGTTTCACTGATCGTTCATATTCAAGTGTCTTTAATTTAAGTTGCTGTCTTGTCTCATTCAAGTCTTTTGTAGATTGCTTTAATTGGTTACGTAAATCATCCATCTGTCGTTGTCTTTTCTCTACTTCATCCTTTAATGAAGTTATTTCCAATGCTTGTGACCTAAGTTTCTATAGGAAAAATATAAACAACAATCTACTTTTTTTTTAACCTCTTCCAATCTCTTTGTGTTTGTGGGATAATCTTCCTTGTGAGCCCTTGGCTGTGGTGATTCCGTCTTTTGTTCTCTGATAAAACGAAGCTCATCACGTAATCTTTTGTTTTCAGCAAGTACATCAGCGCGCATTTGAGATAGTTTATCATTTTCTTCACGGCATACTTTAGCTTCCATAATAGCTGCGGTTAATTCATCCTTCTCTGCTTGTGACATACCATGTTGCTTTGGACATGGTTGATTCACGATCTCAATGGCTGCTTCCAATTCCAATATAAGTTTCTTATACTTTTTTAATTCTTGAGTAAGCTTTTGAACTGTTACTTTCAGATCGACGTTCTGTATATTGATCATCATTAATATTGGTGTCACACATAAATGAATCATGCGTTCATTTTTTTCATTTTGTTTATATTATTGTTTACCTCTTTTAAGGCAGCCTCAACATTAGAAGGAGACAAGTCAAGTAACCGATTCTCCAGATAATAAATCTTTAATCTTAGATCAAAGTTTTCCTTTTTTAATATATCCACAGTCTACAACATGATCAGAACATTGTCATATATTTTGTATGTATTCTTACATTCTCTTGGTGCTTTAAAGGCATAGAAAATTGGGTTGGTTTGACTGATTTGTCTCTTATAAACTCTGTTGAGCCTTCCAAGGGTGTATCTACAACATTCCATTGTTCACTTGAACTACTACTACTGCCATGATTATAGTGATTACTGCTACTACTTGTACTGCTACTACTATTGTGTACATGTTTAAGAGACACTGGTGAACTAGTTAACGGCCGAAAAGGTACAATGTCGTCAAGTAAAGACACATTGGTGGTTGAAAATAAATCGTCTTCCATTAACGTGCAAACAATAAGAAATAAACGTTCTTTCTCCTTTAATTATATTTAAAAAGAAAAAAGAAAAAAGAAAAAAAAGAGAGAAAAAAAAAATGGTATGGGGTATTTTTTTTTTTTTTTTCGATTTCGTCAGTTGAGCATTTAAACACTTTACTATTTTAGGATGTGGCTACTTCCCCCTTTTTAAAAACAACGATTGCTAAACTAATGAATAATTTTTATCATTCATTCCCTCTAGTAAAGAAAAATTAATGTACATCTTTAATAATAATACAAATATTGATAAAACATTAGCTGATTTAGTATTTATAGATCGACTCTATACAAGTTTATAAAATCAAAAAGATGCAAAGAGTTACAATGAAAATGGTTTATTTTCAATGCATATTTTTATTGTTAAAAATGTGTGTGTTTATATATTTTAGAATGAAATGACAACAGCAACCGCTCTTTGAGGTATTCTATCCTTTTCTTCCTTATTTGCACAAGTACGAATAGTAAACAATAAGTCACTTCTATCAGAGTTAAGATAGACGGGTAATTCAACCATGTTTTCATTGTCTTCTTTTTGGTCCTTTCTTATCCATCGAATCGTTGTGTTCGGGAGCTTATTACTTGGTTCGGATGTCAAGCGAATCTCATTCTCTTTCCATATTCCTCCTTCAATCTTCATACCATGAATGTGATAGCCTATAGAATCCATCTGCTTACATTTTCCAATATCAACATCCAATATCAATTCTTCAAGCGACCACTTATATTTCTGTGCAGTTGCCTGTCGGGTGGCTGTAACGTAGGCTTCTGGTGTGAATAAACTGCCAATGGCAATATCAACATGTTCAAATGTCTGTTCTTGAGCAACTGACTCGACTTGTTCTAAACGCGTCTTGAGGTCTGCAAGCCATGCATTCAAAGAAATGTTCTTGGGCACCTTATAACGCTTCCAATGGTCAGGAATTATTCCCTTATTTAACCAGGTCAACAGTTGTCTCAAGTGATTCGTCTGCTTCAGTTCACCAGCACAGACCTTTTGGAGAGACATGAGATCTTCTCGAATGACTCGTAACAAATTACGTGCAATTTGGTTTTCTCTTTCAAAGAATCGGAAGAGAGGATCCATAATACCATGGCTATCACGTTGCATAGCCTTGATCGTAGATGGTAATAGTGCCAGCCAGTTTGTGATGGATGCACTAAGGGCACGCATCCAAGCGGGTTGGTTGGAGTTGGAAGGTGCCCCTGATGTCTTTTGACCACCGTCTTGTGAGTAAGCAGCCTCATCATCATCACTAAGACTCTTCATCTTGCGGACCTTGTTCAGCATGTGGTTACCCTTGAGTGTCAACAGTACGCGTTCTGCGTTGGATGGTAATCCTAACCAGGTGGGCGGTTCACGGTCAGGAAGTTTGTTTACCCAGTCGAGGAATTGATCCATCTTGATTCCGTCAGGAGCAGTCAATCCCTTTTGGCTTTCTCCGCCCTTTACCACTTCAAAATCAATGTCAAAGCACTCAGGCTTGAACCAGGTGTTGACAAAAGAATCAAGCAAGCGTTGATCATACTCATTATCAATTCGGCCACCATAAATAGACTGTTTCAGCAACGATCTGATGGCATCCCAAGGAATCTTTTCGGGTGATATGTTGGCTCTACCAGCTGAAGCAGAATCTAACCATTTATCAATCGTGTTGAATGCACTGTCTTGATCAGAGTCATTAAATTCATAGACTTTAGTCCAGCCCAATGGAACGTATCGTAAACGCTCTTGAACAACTGCATGTAACCATGCCAACATAAAGTAAAGTCGAGCTCGTTCAGTAGGACCGCGTGACAATCGAGAAGGAGGGATACTACGTAGCGATTCTTGGAGGTTGGCCTTAATTCCTGGTGGTGGTTCAAACATGAGGATGCGTGACATACGAAGTAAGTTGACAGGTACTTTAGGATTCGTTTCCATCGTCAAGAACAAACGGAAGTTACGATGAGGTTTCATGCTGTGAAGCTTCTTTTCAAGCTGACCGAGCCATGCAGGCGCCAAGTGAACGTTCTTCAACATAACCCATGTACCAGTCTTGATAGCAGCAGAGATAGCTTGATCGGCTAATCCAAAACCTTCAGCAGATCCCATAGCCACAGACGTACAACGGTTGTTTGTCTCTGCAACCAAGTTGTCAACACGATAACTTGCATCATAACCAGGAACTGAACATAAAGCAAGTGGTGTAGAGCTACCAACCTCTTCTGTCACAATTTGTTGCAAGTTTAATTCACCAGTATTCATAAATTCTCCATCAAATATTTCAGTTGCAAAAATAGTCGTAGCAGGTAGCAATCGATCAGGTCTGAAGCACTTGACAATTAGCATCTTGCGAAGTGCATCTACAGAATCTATCATCATGTTAGCTAACCGTTATTAATCTTATTCTCTCACAACTTACTGTTTGTTCCAGCACCGTCCCAACATAGAGGCACGATTGTTTCCGGTTGGTTGTGTTCCATAAATTGTTTCCAAACATCTTCGTTCATTGAGACATGGTTTACTAAATGACTAAAACAATTGAGGCTAGAGAACTCCTTAATGCGCTGAGCAATTTCATCAGGAATGAAGCTAGGCAAGCTTAAGCTTGCGGCTGTCACAGTATTGCCTACAACAGAGTCGCCTCCGTTTAACAAGAAATCAAATTCGGTATCATCCACATTTTCTTGAACACCACGCATACGGATCTGGCAGAGCAAGACGGCATACATTGGGTAATCTTCGTGAATCAAAGATCGAGACGCACGCTTATAGGCAGCAGAGAATAGATCACGAGAGAGGATTTCAAGACGTCTATCAGGATCGCTGATTCCCTTCAAGTTGGGGTTTGCATGGATGACATATTCAAATATTTCATAAAAGAAGTCAAGAGAGAATTGATAAAAGTGGTTGACCAGATTGAGTTGTTCCATAGCAAAGAAAATGGAACTACAGGCGTGTGCAAGTGGTGTATAAATAGCCGTCGTTTGGTCAACTTCTTGCATAATCGTATTCGTTTCGTCGACCTTGCGTGTAATTTCCGCGGCTTCCTTCTTTAGCGTCTCAAGAGTATCAATGACTTTGTCATCATCCAAAATGTTACCCTTTGATTCGTTAAGTGCTTGCAGCAAAGACTTTTCAAGATGACGAAGTTTAAGTTGAAATTCACCTTGAAGCTTGATCAAATCGGTACGTTTCTGATCAACATCAGGACGTTCAGCCTTCAAGACCTTATTCAGACACTGGCTTTGTAAACTGCCACGAGTAACAGTAAAGTTGACAAAAGTGACACGAGAGCAGATATCTGGAGCAAAGTTGACAGAGGGATCACGTGTTGAGAGGAAGAGTGTGAACGCAGGTGAAAAGTCAATATCTTGGTTGCCCAATCGAATCAAGACACGGCCACCAGTACGACGCAATTCCTTGTTGAGTACAGGGTTTAAGATAGGATCAAGATGTTCAACGTCTTGAATCAAGATAGGGTTACCGAAACGCAATGCACTTTCGAGATTCTTAATGAACGAATCGTCCAAGAAACTAGTCACAGTCATCTTGCGATCCTTGTATTCATTAATCAAAAAGTTTGTAGCTTGTCCTGAAGGATCAATGATCAATGGATATCTGTTGTATCTCTTGAGCATAATGGCATTTTCAATACAGAGTTGATCTGCTGGAAGTGAATTGGCTTGCCATGAAAGACGATCATCAGCAGAGGAAAGGTATTCTGTCAAAGATACTTCTTGTTTGAATTGAATATTGGCTGCCAACAAGTGGTCCATCCATTTCTGAATAAGGATATCACGGTATTGCTGGTCAAAGTAACCACCATAAGCCATAAAGGCGGCAGCCAAGAGAACATCACCCACAATTGTACCCATTTGGCTTTCAAACGCTTGGCTTGCAGATTCCCAACGTACCTTTTCGGATGATAAAGAGCTAAGAAGGGTAATACTTCTGTCAACCTTTGATTTCACTCGTTCCATTTCAGCCTTAATGATCTGTGTTTCGCCAACAAGTTCGGCATATTCATCTCTGTAGCGGCGGATACTAACTTCAAGATCAGCAATGACCTTGTCCATTTCCACAGCCTGAAGCTGAGTCTCTTCGGAGCTTCGTTGCAACTGGTTAAGTTCTTCTCTAAGAGGACCAACTCTATCCAAAATTGCAGAGAAGTTGCATTGAGCAGTGACCCATTTGTACAAAGGACCACATGCCTTAGAGGCACGGTTGACAACATCAAATTCGAAGTTGGGGTTGCTGAGATAGTTCTTGTGCATGAAATCACGTAGTTGTTTAGTGATTTGGGCTTCTGTATTGTAATTTACAATACTAGAGATGAAGTCATCACGACGGATGATACTTTGCACTGTCTTCCAACTGTCAATCTTGTGTCCAAGCATAATACAGACAGACTCCATAGTAAGCTTGACTGCTTCGGGAGGATTACTCATAGATCTCACTTCGGTAAGGTGCTGTCTCTTGATGCTCTTGACACTCATTTCGGCTTCCTTTACAGCAGGTTCAGCATTAGCTAAATCATTGTCAACTTCAGCACGACGAGCTTCGATTTCCTATATAGCATAGCATTAACATATGTTTTATTAGTTTTGTTAGGAAATTACCTGTGTCTGAATCTTCAAGTTGTTCTTGATGACAAGAGAATCTGCTTTCTTACGTTCAGCTTCCTTTTCATCTTCAACCATCTGTTTAATCTTTTCATTTGCTTGATTTTGTTTCAATTCAAGTTGATTCTTCTTTATAGCAAGGCTCTTTCTCAGCTCTTCTACCTTAATCACAGTGTCCTTTAACTTCTCAAGACCAACGTTAAGATGACGCTGTTGTTCTTCCAGATCTTCACGTTTTTCGTTATAAAGTCGAACGTAATGAGAGATAAAGTCCAAAAAGTGTCGAGGCGTGACATAGTTGTATCGTCCTTGACGCTTGCTGAGCTTAGCATTGATCTCATACAATGATTGATGGACAAAGACAAGCGCGTTGACAACTGCTTCACGATGGCTAGGAGGAATGGGCAAGTTGCGGTAGGCAATAGGGAAGTTGAGAGGAGCGGCATAGTTTGGCATGTCAAGATCAAGAGTCTTTGTGAACTCCATACCGACTTGATAGAAAGCTTGATCCGGCCAATCACCGAACCAGTCAAGAACACAACGATTGAACAAAGCTGGTGAAGTGGCTGCACGTGAAGCAAGGCCGCCTTCGGGAGGATTCATGGTAAACACGACGTGAAGGTTGCGCATCACCTGTTGAGTGAACCACTTGTAGAGTTCTTCGTTAGAATCAAGCATTAAGCCATCACGTTGAGCACCTTCTTTGCATGCTGTCATAAGCGAAGCATACTCGTCACCTTCAAACAAACCGGGAACTTCGGCATTAGCCAGTAGTGTATTCATACGTTCAAGGAAACCAGAGTCAAGAACGTTGGACTCGTCCATAATGAAACAAATCTTTTCGCCTTTACAACCAGCGCGACGAAGCACAGTACGTAAATCATCATCAAAGTCAGCACCAGTATACTTGTTGTGCGCTTTGATTTGGAAAACACTTAAACCGTTCATCCATGCAACGAATCGAGACAACGTAGTCTTACCAGAGCCACTGACACCGATAAGCAGTAAGTGACCTTGAGGTTGTCTGAAGACACGATCAATACGGAGAACATGCTCAAGAACGTCATTAAAGAGCACCAATGCAACATCGAGTTCTTCTTCATAAAAGACCTTAAGTCTAGCCTTAGCAAAGTCACGTAGTTGTTCACGCTTAACAGGAATATAGTGTTTAGATAGCCAATTAGAGAAAAGAATAGGTCTCTCGAGCGCTTCTTCATGATTGATAGAAGGAAAGTGCTTATTGGCAATAGAGTCGATCATGTCATCGGTCCATTTACGTTCCTCTTCATCTACCAAACGATCCTGGAAGAGACGCAAAGCTTCATGTGCCCAGATACGAACTAGACCCTCAACAGTAAGAGTCTCAAGAGGTTTAATGGCCTCATAGATACCACGAACCCAACGGGTAAGTTCACGAGGAGAATAGATATAATGAGCTTGAATATCAGGAGTAAATCGTCTCTGTGAAGCCAAATACAGTTCAACCATCGCAGCAGTAAGAGGCTCGGCATAACCACGCAAATTGGGTACAAGTTTAAGCATAGCGCGTGTAAATGTACCGTAAATTTGCATGAGTGAAAGTTGACCAGCATAGTCAACCATAACCAAAGGTGCGTGACGAAGGAAACGATGTGAAAGAGGAACACGGCCAGGATCAGTTGGAGGGTTACATGCTCCGACAAATTGAATGCGCTCCAAGGTAACCCAGGACTTGTCACTGGTTCTCCAGAAACCGTTATATTCAACAAGTTGTCTGAGAAAAGAGATAACACGCTGCGTGTTGTATTTATCTGTAGCTGGCAAATTGATTTCATCACAAAATACAACGAGCCATCGACCAATGGTGAGCGGTGAAAGAACGACGCCATTAGGTGTCTTTCTATATTCACAGTGTTGTTCAAATGTCTTGAGAACCAATTCAGGGCTTGTTGCACTTGAAAAGTTAAGACCCACTACCTCCATATCAGGAAGCTTTCTAAGAGCACTGAATAATGTCATGGTTTTACCAGAACCAGGAGGACCACACAAGATCAAAGGCTTGTGCTCAGATAACCAAGAGTAAAGCACTTCTTCATGACGAATAGTATCGACAGTGGGGATAATCATATCAGCATCAGAAACCTTATGGGTTTCGATTTCAATGACAGGAACCTTTGATTCCCAAGGCACCCATTGACCTGTGTTCACAGCAATATCATAATCAATGATGGTATGGCCATTTGTGGTGGGTGGCAGTTCATAAGTGGTTACTCCGCGAACAAAGTCTCCAAGAACAGCTCGTAAATCAAGCTTGGCATCACCAGTGAAACTCCAGATGATAGAGTAGATAATACGCTTGGTGATATAACCTTCTAAATGATCGCCTGTCATAGGGAAATCTGAGTGCTGAGCGTTATATTCTAAAACATTGCGAACTGTCTTGTTCAAAAGTGAAAAGAAGGTTGAAAGTACACGCATGCGAGTGAAATCCATAATATGCTCAAGGGTAAAAGCATAATCCAAACATTTAGCTACCAGGCAGTTTTCATCAGAAAGATCAGGAGCCATAATATCGGCAATAGCTCTCTGAGTGTGCAAGTTGGGTGATACTCCGCCTTCAGTGGCAGTAGCTCCGTTAGCGGCAGTGCCTCCACTTTCCGTACGACGACGAGAAGAAGACCCTTCTTCTTCAATTTCATCCATGGGTACATTGCGGAGAGTATCGAGGTAGTTGGAGAATATCATGGGTAATGTGATGATGTCTTCACTGAACCAGACCATACCACAACGAGAAACGGTAGCTAGAGTAGCATATTTGAGGGTCTCGACTTCAAACATGATACGTACATTTGGTGGTAGATTAAGACGCTCACCATTGGGTAATGTAAGAAGACGATTATCGTCAAGGACAGAGTTCAAGTTTTCTACCCATTCAGGATCAACATCACCATCAAAGATGATCCAGTGACGTTTCTGGCTTTCACCACGTACGTTATCAACAATCTTACGAAGGATATGAGTGAATAGACCATCAGTCCATTCACGAGTAGTGGAGTCCAGAGTACCATACAGAGCATCTTTAGGAATTGCTTTAGGATCAATCGTATAAGCGATGCCTTCTACGCCTTCAACACGCTCCAAGGCAGTAAGTAATGTTTTCCAGGCAGTAGATTTACCGGCACCAGAGGGACCAACCATCATTAAACCGTGATGAATGTTTTGAATTTGATACAGCTGAATGACCTTTTCCATCCATGCATCCCCAGGAACAAGACGACGCTCTTCACAGACTTTACGTAATTCCTCCTTGAGACGATCAAGGTTACCAGGTGCATAATGAACGCCAGGGAACACATCTGCAAGTAAGCTAGTCAAAAGAGGAATATCATCGGCGACCAGTTTAGGTTCAACTGTTTCACGAATACTAGAAATAAGCAACTGTTGCTCGGGAATAGGTTCCGAGATTCTTGCGTATTCAGTCTGGTCGACTTCGCCCTTTTCGATTTCTTGACGAAGTTGTGTCAAGCGATCACGCTTCAAGTTACCAGCACTAACTAGTACACTCTTAAGAGCACGCAAACCAAAGTCATAATGAGACTGAGGAGAAAGTTGTTCGGCACAAAGATTGAATAAGGGCACAACCTTTGAAGCCAAAACTTCCGCAGTACGGAAACCTTGAGAGTAGAGCATTACTTGGGCAATCAGTTCCCGATCAGGCTTAGTCATGGCCATACTTCTAAACAGTTTCTTCAAGTTATCAGGCAGGTTGGAACGACCAGCATAGCCAGGATTCATAGTGATAAAGATACCTGTGTCAGTATTGACACGTACATTACGACCAACCAATTCAATTTCATGATTAGGATTTGTAGTGGCCTCTTTAAGGCCTAACTGGATAGTTTGAACTTGCTGGGAAACAGCAGATAAGATACGTTCTTCGAGACGATTGAATTCATCAAAACAACCCCATGCACCAACTTGACAAAGACCAATGAAGATACGACCCATAGCTTGGAAGTCGAATGTTTCATCACAACAGAAAACAAGGACAAAGCGACCAAGCTGTACACCCAAAGCCTTTACGGATTCCGTCTTACCAGTACCTGCAGGTCCAAATGGAGAGCCACCGAGTCTCTGCTCCAAAGCTTGTGTCAAAGTCAAGTAACAACGGCCCGTCAATGGGGTTTGAACAAGACGATCAACGACACCGAGATACTCATATCCATAGTAAAATTGGGCATTAGCCATGTTGATAGTCAGTCGATGGATAGGATTCTCGACGGTGTTGTTAAAGTAGAATCGCATATGATAAAGCCAATTGAAATCTTTGGGTGATGAAATATTGTCGGCTACAAGTTGTCGAGTAACATCACGTTGATGTACAAGTTCAGTGACAAGATGCTCACACTTTCTTCGCTTGATGGTCTGTAAATCAAGTAAAACTGCATCAGCCAATATATTCAAGTTTCTTTCGATAAGAGTAACAGCATGCTGCATTGGTGCTAGATCACCATTACCAGCGTCATCAATGGTAGTAAGTGCCTTATCCACAGATTGAGTCCAAATAATTTGAGCTGCTAAAACGACAAGCTGAGCAGGATAACGGTCTATCCATTCCATAAAGTCGGAGGAGCTCATTTCTTCAGCATTGTAAATGTTTTCAAGCTCAGTGACAGCGTCAGTTAAAAGCAAAGCAAGTGATACTCGCATCTCCTTTTCCAATAGAGTCAACCAGTCATTGATTTTTGGATTATCCTTAATGGACACAGGTGTCTTGAATCGAACTTCTTCGCCTTCCTTTGAGGCCATTCCGATAATAGCTGTTTGCTCTTCATCTAACAAAATGGTAGCAATACCAGCAAACATCTTCTTGAAGTGCTTCTGTATACGCAATATGTCCTTGCTGTTACCAATGATTTCTAACAAGTCTTCATCACCAACAAAATAGAAACGAGGGAATGAAGAACGTTCTCGCTCAAGATATTCACCCAAGGCTTTTTGAATCTTGCTCAGTAGTTCTGCAAGACGTTCCAAAGACTTTTGAATATTAGGGATATTAAGGACATCCAACACAAATGGAGACTTGTACACCTTCTTCATGACGGTCAAGAATTCAGTGTTAATACTTTGGAAACGAGACGTTTCTACAGGGAGCAAATGCTTGATATCTACGCTTCCACTAAAGATACCTTCAAGATAAACCCATTGACGTTGAACATCAATCCAAACATCGAAAAGGACATGAATGCGATTCAATTTATCTTCCCAAGATGAAGCGTCTTCTTCAAATACTTTATAGTATGGTGATAACTTCATAGCAGTAAGAGAATTAAGATGTTCACTCGATTTGCTGAACAAGTCATCCCATCCACGAATAAGACGACATCTGTTTTGGTAGTTGACCAGGTCCAAAACGTATCCCGTCCATGTTTCCTTGATCTGTTTCAAGAACTCTTCAAGTGCCATTTCACCTTGAGCTTGCATGATGACGTCCTTAATAACAGTTTCGTTACGCTTAAGATCAAGATCCCACAAATGTCCAAGAGTCATTTCAGATAAAGTGAAGCGTCCCTCAACGCGAAGAGATTTAAAGATTTGACGCCAATGACGTTCACGAAGAGCCTCAGATTTCAAGTCGCCTACTAAGGGATTCACACGCAAGAGCTGACGGAGGGTATCTTGCATGTATTCATAAGCAGCATATTGACGCATACGGTTTGGCATTTCCTTTGTGGAATTAACGAGTTCGTCAATGCTCTGACGCACCTTACGGGGGACAACTGAAGACCAGGGAATGTCACGAATTTCATTCAGAGATTGCCATACACGAGCAAGAGCGGTCCACACAGATTTGAGATCTCGAAGTTCTTCAAGAACAGGATCCAGACGTGCTTCTGATGTTTGTTCTAGGTCTAATGCTTCCTTAGCACGACAAACCATATCATACTCTTCCTTCAAGCGAGTAACACGTCCTTCAAAAATAGACAAAGTGTTTGTTGCAATATCCGGCTTAATCTCGCCCTGAACAGGTTTGGTCTTCTCCCATTCAGCACATATATCACGAATCTTTTGTTCAATAACCTTATCTTCAGCAACAATCTTCATTTGCAATCCAGCAACCTGTTCTTGAATAGCATTGTTCTTTCTGCTCAAGATTTCATTGAAAGCACTCCATTCACCATCCACTTGGTCAACATACACCCAATCTCCTGGGAATTGGAAACGCTGTCGTTCGAGAGTTTTCTGACCCTGTCTAAACAATTCCACATCCAGACTCCACTTGGCAACCTTTCGCTTCAAATCTTGGACGAACGTAATAAAGGTTACAGCTTCACCAGTAGAATTGCTTTCAATAGATTGCTGTTCAAGTTCATAACGAGCCTTTGAAACAGAAGTATGGAAGTCCTTCATGGAAGTTCCCAAAAGTGAGCCAAACTTGTTGAGGATTTCACGTTGCCATTGATCATACTTTTGGTTCACTTTACTCTGCACTTGCTCATAATCAATCACAAGTGGACCAAATGATTGCTCGGTTTCGGAATTGTCAAATGTAGATCTAGCTTTTTTGATTTCTAACAAAATCTGCTGCCATTTACCGAGATCATCTTCAAGGATCGAAAAGACGTGGCTAGATTCCAGATCCCACAGGGACTGATACTGTAGCCAAATGTTAACATAATCAGAGACTTGACGAATCTTGTCTTCAACAATTTGATAAGCGTATTCAAGAGAATTATCACCCATACGGGTCAAAAGACTAGAATACGTCTTTTCGATGGTTGGATTATCTTTAACGCTGAGACCACCTTCATAACGTGAGCTTTGAATACGAGGAAGATGACAGACAACAGCCAACCAATCATGAAGTTGGAACCACCAGCTGGTTCTAGCTTGTTCGATAGGAGGGTCAAGGTACATGACTTGATTACGTATACGGACTTCATGGATGAGCACCTGGAGAGCAGGCTTAACATCTGATGATTTCTGAGCTACTGTAGTTTCTTCAACAGGAGCAATGCTATCACGTTGGCCACCAGCTTTTCTCTTGCGTCTAGACTTTGACATACTGACTTCAGGCACAACGGCTTCTTCGTTAACACCCATGAATGCGTTCGTCCATGCCTTAATGGCTTGCTGCAAACGAGCAATCAATACAGTTTCGATACGTTTATCCAAACCGGAAACCCATTGGTCAAGGTTTGAGTAGTTTTCGAGGTTCAAACGGTCAATCTACAAGGAGAAAGGTTAGATCAGATAAATGAAATTGAATTTCATACGTACTATCTTTTGAATACGGCCGAGTGTGTCCTCAAACTTTTCTGTCTGATAAGGGCAAGCCTTCATTTCGTCAATTCCTTTTGTTATATCGTCATAGTAACCGATCAATGCATCAACTTTGTCCTGGAACACGGATACAACATTGGCAAATTCACGAACAAACATGACATGTCTGTTTTCACGAGCGTCCAAAGGAGTTCCAGAGAGATATGACAGTGGACGGTGATGAGCATCATAAGAGCTGACAAAATAATCCCAGCGTAAGTTGATACCCTTCGTGATCATGTTGTGGACCTCATTTCGATAACCAGCTACTAGTGTAGCAATTTCCGGGTTTCGATTTACTTTATGAACAGTTTGAGAGAAAGTTCGGACAGTTTCCATGAGACTAACGGCAAAAGGATAGACACGCTTGGCATCTTTTGCTACATTAGATATAGTGTGGGGTACTTGGAAGTTCAGCCATAACAAGTTTCTGACTTCCTTGAATAAGGCAATGATTTGACCATCAAAGTTGATGCCCAATTGAAGTGCATTCTTTTGAACACGGTTACGTGAAATTTCAAAAATACGTCCAGACACAGACAAATCACGCTTGGTAATCTCTTGAAGCCAATTGTCATAAATTTGACGAGTATCCAACTTTTTACGGAAACTGCTGCTTTCAATCTGAAGCTTTTGCCCTTCAGCATAAAGCTCCCATCCTTTACCTAAAACATCCTCAACACGTTTCATATAAAGAGACAGTTGTCTATCGATTTGACGTGCCCAAATGATGGCACCTGAGACAGGAGGCAAGTCACGAAGCTGTGCCATGTGGTAGGCTTCAGAGTTTCTATACTGCATCTTAAACTTGTCGTGCAACTTATTGATATCTTCTTTGACACTATCAATGAGCTGTGTTTGGTATTCTTGAATAGCACCACGAATCTTGGGTCTAACAAAGAGTGCGTTGAACTTGGAAAATACTCTAAACATTTCATTAGCGCTCTTTGCAGTGCCCAAACGATCGCGTAAACGAGCAATGATCTGGTTTTCGACACGCGACACTCTTTCATTGTAAGCAGTCTCTGCCTGAACCCAAATTTCAGTTCCCTCTACAGTAAACAACAGTCAGTAATGAAAAGGCACAGCCAAGATAATAAATTACCAGGAGAGACATCAAGCACATCAATATTCTTGACACTTTCATAGGCCAGTTTTACTTCTTCTACGGCGTTGATGTCGCTAATGCTTACACTTTCTTCTTCTTCCATAATACTTTTAACTTGTCCATCTTCTACAACGGTAGCCTTCTTTGCACGAGGACTGGTCATAACACGTACAATAGTTTGATGCAGTTGTTCATGCTGTTTTCTGAAGGCCTGCACAAAAGTGACACGTTCTTGGAGTTTTGCGTGTGCTGGATTGATCTTAATAGGCAAGAACTTTTCAGATCGTTTACGAGTAACATCACGAGCGACATTAGTAAACTCTTTGATCAAGTCATCCCATGTTTGGAATACTGACTCTGCGCCTCCTGTAGTACGTTCGAAATCGTCATACTCCATATACATCATACGACGACTACCGAGCACTTTCAAAAGCTGGTCGTTGAGATCTTTTGAAATAGCTTCAACTAAAGGAAGAGCTCGACGAATTGGATAAGGTCTAAAGCATTGCGTTAGCTACTTATCTTTTCTTGTTTTCCTAAGCATCACTTACGATAGCTTCAATTTCTTGTTGAGATGTCCAAATATTAAGTGAAGGGATTCTCTAATCTTGTCCAAATCCGTAGCTGACAGAAGTTCATTAAGAGGAAAGTCCTTCATAAGTTGGTTGTACTTGTGGACTAGTACTGCATTTTAGAATCTTTAGTTACAAACAATCTATCACAACTCACCTCGCTCCATTCCTTCCTTTAGACCCGTATCGGCAATGAAACTGACAGTCGCATGGAAACGCTTGGCATATTTCAAGATATCGAGGGTTAAAGCTAGATACATCAGTTAATCATTATATTACGCTTGGATCCTGATATTTACTTATTTGATCACTCTTCAATTGCTCATCTATCTTTTCAAGAGCACTTTCCATACTAAGCCAAAAGTTAATTTCCTGGATTGCTGTGCCACTTGCAGGATCACGGGACATTTTGGTAACCTTTTGGATTTCCTTAATCCAAACATTGACATCACTTTGAAGTTTATTAAGGAACGAAGAATCAGAAAAGAGAGCAGGATCAATTGCCTCGACTGTAACTCTCTTGCTTTGTTCACGGCACTTGATATGACATAATGAGAAAGAGTGTGTACAAAACAAGGAACTTGACTTACCTTATCAACTGCCTTTTGAACAACAGGATGAATATTTAATGATACTTCAGGAATTTCAACATTCTGTTGAAGATGCAATAAACTAAGCTCAAGTTCTGCCATCTTTTTCTTAGCCATTGGAACACCCATCTTATTCTCTTCATTCTTGCTCTTGGTACTAGTTTCATTTGCTGCTTTACCATATCTAGCATTAACGTAAGCATCAAAGTAAGGACTGACAGCTAAATGAATGTATGAATGCAAAAATTCGTAAGCGCCTGTTTGGCCGGGTTCACTAGCGTTCGGAGCTCCAGGAAGATTAATTAGTTGCAACTGATTTTGTAGAGGTCGAGATTGATCGAGCGTAGCAGAGCGTTTGATGACAGCTAACGAACCAACATGAGTCGGGAGGTATGTTATTTCATGAGAAACGGTATATGAATAGGTAGCAGGGGTTCCTTCGTCTAATAAAATTGTTATAGATAAATAGATAGCAAAAAGAGGATGACTTACCTTCATCTTTAACGTTGTCTCTTTCCTTGTAAATGAAGATGGCTGGTGTTTGGGGATCATTAGCAAAACGTTTAAATTTCTCACCTGTATCAGGATAAGAAAACAAGGTATTTTCAAGGTCGGATACATCAGCACCAAGCACCAGGGGTAAAAGTTGCTCAAAGTATTCTTGAAGTTTATGATGGTCAAATACAAGAAGTACTTCAGATGCACCGGGTGCAGCAATAGAAGATGTCGGATTTAGTGTCGTTTCGTCTTCGAGCATAAGTTTGTTCTTATTCGTTTGTTAATGAATAAAAAGGTATAAACAAACTTTTTAAGAGTTTTTTTAAAAAAAAAAAAAAAAAGATAAAAGCTTTCTTCTATTTGCTCTACGCGACCTTTAAGCAAAATAAAAGGTAAAGCAGTTAGAAAAAATAAGCTTGAACCGAGAAAAAAAAAAGGGGAACGACAGTTTGGCGTAGAGTAAGGCTTTTATATACTCCGCTCAAATATCATTTGCTGCTGACATTTATTTTGTAAATGAACACGCAGTTTGACACGAGAGTACCTTGATTGAGTCCTGAAAAATACAGGGAAGATAGTTAAGCAGAGTATGAAGACAGGGCAATCCTTGTATTAATATGAAGAATACAAGGCGGCCATTCATCATTAATACGGATCCTTTTATATACTTATTCATTACAGCAAAAAGCAAAATGTATTTTAAATAACTCAAAAAGCGTGGCTACTCTTCTTTCTAATATCCCATCAAAATCACATTCGGATATCATAATCGGTCTTACTTGATTCTCCTGCATGGAACCACATATATTAGAATCTTAATTTGACAAGAACCGTATTGCAAATTAAATGTATACACTCCCAAGAAATCATACCATTGCTACAACAAGTGCCCAAATGCGTTCAAAAGCCGTTGTGCCCATTGTCTTGTAAACAGTTTCAGTCTTGTTCAACTTTTTGTAAGGTTGTGTTTTTATTTTATATATTTCATCTCTATTAACATTTTCCCATCAGCTGTTACTGTTGAGTAAGAATATAGATTTTTATAATATATCTTGACTGGAAATATCATAATTCATCAAGGCAAGTCATTGTCTTTAGACAAGAAAGATAATGAATTGATGAGCATAGCGACTGGGAATCCTTCAGTAAATCATTAAACGAAATATTTTAAAGATTCGAGGCGAATTTACAGTTTCCAAGAATGCATTTTGTAGTCGATTTCAGTCTTGAATCAAGTGCTTATTTAAATGTACTGGTTGAACATTGCTTGTAGGTGCACCAATCTATATTGTAGACCAGCCTTGGCAGAACCAAATTGACGTCGCTTATGGAACAGGGATGTTGCTGCTTACATCAACTGCTTGCACACCCTTTGGGAGCTTCGGCGTCATGGCATTGTTCCTCGTAGTTTTCTCTGGGTTGCTGTTGCTCCTACAAGATGTCGAAGTAGAGCAGACGATTAGGAGCAACAAGAATTAGAATACGCGTAGATGATGATTTTTTGCCCTATTTATCGCTAAGACACATTTAGATACCTTCGGGATAAGTTATAAGTATATTAATTATGTACATGTATATATTCTCTCTCCTTGATGCTTTTCTTTTGTGTTCCGTCTCTTACATCTCCTTTTGCACATTTTATTTTTAACCTTTGCACCAATATTTTATAAAACTAACATTATTAATAAAAATACATTACAAGGTCGAACATGGCACATGGTAAAAGCTCAAATGCTTTTCAAGTTCCAGCCCTATAATGTTAAAATTAAAAAAGGCATCTTTTACAAGGAGCAGCATTAAGGCTGGCAGCCCTTTGTCTTTAGAACATGACCGTATAAACTGTCAAATCTTTTAAATTCGATTCTTCTATTGTAAAGGGGACCGTCTTTTCTATTCGTACACTGTACATAAAGACAATCTGTTTCTCATGTTTCGAATATATTCATCACAGAACCTGTTGTTGTACTTGGTAATATAGACAGGTGATATATGTCCTTCTCAAAAGCAAGATGAATTCAGTAATAATAGCTACATAAGGCAAAGCAAGATGCCTAAATGTACAACAAGGAACAAAACCAGACAGTGAGATCAAACTCAAGGCGACTACTATCTGTCATTTGTTCCAATTGAATGTATAAAAGCTTTTTTTTAGTGTGTAGATCATCCAACTTTATCTTCACAAAAATCATTATAATTCACACGACGAACGGGACAATCTAGGACAAATTTAACCTTTGGTTATAAAAGTCTTTTTTTTTTTCTTATTGTATAGCACCCTTGAATTTTTTTTTTTTGACCTGTCAATAACTCTTACGAATATATTAAAGCAATGATTGTCCTATTTATTTAAATTGCATGTATACTAGACTAATCTCTATTAAGAAAGTGAGACGGTAGTATGATTGTCGTTTCTTGACTTTCTGTTGTTGATATGTGAACACTTTATACTCTGTACGATATAAACTAATTATTTTTAGATGAACCGTTGATGATCGTATTCCTTGTTTGGCTCTGGTGCTACTCTTATCAAACTCGGATTTAAAGACCAGAAGATGATAAGTTGAATGAATGAATAATGTTTCACAGCATACCATCTAGAATAAAGGTAAATCGGGAATAGAGGCACATAATAGTCTAAAAGCTCTCTTTTTATTCAAAACATGCTATTTTCATTCAAGTGCAACCAAGTTCTGAATGGAGCCCTATTTAATAAAGTAACACAAATCAATAATTGAATTATATATATAATCAGCTTTATATTCTTTACTTCTTTCCTCTCAGCTTTCTCTTTCTCTCAAACCCTTTCCTTTCATTCAATAACAGAGAAATCATCCCCCTGACTTTCCTTTTATCTCAAATGCGTCCTAAAACATTCATCTTCTTTGCCATCACTTGTATCTCTGTTGTCGCTTCCGCTGGCTTGGATGACGATATACTTGAAGACTTTAGTACCGTGAAGGGTAATGGCAACTATATCATTCAATTGAGTCCTGACACAAGTATCAAAAGCTGTACGTAATAGAGTATATTTAAATTATCATGACTAATCCTTATTCACTCTCATCTAGTCGTCCCCAAGCTTATTGATGGTGCCTTTGAGATCTTCAGTCAATCGATGGGCAATGACAAGTTAGAAGTCAAGAAGAACAAAATTGTTCGACGTGATGATCAAACAGATCAACTCCATGTCTTTGATGCTTATAACTTTGGTCAACACTTCAAGGGTATCACTGTCAAGTTTGAAGATATCAATATCGTCAGAGATCTTGCTCTTCTCTTTGCTGACAACATCTTGAAGATCATTCCCGATCAAGACATCGAGTTTAACTTGCCTACTCCCAGTAACAAGAAGAGCAAACTTAACAAGAGATATCACGCTCGTGCCAAACAAGCTTCATCTCAACGTATCGAACGTCGCGGTAACTTTGACCCTGATACCTATGAGGATGACGAATTTGAGGCTGCTTCTGTCAAGAAGAAGACTTATAAGAAAAAGACCCACAAGAAGACTTCCGTCAAAAAGGCCGTTTACAAGAAGCACACGACCACCAAGAAGAAGCATACAACGACCAAGAAGCATACAACGGTCAATAAGAAGAAGAAGACAACCACCAAGAAGCACACAACCACCAAGAAGAAGCATACGACTACCAAGAAGCACACGACTACCAAGACGAAGCACACGACTACCAAGAAGCATACGACTACCGTTACCAAGGGATCCAAGACAACTACTTCTTCCTCAGCTACCCCTACCAAGAATGTTGTCAGCAGCTCTGATTATGCCAAACAAGCCAATGCTGAATGGAACTTGATCCGTATTTCTCAGCACAAGCGTAATCTTGCTCAACCTTACATCTATAATACTAAAGCAGGGTCTGATGCCTATGTCTATGTTATCGATGATGGTATGAACATCGGACACGTTGAATTCGAAGGTCGTGCCTCATGGGGCTGGTCTGCTTATGATGGTGCCTCTCCACTTGGTGAGGGTCATGGTACTCACGTTGCTGGTATTATCGGTGGTAAGACGTATGGTGTTGCCAAAAAGGCCAATCTCATTGCTGTTCAAGTTCTCAACGAAAGCGGTAAGGGCTCTATCTCTAGTCTCTTGTCTGGTCTTCAATGGGTGACTACACATGCCAAGGATCATCAAGGCAAGGCTGTGATTAACATGTCTTTGGGCATGAAGACTGCTGGTGTAACTGATTCTGCTTTATCTGCTCTGAACAAGGCTATCGATGCCGTCGTTGCCTCTGGTGTTCCCTTATTTGCTGCTGCAGGAAATTGGGGTACTGTTGATGCTTGTGATGTTTTGCCTGCTGGTAACAAGAATGTCTACACTGTGGGTGCTACTGATAAGAACGACGCCATGACTGACTTTAGCAGCTATGGTAAATGTGTTCAAATCCTTGCTCCTGGTGACAACATTCTTAGTTCTTACATCGAATCCAAGACGTCTACTATCAGAATGTCTGGTACTTCCATGGCCTCCCCTCACGCTGCTGGTGTCGCCGCTCTCTTGATTGGACAAATCAACAATGCTACACCTGCCAAGGTCTATAACGAAGTAACCACTTTGGCTACCAAGGGCGTCATTTCCTCCATCTCTCACGATACAGTCAACCGTCTTTTGTTTAACGGTCAGAAATTAAGTAATGCTTAAAACTGAATAATTTGTACTTTCTCATTGTAACAGTAATAAATAAATCTTTCCTTCTTCCTTTTCTCTGTTTGACAGGTGAAAAAACGTGCAATGTACTCCCCTTTCGCACGTTGTCATTTATTACGAGAAAAACGTGATGGCTGGTATAACATGAATTGTGTATTTATTTTTGCTTTTGAATCATGTCTACTTGCTCTCGTAATTCACAAATGACGCAATCACAGAACGCGGCTACTATGTTTTTAATCATGACTAGTCCCTTATCTGTCTTTCGAGCTATTTCAGAAGGATCAAATTCGTCAAAGGTGAGCTCAAATCGGAATTTGCAGGCACTATAGAATGATTTTAATACAAGTAATTTTGGAGAATGAAATACGCTTACGCAGTAAAGAATCGAAGGTTTTCAACTGCTCTATAAGTTCGACGAGTGTCACTGTGGATCTTGTTGATGAATCCAAAGGGACGCTTGGATCGTTTGACTATATTATTATATGCGATACAGAGAGCCTTTCCATCCCTACATACACATGTATAAATAAACATATAGTTGCATCGTTGCAACTTACGCTAAACATCCCAGAAAAGCATCTTCGTCTTCTTTTGGATCTGGTATACTTATTTCTTCATTGGAATCACTTGTTGCTTGATTATCAACAAGTAAAGCGTGGTATCTACCTTTATCATAATTTAGTTACATGTGTCTGTACTACAGTAAAATGACTTTACCTAGGGAATCGTTAGGAAAGGAACCGCGCTCGAGCCACACGGGTATACTGTTTGCTACTTTCTTGGTATTATTTTCATTCAATTCATCATCCGACAGGCTCAAAATAGATGTCCTGCCCATCAAGGCTTGAATTTCAGGAGTAAACACAGCGGGTGGACTTCCTATATGATGAGGTGGATTAAATGCGTATGTTTCAACAGCTCGTAGATAGTTGTGAATGGCCTGTCGTTCCCGTTCCAGCAGGTTAAATTCAGACGCCTTATACAGATATCCTTCCTCATCGTTTCCTTCTTCTCTGTACTGATTTTCCAAGTCCTTCATAGCTTCGAGCAGAGCCAAGGAAGCTTGTCTTAACTTTGCCAGGGCAGAGTCAGAGAGATCGTGTCTGTGAACAGTATAGTTGCGCACTGAATCGAGCATCTTGGTGACGGACTGAATGAGTGGCAAGATTTGGAAATTTCCTTCTGTAGGGGTTGCTGCCCTGGATGAATCATCCGCACTATCGGAAGATAGTGGATGGGAGGAGGTTGATGACGACGAGGACTGTCGAGGACCCACCACCATGGACCAAGTGGTCAAGGTATGTTGTATATCGCCAAAGCAGATGTTCAATAGTACATCTAAATCTGTTTCAACGTCCAGGTCTATCCAGCTTGGAGGTGGTGCTTTGGGTGTTGGTAGCTGCTCGTCAAAATCATCTGGTTCTTCCGTCAAGGTCTTTTGGAAGCCCAAGGTGCCACCTCTAGTAGTATGTCAGCTGGGCTATTTGATTTGAGTCACTTACTTGTTCACTTTGAGCTCTCTCTTGGCGTAAAAGTTTTGTAATCGTTCGATAGAGCCTAAAGTCAAAACAGAAGACCTTCTTAAAGCTATATCATTTAAAGCTCAGTAAACAATTCATTACCCTATTCAACCCAGCTTACCCGAGCGAGCAAATCCTTTGGTTTGAATACCATTAATAGGTTTCAGGTATCTACGACCGTGAGGACTTGCGGCACGAATGATCTTATCATCCTTTGGGTAAGCACTAGACAGCTTTCTGACAAATCCCGAGAGGTCGTCGTCTGTCAAGGGAGGTAATGAGTCGACGCTTCCCTGAGGTGTTGAATAAGTACAGTCATCTAAAGGATGTTGTGACATTACAGAGAAGAGGGAGAGAAAGAGAAAATAATAAAAAAGTGAATCCAGTAACCTCAAACACATGGAATAAGGGCAAGCTTCAGTCACGGTGATACAGAATTTGAAGTCCTGTTCTGTAGTATCCTTACACGATGTTTGTTGTTATCAACTAAGGACTGCCAGTGTTTCTTTTTTTTTTATTTTAACGTGGTAAGGAATCGATTCCAAAACGTTGCTCTTTTACATTATAGAGTTCTATTGTCCTATTACAATTCTAGAATTCCGAATTATTAATAACGTATATTACAAAATGGTAATGAGCCATGATCTTTTACCCTTAGTGTACTCATTATTTGTGTGGTATATTAAAAAGAGCGCATTAGTAGTAGAAATGTACATACAAAAGAAAAATAAAGGGGACATTTTATCTATTGATGCTTTGACACACATATTATCACATCACTTTTATTTTACACAACTGGAGAGACACTCTTCTTCTTGCTGTTATTTACATGGCGCTGTTTCTCAGTTCTTCAAGTCTCTTCACAATGAATATGCTGGTGTCAAGGAAACGGTCGACACAGTTGGCCAAACAAGCTTCTTCACTACGATCCAACTTGTTGTTAACCTTGTTGATACATTTATCCTATAACAATGTCAATATTCTCTTTCTAATATTTTCTTTTTTAAATTTTACCCAACAGTTATCGGTCAAGGAGTGAACAGTTTGTTGGACACGAGCCTTGGCTTGCTCGGCTTCAAGGAACTAGAGAGAAATAATAAGAGTCGAGTCCTGAGGCTATTTTATAAATACATACTTGTCCGAGTTCACGTTGATCATTTTCTGAGAATTGGAGTTGTTGAGACATTTTTCTTTACAAAAAGAAAGCGTTTCTGGGACCCCCGCTTTCATAAAATTAGCCTAAAAAAAACCAGATAGACAGCGGAATCAGGTAGGTGGCTTAGATTAAGCCACTATATGGGTATTTATGCTGCACAATCATGCTTGTCAAATATAAAAAGAAGACGACGTATCAACAAACGCGTCATAAATTGTTGACGCTCAATCTCGTTCAAACCCATTTTATCTTGATGCAGTCTCATCTACTTTAGTATTTACTTTTCAGACAAAAAGTCACATTATGAGGTTCTTTTTTCTTTAATGTCTTTAAACAAATCAACATCTGATGCAGAAATACCAACTGGTACTGTCCTATTTGCTGCGGGACAGATGAAGGTATACTAAAATATGCTCAATAACTCTCTTTCATTAATATCATTTTGGGGTGAATATCAGCATGATGAGTTCTGGGATGATACGGAGCTTATTGAACATTGGGATAAGACGGTGGAGTTATACAAAGTAGAATATATATACTTGTATGTCTGTGTGTGTATTCATTATATGTACTAGAATCAATATTCAAATGTAAAAGAAAAGACAGAGACAGAGACAAAAGGGTATGAATACATAATGAATGTATACATCTCATTCATTCTACAATAGAAAGCGAAAGAAGGAAGCCTTAGAACAAGATATACCAAAGAAAAAGGTGCGAGAGATGAAAAAGAACAAGAACTTTACTAAGCGTTTATGTATATTAGAAAGTACGTCATACAACAATAAAAGATACCAGCAAGTCCAACCCAACAGACACTACTACAGCAGAAGGTACTTTTGTTTCCTGCAAAGACTATTGATTATTAATAATAATAGGAGATTTGTCCAATCTAATCATGGCATGGTATTATGCGGGCTATTATACAGCTCTTTACTCGAAACAGCACAAATAATCTATCAGGCAGAAAGTACACCAATCATATCTGTTGATCGACCGCAGCAGTTTTACGAATGAAAAAGTGACTGCGCCGCTATGCACATCTATTTAAATAAAAAATTACCCTTTTTTTTCCATCTTTAACTACGTTCCTTATGAGTATTGAGCAACATACCAACGTCGCTGAAGCTGGTGCGACTACTATGAATACCCCCGTTAATAGCACTCCTTCAAGTCAAAAAACTCATAAAAAGAAGAAGCAACAGCAAGAAAAAGGTACCACAGAACCAACCTTAGAGGAAAAGAAGAAGAAGAGGAATAACAATAGACGTTGGAACAACAAGAAGAAGCCACAAGCAGAGACACCAGTTACGGACGGTAATGAAAGCCGTGCACAAAATAATGAAGAAAACAAAAAGCCCAATAATCCTTCAAACAAAGGCAGACGTGACAACCGCAGCAAGAACGGTGAATTGAAGCCTGCTTTGTTCAAGAACAGAGCACAGTCTAAGCTGACGATAGATGACGAAAGTACAGATAAAAACAGCAGCAGTAGCCAGCCAAATCGAAGAAAGAACAAGCAAAGGCAAAGAACAGTGGCAGAACCATTGCCTACGGGTGATCATGATATTGCTACAAAACTGATTTACGAATTGAAAAACTCGACTTATGAATGCATGATTTGCATGGATACAGTTAGACCTGCTAATCAGATTTGGAGCTGTGATTGCTGCTGGGCAGTATTTCACTTGGGTTGCATAAAGATGTGGGCAAATAAATCATTGCAAGGTAAGAATACACATATATAATAGATATCGGATTCTGAACGTTATTTAGATACCTCATCTAATAAGATGATCACACAATGGAGATGCCCTGGCTGTCAGAACAGTCGAACAGCTATTCCCAAAGATTATCTTTGCTTCTGTGGTAAGCAACGCAATCCTGAACCATCAAAGTATTATACCCCGCATAGTTGTAATCAACTGTGTAAAAAGCATAAATCATGTCCTCATGAATGTGTCTTGTAAGTGATAAATACACACCTAGTTAAATGACGTGTACTGATATATCGTAGATCCTGTCATCCTGGCCCTTGTCCACCTTGTAACTCGCTAGGCCCAGTCAAGACGTGTTATTGTGGAAAGACGACACAGCAGAAAAGATGTGTGAATACAGACTACTCAACACAAGGATTCTCATGCGACATTATTTGTGATGAATTGCTGGGCTGTGGAAAGCATCGATGTGAAGAGAAATGCCACAAGGGCATTTGCCCTCCTTGCACAGTGGAAGAAACTCAATCTTGCTATTGTGGAAAGAGTCAAAGAGATACTCGATGCGGATCAGGAAAGCAAGTACAGCTGGGAGAGCATGTTGGACATTATAATTGTGAGCACAAATGTGAAAAGTAAGTTTACAATTCAAACGCAAAGAAAAAAGGAAAATAACTCTTGTTTTTGATATAGAATGTACAAGTGTCAGCAACATAGCTGCCAAAAGGGATGTCATCCATGTTTGGCAGACGCTCAGTCCTGTCCATTTGATCCTGATACAGTAACAACATGTCCATGTGGTTCAAACCCAATTTCTGAACTTACAAGCAAGAAGCGCACAGCTTGTACGGACCCAATTCCAACCTGTGAGTCTACTTGTAACAAGAAACTTGCTTGTGGTCACGCTTGTCAAATGAAATGCCATGTGGGTGAATGTCCTCCCTGTAAGATCCTTGTTCAAGTATCTTGCCGATGCCAAGCAACTACCTTTGAAAGAACTTGCTCTGCTGTTTGTGAAGCAGCTGGAGGCAGTCCACCTTTGTGTGATAAAGTATGCAAAACCAACAGAAACTGTGGCCGACATCAATGCGGTGTTGTATGCTGTCCTGCAGCTAAAGTGAATGGAAAAAACAAAAAGGGCACAGATGCTGTTCACGACTGCTCTTTTACCTGTGGAAAGCTACTCTCATGTGGCACGCATACCTGTCAAGCAAAATGTCATAAAGGAAATTGTCTTCCCTGTCTAGAAGCTACCTTTGATGAAGTTTCATGTCACTGTGGACGTACTGTCCTTGAGCCTCCTGTTCGCTGTGGAACAACACTTCCTGTCTGTCCTCACCCTTGTATACGCCCAAACCCTTGCGGTCATATTCGATTCCTCAACCACAACTGTCATCCTGATAACGAGCCTTGTCCTCCATGTCCTGCGTTAGTGACTCGACACTGTTTATGTGGCAAGACTGAACTCAAAAACGTTCCTTGCTATCGTGAGTCGCCTCGCTGTGGTCGCCCTTGTGAGAAACTTCTTCCTTGTGGTAAACATCATTGTTTGAAGACATGTCATAATGGGCCTTGCTTAATGGGTAATGAGTCATGTAATCAAACATGTGGCAATGAACGATCCTGTAAGCACCCTTGCAAAGAAAAGTGTCATCACGGTACGCCTTGCCCCGAAGTCACACCATGTACGTTTAGAGTAAAGGCAAGTTGTAAATGTGGACAAAACACAATGGAAATCCCTTGTAATGCAAGCTCTAAATCAAGCGGGTCCAAGACGTTGTTGGAGTGTAACGATTTCTGCGCCAAGGTACACCGTAACCGTCGTTTGGCGCTTGCTCTGGATATCAAACGTGATGATTTTGGCACACCAAGCCTTTCATTAGACGACCTTGGTTATTATGATGATAGTCTCCGAGAATTCTTCAACGAAAATGCCTCATGGTGTAGACATATGGAAACAACGTTGATAGAATTTGTAAAAGATCCATTCAAGAAGGCATCTCATCTTAGACCTATGAAGAGTGAATACCGTCGATTTATTCATCGATATGCAGTCCACTTCAATATTGCTACAGAAGCTATTGATGCTGAACCTAAGCGTAGTGTCATCTTGCGCAAGACTCTGGGTGCATGCAGAATTCCAGCTGTGCTTTTGTCCAAGGCAGCACGTAATCCTAACCTGAACCGCCCACCACCTGTACTGGAAGCTGCTATCAATGGTGAAATTAGAGCACCCAAGAACCCGGTGAATGCACTCTATCTTTCTGATATGGCCTTTGGTTTAACCAAGCTAGAACTGGATGCTGAGTTGGTACCGCTCATGAAGTTGGGTGATGACACCATTCCCTTCAATTCCACATGGGTCAATGAAAACGATGCGGTAGTTGTACCTATTATAAATGATGCTGTATCTATGGATGAGAAAGAGCTTATCGTTTGGCAATTAAAAAAGACGTTGAAGGCTGCATTTGCTAGTGAAGATGTAACCAAACAAAAGGCAAGTCGTGTAGATTGCTGCTGGGTAAATCAAAAAGGAGAGATTACTTGGAGTGAAAAGCAGCTGTTGAAGAGTAACAGTACAAATATAACATCCCTTGAAAGTGGCAAGAGTTCCAGCCTCAAAAACTCCAATTCATTTGCTGCTCTCAGTAACATGGACGATGATGGCTGGATGCGTGTGGGTGACGATAACCCATATAGAGCAGTGAAAGATGCCTGGAAAGAAGAGATTCAAAAATCAACTACGCCTAGAATAGCTGATAGTGATGCTTCTATTAACAGTGTTTTAGAGGAAATCAGTGATATCAGTTCAACTGAAAAGCCTGAAATGGTGAATGTGAATGAATCTAAAAGCTCTGAATCTGATGATTGGGAGCTTTTAACAGAAGAAAACAACTTGTAAAAAAACCCGCCATTCCTATTATTTTCCATCCTTCATATGTTAATAAAACAAGCAAGCACACTAGCTTTTTCTTTACCGAAATATTTTCCTTGAAGTATCATAAAGACAGCAACTGAAGGATCTATACATATAGAATAATGTATCATAAATAAAAAGATTACAAAATAACAATTTATAAGAGGATTCTACATGTTTATATATTATCTTATGAGGAAACTCTAATCTGATTCCGATGTATCAAATGAGCCTCGGAACGCCATACCTTTGCTATGCTCGCTTTGGATCAATCTTATGATATTTGGATTGACAATCCTTGATAAGAGAGGCGGCGATGAACTGTGTTTATGCTTTCTTACATTGACCTTGTGTGATTCTTGCAATTCCTTGATGGTAATTAATGTTGCATCCAAATTTTTCTATATGTGTATTATAATAATCAATAAAAGCTAGTTGTCAACTCATTAATTTACCTAATATTCCCATATCTAAATTGATCAGCGACATTTTTCAACATGGAAAGAATATCGAATATGCCTTTGTGATGATCAAAATGGATCTTGGTTATGTTGGTATTCATAAAGGCCTTATATACTTCTAACAACAACATTTCAATGCTATGAAAATCCTGGAATCCGATCACATCATCTAAACATAGTTTCCATTCTTTTTTTTAGGTGTTTCGACATGAAAAAGAGGGGCTCTCCGCCAGGGAAAAAACCAGGGTTGTAACCATCAATATTATCTAATTGAGACACAACCATTTCTAGAAAAAGCTTAATCAAATAGTCTGCAAACACTGATTCACTGTGGGTTGGTAAGACGTTACATTTATACGTTGTTATCCTGTATTAAATAAAGTCAATAACCTAATGTTAGCATCATGTATTTTAAGGCACTTGCGTAGAAGAGAAAAGACTGTTCAAAAGCCCAATTGCTTGTCAATCTCATCATCCATCTCAATATCACCCATGATATATTTTCTTTGTATTCCTTGGATGTTGGTATCTTGATTTTATCGCTAATACTCTTGATATATTTCTTTGGGGAAATACGGCTTATGTGAAATGCCTTCCCCGCAGCAGATGATATTGTTTTTTGTCGAGCTTTAGTGTAATAATATGTTAATAATGCAACATATGTTATAATAGACAATCCTTGTGTAGTTTACCTGTACTTTTGCATTTTGGCATCACCTTTTGCTTCGTCTAAAAATAGTTTCCATTTTTTGACTAAGTCATTTGTGGAGCTACCTTTCCAACATCAATAAGCATTTGTTACGGTGTATCCTTGAATATATTGTGTGATATTGTAAAACAATAGCTTTATCTCTAAAGTACAAGAATACAAATAGATGGATTAAGGTTCTTTATAATCATTGATGAACATAGAAAAGAAAAAGGCTCGTGGCGAAAGGGGGAATTGGCTCTTTATATGCACGAGTAAATGTTGTCAACCAGTTGTACCATATGGACTGTCTTTGATATGATGCGTCATCAACAACTACAGACTACAGATACCATGAATCAGTGCTGAAGGCTTAATATGGGGCATTATGTTAACATCTAAGATGATTTTGGCTTGTGTATGAAATATATATTGACTATATTACGTCAAAGGGTGTAATCTTCTTTGATATAAACGTAGAAGTACGACAAATGATGTCACTCGAGGACAAGAGACTTCATTATGCAGAGATCAGGACGTTGAACGGATGTACTGGTAAAGCTTTTCTTCGCTTCAAGAATTCTAATATTCATCCAATGTAAATAGTACTCCTGGTCAGGACCGTCAAAGAGGCCAGACAAGAACGACTCAATGAATTGTGAGTAGGGATCAGCTTCGTCGACATCCTTTCGTATAGAAGTCCTGAGTAGTTTCTGAATTAAACCACAAATAGCTTGACAAGCTTTTGTTCTGCATTCATTAAATCCATTCTCATTTACTCCACTGTGACTTTGATTCTTGTAAGCTTCTCAGTGTTAAGTTAATATCAACGATGCCTAGTAAGGGTGTGACTGTATCCATTGGCATTAGTACAGTTCTGATGCTATATATATCTTCAACATAAAGTGTTTCATGACTTTTAAAAGTTTGGCCTATCTTTTTTATGCTTTTTATATCCATTCCGATTATCATTTGTGTATATACTTTAGTAAAGTTATTCACCTCTATTTTTATATAGTAAAAAGATTAAAAGGCAATAAATTTCATGCATTCTTTGTTTATATAACACGTCCTTGAGCTTATTTCGTAGTCTTAGTCACACACTAGTTGTGTTACTCTGCCAAACCCTTTTTTTTCCCTTTGACGTTTTGCTAGTGAAGACTAGATAAATACAATTTTTTAGTAGTTGCTATATGAAGTAATAATCTCGTATAAAGAAATGAAGCAAGTTATGCATAAATCAAAAGATAGACGCGCTCCGGAACCCTGTTAACCCATGAAAAATAATAATTTTACTTTGAACAAGTCTAGACGCAAGCATCAAGGGAAGGTCAGGATATACGCTATAGTCCCTCAAATGGGTCATAACAGATGAAGCAACAGCTTCTAGATGCTCTAAATATCGCAATACATATTGTTATCTGCGGTTCATCCGTTCTCGTACCTATCATCGTGATGCCTCTAGATCTATTGATAAGCATCATGTTCATATACAGTTCATCGCATGGGCCTCACATGGGACATAGCAGTCTTTGACTTTTCGGAGGTTCGCATCGCCTAATGAGGTAGATGATTGCAATGAGTGTATCTTGTTTATCCTTTTTCTCCTGGCAAGAACGTTGTTCTGTGAATGTGGTGTATTACTCTGCAAGCACTAGCAGCGTCTGATTGCTGGAAGTGGCGAAATGAATGATTCTGTTTATTTCCAGGAATCCATATTCGCTAAACATAAGCACAGTTTCATATGGCTTCTCCTACTGAGATTTAATTTTATCTCTCTATGATTTCCTTACGACTGAAGATGTAGCAAAGAACTCTTTGTCAAACGCTTCCAGCTTCGCCGGAATAAGTGGAGAGCAAGGCAATTGAAAAAATTACAAAGGCAAGCGGGATCACATGCTCCGTCAATACACGCATCACACCATTTTGTCTTTGCTGTTGCCGAGCATCGAAACACGGATAAGTAATCTTCAAGACAAAATAACTGAAATTGAGTGCCTCAAAACAGAAAGAGTTTGATTGGAGCAAAGCGAAGAATCACCCAGAACTATTAAACACTTGATCAAAGCACAGGAATCTCGATGTTATATTTCTGTCCTGTAGCATCCTGAGAGCAGTGATCCATGCCTCGATCAATCAAGCAGACAAGCCGCCGCTGAGTAATCCTACACCCAGCTGTATTCACCTGATTCACCTTCCTAACTGTTAATAGATGGTCTAAACGACACAATCAATGGTGGAAACAGTACCTTTGGTTCCCTTCGGCTGCATCTGAAGATCTCACTGGGAATGTGTGCTTTGCAGGATAGAGTTCTTCCTCGATCAAAGTGTTACTGCAAATTCGAATAGACGTCTGCAAGCACATTGCTATGTTTGATTATATAGACTGGCTTTTCACTCTATATGTTTTATTTTGTGTCTATATTTTATGTAGTTTAATACTGAATCAGTGGACATATGATGAGAACCTGTAATTAAAAGTGCGACACTTTAATTTTTTTCTTGCGACTCATTTTTGGCAACAGGTGTACTTTTATATCGATATGTGTGTTTTATCGTAATGACCAACTTACCGACTATAAAAGAATTCTTAAAGTCAAACCAGCTCGATCAATATCATGACGCTTTTATAAAAACAGGTGCAACTGAGCAAGACTTGGAATTGGTTATTCAATTGAACGAACAAGAACTCTCGGAATTTATATCTGCCTTGGGCATGCTCCCGTTTCACTCCATAAAGTTCAAAAAGAGTCTACGTGAACTTAGGAATAAGTTATCACCTGTGAGTAATGGCAGTAAAATGACAAACAACTTATTTACCTTTTCTTGCTAAATAGGATAAGCAAGAGATAGTATCTACAGAGGTAAAACCAAAAGAGAAAGACTAGCTCTCATTGCCAATGACTTATATACTTGGGAAACTAGAATGATCCTTCCATAGACATGATTACTATTCAAGCAAGGATCTATGGGAAAGGACAAGATCGACTACTGACAAGTTATGAAAAGGCTATTAACAAAGCGGCCGTTCAATTAGCACTGGAGGATCCATTGCTGTTGTCAAGAAAGGGAGAATTATTTAAATTAGCCAAGAAAAAGCTACTGGATGAAGGATATCAATACAAGCGAGGAAGGAGTCGATCAAAGCTAATCAAGGAGAACCCACAGTTACTGCAACGGCAGTCATCATTGCTAGATAAACGACAAGAAAATGCTGAGCGTATATCAATACAAAGACAAGAAAAGATAAGATGCTTGGAGAAGCAAATAGATGAACTGTTACGGATTCGGCAATTGACAGAAAATAGACTAGAGATTAATTATTATGATGTAGAGACTAGACCAAGCATGGAAACTAAACTAATGGAATATGAAGAAGAAAAACGTCAATTGAGTAGACAAATAAGTAAATTGAAATCTCAAGAACGGAAACATCAGTGGTATTATAGACGGAAATCTGAAAAATCTAGTGGCAGTAGTAGTAGTAGTAGTAGTGACAGTAGCCAGTCAATAGAATTCGGTTCACAGCCTTCGCTATCATACAACAGTAGTAGTAATGAAGAAGAGTCATTATTGGAGATTGAAGATCGATCCTTTTCTATTTATTCCATTGAAACACATTATAACACAAGAGAAAGTGACGTACGAGCAAGAAGTTTAGGGCCAAAATGAAGAAAGGTATATTTTTGTTATTTTACAAACTATTCATTAGGCTGACAGCAATAAATTTTTTCGCACCAATCACTATTTAGTACATCTACAGCTGTAATTCGTTTCTTAGGCTGAGGGTCTAACATTCTGTAAATTATTTTCTTGGCTTGAATGTCGAGGCCTTCTAAGGTATCAATCTTAGCCTCTTTAGCTTTTCTACGTATTGTCTCTTTTGCTTTTAACAAGTCTTGCTCTCTCCTTAACCTCTCTTGTTCCTTTTCTTCTTCAGACATATTCTGTTTTCGTATCGCACTTTCCTTTCTTGCATTCTCTCTTTCTTCGTCTAATAATTGTCTAAATTTCAAGTATTTATCATAAGCTTCGTCTTCGCCACTCTTGGCTAACTGCCAGGGATGAGTTGCTTTACGTAGTGCCAAATAGATAATACCACAACTCCAAACATCAACTGCGCGTGCATCGTAGTTCTCTTGTGTAAATTCTTCAGGAGCGATATAAGGCTCTGATCCAACCAATCCACGTACCATGTGTATCTTTTCACAATCGTCCTTCTTTTCTTCACCATCACTATCGATTGTCGTGCCTCTAAAACAAACAGCTGAGCCAAAGTCGGATATCTTTAAGCAGCCGGTTACGGTCAACAGTAGGTTCTCTGGCTTTAAATCTCTGTGGGCTATACCGATGTCGTGCAAATAGTCAACCCCACGCATGAGCTGTTTAAAAAAACAGTTTGCTTCTGGGGCCTCTAGACCATCCGGAGAATCAACAAGAATGTCAAAGAGGTCTCCGCCACCACTAAACTCCATGACTTGGCAGAATATAGGTGATATGTCATTAAGAGGTAATAGGTCGTAGGTCTGAATAACGTTGGTGTGATGTACGGTGGATGAAATGAGGTATTCTGACGTTAGTCTCTTTATATAATCCTTTGAAGACTCGTTTGTCTTTTTACGTAATTCCTACATCCAAAAATGGGGTTACATGCTGCAAGGTAATAAACTAAAATATAAGCTCTTGCCTTGACAGCGTACAAATGCTCACCCGAGTCATCCAACTTGTGTGCTATTTTGACGACACCTGATGTACCTTTACCAATCGTTTCCTGGCATATACCCCATTTGTCTGATAACGATCTGTCATCTGATTGTCTATGTAAGCATTGATCTAAGGCGGCACGTTCTTTTTTTATTTCGTCTATCGTTGGTTTTCGATCTGCCCATTGAGTCGTTAAACGTAATGATTTATGAGCGATACCCATGAGGCCATGGATGATTCGGTTTGGGGGCGGTAAGGACAAGTGATGAGCATGTGTACCATCATCAAATAGTTGAAACCTTGAATAGTCATGGCTTTGCCTTGAAGATAAAGGAGGTGATATATGTGGTTGTTGTTGTATATTTGACGTGGGCATAATCACATCTTGTTCTAGTTGCTTGTTCAAGTCTCCCTTTTTACCATGAAATATCGCTTGAAAGAAGCCCATTTTATATTAAAAAGAAAAGAGAAAAAAAAGGAAAAAAAAAAGAGAGAGAAATATATAAAAAAGGGAATAAAAATATTTTTTTTTTTGGGAAAATATGACCCTTTTTTTTTTTCTTTATTTCTTGTCATTGTTTATAATTGCATTATTGTTGTGTGTAATTGACGCAGTTTGTTGCTGTAACCTTTTCAATCGCTCTTGTCTTTTCTCTTTCTCTTCTTGTCTTTCCTTTTCTTCTTGTTCTTGTTCTTCCTTTGTAATTTCAGGTAGTCCCAATTGTTTACGTAATGACATAATCTCCTCTTTCATATTCTTCATCTTTTCGTCTTTTCTTTTATTATCTGACTTTAGTCGAACAATGTACTCGTACGAGTGTTGTAGTAGCACAATCTTACTCATCTGTTTAACATCCTTTTCCTTATTATTCCTCAGCTCGGCTTGATCCATATGTTGATCCTCTGCTAATTCTTCTTCTATCATTGCCTCAGTTATCTCTGTTCTGAGTGAATCAAAACTTTGCTTGAGGATATCTCTTCTTTTTTGCTCAGCTGCTTTATGTGCAGAGCGTCTATGTTCGATTCCGGATTGAATCGTGGTTGAAAAATCAAGACCCAGGCTTTTTACGTTGCCCTCTTTAAGGTTTTCGTAATTGGATTTGGTTGTCAACAGTGTTCTAGCCACTTCTTCATCAATGGTCGACAGCCGTTGTCCATTAGGTTTGAGTGAAGGTGATATCAGTGGTTTGAGTGTTCTTGGTGATGTCAAGGGTCGTAATCCTGCAGGTGACTCTGCACTAGGTGGTAGTCCAGGCGAGTGACTAAACTTGGTCTGTGAAATTCTTCTGCGCTTGGTTGAAACAGCTTTGGTCTTATTTGTCGCTGTGTTATCATCTTGAAGAATAGCAGCTGGTAAGACGGGCATATTATCTACCGCAGTACTTGGTAGTGGTGATGACGTGCTCGTAGGTGGCGTGCTATTATTGTTATTATTACCAGCACCTAGCTTCATCAATAAAGAGGGAGTGGCAGGTGCCATCATGCTGTTGTTGTTACTTGGTCCTAAAGCCAGAGGACTGCTTTCTGGTATCTTTTTGACTAATCCTAATTTTGTCTGGGGGCTGTGGACAGCAGTTATCTTTGGTTGCAATGATTTCTTTCGACTTTCTGTTGAGTAAGTCACTAGAGGACTAGTCGTGGGTGAATCTGTACTGCTGGTATTTAATTGATGCTGCATGCTTCGCAACTGTTGTTGCTGTCTTTCAATCAAGGCCAGCTTTTGCTGGAGTAAATGTTGATCCATCACAGATGACGAAGGATGAAGTGCAGGAGATGTAAGGGGAGAGAATATATTATCTGTGCTTGTATTGAAATGATAATTATTATTGTATGTGGGCGCCATTGCAGGAGAGACAAGAGGTGTTAGAAATTCCTAAGATGATATACGGATATTTAGTATTTATATACATATAATATATACGAATATCTTACTTCTTCATCTCCAAAATCGTCTATAGTTTGATTATGTAAAGGATGTTGTATAGGTGTATAATTTGCAGCATGGTTATTGATTTGTAGTGGTGACATGTTATACTCAGGATTATGGCCACTAAGTACGCTACTACCTGTAAAGCTATTATCTTGATGTCCATCAGGTGTTAATTGTGGTACTGAAAATAATCCATTATTATTGTTATTACTATGATGGTTTATGTTGTTTGTCATGCTATTGTTGTTGTTGTTGTTGTTGTTATTATGTGTATTGTATGACTGATTCATAAAGTTGATGAACTCCATAGATTCATGACCATTTACTCCTTGTTGTTGCTTAAACATGTCAACACTATTACTTGTGTTACTTTCTTGAAGGCTAAAAGAGCTATATTCCATATAAATATTTAAGAAAGAAAAAAGAAAAAAGAAAGGCAAAGATATGCTTATGAGCCGTCCTTTATTTTGATTTGTTGATGGCCCAAAATCTTTTTTTGGATTCACTTTTTGCCATGTCAGATCAGTGATCTTTTTTCTTATTGGAAGTTTAAATTTAACAAATAACAATTAATCATACACTCTTTTCCATGAAATGATAACGAAGTACTTCAATGTGTTGTTATCAATCTCTGCAAAAAATATATCCATCATCAAAAGATTGCGGTAAAGTATATATTCATCACACTTGTGTTGGACAACTTTTGCCTCTACCAAAACCAAGGTTATGACCATATGCCCATTTGCGACATTTGGTTGAAGGATCGCCTACAATTTGAAATACACATCGTCTGGCTAGTACAAACATGTGGCCCAAACCGTTTTGTAACAGCAGCCGCACTCAGATAACTCTCAAACAAAAGCTTACAATCAGACCCATTCATTTTTCCCGGAAGGTGAATTTACTTTCTGAAAAGAGTGTAGGCCTTAACAAGAATACGTTTCTGATAGCATATTTCTTTTCAGTAAAGATTCTAAGCTGTTTATCATTCTTCTGTTCCCTTTAAACAGGTATCAATCTCACTAAATACAGCAGTAAAATCTCTAAATATGTCAACCTTTAACCCATCTTGGAGATACATTTGTCAGCTACATACGCATACCTTTTAGTTCAGTCTTTGCTGACAAACAATGTTCAGTATAACATCGAAAGTTCCTCACCGTGCTTGAGGTAACTTTGATTGAAATTCCTATCACCAAGCGTGATGTTAATTAGATCGCCCTATACTGAGTAAATTTTTGGCAATCATTTTCCCTACATAAAACCGTTAACAAGGATCATAATCGTATAGTTTCCCTATCGTCTGCACTCCCATTCGTATAGTTACAGGTAGAACGTAACACACTGGCTACAAATAAGAGAGCTATCTGTTGGTTCAATTGTATCCTCGTCAAGATGACACTGAAGATGTGTTTGCGCTTTTTTAAACTGATGTATGAAAAACCTTACTTTATCTTGGTTTGCATAGGTCTTACAAGCATCTTTGGATTCTGTTTCTCACATAAAATATCTGTATCTTTTACTTTGCTGACATGTATAGGGCTATATTGGCATGTACTATACAAATCTTCCGTGTGGGTATCGTCTATAAGCTTAGGATAGTCATGCTCATCAACAGCATGACTCTACAGAGCTTTATAAAAATAAACTAATCGACCATTTTGATTAGACGCAGAGTGAATCTCAGAAAGCTAGCTTGTTTATAAAAGATGAGATATGTCAAGCCTTGTACAACGGCTTTTTCTGTGGATTTGGAAGGATACGACTTCTATTTTTGTCAATCTGTGTTTTTATAATTGATGTAGATCGTTGGTCATCTGTTATTTGCTCTTTTTCACTTCAACATATTATCACATCTCCACAAAGACAAAGTCCATCAAAGCCACATCATACTGGATTGTTAGCTTCAATTAGGACTAACAGTCAACTAAAGGATCTAGATGACGTGTTGAGTAAATCAGAAATGTCAATAGGAAAGCACAGAGCGAAAAATCAGGCATGAAATTTGAATGGTAGTCAATAAAGCACTTTATTTTGAAACTAATTACATAAGCATTTGAAGGCGCGCCTAACCATAAATTTTTATTATTGTTTCCTTTTTCTCTCGCTGTCTCTTTTTTTTCCGTCTTTAATTTTTATATTTTTAATGGCAGAAGCATTTTTAGGTTTGAAAGCAACCATTTTATTACATAATGGAGCCAAGATCGAAGGAACCATATCTGATGTTGACCCGAATACAAAGCAGATTACCTTAAAAGATGGTAATATATCATGATCAACATACATGTATAACAACTCATGAATGCATAACAGCCACACTCCATTTCTTTGGCCAATTGCCATATCATACACCCATCCACGGTGTATACGGAAGAGATATTAAGGATTTATTCGCGGAGTCATACCCACAGGTAAATGGGTCCTTATTTGCTCTATTGCTAACCATTCTTCTACACCTAGCATGAACCAGAACTGATCACACCATCGCTGTCAACGTCAAAAAGTAAGTACATATCTCTGATTCCATTGGTTAAATAACCCCTTTTTAGGCAAGAAAAGAAAACAGCGACAAAATCGGAAAAATATGAACAATAACAAAAATGCTCAAGGTTGGGCTGATACAGACGTAAACAGCTTTCGAGAAGAAGAATTTGATTTTCAAAAGCACCTGGACAAGTTTAATAAAGCTGAAATATTTGCAGAAATTCAAGTAAGTGTACTTTTATCCCTAGTACCACTTTATATTAATACGCAAAAGGACTCGGATAAAACATCAAAAGAGGATCTTCTCGTTACTCACAATCGACTACCACAAAGAAACTTGTTACCAACAGAGAACGTACTCGACGCGCCCGTAAAACCACCTTCTCCTCCTCCTTCGTCGATTAGAGCACCTGCAATATCGACGGCTTTAAAGACCGCGACGAGTGGTACACCCTGCCCACTGCTGTCCGTCACTGAGTTAATACGTATTCAGCGTAAATGTACCGCGGTATCACCACGTTTTGAAGACTTGGCGATCGAAAATAGCGCGCGAGGAGCGGCTGTCCTGGCCATGCGCCTTCTCCGCCACAGTCACTTATCGTCTTCTATTGTTATTCTTGCAGGCAACACTCGGATCGGCGCTATCGGTCTCGCCACGGCTCGTCTGTTGATCGATCGCGGATATCCCGCCACGATCTGCATCGTCTGCCATGATAGACAAGCCCTTTGCCCTGATGTCGCTCGTGAAGAAGAGCTGTTGCACAACTTTGGTATACCCGTCGTTTATGATCCCTCAAGAATTCAAGGCGCATATGATCTGGTCATGGATGCGATTCTTGGGTCAGAAAATAAGCTGATGGACAATATTGCCGAATTTCATGCGTGGACAAAGGCAATCAGCTGGGCAAATCAGCAACCAAAGCCGATCATGAGCATTGATTTTCCAAGTGGCGTCGATGCTGACACAGGTAAAAAAAGAAAAAGAAGATCCTGATTTGTCTTAACCCATTTCCCTCCTTTAGGCCACCCGCAGCACGCTCAATACTTTATTCATCCTCAATGGACTGTCTGTCTCGGTGCCCCCAAGTTGGGGTGCAAATCAACAAGGACCACAGGCGCCCTTTATTTAGTGGACATCGGCATACCACGAAAAATGTGGGAACAGGCTGGCATAGATATGTCCAATATCTTTTGGGAGGCAGAAACGCTGGTTAATCTCACGTACGATGCTACCTAAGCTATGGGTAATAAATCTGAATTTTTCCGATTGATGACTTTTCCAAGTAAATGGGGTCTTGCTTATAAAGTGGTATCAAAGAGTACATCATTAGGTGTGTGTATGCAGTTTATTTGGGCAGTAAAGGTTCACGCTCGTTATCAACATGATCATTATTGGGTTGATCTTGAATGGCACCTTCCTGGTCCTTTGGAGCTACTTTAACAATTGTGTCTACGATCCAGAACTGGATAATATTCATGATCAAAGGGAATCTGGATGTAATGAATATCAATATAATTCTTTTTAAACGTTATAGTGGCTTACATTAACATGACAAAGATAACTTGATATCTGTAATTACCCTTGGTCCATCTCAAAACCCATTCACCAAAAGAGAATAAAAAGGGAAAATAGCGAAACATCCAGTAGACACAGAGCTTCATGAGCGATTCAGCCAAGACAAAAATAAATGTCTGCTTAAACCATGGCAGAAGCATATGTCTCAGAGGTGGTGCACCGTACTGACCAGTCTTGATATCCTTGATATGCAGCACAGTAAATATCCTTTGGATAGATTTGAGCCAAAACCATAAAATCACAACCCCAATGGTTGTGTCGACTGCGACATTCAAAAAGTACCACACACACAAATTGGTTCTGGGCCCGCCGCCTTTGGGCCGCCCAGCAATGTAACTGACTGCCAAGTTAAGAAAATGAATGACGGCTGCGCCTACAAATTGCTTGGCTACGTCCAATGCCCTTGAAATCTTTTTTTTTAGAAATTAAACATGCAATTCAATTCAATGGGAAAGCTTATCATACCAGACTATCATCGGTCTTTGAGGTTTCTCTCGCGATCGTTTATAGAATAAAGTAATTAGAGCTGTAGAGGCAAGTGTGATCTGGACAAGAATGGCAAACGAGTCTAGTAGTTTACAACCTTCGTCGTCTTCATTGCTAAACGATTGACAGCTTTGAGTAGAATGAAATAAATAAGGGATAGGGTCCATGCCTATTATGCAAAATAAAAAGAAAGAGAGAAAAAGGAAAAAAAAAAAGGGAAGAAAAGAGCGGGGATTTATTCAAAACGAGTAAAAGGAGAAAGATTTTATTTACAATAGAATAATTTATTATACAAACACTGTTCGTGGTTTTTGCTTTGAAACTTTTTCAGCGATAATTGTATCTGGTTTATCAAGGTTAGCTGTGGAAGCACCTGATTCAGAATCAGAAGGATTGTTATAATATTCTTCTTCTCGCTTTTCTTCTTCTTCATCCTCTAAGACCATTTCAAGCCCCTCTGAAGATCTTCTCAATGAGGAGAAATCACTTGAGACACTCGTGTTACTGTAGCGAGTGATGTATGTCCCTGCTTTAAACGGCAGATTTTGATTTGGGATATGACGTATAGCTCGATAACAAAAGTCAGCAAAGGTAGCGTTAGCACGCTGGCATATTGACTTGTCCTTGACGACCTCTGGAACCACAAACCAGTTGTGGACGGCGTCTTCAATCACTGTCTCCCAATTGACATTATCATTTTCTGCGCGCATAGCCAAGTCAAGTGCATCGTCGCGCAAGACTTCCTTGTTGCCAATGTACATCAAAACATGGTCAGGCAAGAAGGCACGGAAGCCAGTTTCGAGCTTTGCAATTCCCAGTACTTGATTAGAGTCAGGAGGCGAATCAGGGCCTGAGGGCTCAAAGTAGTCCTTTTTGATCACTTTGGCGGTATATTGGGATATATAGTCGTACTTTAAGTTGGTTTCCCATGAGGGAGAACAGGTCTCATCTGTAACTATAGGAGAGATAATAACAGCAGCTGCGGGTCGAGGTAATTCGGTGAGAGTAGGTCCACTATCTGCTGAGCTATCGCCTGTTTCATCTGTAACAATTTCAAACATGCTTGGATCATGCGTGATAAAGAGCATTTCGAGAACCAAGGAAGCACCAGCAGAATCGCCAATGACAATGATCTTTTCAGGATTTATACTTAGTGTCTTTGTAAGATGCTCATAAGCTCGAACCACATCTTCGACAGGGCTTGGGTATTTGTATTCAGGTGCTAATCGATAGTCAATAGACATGATTAATGCTTCCAGACCATAGTTGTACTTTAGTAGCTTTATCCATTCAATATAAGTATCCATATACATTGTGCAACTTCCTACTCTAAATCCGCCACCTACGTAAAATCGATCAGTAAACATACGAATAATAATACTTTTGTAGCTTTACCATGTACATTAAAGAGAATAACATCAGCATTATGTATTCTCTTTGATAAAGACTCTTCATCTAATTGGCTTACGTTTTCGCCAAGCCAGCAACCAGACCATTCGTTATTCCAGGCTACTTTACGTATCCATGGCTTATGTGATGATCGTGGTTTTGTTATATCATTTAATATCAATCTTGCAGCAGGCGCAGGTAAAGAAAACACTTTTTTTAATAGCTTGATCGTTGTTCCTGAAGGTATTTTATTGAATGCGCTTCTTAATGAATTCATGCTGTTTTAGAATAATAATAAAAAAGAATAAAAAAAGGGGGAGAGGGGAAAACAAAATCCCCATAAAAACCTTGTGTATTTTTTCTCATTGTTAATCAAATGCCTACCATCTTGATTTCCCACCTAATTATTTATTGTGTTACGGTTGCACAAAATAGTGGAGTATTCAAAATAAAGCAGCAAAAACAAAAAGAAGAAGAAAAAAAAGGAAAATAAGATGAAAGTAGGACGATTACATGCTCCTGTTGTTAAAAAGAAGGCATACTTCCGTCCTTCTCTCTCTTTTGATAAACTTGCAGAATGTGAATTGAGTTTTAAACCGCAGAGTGATTAGTTTGATGTCATGGTAAATTAAAAAGTGTGCCTAATACATTTATATAATCATCAAATGTGTTGCCTAGAAATAGTTGCTGAGATATTGCTTTTTCAAAAAAAGCTTACAGTTCTGTAGAACTTGTCTTCTTCATTTTACAAGCCAAAGTTACTCAAATAGATTTAACTCAGATAAGGATTGCTATTAACTTGTCTCTTCTATAGCACAAAACTAAGACAGAGCCTGACCACAGTTCTGCCTGCTGATCCTATTCCCACTCACACTCATAAGTTCCCATTACGAAAATCTATTGATTTGCTTACATATATGCTTAAAAAGGAAAGTAGGTTACGAATAGGGCTATGTCTTTTGATTACACATGAAGATCTATTTAGACATTTTGCGCATACAATCTTTCCGCCACAAAACTTAAAATTCACTCGACGCATTACAAGATTGACTTTCCGCATTTTATTATAAAGAATAAGAAATAGACTTACAATAAGCATTTGCATCACTTGGTTGATCAAAGTTTGAGCATAAAGATGAAAAACTAAGAAAAGATCAAAAATAGAAAAAGCCTGCGCAAAAAAAAAACATGGTGTAGTGTGCACAATGCAGAACTCTTTAGTATTTTTACGTTACCCAAAAAGGAAAAGCAAAGCGAGCAAAAGCGACTTTACACCAACGACACATACAATGATGTCAAAACTCAACCAAGAAAAACGTGACAGAAAAGTCTAGCAATATATGATAAGCGTACTGTCATTTCTAAAGTCTTATAGACTGACAATAATCCTAGATATGTTAATTATACTAAGACAGCTGAGCACTTCAAGTAATCTCAATTCACAAATAAAATGACAGAGACCAGAAACACAAAAGTTATACCAACAGAAATTGGACAGTACGACTAGATGGTCGTGACCGAACTAGGCAAAGTACTACAGTAAGCGCTTCATGATATGCTTAACCATCGTGAAGCCGTCTATTAAAGAGCTTGGAGCAACTAACAAGTCTCAGAAATGGCATGATCGACATTTCCAATACCAGAAAGTAGCTAAACGTCGAATATGAACGATAAAGCTTTCAGAAGTAAAAAAAAAAAAAAAAAAAAAAAAAAATGCATCCTAAACGCAATAAAATTATGTCCTCACGGATTATTATAAAGATTGCGAACCTAAAGACACTTAAGCATGGAAAGCAGTGAATTTCTAAAGACTGTTACCTTAAAAGTAAACTTGTTTTGTTTGCACCATCAACTGAACAATAGCAACATACTTTTTGTCGCAGATAGGTGCAGCATATCGCTTAACTTCTTCATCTATTGACTTATAGTTTCTCCTTAACTTTTTTTTTTTTTCCTTTTATTTGGCTTACAAGTTAGCGTGAATGGCAGTGATACTTTTTTGTCAAGCTTAACGACAACAATGCCGGCTATGTCATTGAGGACTATTCTCTTGTAGAGGCATTGTTATGATGGGTATGAGAACAAATTAACTATAATGTAAGATCAAGACAACAATATATACGACTTCTATTCACATTGCCTCTCATTGATAGAGTTGTTAAATCCTGTTGATATGAATTTATATAGAAAGAAAAAATGAGTTAACAACAGTCAACAAAGCGTATTGCGATATCTAGAGCATGACAGCGTACACCCTGATTATTTTTCAGAAAGAGCTTTAGCGTCAACAGGGCTCTGGAACGCGTCTATCTTTTGCTATTACCATTTTTGGTGACGGCGTTCTTTTGATTTATGCATAACTTGCTTCATTTCTTTATACGAGATTATTACTTCATATAGCAACTACTAAAAAATTGTATTTATCTAGTCTTCACTAGCAAAACGTCAAAGGGAAAAAAAAGGGTTTGGCAGAGTAACACAACTAGTGTGTGACTAAGACTACGAAATAAGCTCAAGGACGTGTTATATAAACAAAGAATGCATGAAATTTATTGCCTTTTAATCTTTTTACTATATAAAAATAGAGATGAATAACTTTACTAAAGTATATACACAAATGATAATCGGAATGGATATAAAAAGCATAAAAAAGATAGGCCAAACTTTTAAAAGTCATGAAACACTTTAGGAATAAACAAAAGTGTGAACGTAAATCTTATTTTCTTGTAAGGAGTAAAACCTTATTTATTGACAAGATAGAAACAATAACCTCGAATAACTAAGAAAAGGGTATAAAAAGAGAAATTTGTGCTCATCTCTTTTCCTCTCTCTTTTTTTTCTCTATACCTTTTCTTTCTTGCACTCTTTTTGGTTCCTTCTGGTCTTACTGGCTCTCTTTGGTCAATGTAAGTTTTTTTTATAACACTTACTCAGCAAGGCGATGATTGTGTGTTCAAGGATTTCTATGCAATATCTTTCTATGATACTCAACACGTGTCCTGGACTGACAACGGTCGTTCGTTTGTAGTTAGTTGGGAGCTGATTATTTGAGATCACAGCTGTGACAGATTGTTGACGATGCTTTCTGCTGTCTGGCTGGCGCAAAGGGCCACATAAGCTAATTAACAATTGACAAGGCTCAGCTAATGTATACCCCAACGGTACGTCTGCTACTACGAGCCTTTGCAGGTTGCTTGGTATTTGATGGTCTGATGGTCTGATGGTTTTTATGTGCGCCTGGTCTTTTGTTCTGATGGTCAATGGCCGACCTGAAGAATGTCGTCACAGAAGCAATCAGAACCTTTAAAAGTCTTTTAGCATCGTTGCTGATCTTTTTTTTTTCTTCTCTTTTAGGTTTTCTTTGGTGCAAAACATTGGCTTTTGGGAATAATCTTTTCTAAATCACTTCAAGCCTCCAAATCTCCTGTTTTTGACTTATAATTGTATCCTCTTTCTGAAATTTATTTCTAAGCATAATCCTTGAAGAGCTTTATCATTACAACGCCTTCCACGTAAGTTCCTGAAAAATAAAAACTATGTAAGCTTGGTCAATAGACCAGAGGACAAGCCAGCAAGCAAGGATATATGCTTTAATTTTCTTTTTATTTAAAATGGCAAAATTTAAAACCAATAAAAACACTAAAGGAAACACAATGTCCTATAGTTATTATTTGGTCTTAATGAGGGAGGTCTTGATAAGGAGCGGGTGGGAGGGAGATATCCTTCCTTGTTGGCTTATCCTCTGGTCTATTGACCAAGTATACGTCACACTAATTTTATATTCGCGTGTGTTTTCGCGTATGCGTAGTGTTTTCCTTATTTTAACCAAAATAAATGGCGCTAGCTGGAAAATGATTCTTTTCTTGCTTCTCACAGCCATGTCTAATTTAATTAGATGTGCACTACGCGCACGAGGAAATCCATGAGAAGGCTCATGATACGGGCGCTTATTCTCCTATACATGCGGCGTCACTGTACAAATTCACACTACTAAAGTATCTACCTAACCTAAGGCTGTCCTGCGGGATATCCTTTGAAATAAAATACGTATATACCATAATTACTCGTGATTGATCTTGGTTCTTTGTTGATCAAACTGACAATATAAAAACATTAAAATACAGCAATAACAACATTTTATCCCTTTCTTCTTAAAAGATAACTTCTTATCCTACATCAAGAAACATGCAAAGATGTTTTTTTCTGAATAAGTTTAACGTAGCGCTATACATTGAAGTGTTTCGTTGACGACATCGCATGCAGTGTTTGTAATATTAACCCTCTCGTAGATTTCTTCATGCGTGTACGCTTTTAACTAAAGGTAAACATGTAGGTTGTTGGTGGAAGCAACGCGTTTAATCGCTAATGTTCTTTACAGCAATTGAAAACTACATCAAAAGCAGGAAAACTAAGTCAACCATACAAGGTTTTCTCAATAATGATGAGAACAATAAGGAGCTAGTGATCGTTTGGCTTGAAGTCTATGATAAGTATAACGCTGCTCTGAAAATTTTTGCCGCAAAGTTCAAACAGATCTATAAGGCTTAAGTAAATAAGATATATAAGAACAAAGCAAGACTAGACTTGAAGTCTATATTTGAAGAGTCGAAGTCTCAAAACTCTGCTATAGCCAATCGAAGAAGGATACTTGATGAGCCCACTAATGTAGTATCACAAAGATTGATCGTAAAGTTAAAGCGACCCTCAACGGTATAGTATTAAAAAAGTAATTTTCTCTTATGATATTGATAGATGAATTAACAAATACAAAACTTCTAGTATAGACTCCGTCTAGTGCTTCTTTGTCTGCATCGTCATCAGCGTCAACTTCAGCTGCTCCTGAAAAATATCCTCTAAATCGTTTTTGCAATGGCTGCAAACCCTCGACCTCCTGTATTCATCAGCTAATATTACTATCCCTTTTTTTGATAAATGTCTGCATAATTTCTATTGTCTGTATTAAATACAGTTGCATATTTTTGTAAACTCATTTTACCTTGCAGAGTGTAGGAGTAAATGAACGCATAGAACTTGGAAGGCTTGCTTCGCCATATGCAAAAACGACTCTCCTATGGTGTTGACCTTGAAATCCAGCATTCCTACAATATAGCTGCCTCTCTACTCTTCGTTTTCTGCTTGTACTTCCAGAAGCTGCTACATTTCCAGTAGGAGTTTCCACTGCATACGAATTTCATGGTGCACTTTACCCAAAAGTACTTTATTGATGATAGGTTCATACATTGACCTGCTGCTTACCGATCACAAATTTTCATCAATATGGAAATGAGCAACTATATTGAAAGTTGGCATAACCAATTGGAGAAAAATTATTTACAAAGAAAGAAGAATAAAAGACTGGATCGCTTAATCGTTATCTTGGTTGAAGATACTCATACCGATTTTATGCACGACACCACAAGGATGGCCGCCAATATTGAACGTATGAACTCACAGACAGGAGAGACAAGAAAGAGAATGACTGCAGCGGAAGAGATCAATGAGCTGTCATTAGAAGATATTGTGCAGAAAGTGTATATCGATGAAGAAGTTTGTTACATTGTCAAGTCTTTCACAACAGAAGTTGTATACGATATATCAACTGAGCAAGGAACGATGACTGCTTGTAACTGTATAGACTTTCAACGAAATAGGCGTGCCTGTAAGCATATGTATTTGGTTTATCGCTTCAATAAAAGCTATGTGGTTTACAGCCAAGATAGGTTGTCACGATAGTAATAAGAGAAATGCTACAGTGTACTTACGGTATTACCTAGGAATTGACGCTAGCTTGAGAATTGATACTATGAATGAGACAACACTTATCCAAAATACTATGGAGAATAATCATATCGAAGAAGTTACTGAAAGCTCTAATGCGCTTCAATCAGAAACACCATCTGAAGCTGGAAGTAGAACGGATGAGTTGTTGACAAGCATCACCAATGTATGCAGACAAGCTTTAGAAAGTCGTATACATTTAGCTTTTGAAAATAACAATAGACTGTTACAAATATATAATGAACGAAGATGATTGTTGTCAGCTAATGAAGAGATGCAGCTTCCATCAAATATAAATATGCAAACACAAAGAAGATAAAGCATAAATAAACAAAATTCTTGTTTCTTATTTCTAAGATATACAAAGTCGGCCACTCCAAGTTTTAAAGTTCAGAAAGGGGGGCAAAATCGCGCCTGAGACAGTGATGTCAATTGTGGCTTGTGCCTAATCACCACGAACCTGGTACTGCTTTAACTGGAAATAAATTAGCCTGAGTGGGGGGCAAGTTGACAGAAAAAGAAAGAGAGAGCAGCAAAAGAGAAAGGACGAGACAAATAATAGTCACTTATCTCTCTCTCTCTCTCTCTTACATTAGTATTAAACCTATACAAAGCAGCATCAAGCTGAGGGATCTATGAAAACAGCTGAGACATGTCATTACAGTTAAAAGAGCCTTGTATACGCTCACTGCGACATGTTGGTGTAAAGCCTCCACTCTTGAACATTAGATCTAAAAGCGTGAATATTCAGGACATAAAGAAAACATCGATCAATTATGAAAGTATGTTGAAAATATGCAAAACCTTTGAAGATACACGTATCCTTGGAAAACGACCTACGACCTCAATGTACCTGGATGCCATCACTGCTTACGGATATACCAAAAATAAAGACAAATTAATAGACACATGGGAAGACTATAGACGAAATTATCTGCTAAAAAGTTCTTCACATCAACGATATATTAGAGCTCTGATAGAATGTGGAGATGTGACAGCAGCCTCCAAGAACTTTTTAGATCTAAAGACAAAACATTTCGTGAAGCCAAAAGACATTGCAGAATGCCTTGTTGAACTTGTGCCAGCTTGTTTAGAAAAGAACAATATTTATCTTGCCTTGCAAGCAACAAACGACTATTTGAATCATGCCAATCCCTGGGACGAGGCTGCATTACAATCAGTAACACATAGCCTATGGAACAAATTCTCGTCCATTTTGCATTTAGACAATGATATAACCCCAACAACTATCGACACATTCATTAGACTGTACATAGACAATATTAATCCATCGCGCCGAGACAAGGGAAAGAACCACTTCTCGCCTCAGCATCTGTTTACAATGTTCAGATTGATCACAGTCAAGAACGAAACACCTTCAGCATATGCCTGTAATCTAGTGCTCGAGGCACAACTGCCGGATGCCAATTACAGAGCTATCAAATGGGTGGTGGCCTTTATGCAGAAACACCATATTCAGCCTACGACTCACACTATTTCTATACTGCTGAGCGCGTTTGGCTCATTTTTACCAAGTAAAAATGTACAGTTTCTTTACAGCAGCTTGAAGCAGAACAACAGAATCGATAAAAATATATTCCAGGCATTTATCCAAGTGTTTAGTAAAAAACAAGACATGGAAAACGCGCAGGCAGTTTTGTCTGATATGAAGAGCGAAGGTTTACAGCTAGGACAAAAGCCGTGTACTGCCATTGTCGAAGGATTCGTCAATAAAGATTGCCTTGGTCAAGCAGATGATTGGCTGAAGCAGAATGAAGACAGTGCTCAGAAAAACTTAGATGCGTATGCAGTGTTAATGGAAGCGTGGATTGCTAAGGGAAATTGGACAGAGTGTATCAGTAAATTTACATGGCTTGAGCGAAAGAAGATTGAAGGGGCCCACACCAACAGACGTATTATCAAGGCTATGTTGACAGCAAAATTTGCTAGTGGAAAATACTGGGATCAATGTGAAGGCCATTTGAATAATCTCAGCATCAGTTTCACGCCCAACACCATCTCTCGAATACTGCGGGTGATGCTAGGTATTGAAAAAAATGGTCACTACTTGATACCAGGGAAAAATATTATCAGAGCATTGCAGATGATGGAGCAGAAACTGGATGTGCATCTGAATTCTGAGGGGATCTCTCGGATCATCACTGCTTTAGGCGAACGAGGAGATATATCAGATGCATTTGCTTTATATAATTGGGTTCGAAAAGACAATACCTGTACACGGACAAGATGCAGTGGATCAAATATATACCGTGCCATGATGCATAGCGCCATTTTAAATAACGATCTCCGTAAGCTTGAACGAGCGTGGGTAGACATGCAGTATAGAAAATGGTTCCTTGATTGCGAAAGTGGTACAAGAAGCGAAAAGCTCCAGCATACACTGGCTAGATACAACATGCTTTTAAATGGTTATGCGTCAAAATTACCACACCCAGATATCACTCGCTTGAAGAAAACATTTCAACGCATGCTCAAGCATGGACTTACGCCCAACATTTTTACTTACAACATTTTAATTAAAGCCTTTGCATACGCAAACAACATGGACGCAGCAAACCAAGTATACCATAATATGATAGACGCAGGAATAACCCCAGATACCACTACGGCCAACACTCTTTTAAATGGCTGGATTCTTCAGGAAGATTGGAGAGCAGTCGAACAGTTTGTTCAAAAACTAAAATCAGCAGACGATAATAAACAACAACCAAGATCAGGACTAGATATGGTCACATTTAACTTGCTTGTCCAAAGCTTCTTACACCTTGATTCGAAATCTATGGCATATGAAAAACTGTTGAAGAGAGAAAACAAGTGGTGTGATGTTGAGCAACTAGAAAGCTCTCGAACAAAGTTAAAGAGTGGAAAGATTTGGAATATATTCGAGATGACGACAGGCTACAAGAAGGAAACACTAGACAACTATTATAAAAGCAAAAGAATATCAGAGAAAGCAGATAGCAGTAAGCTAATAGCTCATCCGTCAGACTTTGGCTCAATAAGCGACTTTTTGATCAAAGCTGCCACTGATCAACAGTCTGTCAAGTTGTCTAACCCCAAGGATGCTTTTATTCGATTCTTTTCAAGATCGATGGAACCAGATGAAGTAACTTATAAATTATTTATGAAAGCCTTTTATGACAAAGGCGATTACCACTCTGCATCTAAAATCAAAGAATGGACGCAGTTTCGGTTAGGTTGTCTTAAAAAATAAAGATTTAATTTGATTGGACAATATTTGTCTCTCTCTCTTTTCCTTCTCTAAATGAATGAATCAACAATGACATCCGAGGAACATTTACCTACTATTGAAGAACAAATTATAAAAGAAGAACAAAAGAGCCTTAATTTAAAAGAATGGGATGCAAGAATGGAGCTTGCACTATTTAACGCGATCTCTCGCTGCAAACCAGTTGGTAATTGTATGCTCTGTAGTAGTCGTCATGACAAATACTAAAAGAATGAACATTAGGAATTCATAAGCATTTTCGAATTATCAGTATACAAAAACAGTTTAATCAAAATAATCCTACGCCATGCACGATCCAGGAAATTTGGGATAAATTAAATGAATTTTATGGAATGGAGGCCCTGGATGAGCTGGTATATACATTTATAAATAAATACGCGCATGGATTATACTTATATAATGACTTAGGCCGAAGAGGACGATGAACAGGAAGAAAGAAGTGAAGACGCGAGACATTTATCTTTCCAAGAGTTTAGCTTACCCTTGGAGGACTATGATCAACTTATATCAGAACATCGTCAAGACAATAGATCAGAAAGAGAAGAATCACCCGGTTCACCGCCCACGAAAAGGACAAGAACAAGCCGACGAGAAAGATCACCTACAAATTCAGCTAATGAATCAACACCAGAACCAGACGAAGGTATAAATGAAAAGTTGGCTCATGTTATTTTTGCTTATCTTCTTATCAATCATAGGCAAACCTTCAAGAAGGAGAGGTATGAGGAAATCAGAAGCAACACCAGAACCACCGACAGGACGTCATTCAGTCAGTATGACCGGTAGTCATGGTAGCAAAAGGACAGCACGGTCATCAGGTTCCAGCAGAGGGCCAGGCAATAAGCGACAAACAAATAAAAGAAAATGAAAAGCATGTGCTCCTTTTCTGAAATCAAATACATTGTCACAAAGATATATGTTGCTATTTATTTTCGTCTGATACGATGTAGAATGGAAAGAGTAGAATATCGCATAAGCTCTTGTAATCAAGTATTATATATGCACATCAGTGTTGTTGAGGATTCCTTGTAAAAGCTTAACAAATTGCTATAGAGATTTACGTATAAAAAAATATCCCCCTGGCTTCACTATCTTATTAGTTGATTATCATCGCATGATTTTGTTCTGAAGTTGAATGACCATTGTAAACATTGTATATCCCAGTTTTTGTTCCTGTTACAATGATATAGCTACCTATAGTTTTGTTGGTAGTTTTGATATGAATACTTTCCCCTTTGATTCATCTTTCATAGTACATTATGTTTTTTCCGAACATCATCGGGTAGGTCCGTTTCCTCATATAGAACGCCGTTATGCCTCTTGTTTGATTTCATTTAGCCATCGTTAGAAGAATACAGAGCTTTGCTTCCGAATCAGACGAAACATTTGAAAATATCAATCAAATAGCTAATCTATGGCTTAGAAAGAAGTAATATTGTCATGTATGGAGAAATAAAGCTTAGCTCATAGATAAGGTACGCATCACATTATACTGAAATGCCTACGTTAAGCATGCAATCAATCGTAAATAGGCTTTGGTAAAGGTCATTTACAGTTTCACATGCATTCGCACGTCACGCATCTTTATCACCATCACCTTTTCATCACTCTTTCAATGAAGTGGTTGATTTTATATCAGTAACTTTTTTTTTTTTTTTCCATGTCTCAGTTTGTCTTGGTGTTTACTCGATACGGAAATTGTATCTGAACATTTGATTTGTTATCATTTCAAAATGATACATCCACCTACTCTTTCTTAACCTTCGATTTTAGATTTGGCAATGTACTACCTTCAATAGAATAGGATGAAATGTCTAATGATTATTGATATGCGTGGGTCATCTTATGTTTATACATCAACCAAATAAAAAATAACTCAACCATTATCTAAACCAACATTTGGGGTGACCTACCATTGATGGACAATTAGGAACCACGATTGAATGTCAGCTCAGGATCTAATTTGATCTCGAGCTTAACGCAGTTTAAATATTTTTTTTGAAAGGTAAATCTGCCCCTAATTAAATCTTTGCTGAAGATGAGAGACCAAAGAGAAGCTATAAAGATAAAAAACCAGGGAACGAATTAAAAACTTTTTCTTTCTTTTCTTTTCCTATAAATCCCCCCTTCTCTCTTTCTTACTTTTTCCTTTCTTCATAATAAAGGCACCACTACTGAGGGAATAGGATGGCAACCAAGAGAAATACCAGCAATGAATCAGCAAATAAGCTTAATATCGATGAAGCCATAGCTAGAAACTGGGAATTACCCGAATTTACAATCAAAGAAATCCGTGATGCCATTCCTGCTCATTGTTTCCGTCGAGATACCTTTAGATCATTTACCTATGTCATCCATGACTTTGCCTTTATTGCTGCTTTGGCTTATGCTGCATCTTATATTGATCAAGTGCAATCTACAGCTCTTCGCATGATTTTATGGCCTCTGTATTGGATTGCTCAAGGCATTGTTGGAACAGGTGTATGGGTTATTGGTCATGAATGCGGTCATCAAGCTTTCAGTCCTTCAAAGGTGTGTAATAAATATGACTTCAATAACAATGAGTACTAATACCCCCATTTAGACAATCAACAACAGTGTTGGCTATGTTCTTCACACATTATTACTCGTTCCTTATCACTCTTGGAGATTCTCTCATTCTAGACATCACAAAGCTACTGGCCATATGACAAAGGATCAAGTTTTCCTTCCAAAGACCCGTACTAAAGTTGGTTTGCCACCTCGTGATAAAGACCCTCACCCAGATGGTCCCCATGATGCCCTTGATGAAGCCCCTATTGTTGTATTCTACCGCATGTTTGTCATGTTTGTGTTTGGCTGGCCCGCATATCTCTTCATCAATGCCACTGGTCAAAACTATCCTGGTTGGGCCTCCCATTTCAACCCTTCATGTGCTATCTTTGATGAAACTCAATACTGGGATGTTGTAAGCTCAAACATTGGTGTCCTTTCCATGGTCGGTTTCTTGGGCTATTGTGGTCAGATCTTTGGTTCTCTTAATGTCATCAAATATTACGTTATTCCCTACTTGTTTGTCAACTTTTGGTTGGTCTTGATCACTTATTTACAACACACTGACCCCAGATTGCCTCATTACCGCGAGAATGTCTGGAACTTCCAACGTGGTGCCGCCTTGACTGTTGATCGCTCATTTGGTACCATTATCGACTATTTCCATCATCATATCGCTGATACTCATGTTGCTCATCATTTCTTCTCTACAATGCCTCATTATCACGCCGAAGAAGCTACTGCTCATATCAAGAAAGCTCTTGGTAAGCACTACCAATGTGATTATACACCTATCCCTATTGCTCTTTGGAAGGTCTGGAAGAGCTGTAGATTTGTTGAAGAGGAAGGAGATGTTGTCTTTTACAAGAACTAGATTCTCTCCTTTTCACTTTTCTTCATACTGATATATGCATAATCTTTTTTTTTTTTCATTTTCTTATTTGTACACTTGTAAAAATAAACAGCATAAATCAAAACTTTAATATAAAGCGTCTCTTTGTTTTTTTTTTCCAATTTTAGAAAGATCTTGATTTCCCCTGTCGCATAGTAAAAGCCCTACAACATCAGTTTACAGAGCCACAGTCCCAGCTTGTTGATCAGGGCGATATCCAACTAGAAATTTCCAGTTTGCAAAAGGAGTTTGCGCCCAGAGATCAGCTCGTTGTCAAACACCAATACACATCGCATAACAACAACGAAAACTAACAACAGCCCACATCCATATGGTCCGTGCTATTCCCTCAGTTGATATCTTGTCCGCTGAGAACTTGTGGACTAAATTCAAGGCTGTCCTTCAATTGCGTAAGAAGATGTGTCAAATATAAAAAGACTGCAAGTTACTAAAGATTTAGAAGAAGGAAATACAGAACAAAAAGAGCCCATCTTTTGGTAGTGAAGATATAGAAGGATGCCTTTTTTTGTATTTCCAATAGATCGTCAACACATTTAGATGAAGATCTATTATACAAGAAATACGCTCCGTCAATGAAAAGAGTTCGATGACATAGTGCTCAGAGACGATACATGGATGTGAATCTGAGCCTAGAAGAACGCTTGTATGTTTGTATAGCACAGACTGATATTAATATATAGCATCTCACTAATGGGAACTACCTATGTGAGGTTATATAATGATAATTACCTCAAACTGCTTCATAATGATGCATATGAAGAAATCATTAAACTGCTGTTTCCTTGGATTATCAAAGACAAAGAAAAGTGTGTCAAGTGAATATATTTTATTAAAGAACAAAAAGTCAAGTGTGAGAGTAACAAAATGAAGTTTCTATTTAAGTAAGCAATAGTTTGATTTTCAAGAGAGAGTTTTGAATAAGTAGAGACTTTCTCTTTTGATAACTAAGTTTAGAGAGCAAATAGAAATTTATTCTTTTTTTTTTCTATAGGTCCAGAAGGTCACATTATCGCTAGCTCTCAAACCCAAGATGGCTAGAGCCATAGACTGCATGCCAGAAGACTACACGGTGTAAACCCTCCATGAATAAAAAGTACTCAAGGCTCAAGGCTCAGGACATAAGACATTAGGCTCATGGCCCAAGACTCAAAAAACAGCCACGGGAAAACTGAGGAAAGGGGAGCTTCAACGCACGAAGGGTGCACCTAAGCACCTAGGACAAAGCTTTTCGAAAACACTATGGACAGTGAGCGCAGTAGGGACATTGAAACATTGAAAGCATCGAGCTCAGTAGTAGGGAGGGTTTACGGACCATTCATTAGTTGTAGAGGCAGAGCCATAACAATAGGAGCATCTCAGGGTGATCCAGCGTAGAGAAGTAGCGAATTGCCTAGCTAGTTTTTTTTTATACTTTTTCTTTTCTTGTAGCAGATCTTAATAGAGTTTGGCAGATAGTGGCAAAGTAGATTGATTGATTATGTTTCTTGTAGCTTTAGGACTTGAATATGTAGTTACTCCAAAGTAGTATTCATTAGCAGACATTGATAGACATGGGGAAATCATTTAGGGACTTTCCGACGTTGATAAGCATAGGACAGGCATTCACTAGCATTTTCAGGCGCTAATTATCATTTGTAGGCATTGATAACCATGAGTAGGCGTTCACTGGTCTTTCTAGAGATTTGATAAGCATTTGGTAAGCATGAGTAGGCATTTGAGTATTTGTTTGATTGTTTGATTGTTTGAGTGTATTGATAAGCAGTAACGAGTATTTTTTGAGTATGAGTAGATATTTTGAGTATTAGCGAGTAGCAGGTATTCCTCTAAGGCTTTACCCCGTGAGAAATCATTATAATAGAGTAAGATGCATCAGTAGCCGTGAAATAGAGCCAGCAAAAATGAATTTTCTAAACAATAACATTGGTTAATGTACTTGGAGATCGCTTCAGATGATATTCTACCTTTTTCAACATAAGAAATAATAGAACCATAGGAGAATTTTTAGAAGAGATAAAGAATGAAAAAAAAGACAAGCATGATAGTCTCTTTTATAGTTTTTTGTTTATGTGAGTCATGTTATTTAGGCTGAAAATAAACAACTCATTCCTCCTTTTTCTCAATCTATCTTTTTCTAGCAACGCATAAATAAATAAATAACTCATTTTCTATCTTATCCATAATAGAACATATCCGAGCGCCTCTTACCTTTTAATTTGGAATATGGAATATGCTCTTATATCTTTTTTTTTTGGTTTGTTTTATTTGCATAATTTTTACGCTCTCCTTTTTTTTACAAGGCCGCTTGTTTATATACAGTTGATCTCACACGCACATACACGTATACACGCATACCTAATTTTTTCATTACGATTGATTCACTTTTCTTATTTCTAATGCGTGGTTTTCTATATATATATATATATATTGATCGTTTTGTTTAAGAATGAGTAAAAAAAGTAAAGCGAGCATCAAATGTACAAGGAAAAAGATTGAAAGAAGGGAGCATCTTTGAAAAAGCAGCTGATGATAAACGAAGGGCTTTTATCAAAACATGCTAGGCTGCTGATGTTGTGGAATATGCGTGGTAGTTATCTAAAGAATCTAGACAGCATCCTTGTTTGTTTATCATATATGTTTTTGGTGTCTGCTGATAAGCAGTGCGTTTAAGAGATGAAAAAAGAGAGAGTGAAAGCAAAAGATACCATCCAGTAATAGCAACATATATATCAATTCCCATTATTTACAGAAACAGGAAAATCTCATAAAAAAATGTTAAAAGATGTTATTATTATTTTTGATAAATGACTTGTGTATCATATAACTCCTTTTCTGATATTTGCTAAAAGGAGTCAAAGACAAACCAGACCGTGACTCTTGTAATCATCATGTATTAAACCTGTTTATCAAATATGAGTATAACTGGCTTAGGAAAGCATAAGAGTGTGTAATTTTTTTGTTTTTATTTTTACTGCACATGAAAAAAGTCAAAATGTTGTCGTATTTACCCTATAAATACTTAATCTTGTCGTATGAGATTACTATAAATTTATACTCTAAGAATGAATGATGCAAAGATACTGACAACAATACACGTTATTAACATATAACGCGACATGCCCAACTATTATTGGCCATAATTAAATCGGTTCCTTAATAATCCTGTCTTCATATAGTTTTACAAAAAAAAATCCTGTCTTCATATAAAATGACGCTGTTTGTAATAATGAGCTCTCTCTCATCTTAACATAAAATAAAGAGGTTATATAGACACTCATCGACTTATACTTCCTTGATCATTTCTTTATACATTCGCGACATGTCACAAGGGTAAAATGTTTATCCTCTATTCCCTGTTGTTATCTTCTTATTTTTCCCCTTCTGCTTGTGAAATGTAGACTGCATTAGCGACGATTATGATTGTGATAGATTTAATGACTATACATTCATTTTTATAGTAAAGCAATGGGTCTTCTAAGTTTGCATAAACTATTTCAAATGGCGCTCAAAACAGGGTAGGTTGTTAAGGTACGCGACATACTTCACTTAATGGCTTTATTTGCATGGGTACTCGTGTATCCTGAATGAGAGGCACTATGAAATACATGGTTTATTGGGCGACGAGAAAAGGGGTTTTTATAGCCATGAAAAAGAATATGAATACATAAATGGATGAAATGGATAAAAATAAGCCTCATATGGAGATAATATAGTAGAAGAATAACTTAATAAGTCTTAGAAAGGAACAATGTGACGGCAGAGAAGTTCATCACTGTAGTAGCGAATGCTGTCATTTAGTGATCAAGTGTAGCCTTTACTTTGTCGACCCCTATGGTTAATTTTGCCATGGGTATTTTAATTGTAAACATAACAGTGCATGTATTTGATATTTGCTTTATTCATGACAAAGTCTAATGTTGGTTAACTTCAGTAAAGGAAATACACTCTAATCAAAGGCTCAATGTCACTTGTTTTATTCACAGTTGAAGACCTCCTTTTGATTCGGCCAACGAGGCACAGTTGAAATTGAAATAGTGTTGTGTAAGCCACAAGAAAGGAAAGACTAAATACTCCCGATCAAGACATAGCACTGTTCTGTACTGTATAATTTGCCCTTAGGAAAAAGGTCTAGCTGTCATACTTGTGTATTGTTACATGTCAATTATCGCTATTTTATAGTGCATATGCTTACTCTTTACAGTTTATTGGCCAGCAACCAATTCACTCACCTAGTTAACAGCGTATTAACTGATTCAATCAATGAACATGCCATCAAAACAGTTGGAAATTATGCTTATTGCTTTCAAAAGCTGCAATACGAGCCAGCCAGCCTTGGTGAAGGCTACTTGGTTCTTCTGTACGCCAGCTCCCTCTTGCCTTGAATCAGCAATCAAGCCAGCATGGTCACCGTTAGTTTGCCTGTCGAAAAGAAGAATGATATCAACTTCTTGTCCGCGTCGCTCGCAAGTTTCAGCTCACACAACCCAACCCTAGTCTCTTTAACAACTCTGATGCCCCAAGCACTCGTGTTTCGTCCCATAGCATCACTAAGAAAACTACAAGGGCACAAGCCAAGACCTCCTGCCTCCATGGAAAATGCAACTATGTCACTACCAACTGCAAACTGGTCAAGGAACTTGAAGTCTCTAATGCAGTACACATGGTAAAAAATCATTTTCAAAGCTATGTTATAAATGCATTGCTCCATACGTCAGGGATCACAACAAGATTTGCCTAAAGCGCAAATCAACCTTCAACGAAAGAAGCATCTGATGCGCCTGCTACGGTTACAACCAGAGCCTTTAGATCCATGAATATCACTGAATGTACTGTATAGGATATCAGCACCAGTGTATCGAAGCACAACCCAGCCAGAGTTGCAGCATATAGCGATGAATATTGATAGCGAAATCGATGAAATCCTGGAGTATGACGCCCTTGTCAAAGAGACTCGGCATTACTCTTTAACAAAAAGACACATGCCTTTTTAAACAAACGAACTGACTCCTTTTTTGGGCATTGGTCGATACCAGATGGAACATATCCATGACCTCTCCTGACCTTGTCAATTTTCTGAAAATAAAGACACCTCATATGCAGCTAGCTTCTTTAAATGATTTCTGTTCCTAGAGTAACTGTTAAATTTAGATATTATATAACTGAATCAAGATATCACATAATTTTGAAGTTTTGATAAAAACATGCCCTATTTGCATTAATACTGATGTCATGTCAAGTTTGATATTAACTTGACAAGTTTAGCAACATCCAAAATCTTCAACGACTGTTGCCAGACGAAAGCAATGTTGGATATCCATTGTATAGAAGATATTAAATACCTTAAGCACTCCCACAACGCATGGAATCACCTCTTCAAGACAATGATTAAGACCCTTTGCTTTCATCATGAGGGGTTTTTTTCAATATCTCGTTCTTTGAACCGGCCGAGGCGGTTTTTTTTTTTTACCTGCGGACTCCGCGCCCATAGGCTCCTTAAATTTATTTTTTTGTCGAATAAAGTACCAGTCTTCTCTGTGGCTCATGTTTGCATGATGACAATTCCAGGCGACATTCAGATTGGGACTCGCATTCAAGTAGATAGAGATCGAGCCACAATACGATTTATTGGTGCTGTTGAAGGAACTAAAGGCGAATGGCTAGGCGTTGAATGGGACGAACCAACTAGAGGAAAGCACGATGGCACACATAAAGGTGTCAAATACTTTGAATGCAGGTAAAGAAACCTTTTAAAAAAGAAATCCAAATCTTACTCTCTTGTGTGCGTATGAAGATACCCGTCTTCTGGTTCATTTATTCGATTTCAGCCCAACAAAGTGCTATTAGGGCAAACATTTATGCAGGCACTTAAAGATAAGTACCTAGCAGAGCAAGAAGAAAATAGTGTGGTCTACGATAAAGCAGCCGATAAAGGTGAAGTATATTTGGGTGGAAATAAGCAGATCGTAGTAGAAACATATGGATTTGAAAAGGTCCAGCGTACCATGAGGTAAACTTTGCCCCTTTTCTGTCATTGTTGGACACTTTTTTAAACCCTTTTTTTGAGGGTAGACAGTTGGAACGACTGACTGTGGTTGGTTTAGCGGAGATGCTTATATCCTCTGCTGGACCTCCTGAAGAAATATCAAAAGCTAAATTGGGTACAATTAAAAGATAGATAATCTGGTTCCTGGCACTAATCCCCTTATTCATACAAAAGCAATTGAAGATCTTGATTTATCCAGAAATTTGATTTCTTCTTGGGAAGAGTTTGAAAAGGTTGCAGTTCAACTACCCAAGTTAACGATATTAAGACTCAAGTAAGAATCAATAGACGATCATGATTCATGCTCATATATCCCTCTCTATGTAGTCAGTCAAGACTTATTGCCCCTCAACAGCCATTACAACTACGCCATCTACAAACACTCGTGTTGAATAAAACATTGATGTCCTGGAAAGATGTCGAGATACTCGCTCCTGGGTTACCTCAACTAGAAGATCTACAGCTAGGAGGAAACGAAATTAAGAGTCTAAGTTCTATACAATGGGAAAGATTAAAATGCTTAAATTTGGAAGAAAATCTTATTGAAGATTGGACCGAAGTGGCAAAACTTCAATCTTTATCAAAGTAAGACCTGCCATGTACTCAACATATCATAATAACTCTTGGATAGTCTCCAGATTTTGTTTTTAAATGACAACAAGATAAAGTCGATTCGCAAGGAAGGGGTATTTGATAACCTAGAATATCTTCGTATAGATGGGAACTCTATCAAGGACTGGGATAGTATCAATGCTTTGAGCCATTATCCAAAACTGACCAAGTTACGTTGCAAGAACAATCCAGTGTTTGAAAGTAAATCACTTTTTATGTTTATATTTATGCAATTAACCAATTAAATAGGCTTGGATAAGGAAATGGAAGCATCGCAGGTGGTTGGTAGAATAGGAAATCTTACGGTTGTTAATGGTAATACGGTGAGTACTATTTACAGATTGGTCAAAGGTTTCTCAATTAACTCTACAATGCTTTTTCAGTTGACTAGCAGAGAAAGAATTGATTTAGAACGATATTATCTCAAGATGTGCGCTAAAGATGGTACAACGCACCAAGCCATCGCTTCTATCCATCCACGATACCAAGAGCTTTGTAAAAGTAAACCTTGATTTTTAGATTAGAAAGAGAGAAAGAAAAATCAACTCACTACATCTTTAGAACATGGCGAACCTGATCTAGAGACACAAGCGCAAAAAGCAACGTCAGCCTTAAATGACAGGCTGATTGAGATTACGATCAGCCTACGACCACTTGAAGAAAACGAGGTGTCAGTGATCAGTAAAAGAGAACAACTACCACCAATAACAAAATCAGTATCCAAAAGGTTTCTACCGACAATGACCATTCGAAGCATCAAGCATCTGATACAGAAACTGTTAAAGGTTCCTGCATCAAAGCAGACACTGTATCTGACACAGATCATAGAAGGAGACAGTTTGATGATTATGGATATCTCTGACGATCTAAGAGACTTGAAGTATTACGGAATGAAGCAAGGGGATGAAATTATTGTTGTAGAAAAATGATGAAAACAAGGAATTAGTGTTTATTATAAATTACTTTTTATTGTCTTTTTATTGCCATTCTGGCAACTTGACCAATCTTGTCTATTTGCTTTTTATCTACATGAGATCGTACCAGACTCTTTAATAAGTAACGCCAAGTGGTTTCATTAGGTTCTACTTGATTATCACACATGTGGTTAAACACCTTTATGGCTAAATCAGACTTCCTAAAGATGGCACAACCTTGTAAAAGTGCAGTGTATGTCACGACCGTGGGTTTCACTTGATTGGAGCACATATGTTCAAATATGTTGATGGCTTGGTAAATGTTCTTGGTTGCAAAACATGAAATAAGTGTGGTATAAATATAAACATTGGGCTGATAAAAACCAGTCAAGCGACGAAAGAGAATGAGTGCTTCAGTCGTCACTGGTACAGGTGAATGCTGGAAATCAAGCTTGCTTGATTCAATTCCGGCAAACTTTAGTAATTTCGGATCTATGCTATTCAACTGTGCATTGCTCTCCTTTTTTTGTGGAAAGTTTCTGTCTGCTAATGATTGCAAAATACTGGTATATGCATATAAATTGGGTTCTCTTCCATTTTTTTGTAGTGTCTTGAACAGTCTCCACGCCAGGTCCGCTTCATTATTTGCTATCAGGCCCTTGATGATCATGGCCATAGTCACTTGATCTGGTACAGCTTCATTTCGCATAGCAATAAATACACCAAGAGCTGCCGGCACATCACGACAGTGAAACAAAGCATTTATTAAATAATGGTTGGTTCTACGCTTCTCTTCTGTCGTCTGAGGATTCGCCAAATTAAATCGTTGTTGCACGGCATCCAGTACATTTGGCTTATCGCCTCTTCGACCATATCCCTTTATGAGATGATTCACCATAACACTGTTGACAAACCTTTTATCATTCATGTACAAGTCATTAAAGTACTGTCGTGCAGCATCCACATCTCGCCTTGTCTTGAACCATAAAATGGCTGCTCTAAGTAGTCCATCCGTGTCTGCAAGTCGATATTCTTTGTTAGACATAAACTTTAGCGCATTTTCGGCCACCGCCAAATTATCATGTCGAAGGGCGTTGATCAAGAGCGATGTAACCATACTGTTGGGTAACTGTTTGTGTTTGCTATGATAGCCTGTCAACAGGCGAATAGCGGATGCAAAATCACCTGCTCGTCCATAAGCTTCCATCAATGCGGTATATGTTGCCTGGGTTGGTTTTATATCATGTCTCTTCATTTCTGCATACAGCTCTTTTGCTTCTCTACTATCTCCTTTCCGCGCACATCCAGCTATCAGCGACGTGTAAATGTATACATTCAACGGCCTCTTTTTTTTCTGATTCTTGGCTTGCGCCACTTGATCTCGCACCTTGATGAGATCAACAGCCAAGTCGATCTTTAGATCTTTTGCCAGCAAGGATGCCACTAAGGATAAAGTTGATTTGTCCAGGATGACATGATTTTTCTTCATCCCTTTTAACATGAGTGATATTGTCTCTTCCAGCAATTTTGAATCAACGCATTGACTGTTTCTCACTGCAACAACTAAAGAATGGTAGTGATTCGCTGTTGGATGTGGTATAGTTTTCATAAACCAACAAGCCATCTTCCCTAGACCATTCCGACTCATGGCAAAGAGTACTTGTGACAGGTGATAGTTTGTTGGCAGAACCAAGTTGTGTCGTTTCATGTTTTCAATGACTTCTAGTGATCTCGCAGGCGAGGGTCCATACTTTAAGATACAAAGTAAATGTCCATAGTGATTCTCTTTTAGACACTTGTCCACTTGATATTCTACCATTTTTTCGTAAATGAGCCATGCTTTCTGATAATCATATTGAGAGGTATTATAAAGAGCTGTGCGTAATGACCGAAATATCTCTTTATGGGTGAGTGTATGTGTTGTTAAGAAATCAAACAATTCTTCAAGCTGAAGATTTTTATTCATTTCTCTGGGATGAAACTTTCTTTTCAAATTTTCCTGTACATGGATGTCTTCTTCTTGTCGCTTTAATGCATGTGTCGAATTGAATCGAGTAAAGGGTAATAGACAGAGTGAAGGTCGAGCCGTGTTGAGGATTCGTCTTGATCGCTTGGAATGATTAAAGAGTTGATCAAGATATTGAGTGTTATTGGAACACCAATGCCAAAGACATTGTGAAGAAGTTGCTCTTCTTGTTGAAAAAGTAAGAGCAGGCCGCATTCCCCCCCTGTTTGAAAAGACTGATAGGATAGGAAGGGTATAAATGTAAAGAATAGAGTTAAATGTCAAAGGGGGGCTGTTCAGTCAAACTTTAATTTCAACCCTTTTTGGTGTAAAAGGAAAAAAAAATCTGCCCAGGTCCAAGGAAGTCACTTCAACGGGGGGAAAGTGATGTCAATGGGACTGCTGTCAATTCAGGGGGAGAGGCAAGTTTTATGGGACGATCTTTAATTGTTGACAGTGCAAATAATTTGCTTACATAAGCGACATGTATAAAAACAAGATATTTCTATCATATAAATATATAATTATTATTTTTTTATATCTAAGCAGTAGATTGCCATGCAGCATAAATTTGGAATATAGAAGCAAAACCTCCAAATACACCTACTAGCACATCAGGGAAGCTTGATTTCTCAAGTGACCAATGAACGGTTAAGGGTAAATAGCTAGAAAAGAGTCAATATCTTGGTACATAATCATTTGACTAAAAAACTTACCCTGTATTGATACATGTGTTTACGATCATACTTGATCTCTCAGCCTTTATAGCTGCCATTTCAGCCTCAGGATCTTCATGAGTTTCGATATCTCCCGCCTTGATACGCTTCAATAAAGATGTCTCTCTATTTCTCAAGTTTCTATACTGTTCTGCCAAGCGACCATATTCCAGAATGACATAAGCAGCCCAGAAACGACAACTCCACATGCCAATCTTGTTTGTCTTTTCTTCACTAATGGGAATGACTTGATGTGCACCCAACCAATAGATGTGTTCCAAAGGATAGTATATAATATTGGACCAATTCTGAAGACGTTCGATAGTCAATGCGATCTTACTAGAAGGTGGATTATATTCAATATAATTCATGTATTGAACCATAGGCAATAATCCATAATAACGTAACAAAATACGAAAGTCACTCACAGGTGAAGCAAGGTTTTGAATACGCTGAGCTAATGAAATAGCTGAACTTGCAGTTTTAACAGGTGAACGACGTTGAAGATACCAAATGATGACTTTTGACCAATATTGAATAAACTATAGATAACTGTCAATATCTCTTTTTAGGCTATTTTTTCTATAGCTTACCATCAACACTTTATCCGTTCCTCTCACAGAGTTTAAAAATCGTACAAGATGATCCAATTTTGGATTTGATGGTCCTAATAGTTTAGCTACAGCTAATGGGTTCAACTTTTCCTTTGACATTGGTTTCTCGTTATTAGACATTTTGGCAAGAAGTGTAAAAAAAAGGCGTGGAAATTGAACCGTTTAAATATGGTAAAATTCACATGAAAGTCAAGTCACTTCTTTCATCAGTTTTTTACTCTACCAAAGAGCTCTTCCTTTTCCTTATTAATCTCAAATAAAGATTGTATCGTTCATCAAAAAGGAAGAAACGGGATATTACAAGCTTATTTCTTACATTATGACACCCTTCTTTTTTTTTTTTGCTTGTCTAGAGATAAAAAGCGTCGGTAATTCATTTTAGCCAATCATGCATTTACGTTAGTCATAAGGAATATAGATCAGTGTTTTGACCCATGAAACAAGCATGAATATAGCTTATATATATACTTGACGATAAGCATAAAAAGTAGTGTAACTATTGCATGATTTCACGTAATTTAATACTTTGAAAGAGCAAAATAAAATAAAAAGAAAGGAAATGCGGGATTCTTTCAACGAGCTTTTATTCAGACGGTGATTAGTTAGATCAGCAATAGTGAACATACAGTCAACCATCATTGAAACTAAGAAAGGACAATTTCGGAGGGAACGATTGAACGCGATGGTAACATATTTAAAAGGAATGATAGGGGGTTTGGTATGATTTCTAGCATATATAGGTACATATATATTAAGGCAAATAATGATAGACCAGTGCCGCAACTTTTGGTGAATCATATGCCCAGAACTAATCTGTCTTAAAGCCAATATGAACAACAGTCATATATTGCTTGCTTATCTCTCATGCTTCTTGCCTACTTCCCAGTGTAGCTTACAACATTTATATTGAACTTGGAGAGCTAATTTCGTCTGATTCACTTAATACCTTTCTATATCTATCTATAACATACAAGTGACACGATATTGAAATCAATTCTTTGACTCTATTAATAAAAGCTATTTTTTAGTACACAGCTTTTTCTATAAGTAATGTCGCATTATTCAAAAATTTATAATACAAAATAAGCAAATATGACATCTTGGAACAACGTTCTGAATATAGTGTAGAAACCATTTGACCTACGAAATAATTTTGTCAATCATTCAAGTAATCTGTATCTGAACGCATTGTTTTGACGTTCCGATTTAAGTCACGTACAACTTACACAAACTGAATTTCCGCCATGATACGTGTCCAACGCAAAACAAAAGAAAAAAAAAGGCAGCTCTTCTTTTTTCTTCGTAAATGCAACAATCACCTGCATCGCAGCCGATACAACGGCCTCCTATTACTAATCAACCTGTGCGTCCGGGCTATAGGCCTCCTCCACCTGGAGCTCCTGGTTATCGTCCTCCAATGCCAAGGCCAGGAATGCAATCTCCAGTTGGTGCAAGCCCTCTTCCTCCTCATCCAGGGCTTCCACCCAATGTTCGTCCTGGACCTATACCTCCTCAACCTCAGCAGCGCCCATTGGTAAGACCAGTATCTCAATCTCCTGTAATGTCACCTGCTGGTCGCCCAGCTGTTGTAAGTAGTCCCGTCACTACTCCATCTACTATTCAGCAACAGTCTCCCATGTCTCCTCCAGTTCAGCATGCTGAGCATTACAAAAAGAAGAGAATGTATCCAGAACAAATCACAAAAGCCTATTCTGGCGAATCTCCTGTTCCTCCTGCTTACCCTTCTCAGCAATTACAACAGCCTTACGTTTCACCTGCTATGGCAAACCAACAACCACAGTTCATCTCTCCTATGGGAGTACCTTCTCCATACGCTCAGCAACAGCAGCAAACACAACAGCCACAGCAACAGCAACAACAACCACATGCTTATGGACAGTACCAAGCTCCGTCTGTAGGGTATAATACATATGGACAAGATGCAGTAGGTCAAATGGCAACTCAGTTTGGAAATATGAGTATGGGGCCAGCAGCCGCTGCAGTAAGTTTCTCTTTTTTGGTTGCATGATGAACCTCTAACATGAACTCATTTTCGTAGGTTGTCCCTGCTGTTCCTTTATTGGGCGCTCGTCCCCATATCGCAGATATCGACAATACTGGACCACAAGCTCGCTTGCCACCTAATGTAAATAAAGCGTGTTAATAAAAGCATAATCCACTAACTTTATCTTAGATCTCTGTCACAGACTCGCCATTCGTTAATGCTGATCCCTCTTATCAGTGCTCCACCCTCAATGCAGTCCCCGCAACAGAATCTTTACTTAAAAAGTCTCGTTTGCCCTTAGCACTGGTTTTAACTCCTTATAGAAGCTTAAAGGAAGGCGATGTAAGTTTCATAGAGTTTCTTTTTTGGGAATGATCGTTCTTATGCCAATATGTAGGATTCTGTGCCTGTTGTTAGAGATAGTGTGATTGCAAGATGTAGACGTTGTAGAACGTATATCAATCCCTTTGCCACGTTTGTGGAAGGAGGTCAACGTTGGAAATGTAATATGTGTTTCTTACTGAATGATGTTCCTGCCGCGTTTGATTATGATAGTATAACTCAACAACCCGCCGACAGATGGAAGCGTCCTGAATTAAACTACGGTTGTGTTGAATTTGTTGCGCCAACTGAGTACATGGTAAATATTAAGAAAATAAAAGAAACTCCCAGCTGACGCCCTTTTTTCTAGGTACGTCCTCCTCAGGCACCCGCTTATGTTTTCGTTATCGATGTATCCTATTCAGCCATTCAATCCGGTATGGTAGCCACAGCTGCTCGTACTATTCTTGATTCCCTTGAACGTTTACCCAACGACGAGAATCGTACAAAAGTTGCCATTATCACTGTTGATTCATCTCTTCATTTTTACAATTTGAACCCAAGCTTGAACGAGCCTCAGATGTTGGTTGTTTCTGATCTGGATGATGTCTATCTGCCTTCACCTTCTGATTTATTAGTCAATCTGACCGAATCAATCCACATCTTGAAGACATTATTAGAAAAGTTACCTGAATTGTTCAAGGACTCAATGAACGTAAATAACGCGTTAGGAACAGGTTTACAAGCTGCATTCAAAATGTTGGTAAGTAACTTTTTTTTTCGCTAAAGGTAAAAGTGTAACCCTGTTTTATAGTCTCCTATTGGTGGTAAGATCATTTGCTTACAGTCCACTTTACCCAATACGGGTGCTGGTGCATTAAAGCCTCGTGAAGATGTCAAGTTGCTCGGAACCTCTAAGGAATCTTCTCTACTTAACGCTGCTTCACCATTTTACAAGTCATTTGCTGTTGATTGTTCTCGTTCCCAAGTTGCATGCGACATGGTCATCTTTGGAGGCCAATACTCTGATGTCGCCACACTCAGCTGTGTGCCTCATTACACAGGTGGTCAAACATACTATTATCCTGGCTTCAACGCTAGTCGCACTGAAGATGCTATCAAATTTGCCCATGAATTTTCTGAATTACTAGCAGAACAGATTGGTTTGGAAGCAGTCATTCGTATCCGTGCCTCTCGCGGCCTACGCATGAGCGCCTTCCACGGAAACTTCTTTATTCGTTCGTCTGATCTCTTAGCCCTTCCCAACGTACCTCGCGATCAGAAATATGTTGTTGAGGTTACTATGGAAGATGACTTAAAGACCCCTACTGTTTGTTTCCAGACCGCTTTATTACACACTGCATGTAATGGCGAAAGACGCATTCGAGTTGTTACCACTTGCTTACCTGTCAGCAGTACAATGTCTGAATTATACGCAAGCGCAAATCAGCAAGCCATCACCGCTTATCTTGGTGTGAAGGGTAAGAAATAGCACACTTGTAGAGAATGGATGCTAACGATTGTGAACACTTTAGCTGTCGAACGAGGTTTGACATCCAAATTAGATGACGCACGTGATGCAGTTGTAAACAAGCTAGTTGACATCTTTGGTGTATACAAGACACATGTTTTAGGATCTGGTCAAGGCTCAACGCCACAGCTGACCGCACCAGACAATCTCAAGTTATTGCCCCTGCTCGCCCTTGGTTTGCTCAAACACGACGGTCTTCGTCAAAGCTCTCAGATTCCCTCAGATATGAGGTCGAATGCCATGAACTTGTTGACCACTATGCCAATTCAGCTTTTAATTCCATATCTCTATGCCAACCTCTATTCTTTACACAATATGCCTCCTGAGGCCGGTGAATTTTCAGAAAAGGGCGTCATATTCCCACCTGTGTTAAATCTAACAGCTGAAAACTTAGAACCTCATGGCTGCTATCTTTTAGAAAATGGACAAAACATGTACATATGGGTCGGCCGCAATGTTGTGCCCCAGCTTTGTGTCGATCTATTTGATGTCAAATCGTACGAAGGCTTAAAGGGCGGCAAGATTACTTTACCAGTTTTGAACACACCATTGAACAAAAAAGTCAATACGATCATTGGCAAGGTGAGAGAAATGCGCCGTGGCAATTATCATCCTACACTGTATCTAGTCAAGGAAGACGGTGATCCATACCTTCGTCTATGGTTCTTGGCTCATTTAATTGAAGATCGTACAGATAACATCATGAGTTACCAACAATTCTTACAACACATTAAGGACAGAGTAAGTCTTAAGTAAAAAAAAAAAAAAGTACGTAACTGTTATTAACACAAATGAAATAGGTAAGCTCTGGGTCATTCTAAGCAAAAATTGAAACTATCATCCCTCTTATACAATATAATAAAAAAAAGTTTAGTTTGAAAATATAAACGATGGTGATAATACGCAATCCAGTGTTTCGTCTGTTTCTTCCAAGGGAATAACACCAACATCTACAATCTGTTGGTCCAAGGCGAGAGCAACTATACCACAGGATGGTTAATTATCATCAGTATTGCTTTTAAATACTTACTAGTTTTGGGTGGAGCAGTGTTGTTTGCTTCTGCCCAAGATTTACATTTACGTAAATAACGATCATAATACCTATTCTTTTTGTTAGTCAACAATATCTGACTGTAAATTCGCTTTGCTCACCCCTTTCCATGGCCTATCCTATTCCTATTCTGATCAAATGCAACTCCAGGCATTAATACGAGATCAAGACCCTCAGTCTCCAGAGCTAGAAGAGTCTAAGTGGACATCAAGAAACGACTTTATCATTTTACCATTTTCTCTGTCTTGATCAAGAGGAGGCTCAGGTATTTTCCATTTATTGACTGGAAGTGAATTAAAGTCCTCTATGCTATTAATCTTTACCATGTCCATGTGGGTTTTGGTGCAACGAGGTATAAAGCAATTCTTTCCTGCTTGATATTTGTATTTGTTATTGGTTCAAATATACTTTTTTGTTACCTGAACGAAGCAAATGGTGTATGATGTTGGTAGTGACGACTTCACCAGTAGGCATGCTAATGTATACACTTACATTCTTTGCATTCTTAAACTGTTCTAATCGCTTCAACCTTTCAAACACTTGTTCGGCTAAGTGTCTGTTAGCGACCACGGTTTTTTTTTTTAGCGTTTCTTTCTTTTTATTAGTTACATTGGCTTTGTGTCTCTGCTACAGATAGCTTTTCTAGTCGAGAAGCCATATCTTTCCGAAGCTGACGCTTCAGACTAACAATAGCTGTATTCATGCTGTCGGTGAGAAAGGAAAAACAAAGAATATATTAATTGGCTATAGACATCTTTGCTTGCGTTTTTTCTGAGTTTATTTATCTTTATTCCAATGAACTGTCGTAAAAAGACATACAAAGGAGAGGATGAACGAGGCGCCATTTGAAGAAGAGCCATTCAAGCAGAAGAGTAAATATTGGTTATAGCCCAAGATGGACTACGACTTGATCTAGGTATCTAGAGTAGCCTGATGCAATCTATAAAAGCTCAAAAAATCTCATATTATAAAAACATCTCACCGCGTATGTTGTTTAAACAAAAGAAACAATAGCCCATTCAAAGCTATTACTTTATTTATTGACATTTTATACAAGTTGAGGTTATTATTATACTTAGATCTTTTGCATAGCAGCAACGTCAACGGATTGGACATAGTCTTCCAAAGCAGTGATTTGATCAGTCAAGTCATCCAACATAACCTTATCATCTTCAACAACACAGTTGATTTGAAGCTTTCTGATACCGTAACCAATAGGGACAAGTTGGTGACCACCCCAGAGGAGACCATCCATGGTGATGTCCTTGACACCCTTTGTCATGGCATCCATATCAGTTTCATCATCCCAAGGCTTGATTTCAAGAGTGATGGTGGTCTTTGCAATAGGCTTGGGCTTGGCAGCCTTCTTAGCATTGTATTCAGCAAGACGTTGAGCCTTGATTTTTTCAGCTTCTTCATCAACTTCCTCATCATCAGAACCGAAAAGATCAATGTCGTCTTCGTCAGCGGCTTCAGCAGCAGGGGCAGCTTCAGCAGGCCTAAGATAAGCAAGAAAAAAAAACGCGTTATTGATGCATTAAAGAAATATTTGCCGAGGAATACTTACTTGACTTCGGAGAACCACTTGGCAACATTAGTGAATTCGGCAGAAGGAGCAGAACCTAAAGCCTTAGCAACAGCGGCATCAGCATCAGTAGCCTTGTCATTGCTAAAGAAAGGTATAAGCCACTGAAAAAATCTAGAATCAAATGTATAAGAACTTACGAGGCAATGTACTTGCTTTCAGCAAGAACAGAGTCGAGGATGTGAAGAGCCAAGGGAAGTTCCAAAGTAACAGACATTTTAGGGATAAAGTAGGGAAAAAGAAAGAAAAAAAATTGGAAGACAGAGAAAAAAAAAAAAAAAGAGGATTGCAAGCGGTCAATCTGACCAATCAAAAACTAGACTGCGGCCAGCCTTTCGAGTATGCCAATGGCGTGCCCAGTGATAGTAAGCATACCATAAAATATAGACAAGATATTGTGAGTGTCTAAAGCTATTCTTTATTATAAGAATATTTGGTCGTTACCTTGTGCTTCGTTTGGTTGTATTTTAGTCAAAAAGCTACTGTACAAGCCACAGACACGTCAAATACAAACAGATTCTATTTCCGATCACTGCATAATTTGCATGTTTTTATTGGGTATACAGCAAAAGCTGAAGGCAGTATACAATATGTGTGGAATCACTAATGAGCTCATCGTCCTTCTGGCCTTCGTTTGCCTTTTCTTCTACGCGAGGATTGCCTAGTTTCTACGCTACCGCCTTCTAAGCTTGGATCTGCTTGTACCTTTTTCCTAGCTTCCAAGAAAAACTTCAAGTCGCGTACTTGATCATTTAATTCAGAGATGCTGTTAGCTGCAAGCTCATTGCTTTTGGATAGTTCTTCGTTGCTTTGTATTAATGTATTTGTCATCTATAAGGAGTATATAAGAATAATTTATGTCTTATAACGTCTCTAGTACCTCTTTTTCTTTTAACCATAGATCCTTAAGTGCCTCCAACTTTTCTTTCCATATTTCATAGCTCTTCTCTGCGACCTCTTTGCCATCCATTACTTTTGAAGCTTCTTTTGCTTTCAAAGAAATCTGATGCTCCAGATACTCATTCTCTTCAACCGCATTTTTTGCTTGTATTTCCAGTTGCTTCAATTGTGTTGTTAATTTTATAAGCTGGCTTGAAACCTTGTCTATTTGATTTTCATAATATATACGCTGCGAATCCAACTGAGTGGTTAACATATAGCTATATTCAAGTGCAATGGATTCTAGCTTTTCCTGCTAAATGATATTACAAGTATTATTTTTTTTTTTTTCTTTTTCCCTTTCTGTGCTTGAGCTTACCTGGGAAAAAGCCGTATTATCTGGTCTCGTATTGTCTGGAAGCTCCACTAGCTTACCATCAGCCATATTTTGTACGAGCCTATGCACATATCCATCACCAACATAATCCCATACTCGTTGAGAAGCAATATCCAAAGCATATATATGTTCTGTCTCTCTATAATGCTTATAAGCATGCGCACCTTGATATCTCCCACACCCTACATAGCCACAGATCAAGCAAATCCAAAGACCCTCCTTCGTCTTGCACTCGGCGCACTCATTATCATTATCGTCACTTTGCCCAATGACCCTTTCTTCTGTCTCCTGAAATACTTTATGGCTACCGCCTCCATCCTCCGTCACCGTTTTCTTTTGTGAATATCTGCAAACTGGGCAGCTACCATCTTTCCACTTGAGCAAGCAGTGACAATGGAATGTATGCTGGCAGAGAATGGTCAATATCCCCGATTTACTTTCACCAAGCGGCTCTAAACACACAGAACACGTTTCTTCTGGGCTAACTAGTATAAACAGTGGTTCTGAATCTTGTTCTGTTTCAGCTGATTCTACATAAAGAACTTGGCATGTCTCAGGCTAACGATGAAATACACGTTTGGACACCTTGTTTGTGATGAATTATTAATCTACTTACTTCCATAGAACTAAAGCGTCTATTATTATACTGCTCAAAATATATATTGGCTGCCTGGCTTTCTTTGAATTTCATCAAAACCATATAAGTATCCTTATTTGCTTCTCTTGTTAACAGTTTGCACATGTGGTCAGCTGCTTTGTGTACTATACATGTCTTTGCTTACATACTTTATTACTCTATAGTGGCTAACATGAGTTTCTACAGGTGCAATGAAAGATAGGAATTCAGGAATAGAAATGTGAAAGGGAATAGAATGAGTGCAAAGAACGGTGGTATTCGTAAGGACTATTTTGGTTGGTGTCTTATTCTCGCTTTCATGATATAACTTTAGTATGCCACGATTATTTGCTGTTGTTTGGATTATTCCAAAAGGCGCACCTTTTATTTTATGTTGCATAATCCTTCAAAGGAGAAAAAAATGAAAACAGTGACAAAGGGAGTTTTTCGAAATTGAGGGGCGGGAAATAAAATATCAAAGAACGGTTATACGATTAAACAGTCTTTTATTTACAATTAAAGCCTCAAGTGGGCGCATGATAATAATATATCTTCTTCGCCCGAGGCAGATCAAAAAAGAATGAAGAATTGGTATCTAAAAAACCCTTATGAGATCAAGGGTAAAAAAGCTATTGAAGAAATGATGTTGGGGCAAGTGTAAGATACACTAGTGAGGACAACGAGGGAGCCAATTGAGGAGCTTTTGCCCAAGGTGTGGGGGCGAAGAAGGTGGACACTTCTGATGATGGAGGTAGCCAAGTTCATGAAGAAGAGCGCATATAGCTGGTCAACGAATGGTCCATGGGAGAGCGGCTTGAAAGAAGCGTAGTTTCTTTGAAGGTAGCATATTCAAAAGGAAGGATAATGGATCTGAAATTGTTTCGAGCATCATAAGTCGACGGTGCATCTGGAGACAACGAATGGCGTGGGCTTTGGTGAAGGATTGGTTGGGGTGCCGAGGACAGGTTTTATCATGACCACTAGGAAGCCAACCAAGACGCCAACGTATGCATCGACTTCTCTCAGATCTGGTCATAGGTAGCCAAAGGATAAGGTCTAGGGAGATAGTCGGGCGACAGTGCGTAAGAAGAACAGAGGCGTGCGTTGCGCGCTTGTGATTGAGGTTATCTTGGCGGAACTTCCTTTGCATCAAGCGTAAAGAGCGGCGATCAAGGGATTCTGGGTTTGGTGCGCATAGTTTCCAAATGGGAGACCTAGAGAGTTTATACCATTGGGAGTGACTTCTAGGTTGGCGGATCAATGGGAGAAGATGGGAAAGTAGTGCATCATCTGGAAGGGTATAGGTGCGTAGAAGGAATTGGGACTGAAGGGAGTAAGCGCGTTCCTGCATGGTT